AATATCCGCATCATCCATGCGTTCAATCTCTTCGTTTGGTTGGACCAGAGAACTGCGCTATCCGGGACAGAGGAAAAGGACATTCCAGCTAAAAAGCAGCCCCATAAGTGTGACCCAAACAGGTTCGTCAACCAGGCATAGAAAAGGAGTAAGCCAGCCATCAGATTAGATGTTGAACCGCAAGAGAAATATTAAGAAGGGTGATGCATAATTGTTTAGATTGTAGGCGCTTTCGTTAGTTAGTCACTAACATAATATTTCTTGTGAAATATAAGTATTTCCTGAGAGAGAGAGAGTCATCTTCTTGGCAGTTTCCGGTTTGTTGTTGTAAGTAGCCTTAATGAGAGTCAGATGGACGTTGCCGATGTAATTGTCAGTCACTTCTTTCTCTTCCCGAAGTTTTGTGATCAAAAGCCACTCACAGAAAGCGGGAATGGACTTGGCGGCCATGTAACCAGCGATCAGGAGGAAAAGAACGCCGAAAATCAACGGGAAAAAAGCGATGATCTGTGTTGTCGAGTGGAAGATCAAGGCAAAATCAACGGGAAAAAAGCGATCCTCTGTGTTGTTGAGTGGAAGAAGGCAGTTGACAAGGCGATCAGGAGGAAAAGAACGCCGAAAATCAACGGGATGATCTGTGTTGTTGAGTGGAAGAAGGCAGTTGACAAGGAAGACGAAGAGGAAGAATCGATTCCTCGATGGGAATTATGGATAAAGATCAACATTCATCATTATAGGTCAAAACTTTTACCGAGACTCCATTCTCGTTGATCTCGAACAGAAGCGAGAAGGCAATTAGCGAAAGGATATCATCCAAGAATGCTGCTGCAATGATCGTCTGCCCGAACCGTGTTGAGAGTTTTTTGGTCGCCGTGAGCAAAGCTAGCGCAATGCCTACAGATGTCGGCGCCATCGCCACACCAACGGTTAGGGCAGTCATGGCGGCGGAACCTGGTGATGAACGAGGACAATAGCAGGTGGCATAATATGGGTAAGAGGTGGTGAAGGACAATTACACGCTCTTGATGTCGTCTACTTAATGAAGAGTAGTAGAGTACTCGTTCCTTCTCCTCGAGTCTTCAAGTCCGAAAACATCTCTTTGAAGCAGCGCCATGAATTAAGGGGCCCTAACGCACATAGCGACTTACCACTAACTACTTACCTAGCCAAATAGAATAAATTAAGTCAAAAGAGTTCGATTTAAAGGTCCTACGCTCTGATTTAAAGGTCCTACGCTCTGAGTAAAAAAGTCTACGGCTCTGATTTAAAGGTCCTACTCCTACCTACTGTGATCAAGAAGCTACCTAATGAAAACAAGTAGTAAAGAGTACTCGTTCCTTCTCCTTGAATCTTCAAGTCCGCGAACATCTCTTTGAAGAGGAGGGTTAGCAAAAAACCCATCCCCAGAGGTCCAAGCGTACCCAGCACCGCGATTAATGCACCTGAGAGATCATGTGTGGAAGCTGAGTGGAAGTGGAGACTGAGTCAGGTGAGTTCGGTTTACTACTATTCCCATATCAGCACGACATTCATATTATCATAATGTCCTCTTCTTCTAGGTCAAGCTCTTGTAGAAGTATCTTCATCGAACAACAAGAACATCAACAACGAGCTGAGTATCATCTACATCTTTGTGATGTTTCAACATGATCTCGACATCAAAATCATAACCAACCTACCATGAATAAAATGTAAAACCCCACTGCAACCACTCTATAGACGTACAATCGTCATCTTCGAGTACTAGGAGTGGTCCCTAACCCTAAATCTATTTTTAGATGGAAAATACCTTTCGGTCCCACAATATGCAACGTCGGAAAGTGGAAATGCATTCCGGATTCGAAGATCATCAGCGAAACACCGAAATGGCCCATCAGCGTGAAGATATTCGGCTTAGACTGGCATTCTCCATCGAAAGATTATGAAACAGGGACTTACAAAATACTTCTTCTCTAAGTCTAGTACGTCCAAGGTGGACATACCGACTGGGGGTACGCCGCCCCGCGATGGGGGCGGGCTGGAAATGGGGGGTTATGGTTATCTAAATGAACTATTAACTTCTGATCTATGCCTAAGTACCTACTAACTATGACTATGTGAAACGTTCGTTGTTACAAGCTAGTTATTGTTATAGTAAAAGGAAATTAAATACTGTAACGATAAAAGAGAGTATCTTCTTCATCATGATCATCTTGTACTAGTACTAGTAGTATCTAACTTACTTCTAGTAGTAGCTAGTGGACTAAGTACTATGCTAATACGACAAGAGAGATAAAGTAGGGTTGAGACAACCAGGAGCACCCGCGGCAACGTAAACCGAAGCGGCGTTTTAATGTCCCGGAGTAGAAGGTTAATAAGTATCTAGTATAGAGTTGTATTAGTAAAGATTATTGTATGTGCACAACTAAGTCTAAGTAGATTAAGAAATCTTGTTCGGTTATTCAAGATCATTGATGAAGGTTTTTCAAAAAAAAGATGATGACAGTTGTTTAAAGCTACAGATTCGATACTTCATAGCTCAGTTACTCACTAGTGAGATAAGAAAACCCAACAACCGAAGGAAGTGGATGGTAAAAGACCCAACGAGTCCTTGACCGCCGCAAAACTGCGGCAAACACAAGCCAGGGCCAGGACCTGCCGGTCCCGGCAGCCCGTTGCTCTCTCGTTTTCATATGTTGACCACCAGTTGTAGCGTGCGCGTCTCTCGCCACGGCCAGCAACTCTACTAGATGTAGCACTTGTACTTGTTGTTGTTCTTCCGAGACTATTTCTAAACTAACAGCTTCTATTTCTATATACAAGCAGTATCCTGAAGATCATTCCAAATCCAATCCTAGCATTATATGCTCGTCATAATCGTCTATGTCTGGTGAAGAGTACTTCTCCTAGGTAACCTCGAAGCTAGATTATATGATACCTAGTTGTAGGAGGACTGGGGGACACTCACACTTTCATCATCTTTTCACACTTTATAAGCAACATCTTCAACTCAACATCTTCTCTCACTAGAGCCCCGCGTAGACATCAGATGGCACTAGACCACCTCTCCTCGTTGAAGAAGTAGGTCATTTTCATCTTGAATTACTTCTATTCTTGTCATAAGTATTTCTGGCAGTATAGTCGATAGCAATCCGCTTTATCCTTGCCCTTGTTGTCTCTCCAGCTTTCGTCGAGAACGTTCGAGAATTCACCGCATTTTTCGGCACCATACTTTCTCCTCACCGTCTCAGCAATCGATTCTCCGTATGCAGATTAGAGGACGTTCACATTAATGTTGGTAAGTACCTGGTGGTAGTTGTACTTCTAGTTCTTACTAGCAGGTCTAAAATAAATATTCATTTTAACATCAGGGCCCTAGCTCTAGAGCACCAGGAGGTGTGTCAATCATGAGTAATATGAAAGAAGCACTGTACTACAACGACCAGGCACAACTGGTTAGGTTCGCCCTTGTCATCGTCAACATGGTCGTGTCCCATTTAGTTCATCCACTGTAGCCTCATCATGGCTGGACGAAATAGTTCCAATAGTGTGTCCAACAATGAATTGCCTTAATTATAATACTCTGTACTCGACAAGGAAACTGCGGTACCCCAAGGGACTTTAGGACACAGCTCTGCTTCTTGCTTCGCGTCACAATGCGTGTATTCTGTCGGTAGTAGGCCTAATATTTCTGGTCCTAGGAGTAGACCAGTGGCGATTTCAGCGAGGATTAGCACTCGTCACGGCAATTCAACATGTTCTAAGTGCGTAGTAGTGTCCGAATCTTCCAAGAAGAACAAGGAAACTGAAGAGCGAAGCAGGCAATCTGGGAAGATGAATTACTGTGACGAGCCTTAACAGAATGGGAGACATGCCCGACATTTTCGTAACCTTCCCGGCGTACCATACTAGCGTAAAGTAGATGGCCAACCGGAAGATCGACATAAAACCACCGCCCGCCATCTTGTTGGAGTGGTGGGGCTTGGTTGCTCTAGACAGAAGGGGGGAAGAAGATTCTTGAGGTGGTCGACCTCGGAATGTTGTTCTTCCTGGTGTTAGGTTCTTTTCCACCACAGCTACTACGTCTGGTATAAAGAGCCCCTGTTTTCACGAGCGGCACGAGGAAGAAGCTTTTCTTGACGTCGATCTGCCTCTAGTCCTAGTCCTAGGTCATGCTCATCGATGTCGAAGAGGATGCGGCGCTTTGCGGTCATGTGGTTTTACTCTCTTTGAATCAGTGAAGACAAAAAGTGAAGACAAAAAGAAGTACTTAATATTACAAGAAATCATTCAAATGTTAAGAACTACAAACATCTATTGGAAGTGTCAATCTCGACGAAGGAATCAACGTCAGAAGATGAACTACATAGCGCGACAGGGAAAATTTCTACGCTTCAAGCTCGACAAGAAAGATACACTGAATTACCTACATGTACATCACATCTTTCGACTATGTGCTATAGCTATGGCGTTTTGCAAGTACAACGTTGGCGTGGTTTAATCGTCTATAATCACGAAAATAAAAGAGATATCAAAAGTAGTATATGCAACGTATCAGTTCTTTCCCTCGTCGAGCCTCTCACGAGTGAATGAATGAGTGAGCGACTGAGTGAGTGAATGAATGTGCCTAGCGCGAGGTGTTTGCATTGCCTTCCCGTGAAGGACTATAATTCACACTACTTCCTTGTGACTAATGTTCACTCTTCCTTCTTTTTTTCCACTACGATTTTGCTTTCTTTTTCGCCTCTTTTGTTGCTCCATAAATCTCAGGAGCAACCTGCTAAACCTCTCTCAAAATAAGAACGCTTTTAATTGGACTTATATTTTGAATTTAGACTCAGGAATTTAATCTCAACACGAGGACAGAAAAGACGTTTTTCTCTTTATCTAATAACTCTCCGTCTGGACAGATCGTCAGCTTCTCAACCTCATCCTCACAGAAGAAGGAGAGCGGATTGTCGTATCTCTAAGAACTAATCGAACAACACCAGATTTAGCTCCTTTAAGCACGGATGACCAGACCCGGTCGTCGCCACCAGTAGAGGAGAAAACTTTCTTCTACATCTACTTCGGTCATTCGAAGTGAATATTAAGAATTCTTTCTCACGAACGAGAGGTGATTTCAGTGTTGCTGAAAAATCCAACATCACCATTTTTCAGTGCTATTGTTACGGTGGGTGGATTATGAAGCAAGTGGAGGCACTGTCGTGCCTGTCGCAGGATCAAAGCGCCATGGCTTTCTTGGCGCACTATCCTCACCCGATAATGGCATACTGTCAAGCGCCTGCTTTCCTCGGCTTACAACCTGTTATTTTGGAAAAAAGACCAACAAGATCCTAAATCTATAAAAAATACAAGACAACTACTTGTAGTTGAAGAACAAGAACTACTGGTGAAAAAATTCAGTGCTACCATTTCTGGTCCAATCAACATCCAAGAAGTGACAAAATACATTTCCATAATCAAGCGTTTCGTCTGCTTTGATTGTAACCATATCACTCTTGTCGAAGATAGAGCCATCTGGCTTGGAGCCAAGCGGCAAGACTGATACTGACGGGACGTCTGATACTTCACAGTCGTAGGCGACCTGGTTTTGGTGAAGATGATTTTTCGGATTTTTTTCTCGGATGAATGGGACTTCTCTTCCGAGTGTGAAGTACTTTCGCAGTCGGTCCGAAAAAGACTTCTCTTCCGGGTGTGGAGTATTTTCGCAGTGCTATTTTTAGACTTTGGGTAAATTTTCCTCCATTAATAAACACAACACTGAACACAGGAACAAAGAAAGTACTTAATTCAAGGCTGCAAGAAATAAAGGGCATAAACTTTACCGTCGGCGCCTCGTCAATATCACATGTAAAAAATGTGTGTTGCGGATTTGATGCTGCAAAATCGGAAAATTGTGACTCGTACAACTTTGATGGTGTGCTGAACCCTGCCGTGAAGTACCCAACCAATGCTCTACTCTTCAGCTTTAAGGCTTCATACTGCGCCGCCGACTTGATAACATGGAGATTCGCTGGCGTTGAGAGCAACCTCTGCGAAACGCGGTACATTTTCTTATTTGGTCTTCGACACCAGTAACTGGTTTTACACACACGTTCTTGCCTAGAAAGATACTCACTGAAAATATACGAAAAACAAAGATCACGTACTAAAGTTGTGCATCTGCATGAAAAACTCTCTCTCCTCGTTCTCGCTCGGGAAATAAAAATGATGCAGCAAATGGGAACAACTATAGGTATAGGTTGTTTTTGAGTCGTGACAATCAGCGGCGCACAATACAGTTATTCATCGTCTGGATTCTTTCGACTATGGCGTTCTTGTAGATGTCTGTTTCCTTTGTTTTGTACCTTGTTCGTGATGTTCACAGGGTTATCATGCGCACAAATGTGAAATCAGTGTTCCCCACTAGACCATCTCCCTTCCCCTACTTCTTCCACCAGTTCCAATATCCTCCAATAAACACAACAGTTGCAACAGAGGCAAAAGTTGTTGATGCCCCTCGTCGACCAAGAGCTCTTGTGCCGAAGCAGAAGAGTCTTCTTTCTCAGTCAGCAATCCATAAGCCCTCTGAAAGAGTGACGTTCCCAGCTGGCCTGCTAGATATGCACGCAAACTTTCCGCCTTTGCCTGGTATTCTTGCTTCTTGGTGCTCGAGGAAGAGGATGAGGACGCGGCTGGATCGGAGGCGCCCGTAGCTGAAGTCTTTGATCTTCTCGATGAGATTAAGGGACTAGAGAACGGTCGTTCTGCATGTTTGATCTGAGAAGTCGCTGTCCTAGTGGTACTCGTCGGCGCACCCTCGGTCGGGACATCAACGACTAACCGACCTGCAGCGAAAGGTCCGTTCCCGCTGTCTTTGCCGTCAACGCTGCAGCTGTTGATATCAATCTGCCGAAACATTTGATCCCTTCTCCCACTCCCACTTTTGCGAGATGAATTCGAAGAAGGCTCCACGCTTTTTTGAATTTCATTTGGTGATCCCGATGATCTCCCGGCACCACTTCTGGTAGTTGATGATGTTGACTCTTCTTCCTCGTCTACATCATCCTCAAAATCCTCATCATCGTCGTAACAGTCTTCATCCTCGAAGTCCTCCTCATAGTCCTCTTCATCGTAATCCTCTTCACACTCCTCTTCAACCCTTGAAGCGTCTTCGGCTATGGTGTCTAGGTGGTTCCCTAAGCCTATGTTCTGTTGTTCTGATTCGAAGGGAGAATGCGTCAGGTTCATCTGAGATGAGGAAGAAGAGCAACTTCTGTCTGCAGTACCGCTATCGGCGGGCTGCAGGGTAATATTGTCGCCCTCTTTCGTCCTCTCTGTTAACGCAGACATAGAAGCGCTACTCGAAGAAGTAGACGATGAAGAAGCTGCAAGTAGGCTACCATTCGCAGAAGCAACACGTGAGACGTGTGCGTGTCGATCCCTATGCCGTTCCAGAAGACTTGCCGATATCGTTGTCGGCGCATGCGAATGCACCATATCGCTGGGGACTAGTCCATTTCCATCATCATACTCCTCTACTGAAGATGATGTCCTAGCTGTAGTGTAGTTTCTCTGCTTAGTATTCTGCTCTCTTGGAACTGAACTGCGAGTCTCTACAACTAATGGTGGAAGGTCATCCTCGAATTCTTGACTTTTGTTCCTACGTCGATCAGATTCAGAAGCGTCTACTTGCTGCGCCCTATCAGATTCAGAAGCGTCTACTTGCAGCTGCGCTCGTGGTTTCGCGCATTGTCGTAGAAAACGTCGAGTCCCTGTTTTTTCGCGATCGGAGAGTAGTTCTTCCATCACGCCTAGCCCACCTCGCGTCGTCTTCTTCAGCTCTCCACTACCTCCAGAGCCACCAGACGAACAGGGAGCTGGGCTTTCATCTGCCTGGTCTGCGGATTTTTTGTCGTGCCGTGTTGGAGATGCGCTATTTTTGCCCAACGCAGCGACAGGGACACCGGTGACAACATCATCCAAAATCACTTCCTCCACCTCGTTATCGTGATTCGTCCTCTCCTGTGGTTCTTCAACCTCGATAGATGAAGCGGGAGCAGTCCTCTGTTCGCGTTCAGTGACATCCTCGTCAAAAGATGTTGACTCTTCTTCAACCTCCTCCTTTTCTTCCGGCAACCGCAACGTTGACAAATCCCAACCGAAGTGAAACCGCTCGTTTACGTCGAAAATTGACTCCCGCAACAAAGGACTTTGGATGATCTGCCACACTGTCGGACGCTCACCGGGATTTTTCGACAACATCCGCCGAATCAAGCTGTCCAACTCTGGAGAGTACAATTCGCTGTCGATCGGAGGATACTTGCCGTTCAGGATCTTCACCGCTAAGAAATGGAGAGACTCTGCGTCAAAAGGATGCTTCAGCGTGCACATCTCGTACAGCATCACTCCCAACGACCACACGTCGCTCTGATAGCTGTAAGGCAAGTCCTCGATGATTTCTGGTGACAGGTAGTATGGCGTCCCGACCATCGTTTTCGCGTAGTCTTTTGTTGCATCAAGAACTCTGGAGATACCGAAGTCGCCTAATTTGAGTATTTGCTGTCCAAACAAGACGTTCTGATCGACGTCCTCAGCGAATTCCTCGTTTTCTCCTCTCAAAGGAGAATGCAAGAAGACGTTTTGCGTTTTCAAATCCCGATGTAGAACTTTCCGCGAATGAACGTGTTGAAGAGCGAAGCAGATCTGGGCGAGCCAGTCGGTGATTACTTTTTCGGGAAGTAACAAGTCGCGACTCTTCTTGCTGCTACTCGGGTTGGAAGTGGATGACGATGAAGAGCTGGTTGTACCACCACCGCTACCCCCACTCCTACTACGACCACATGATGATGAAGAAGAAGCTTCTCCCGCAAGAGCTGTCGCCATCCTCGTTTTTTGCGCCTTCAATTTCTGATGCAAATCTCCGTCATTGCAGTAATCCATCACGATGCAGAGTCTGCCCTTCTTCGTAATAAACACCTCATGAAAAGCGACGATGTTAGGGTGTCCGATCATGCGTCGCAAGACACTGGCTTCTTTCAACGCTTCAGAGCGCTGCTTTGGTGTCATCATTCCCGTCTCCATCTGCTTGACGACGCATAAAGAAGTAGCAGCAGGGGGGGAGTCTGCCGTGCCGGGTGGGGCGTGTGGGTTAGAGCTATGGAGACAAAGTCAGAAGTCTGGGTGGATATGGGATATTAGAGATCGGGAGAAGGATCCAAATGTCAATATGAGAAAGCTCGGACAGCAACAACTGATGATCGGACAGCATGACAATATGAGAAAGCTCGGACAGTATGTCAATATGAGAAAGCTCGGACAGCAACAACTGATGATGAAGAACGAGTTGTCACATGGAAAAGCTGACTCTAATTGATTTTGCACGAGTGTCTTCAGCGAAACATCACAGAAGGAGATGCCACGCTGCTTTTTCACGTGCTGGGAACAATATCGTGAAATGACTAGACTTTTTACTGATGAAGGACAAGGCATAACCTTGCCAGTAGTATGATAACCAGACCGCGCGCTAACTAATCAAGTATATCGCGAACCGGAAGCGTCTAGAGAGCTCTCCGGTTTGTTTTAGCAGCAAAGTAGTTAAGGACCCAAACGGAAACGCTCATTATAGCAAGATCAGGTGCTGGGTTGATCATTTTCATTTTTCCAGCCATAACAGCCTCAGTAGCAGTGTTTTCGACCAGAAAGGCCTTCCCGAAGCTCCCCTTTCCGAGGACTTTCACTCGGCGATACTTCTCCATTTTCTTTGCTTTTGCAAAAACTTGCGTAGCAGACACGAAATTCAGACAACTTTGGATTTGGAAAAAGAAGAGAGTTCGCCTAATGTTAGATCGATGAGAGACTACGCGGTAAAAATACAGTCTCGCTTTTTTGAAATGAATCGTCTGTCAGCAACATTCGATTTTGACGGTTTCTCGAAAGTTTCTCTCTCGCTGCTCTCAACCTTTTTTCCCAATTTTTCGAATTTTCATCACTGCGGGTAGCGCGGTTTTCGCGCCAAGTACATCTTCGTACCAATGAACAAGCACACAATTCTGTTCGTGCTAATTTTTCAAGAATGCTTGTATTGGAAATTATTTACATTGCAGCTCGTCCTTCTTCACCACAACCTTCGAAAGAAGAAGATATTACTGTATTCTCATTATTATGCGCGTAAAATACCTAGGCTCACGATCATCAGAATGCTGCTTTGTTGATGCGGCCATCAGATCATCTGGAAAACTTCACGTAGAGTAGAAGAGCAGGGAAGATCTTAAAAATACCATCATATAACGTTTACGAGGAAAGGTGGAGTCTTTTTCTTCATAACCAAGCTAATCCTCATGCTAATGCCTAATGGCGACGTCAACTTTATCAACATGGAAGAGGTCTTCATTACATGTTGTCAACTACTGCATCTGCATGAGTCACACAGTGCACAGTAGATAGACCATTCAACACTTGTTGAACTTCATCGAGATGTCGAAAAGATATTCATTTCTGTACACACCGGATAGAAAAGGGTATTCGTTTTGTCCAACTACTAGACGAGCACCACTGGCATCAAAGCACTAGTAAATATACTTAGCTCTGCTAGTAGGACGAGATAGAAGTAATAGTATGAAAAGAAAAAGCTTGCAGCTCTCTGTCTCAAGGAGGTTATCATGGAATCAATTTTTTGTGAGGGATTACAACTTATCACGACTAGAACTATTGAAATTCAAAAACTTGCTTGGGAACGAAACTGTTTTTTCAATTTCTTGAGCGTGATAGGAGAAAAATACGAACATCATATTTGATGATGTTTACCCCTTACAGGTAAAGCGGCGCGTCTTCGCTAGCCGCAGATGACTCTGCTGAGGTAACTTGGGTGTGCTGCTGTTCAAGGGGACTCTGATGAGTGTTTTGTACTACTAGGCGTTCTTGTTGCCCCTGCCCAAGCACATCTACATGACTGCTGGTTGCGATAGTCGGACAGAACGTCAATATTCCCAACACAATGCAAATCATGAAGTACAGCGTCAAGCTAAACGTTGCGGAGCCTCTCCCCAGACGTATTCTCGCATAAGAGGCTGCACTACTCGGGTTCATCACGGTGTTGAAGATGCTGCACTTCAAATTAGAGCTCTCGCTAATTCATCCCTGTGGCAATCCCTCAACAATATGCCACAGTATTCCCCTTGTATGGGGATGCATATTGTTGAGGGATTCCTATAGAGATGGATTAGGGGTAGCCTTAATCAAATAGCCCAGAACCAAGGGTCCCACTGCCGCTATGAAGATGCCACTGACTGCAATGAAAACAGCAACCATAGTCTGTTTTAAGCCGGTGGTGGAATGTTTGTCGAAGACAATGGGTTTGCCGACCAATGCGACAATCATCCAAGGAAGGCCAAGGCCGATGCAGATGTTCAGAGTCTGAGCGCCCCAACAAGAAGCAATTGCCATGGAACCGAGGCCGCGTCTGGTGTTATTTCTTGAGGAGGTATAAGATACAGAAGCTTTGAGAATGAGATTGCAGCGTGAGCGTGTGTCGAAAAATAAGCATCAAATTCTTGTAATACTAGTAATATTGCAGCATAAGTGGATGAAAACTTATATTATAACGCTACTACTACTCAGAGTACTATTTGTATTCTGATTGTCGTACCTTGCCGCCTGAACACTCTGAACGCAGTCTGGTATTTCTGCGCCGATTGCTACTAGAACGACTCCTAGATAGCTCAGTGTTGCTTCTCCACCGTGTATAAGGTGAACCCAACGCGAAACTATCGTGGTAACCAACGAACTCCACAGTGCGATTAAGGTCAGTGCTGCTAAGAACGTTACTGGCCACAGGTTTTCATGTGCTTCGAAAATCCTACAATCCGGGCACACTGTGTCCGACACCTTGATCACTGGCGCCCACACGGTTTGCGCAATGTTTGAGATTCGTTCTTCAAAATCAACGACAGGATGTTGTTCTTCTTCTTCTTGTTCTCGCTGTAGAATTAGAGGTAGGTTTTTGGTGCTCGCTTACCCCGCTTTTTATGCCTTTCTCCCTTAGGAGAGGCATAAAAAGCGGTAAGAAAAGCACCTTTAACCTACTCTTAATAGAAGTCCTCCTGAGAAGATGTTGGTTGATACCTGCTGAAGACCTGACGCTGCGCGTTCTCGCTCCTCCATGTTCATCACTGCGTCTTCTATAGTCAATGAGGTAGTTGCAGATTCTACTGTCGAGGAGGATGGAGGTCTGGAAGATGATGTGGTTGAGACCTGAGATGCGGATCCAGCTTGTGCTTGTGCTTCTACTCGTTCATCTGCTGGCTGGGGTAGTATAAGAAATTGTTTTGACGTTGCTGGTCCTCCCCACTTAGCTGCTGGGGAATTCGTCCCTGAAGAAGCCATAATTACCGGTGGTCCTGGCGACGTTGACATTGCAGGTTGTATACCTTGCTCCAATTTTGGTGGACTACTACTCGCTTTAGACACCTTCAAATTAGTCCTAGTATCTTGCACTGAAAGAGAATGCGCAGAGGACGAACCATCTTTCGAACCTAGACGCTCGCTTGACGAGATCGCGCGTTTCAATGTTGTCCTAAGTTGTTCTACGCGTTCTGGTTGTCTTCGATCGTCAGCGCGTACCTCTCTAGAAAGAAGTGTCGTTCTGCCGTCGGTGGAGGCTGTGCGGCTAACGGCATTGCGGGAAGAAGAGGATACACTACTTCTGCTCGAAGGATTTAGTACTTCTGCTGCGCCGTGGTCATGCTCTCCTTCCTTGGTAGGTGTTGTTACGCCATTTACTGCTCGTGGACTAGTCGGATGAGGTTTCTGCATAGCTATAATTGACACTGATCTATGCGCCACGCCCCCACCTACCTTCGCATTCAGAGATTCATCTACTTCAGCCACAAGGCTACTAGGGAGTATCGCCACAGCGCTTGATAAGCGATTGACGCCTGGCAATTCGTCCGGATCCATGTCGATTGTTCCCGTCCTTGACAGCGCTCGTTCCCTAAAGCTACTCATTTGTCGGTCTAAGAGTGGCTGGCTTCCTCTGACACGACGCGCCAATCTTCTCAGAGTTCGTCCTAAAACGATCGTCGCTAGGTACACCGCATAGCAAAGTAAAAACAGTCCCGCACACCACGTTGTCACTACGCCGTCGGGTCGCTCGACGACGAAAACCAGAGCTCCGAGACAGGTCAAGTAAGCCACTACGTCTCGGATGAATGGCCGCCGCTTCAAGGACAACAATGCTTTTTGGACTATTCTATTGGTCGAAGAAGAAATGCTGCCTCTGCCAGCAGTGGTCATCGGTCCTGAGCTACTGTCCATCAGAGCACTAGTACAAGAACCATCTTCATCCTCTGCGAAAAATACGCAGATGCTCGGAATAACACAAAACGCGATGAGACCACTGCCGAGAATGGCGCCGACACCGAGAGCTACTTCGGAATGCTGGTGGTCGTGAAGGTGGGGACCTGCTTGGTGATCGGAAGACAAAGCGGTTTTAAGACTGACGATCGTGCTTATGCAGATCTCTGGAATGGCCCCGCCGAGCGCCATGAAAGTCGCGCCTCCGACATCTTCTCGAAGCTTCAGATGGTCGCACAGCGTCTCCATAGCGTTGCACAAGTGGTCTGCTGCAACTGCCAACCCTCCGAAAGCGTAGAAGAAAATGAGAATCTCAAACATCAAACCCGGGAAACTGTCGTCAATAGCGCTTAAGCAGAAGTCGCTTGCGAAGGAGGAGAAAGTGCAAGATTTTTTGTCCTCGTCGTTGTGCGCGTGTTCATCTGCGGCTGATGAGGACGAGGCTAGATGAAGTAGTTCATCTTCATGCTCGTCCGCCAATGATAGCGATGACGATATTTGTGCTCTGGTCGACGAGTCTTGTTCTCGCTCCTGAGAAACTCCCTCTCCTGAAGTTGCTTCCAAAGCACCGGTCGCAGTAGTTTCAAGTTCCTCTTGCTGCTTCTCCAGAGATCGCACCACGGTCATGCAAGTAGTTGAGGCGATGAGAATGACAATTCTCGCCAGCCGCGGCCGACCGGTTGAGGGAGGTAAACCGGTCATCTTCTACTTTCTTGGAGAACTGACCACCTCAGAACTAACCAACTTATTCTCTAAAGTTGCATCCGAGGAATGCCATTTGGGGGAATACCTTTATTCAGTAGATGCGACTGGCTTCACAGCTACAACAACAAGTCACTCGAAGATTGCATACTTATGCGATACGAAATCCTGTTAGCAAGTACAGCTTTTTGAGTTTGAGATCATCTCTATTTTTTCCTAAATCGGTTGCACGTGATTAGCTAGACAGTCACACGACCGAAAAACGAGAAGCTAGTGGTGCTGCTTATGATCTATGTTAAAAAACATAACGATTTCGCTAAGATATTTAGAACATGAATTCTGACTAAAGGCTGGCATTGAAAAAAACACCAAAATCATTGAAAAAAACGAAGTAGATGAAAATATGAGCATTCCACGCATATGACCATGATCAGCCTGTTTTTATTGACCGTCATCAAGTAGACACGTCCCTGGATTTCACTAGCAACACTCTTACATCAAGTTGCATTCGGCGGCTTTGCCTCACTCTTTGTTGTCTCTCTCTCTCGCACACTTCGGTTGGAAAATGCGTCTGCAGCATCTCCTCCGTCTCTCGTTACGCGACATCATCATGTTGAATGGGATGAACCTGAACACAACAAGCTGTCTCATGGAAAGGTCCAAGTTGCCCAACACCGGCATCAAGAAAGACTCCTGCTCGTCTTTATCTCTCTTTACTCGTTCTCCTACTCGTGGTGCCTACTTATGAGAAAAATTTTTCGCAATATTCGTCTTTTCGAATACGAATACTAGGTTTAGGTGTAATTATCAGAATATACAATGTTTTCCGAGGGGTCAAGGGTTGTTCTTCAATTTCGTTTCTTCTAAGTAATCTTCAAATCTTGGGAGTTTTGCTGATAGCGCATCACATAAGGTTTTATCAGGTATAAGGGATCAGATTTTTCTTTCTCTCGAAAGTTTTGTGATTTTCAACCACGGCATGATGTTCCAATCATATTGAGCCCTATCGCGATTAATCTCTATCGGCACCATTTTCTTCTATTGGATTTCGAAAGCAACAGTTTCTAGTTTCCGACAGCGGCAGTTTCGGCGAATGGAGCTAACCAAAAACGTGCCCAGCCCTTGTTCATATCCTCCTCAATATCGTAGTGAAAACAGGCAGGATGCGTTTCGGACAGCCACAGCTTGATCTTGTTGGAAAGCGTGGAGCCGCGTGAGAAGATGTCGAGATGTTTGAGCCCAAAACTCTTCCGCCAATTTTGCAGACCGTTGCGGTTTATTGTGACCTGTGTAGTTATTTTTAAGCCGTGTTAGTAGTTTCATAGCCAAAGATTATATTGATCTTGTTTCCTAGTAGTAGTACAACTTGCATTATATACTAGCCAAAGATATTGATCTTGTTCCCTAGTAGTAGTACAACTTGCATTAAAACAAGAACAGAGTTGAAAAAAGTATATCTACTATAACTATATTGTACTATAAGTACCCTTCTGCCGCCAGACCCTCCGTCACCTCTTGAGTCGACCCATACGTCCATGACGCGCGATGCCTCACTTACATGCCACAGGAGATGATGCTCTCCATGCTGGTCGGTATTCAGCGCTAGCTCCACTTGTTCTCCCAAATTTTTGAACTCCGACATCAATTCCTTAAATCTGGAACTCTCCATGACGATCGTGGGCTCACCGGCACAGAGATGCTGTAGTAGTGGTTTTGATGTTGATGTTGTGCTGGGTTTGATGGAATCAGATGAGATGAATCTGGAGCCCTAATACGAATTTGAGGAATTTGATCTTCTTTACAACTTTTCCCTAGTATTACGCGAGGGAAACAATGAGTAGAATGATCCACCGCATAAGCAAGCAAAAACATAAAGTAGAATCACAATAAGAAACAAAAATAATTACATCCGGTGGCTGTATGACTTCCATATCGATGTCCATACTCTTCCAGCTAAAATGGAGTTTCGCATGGGCTGCCATAAGCGGTGAACTCTTTGGAAACAATTCCATGTGTACGTATTCGTCCTCTACGTTTTGCCATTAGAAGATCTCCTGTTTGTGCTGATTAACCATGTGCTGCTGAAAATGAAATTAATAGCAGTTGTAGATAGAGAAAGAGATCACAAACAAGGAATAGTGCACGAAAAAACAGTACTAGATAACAATCACGACATTAACATTCCAACATGTTTCATAATTATAAAGTCTGAAAAAGTCTCCCGGGCCCGCTGTTTTCATCATATCCCGGAGCAGAGGTAGTTGCAGACCAATCGTAGTTGGTCGATTCACCGTGAAAGTACAGAAGTTCCCTCTAGAAAGGTTCACGTCCATCAATGCGATCTGGGAACTTTCCATACCTGGTTTTTTCGTGTTGATTAGTGGTAATGGAGATCTAGTTTTCAAACTCAAAAAAAAGGTCCTGATATAGTTCTGATGTAGTCGTGATAACCTCAATTTTTTCCCCTATCCTATGTAGAAGTTTCTTTTTCCTCATAGAAGTAGTTTCATACACTCGATTTGGATACCTCTTATCGACACGCCTTCCTCCGTTATCTCCATGTTTATCTCGTTCACTTGCAGCAATAGGACTTCGACAAGTTTTTTGATGAGAATCGGCTTCTCTGCTTCTATGAAAAAGGCAGTGTTATCGATCGATAGCTCTGCTTGGTATTGACCTGTGTTCTTGGTGTTGATGATTTGTTTTGATGAGAGGGAGTCTTCTAAAAAATCATCAAAACCACAAGTATGCAACTTCTAGCACAGGAGTGACGGTTTCTTTTTCCAACGAACTGTACTATCACCAAAAACGATGATTTTTTAGCCAACTTGTCGTGACCACAATAACCTCCACAACCAGGACCACAAGCATGCTGTCTACAGCTAGCAGAGGAGTCAGTGAAGATCACGGTTTGTAGTTGTTTTTCCAACTACAATCACCTCCAAAAACTTCTAGTACATGACAACGCTGTCCCTGATACCCCTCCACCAGGTACTGGCGGCGCCACTTCAATCGCCCCATTTCTACTGGATGACGATGCTGGCGTTTCTCCTTTGACGCTACTCGCGAAAGCTCCAGGTTCTGCTTCTGGCATTGTTCCGTGATGGCCGTTGGCTGCTATACTACCGTTTGCAGCGCCGTTTGCTCCAGTAGAAGAATCTCCGCGCTTTCTTCCTTTGGCTTCGTGAAGAGGTGGAGAGGTAGTCATACAGAGATAGCTGAGCAGCTGCAATAGTCGGGTCTATGCGTTGCAGTGGTGGTGCAGCAGTGAAGTGCGTTGCACCAGTGAAGTTTTTTTATACGCGATTTTATTCGCACATCGATCGTCAAGTTGGGTCCTCTGTCGCGCGCTGTTCCTAACTCAGGCTTCAGCGACCATGCCAGAATTCCGAACTGTAACTTACGCTAGACGTAAGAGGCCATGCAACTTACGCTCACACGATGGTGCAGACCAACATGTATTTGTTGTTTTTAATATACGGTCGAGACCAACAATGTTGTTTAATATACGTTTTTTAGTCTAGACAGTCTTATTCTCTTCAAGCAATGAAGGATGCACAGGAGCTCCCGTAGAGAATAAGCCTACTACCTCTGTATAGATAGAATAGGAGAGAAAAGCTAATATGAGACACAGACAACAGTCGAAAAAACCTAAATGAAAGATCCAATCCCAAGGAGCGATTATTTCCTGTTCTTGGGAATTATATTTTTCAGACTTACTAGGACGTGACGAGGGCATCTTACTTGTCTAACAAGATAGCAATTAATATAAGTACGCGTCTTTTCTATTTGTCGTAATTGCCGTAAACTAGTCATGTGGGTTGTTCAGATGTACTGCAGCTCTTAGCGCCTAGTTTTGGTTCTAGAATATTTTTCGTCAGTTTTATCATTTTTTGCTCCAAAGATGTATTAGCAATCGGTCCTACTGACACATATCATCATCAAAACAAGAACCACTTTTCAAGGATACAATGTTGTTCTTCATCAGACGTAATTCGGATCATCCTGTTTACAAAAGTGATGACCAAATTAACGTGTCAACTATAACGACCATTTAGTTGTCGAGTCGCAAGAACACGTGCTGAGGCTTCAGAGATTGCTTTTGCTCTTCGTCTGCTGATGCTTTTCTTTCTTATTTTTCTTGTGCAAACTTCTATCCCATCTTGTTTCCTTCATTTATGCTCTTTTTCATAGGTTGTTTGTGTTTCCTAAGGCTGCGCGCCCTGTCGTTGCAACATTCAACATCGATATGTTGAGGTTCGCGTACATTGTTCATCTTGTATGTCAAGACGTTGTATCTTGCACACTAGTTGTGAAACTGGAAGAATCATCCTGGGTGACATCTACAGCACACGATCTTGATTCTTTCTTCTTGCAATAAACAACAAGGGTATTAAGTAATTTATAACATTATGTTGAGGGAACGGCGAGCGCGAGAACTGCACAATAAATCGAACTACGCTATCACCTCTGCAAAGGAATCAAAATCAATGACAGACTTAATTCATCGGTTCTAAGAATGAATTCGAAGGCCGCGCTATCATCAATCCGGCCTCGATCCTCGCGCGCCCGTCGTATCGAAACGAAACATACTACAAAGAACGACTCGGGCGCTTGAGGAGGAACAATCTTCTTAATCTTTATCTTTTTCATACACACTTCAGGAGTAGATGATGACTGATAGTTACAAAAAATGCAAAAACTTAAACTAACATTCTCAACTAGTTATAGTTTTGATCTGGATATTTCGATTTTCTAATTCAATAATGCAGTTGATCTAGACGATAGTGGAATAGTTAATCTTTATTAGGTCCATAACTAACACAACTCTAATACACCCGAACATTCCTAATTTTGGAGAGGGGGAGAAATGAAACAGAGGACGAGGGGAAGAGGGAGGGTAATGATCGGAGGTAGTAAATGAATGATAAAGGAGAGACCGATGAGCTTACCCACGATGGGCAGGGAGGGTCAGGGACCTGATCATGAGCACCCCCTGCGATCAGGTCACCCGGCATCTCACGCTCAGAGGAGCCACCCTCTGAAGCGATCACAGATAACCCCAGGACTGGCGGGTCCCAGCTCACCGATTCCCGGAGCAGGGAGACAAATGATCACTCGTTAAGACACCACCTACAGTACGGATGATCACTCGTGTAGAGAAAGGGAGTACAGGGTTGTCAGTTGCATGAACACATACCACGTTGCACTCTCGTAACAGTACCTAAATGTTCAGATTTGTTCTATCGGTCATTCTTCATCAAGACATCTTATACCTTATAGCCGCAACTTCTTAGTTGGCCAGATAAAAAGGAGAAGGCAGAGATAAGGATAGAGGAGAGAGGTAGAGTCTACCGTAAAGAAGGAGAATGAACTCGACAACCGGCAGAAGCACGGGAGGAGAAGGAAGAGAGGAGAAGAAGACCGAGCCATGAGGATTACATTATCACCAGTGAGCTGAGAGAGGGACTAAGCCTTCAGAGCATTGACATGCACAGGTAGGTAGCAGTTATTTCTCTCGGTTCAGAGACAATATCAGACACGTTCTGAACAGCATACTCTCAGCTTCAAGATGCAAATGAGTAACGCTCACTAGCATCTCTCATAGAGAATAGATGACATTTCTCTTTCACTTTCGTTTATAGAAAAGTAGTAAACTAGGGGGTAGACTCGTAGGTGTGAGAAGGGGGAGGCCAAACTTTGAGTAAAAATCATTGAGATCATGTTCAGGCACAGATTCAGTGGTGGATACATAAATCAGTGAGATCACCAGTTGGCTGCTGACTATGATAAATAGTCTCAGGACTTGACAGGACTTAAAAAAACTTTTTTCCTACATTCAAGATACCAGTAATAACTAAATAACCTGTTCTTGAGACATCTCTATTTTACAGAACGCTAAGTTGACAATATAAGTCACATCCCATAAGAAATTCAAAAAAACTTTTCATCTTAAGTAAATATCTCACAAATGACAACATGCAGGACAGCACTCTTTACAGTAGTGGTACTATTTGGCTTGTTGCAGTCTTCTTATTCACTGCATGACTACTTTAGTTGCTGAATTCTTGTACAAGAATCTCTTCTACGTACTTGAGGCTGTGTTCCGCGAGCTTCTTATTGCTGACGTTGTTATTGACGAAGTGGTTCTTGCTGTTCGTCCGAGTAATAATTCAATAAATGTATAGAGCCCCCGCCTGCGTAAGAGGACTCGTATGTTGGAAGAAGAAGAACGATCACAAGAAGAAATCTTTACATCGTTATCATTAGATTTTCTAATAACATGTCGAGCCCAAAGAATTTGAAATACACCATTGCAGCGTGTGCATCATGTCGTGCACGATGCTAAACGCACGGATCTAAAAACTTGAAAATCCACCTAGAAGTTGCGGCAACTGCACAACAATAACAACATCATCATCATATTAAAAATACCAAAGTACTAGTAAAAGTGACTCTGGTCCAACGAAAGTAAGTAAAACAAATTGAAAAATAATATGAGTGAGATTCATATTCAGGCAATGTGAAGGCAACGACGCAGGCCGCCCAAAGGAAGGCTATAATTGCGTGGTTGATGTGCCTGTACTAGAAGTAGCGAAGTAGGTGATATATTTTGGTATGTAGCAGATGCTAAAAACTCATCTCTGATGATGTTAGTCGATTCGGATTGGACCTAGTTCAGTTGGATGCTAAAAACTCATCTCTAGCTCCTCGGTTGTAAGTGAGCTAACTTTGACGAAACTTACTTCCCAACTCCATACTCAAACCCCGTTCCTGGCATGGTTGCTGCGATCTTCGCTTTCTTAGCCGCATGCCCATTACCATGGCTGTGATGCTCCTCCTCTAGATTTCCTGCTTCGCGCTTCGCCCATCGTCCACCCTCGTGCAAAGTGAGATAATCGCAACCGATTCCGGTCATAGGTGCTCCCAAACCCTCAGAAACCTCTGCGATCTTCTTAGCGTTTTGATAGTGGGTTACTGCTTCCACAATGGCTCTTGCGCGTGGTGCGGGGTCATCGGACTTGAAAATGCCGCTGCCGACAAACACGCCGTCGACGCCAAGCTGCATGCATAAAGCGGCGTCAGCGGGAGTTGCGACGCCACCGGCAGCGAAGTTCACGACGGGGAGACGACCGGCGTCGCGGACCTGATGGCATCACGCAGTTGCATTCTCCCGTAATGTTGCAAGTTGTACTGGATGGAAGTATTGATGAAAGAAGATCATGAAGTTGATATTCAATATGATGATGCTTTCCACATCGGGTTAGAGTAAAAATTCAACTCACTAGTACCTGCTTCACCAAGCTCACATCCGCTCCAATCGTTTTTGCGAAATGGTAGACTTCGTCGTCAGCTAAGCCCTTCAATTGGCGAATTTCTCTATGCAATGTGCGGATATGCTTCACTGCCTCCACAACATCACCTGTTCCGGCCTCGCCTTTAGTGCGAATCATACATGCACCTTCACCGATCCTGCGCAAGGCCTCTCCGAGGTTACGGCAGCCGCATACGAAGGGGGTTGTGAACCTTTGTGGTAGATTTGGGGTTGTTTTCTTCAAAAATATTATCAGCAATGAGTTGATCTTCATCATACTTAGTCAAAAGCAAACTACGTGGTCGACAGCAGCGTCGTGAAATAATCATTACAGCCCGATATGATCGATGATCTGTTCAAGACCATGATTGCGGCGTGAAATAATTATTACACCACGCCATCGTGAACTTTCATAAGACGAGTAGAATTGCTTTATTAAGAGTAAAAGTACTTCGTCTTGTCGATATGGTAATCGGTATCTGCGATAGTCAGCACCTCAGATTCGTCAATGTAATCGACGCCAATAGCCTCAAGGACTTGTGCTTCCACGAAATGCCCAATTCTAACCTTTGCCATCACTGGGATTGATACCTGAAAGAGAGTGTCGTGTAGGTGTTGATATGCTGAGAGAGCAAGAATCTGAAGTACTTTTCGAATTTGAAGTTGAATACTCGTAAACTTGAAATAAGCGAGTTGATGAGAAAATAAAGGAAGGGACCTCTATGAAATTTATGCCCCGGGAGATCCGTCGATCGTTATGGCAGTCGCGCGCGCAGCGCGCGAAAGTTTTTGTATCTGCGCGTGGCGCTGGAGATCGGGCGCGCGGCGCCGCGCAGCCGATCTCCAGACCCTCTGAGCAAGGAGTAGCACCTTCTGGGCCAGACAGAGCACACAAGCAGTACTTTGGGGCTCTGGAGTGGGGCTCTCAGCCAGAACCTTTCCGTTCAGGAGGATTCCCGGAACCCAAAATGCAGCGGCGACCCCCCCCTGGAACCCGGCTGCGCGCCGCCGCGCAGCAGGAACCCAACAAACGAATCGCCATGCAGCCTTTGTTTCCTCTTCGTTTCATTAGTTGGGTTCCTGCTGCGCGCCGCCGCGCAGCAGGGTTCCAGGGGAGGCCGCCGCGGCACTTTGGGTTCCCGGGGTCGTTCTTAAAGGAAAGGGCCCATCTGGTACTCAGAGAGCCCTTCATACAACCCAAAGCTGAAGGAAGCTCCGCCTTCCCTCTAGTCGGTTTGTGGCCGCGCGCAGCGCGCGCGGAAATTTTTATTCGTGGCTTGTGGTTTCCAGGATGTTGGAATCCGGCTGCGCGGTGCTGTTTCCAGGATGTTGGGAAGCTGGAGATCGGCTGCGCGGCGCGGGTCCGCTTCTTTATTTATTTGGCTACTCGCTTATTTCAGTTTTTCGAGTATTCGAAAATTTTTGATTTGAACTTGAATTTCTCAAAAATTTTCGATTTTATTCTATTTTAATTGAATTCCAATCCTTACGAAGAGATTGAATATGACTCCAAATATTTCAGTCTGAAGTTGTTCGTTAGACGTTGGAAATAAAATAGAAATTCAAAAACCTCGAATTTTGCATTTTTAGACCATGGGCTTTTGAATCCAAATGTTAAAAGCCATAGTGTTTTATATGAAATTTGATGCTAATGCTAATGTTTTGGATCAAAATAAGTCCCTTAGGAGTGAGAAAATCGACGAAATTCAACGACCTCGTGGTTTTTGTTTTCTCAGCGTGGCGTTTCCAGATAAAATCTAGCACCACTAATGTTTCATATTATCACTTTGGATTCATTTTTGTAACAAATAATTGAAGAGCGGTCAGTAGATTCACCAGAAATTGAATTTGATTTTTTGGAGATAAAATCAAAACTTCTTGGATTTAGCGAAATTGAAAATTTGAAAACCAGCAAGGTCATGATTAGAAAGTAGGTGCCTAACATCCTGGTGCCCATCAAGAATGGGTATCTACTCAAAGACAGAGCGACTGACTTTGAAGAGCAAATCAAGGGTATTGCAGTACAGCTTTCATAATCTCCTTGATCATTTGGGGGTCACTGGCACGTGCCACTCCCTTGTCTTTTCGGATATCTGCCGGGATACGTTCCAGGGCCATGACTGCACATGCACCGGCTGCTTCTGCGATTTTGGCTTGTTCGACATTCATCACATCCATGATGACGCCGCCCTGAGGATGGTGTTAGTAGAGGGTCTTGGATTTGAAGGGAAGAATTGCGTCCAAGGTGGAGCTGGAGGTCCTCAGAAGATCAGTATCATAGGCAACATGTCAGCACAAACTCATGCTAGAGGTAATGATCATCAATCACAATCAATAGTACCTTAAGCATCTCAGCAAGTCCAGTCTTCAATTTGCGAGTGCCTTTCTGAGGGGATTTGCTTGCGTGGCCATTGCCATTTGCATGATGCCCATTGCCGTTGGCAGCATCAGCTTGACCACCTGCGACCATCTTGTTGCTCTTCAAAAAGAACGACAAGAAGAGAGAGAAACAAGAAGGGAGTTGTCGTGAAGAAAGGGGTAAAGATGTGAAAAGTGGACTATAAAGCTAATGAACTATTATAATTCGTTGGTGTAGAAGTGAAGATAACTTGTTCAAGCTCACTTAGCTAGAAATTAGCTGAGTTGAGGATAGTTGAAACTGAAATGTCACAGAAAACGCTCGTTCGAAAAAGAGCAGGGGATTTGTAAATGGAATCTGCTTCGTCCGGTTGCCTGGGTCATGGTCAAAGCGAAATCATCATCGTCAGGTGTTGTGATGTCTTCAAGAACCACGTCTTGCTCTCCTCGGTTGTGATGATCATACAAGGCTTCAGTTCTAATTCTTATGAGTATTGTTCTTCATCTCTTTCTCGTCTACTCGTCATGTCGTGAGTCAGCCTACTTGGTTTGCTATCAAAGCCAAAAGCTGATAAGCAGGTGATCGCAAACACAACAACTTACAAAACAGTCTCGAGGAAATCCTCCTTCCTCGTCTGGTTCTTCCCCTCGTTCTCTATTAAGGAGGTTCTCCTTCTCTTTACACGATTATGAGTAGGAGCACAGTACTTGTGCATGAATCTCCGTCTTTCGTTTTACTGTTCATCAACTGGAACTACTGGCCTTTTTTATGATCGACCTCGACAAAATTGATACTTTCAGAAAACTCACGACTGCTCACCGTGCATTCTCTGCTTTCGCATTCAAAAACTGATAGATAACGTCAAACAAGAGCTACTCATTCAAGATCACGATCAACTCCTAAACACTTCTAGCATGATACGCATACAACAACTCCTCATCTCTCCGACCTGCTATACCGTGCCAACGCCTCGTCTTCCAGAAACGAACTCCTCATCTCTCCGACCTGCTATACCGTCCCAACGCCTCATCCTCCAGAAACGAATATCCCTCCAAAAGCTCGTCATAGAACGCGTTAAGTTGCTTGTTATGCCTTACAAAGTGTGCATTCTCCTCAAACACAGCAGGATCCACGCGTGCATCCGGTTTCACTGCCCTATACACAGCTCCCAAAGCGCAGAGATTTGAGGCGTTTTCGTGAACCATGATGTCGGTTTGAAAAACGTCCGCTAGTATCTGCAAAAATTGAGCATTTCGTGCCCCTCCACCTGCAACTGTGATTCGGCGTAAACGAGGTTTCCTCGTAGTGCCTTCTTCATCTGCTTTCTTGGGTAGAAACACAGAAGCATGACGTCGCATTGCTAATGCACGACCTTCTAGAACGGAGCGACAAAGCTTGGCACGGGTGCTGCTGCTACTGCTTGAAGAACACGTTCTTGTGCTGCCCTCTATCACTTTCTCTTCTGGAAGAAGATTCCATGATGTTGAAGATGAGGATGTCGCAAACATTCCAGGTACTGTTACTACTTCTCCTCTTCCATCTTCTGCCTCATCCGGTGACATCATTTCGTCCACTAGCGTCGATGAAGTAGTTTCTTCAGTACAACAACTGCCGCTCTTCTTGCTAAAGATCTCCGCTTCAGTCCATTGTGTCCCAGCAAACTGCTTTAAAGGCGGACAGATCTCGTCCACAACAGTGAAGAGACCGACAAACTTATCTCCTACCCCTTTAATACGACCACTAGTACCTCTAGTACCGCCGGATGCATCATCAATTATGCTAGCAACACCACTTCCTCTACCGCCGGATGGTGATGTATCATCAATTATGCTAGCAGGGACCACAGGACGAGGTGCTGCTTCCTGCACTAAAAGATCAAACTTTGCCCATGCCCTCGAAGCCAATTGCGCGGGCGTCATTGCATCATCCCACTCATCGACGTGGCTGATAGAGGGAGAGCTCGACACCGCGACTTCTAAATTCTTACTTCTGGACCGCGCTCCAGGTGACGAAGATGTGGTGGAAGGGGTAGAGCGAATTTGAGGGATTTCGAGTTCCAGTGAGGGAGCAGTAGGATCGACGGGTAGTGATGTTGATGGTAGTTCTACTTTCTGTTCTTCTATTTTTAATGCTTCTTTCTTCTTGTGGTCCTTCGTTAGAGCTTGTCTCCCCTAATATTTATCTTCCCTGTGAAAATGATCCTTCAAACATACTTATGCGCGTCAGTATCTCCCTTCTTTTGCTGGGGCGCATATGAATGTCTGAGGGATGTCTAGTACAGGGATGGATTAGGAAAAGCCTTAACTTCGCTGCATCTTCAATTGGTACAAGCTCCAGCTCCTCTTCGCGGCCTTCCTTTGATGAAGACACCTGGCGAGGCTGAGCAGTCGTCCGTGGATTCGCAAGCATATCTCTCACAGTTTTCCTGCAAATATCTCCGTTTGAATAGCACAACATCGCAAAAAACCTCCCGGGTAGCACAGGATGAGGGAAGATGTGGCCATAGGGTGGGAGATCTATGGCGAATCTGGAACATCCTCCGTTTAGGTCCTCAGTGTCTTTAGGTTTAGTCAAGGCCTCTGGCAATAGGAGAAGCAGTGTATCCGATGTTCCCAAAGAGATCACAAGTTCGTCTTCTGCAAAAAGCTGTGCTCCGACAATGGCTGAACAGTTGTCGCCTGTCCATGGCAAGACCGTGCATTTGTCGCGGTTGAAGCCGTACTTTTCTGCTAAGTAGGGTGAGATCTGATACTGGGCGGCTGGGTTGTAGGAAAGGGAAGAAGAAGATGAAGATGTTGATGACGTGGTTATCGTTGTTCTATTAGAGGTAGGTTTTTGGTGCTCGCTTACCCCGCTTGTTATGCCTTTCTCCTCCTAAGGGAGAGAGGCATAAAAAGCGGTAAGAAAAGCACCTTTAACCTACCCTTAATTCTAACGATATCTTCTTCTTCACTCTCTTGCACCGTGGTCTCCTTGTTCTCTCCACGTGGTCGTGGATTCGGTGGTGTCAACAATTCTTTCGACGCAATCCCCAAATGCTCTACCACCCTTGCATCCCACTTCTTCGTATGCAGATTCAATATCGACATACCAGCCGCGTCCGACACCTCTATTGGCAAGGCTAAATTGCCAGTGCAAAGACCACATAGGAAGTTGCTCACTAGCTGGACACGAGTTAGTTGATGCTGATCCTTCTCTTCGTCCTCACTGCATTTCAATCTCTGCTGCTCTACCTCTACTAATATCTTCTTCGCCTTTTTTGCTACCTCCTTAGCAATCTGCAGTCCACTGAATCGTTCGTAGGCTCTCGAACCTGTCATTTGCGTCAAGTTTTGCCAGCCAAAAGCAGCTTCGAGATTTGCTGCTTCTGTGGTTGTGGACATATCCATCCAAATTGGAGCCGTAGTGCGGTAGAGCATGGGCTCGATCCAGCTTGTTAGACCAGTCTGTGAGGTTGCACTCCTCAATGAAGACGAGGAGGCGGATGGACCACGACTAGTGAATGGTTCCGGTATTTTTGGTATAGCCTGAATTGGATCATAAGGGAAAACAAGAAGAGAACCCTTTTTAGGATCAAATTCAGGCTATACCAAAGACCAGAACCTCCATACAACTTCTAGATTCATCTTGTTCGCGCACCCGATCATTCAAATACACTGTTCCATGTTGTTGCGCTGACCCCGTCACCCGTATCACGTTCGCAAACGAAAACGCTTTCGAATCTCCACTATTCAAACCCAAGTTCCGCAACTTGGTCAGACATAGCTCAAACGCTTCCACCCACAGCAAAACTGGCGTGAAGAATTCGCTACTCCCTCCTGGGTTGATCACGCCACTATTAGAGCTCTCGCTAATTCATCCCTGTGGCAATCCCTCAACAATATGCCACAGTATTCCCCTTGTATGGGGGTGCATATTGTTGAGGGATTCCTATAGAGATGGATTAGGGGTAGCCTTAACACTAGTAGTTTCGTACTCGGGGAAGTCCTCCTCGAAATTCACGCTAGCTTCAGCGACTAGGCGGAAAGGCGAAACCGCTTCGGCTAAAACGGCTTTGCAAGATTGTGTCGACAGATCGAAACCGAGAACGAGCGGAGCGGAAGGGCCTGACGAGGAGTCTCCTGAGGACAGATCGAAACCGAGAACGAACGGAGCGGAAGAGCCTGACGAGGAGTCTCCTGAGGACCCTCCAGTGGTCGTCTGAGGAGGAGCGACGGACGGGAGAGACATTTGCTTTTTTTGAGGGTCGTGACAGATCCTTCTGGTTAGGTGGGCAGGGACGAGCCACTACTCGATCTGAAGAGATTTTCCAAAAAAAGCATTAGCACTCGAGGAGCTCCAGAGCGTCGTTCTTTTGTGCAAGATGAACAAGTTCGACAGTACAAGAGAGCACGCGACCACAAATGGCCCTCCTCGGTACGAGAGAGAGCAAGCGACCGAGGAGGGCCATTTGTGCAGTCTTCTACCACCGGGCGCTCTTATGGCCCGTTTTTCCTGGACGAGGAGCATTAAAAGCCACCTCGCAGAAATAAATCTATTACAGTTCCAGTTGCCCATAATAGATACTCATTATCCCGGTCAGTGCGAGTCATTTTGACTCGGACGACATCGGATATCGTTATTACTTTTTCCATCAATAAATACGATGAAACATCTATGCGTCTGTTCTTGTATTGAGATAAGTTAGCGTGGTAGCAAAAACTGACTTGAAGTGTTCTGGAAACTACTTGTAGGTCGAAGAGTGCTTCTAACAGTCTAGCAAAAATCAAAGACTTGGACATGGATTTCGTCTTCTCCTGTTTTTGTTTATATATTCTCGATTAATATTTGGACTTGGTGAAACGAAAAAATACTACTCCATCTGCTTTATTGATCAAAAATAACGTGGCCGGCAAATAATAACATGAAGAAAGCCTCCCAACATACAATACCCCCGCAAGTATTCATCTTCTGCCTGGGCCATGCGTAGTTAATTATAAAAAGCGACTTCTTCAACGTTCATAAACTTTCCATCTACACCCTCTTCATTCCTGCTGCGTCCTAGGCGTAACCCTCCCTGAATTCGCACCACTTCCTGACGAACTACTATTTCTATTTTCTTGGTTCATCACGACTTTTGTCCCACTGAAACCTACGAAAGCACTACTTGGTGTGGCTCCACTCCCACTTCCTGCTCGTGGCGTAGCCCCCGTGCTTCTACTCAGGTGTTCCTGCACTCGCATAGACAAAGACTCAGCTTCTTGTTCGAGCTTTTCTTGTTGCGAAACGATGTCTTGCACTGTTCGCGGCTTGGCGTATTGCGTTTTCAGGACAGATTGGAGCCTCGCAAGCTCGTCTTCCTTCAGCTCCGTCACCTTAGCGATCTCTTCATCACGTTCATCCTGAAGCCGCTTGTTTTCGCGTTGCAATTCCTCTGCGAGTCGGTTCTTCAGCTCCAAAGCTTCTTTGAGGGTTCTGCGTTCACGTTCACCAGCGTCACGCGCTGCTCAGGTTAGAGTTGTAACTGGGGTGGACGTGGATGTGCTGGAAGAAACAACTAATCGTGTTAAAATTAATTTTCGGTAGTTGCTGGTGTGTGATAAGAAGTAGTCCGTCAAATTTTGTCTTTATCCGTAACTTCAATTCTCGCTTCTGCTGCTCCAACTCGTGCTCCATGCGTTTTCTGCTCACCGTGGCCTGATCCAATTCACTCAAGCAGTTCTGCTGTTTGACTTGTGCTTCGTGGCGGGCATTGGCGACCTCGGCGGTTGCGAGTTAGATGAGAAGATAGAGATCATGGTCATTATGAGTCATAAAGAACAAGAATAATCGGAGAACAAAACTTCGTCTTCTTTAATCTGTGTGTACCTAACCACTTGTTAAGTAGAAAGAATGAAGATCAAACATCCCGCAGGCACCTCCTCGAACAAAAGATGAATCTGTAAAAATCTTGCATAAAGTTCCTGTTCCCTTTCTCTCGCCAATTCGAGCTCCTGCTCTAATTTCTGCGATCTAGACTCCCATTCCTTCTCCCGCTGCGTCAAGATTTGATTGCTGTCCTTTCGGATATCTTCAAACATGCCTTCCCACTGTCGATCTCTTTCTGCGAGATCATGCGCAAATCGCTGTTGGAGTTTCTCCGCTTCTTTGAATACTTCTTTCATCTGTTCTTTTACTGGTTTCACGGCTTCGGTTTTCGCCAATTCCACTAGGACTTCACCCTCCTGCCGCAATTCCGCTTCACGGGCTTCCCAATCTTCGGCCTGCTGCTCCAGAGATTGCAGACGGAGCTGCTGCTGCCTGGTAGGGTTGGAGTAAAGAAAGGCAGAGTGGGTCGCTGCATCAGTCTCGTTTTCATTTTATAATATATTAGAATGATGGATAGGGCTGCCAGCTCCGGGATGGGATGAATCGGATGGATCGGATGGACTTCCCACCATTTCCAGTAGGATCGGAAGATCTAAGGGGGCCCATCCGATCCATCCAAGTCCATCCTTCTACATCCGGTCTATAAATTATTCTAATATAAATATTTCTATTTCCTTTTCTATCTCGTTTGAAATTCAATGGCATGTAGTGGAGAGACACAGAGCCAGCAACACTAGCACCCTCCCACGCACCCCGGGGTCGGGGGCCCGACAAACGCGGGCAGCTTCATGTTTGTCGCTGTCTGCGTGCCGGGTCATCACTCAGAGGCGAGGAGTGGTGGCAGCCTACCTAAACAAAGCGTGGAAGCCTACCTAAACTAAAGAGCTTTAAGCCCGAGAAAATACAGCAAACAGAAAAACTAAGACCCCGCCCAAATGCCCCCCGAATGCGAGCGGCCATACGACACAAGAGAACCTGCTCCGCAGGCAAGTCCCTAGGTGCGGAGTTCCTCAGCTCTATCCCGGTGCATCCAGCCACCATAATGGGCGCGCCGCTGCGTTTTAATTTTTGCCCCGTGGGTTTTTTCCAGCGCGCTTTCCGAGCGTCAAGCGTACGCCTCACACAACTAAGGCGCCTGCGTCGTAGTTCAAGCAGTTCAATCGAAAGAAAAACCACAGCGATGCGCCTTTAATAGGTGCAACCCCTAGACAATACGCAAAGCAAGAGGGCCACCCAGACGTTGCCAACGCAAGCCGCAGAGGTTGCAGGCGGTCGCCCAGGCACAACACGATAGCGATGATAATACTGCGCAAACCAGGCAGCTTCGTTCTCAACCGTTTGGATGCAGTGAAGAAGAACCCAGCTTAGGACGGCGGAGGCATGGGACGCGACGTCTTCAACCCCATCACCCAAGTTGGGGGGAGACCTGCTTCAAAGGCTCCAACTTGCGGCCACCAGCATTGGGCTCGCCGGCGTTCGGTTGGGCATTCTCGGTCTGGATTGCACTGGCCACCAGTCCCCACGCCTTCAGCCTGGGGCCCGCAGATCGTCGCGCAGCAAACGGCGTCGCGCCCAAGCTGCCTACTCAGCTCGGTTGACCGTTCAGCCCACCGAGCCAAAGCCCGTCGCAGCATCCATGTCCTAGCTCACCGCAAGCGCGAGTGTACAGAGATACAAGACTCACTTTAGACCAAGGCGCACCTACCTAAGCCAGCTCGCTCCCTCGCTTCGCCGAGTCTGCGCGCTGCGCGATCGAATACGACCAGGAGCGCGCTCAGACTGGCAGCCAATCGCAGCGAAGCCTGCTCTGCAAGTTCTTGCTTGCCAAGGGTGGCGCAGCGGCGTCGCGCTGGCGTAGATCCGTCGACTGTGCCGCGCCAGCAGTGACTGACCAGGCGCCAAGATGGACTCGGCAGGCCCTACCGAGGTGGAGACTACCGACACACTCTAGCACCGAAGAGAGACCAAAGCGAGCGAGTGGCCTTTGTTTTCTTCTCTTTCGTCGTTGCTCTTCTGCCTCCAGCCTTCACTGTATGGCTGCCCCTCATTCATTCGCGGCGCTGACTCTCCGCCAAGCAGCAGCAACGAAAACAATCCAACGCCAACGGTGGAACGGTTCCACCCCCTGACTTCTTCCATCAAGAAAGTTCATCACCAGCACAGCAAGCATCCCGAGAAGAAAGAAAACCAAAAGACGCCAATCGTAAAACTTGCCACCAGCGTAGCTAGCCACTCAAGAAAACAGCAGCGCGCGGTAGCTGAGACGCGGAGGCGGACCCCCAGAAACAGCCCTGCCGAGTAAGCTTTGGCAGAACAGCCTTAGCCATCGAATCCAGCTACAGCCGCGAGGCTTCTCGCTGCGTTCTTCGAATTATCAAAAAGCTTGCGCCAATCTGTATCCTTCGAAAACATTGCCAGCCGTAAAGTGGTTACGTGCGGCGTCGGCGATGCTGCTCGTAATAGTGTTAGTCAGTGTTAGTAGTCGGAGTAGCTCAGCCACCCATGAGGCACAAGCCAGAAATCAGACGAACAAGGAGGAGCAGAGGCAGAGAGTTCTGGCCTGGAGCGTTTTGCTTGGTATGGTTTCAAGTTCAATGCTTGGCATGGTTTCAAGTTCAATGCTGTCAGCCGCGAGCAAATCGCGCGCCACTTGTTGCCAGTCTTCCAACCAGACACAAGACCGCAACACCCTGCGACTTTTATGGTGGTCGCCATACATAGAGAGGCGGCGCAGCTCTGGCGAGCAGATCTGTGGCTAAAAAGCCTCCAGCACCTGAGGCACCTGTGGTAGAGGTAGCTCTTGCGCCAGCCTTGCTAGCTGCGGCGACCTGCTCAGGAAGTCGGCGCTTTTTGTGAAAAAGTCACGCCACACGCCAGACACGGCGCCACCGGTCCGGCTGTCCTCTGCGTTTCCCATCTGCATCACCGCAAAAGTGCAACCCGCTGAATTTGCGCAAAGCCGCTGCGCATGCTGTTGCGGCTTTGCAAAACACGAGAAGCCTGCGCTCGTAGCTCGCTGACTGCGCGGCCTCTTACATAAATGAAGCAAGCCCCGCCGCCCGCAAGGGTTTACCCGCTGGCTTACATCTCGCCAATATATGGAAGGGCGTCGGGGGCGCTGCTTGCATACCACCCGCCGCCCTGCACCGCTCGGCTTAGTTGCCTATTACCAAACCCACGACTTCCACCCCGAGTGCATCCCTGCAAGCCATGCACGGCGGCCCCAAGTCCTGCGAACCCTTCCCCATTTTCCAGATTGAATGAAGAACAGCCCTGGAAAGTAAGACACTCGAGCAACGAGGCCCAGGCATCCAGCTGGGGCGGACCTGTAGAACAGCGCGGCGACCTGCTACGTCACCTGCCAAGCCAAGCGGGCCCTGCTGTGGGTGTGGTTCTTACGCGGGGCCGGCGTTTGCGAACCGCCGCGGACTCGACTTGCATCCTTCAGACAGCGCCGCCCCACTGCCTGGCCGCGCCCAGCGCGCTCCTCACTCTTATGCTGCGCAACAACTACCGAAGCCGCCGGCGGGGTCGCCAAAATGTGGCCGCGAGTTGGGCGCCGCACGGCAGCCAGACGCCGAGCCCAAGAATCTGCCAACCCGCGCGAGGGCTGCCCGCGCGTCTCGCAGGGTCTTGTCGTGGAGTCCTCACCCTCACGGGCCTTGCCCCTGCCTTGCTTTCACCTTCGCGTCGAATATTAGACTTCTATGCAAGCACACCCAGGCAACAGCGCCGCAGGGCTTGACGCGTTTCCGCTGGCACGGCCACCGGCCTAGAGTGGCGTGCCGGTTGCGAGCAGAAATTACGCTAAGAAGTAGGACACTGTGGGCGCCATCGTGAGTACCTCATATCATCCGCTTTCGCTCTTGCTTCTTCTTCGAGGCCTGCAGCCTTCGCCATGGCTTGTCTATACCTTTCCTCTAAGGTCGAAACAGTTCCGCGAAGCTCCGCCAGCTGAACTGCATACTCTGCTAACTGCCTCTCGTGATCGGTTTTGCTCTTGATTTCCACTTCCTTCGCGATAGAAAGCTCGCGTGCAGAAGATGAAAGAGGTGACGATCAAAAATTTTCAACGAGGAATGTAGTTGCTGCGTGCTCTGACGTAAAAGTACAGAAATGCATTCTCAGCACCAAGGACTAAGAAGACTAAGGAGGTGGACCCATATTTAGAAGACCACAATGCAACATTACATACAGAATTTTACAGAAATTCTATCAACACCAAGAACGAGAATCCTCTCCGTAAAAGCTGATCTTCCATGTTCTTCAGTTTGTAACTGAGCGACTTCCCAGCTTCGTCGTGCGACATCTTTTTAAGACCATCAACAGCAGTTTGGATCTTTGCACGAAAATCCTTGATGAGCTCCGACATCGTCTTGGTAGTCGGAGACGCTGTTGAGCCTGCCCTTGATGGCGATGAACCACCAGCACTCTGCTGGTGTGTGAAACGCAGTATGGCGTCCTTGTTTTCCTCTAGCGCAGGAAAGCCCGCAACGATGGCGCTGAAGTGAAGTTGTAGTTGTGAGTAGTTGGTGGATGTTGATTGAGATTTCTCGTCTTTGTTGAACTAGAAGGTGAAGGAGGTCGTGCAGCTGCAGAGGGAGCAGGAAAGTGAAGGAAGAAAATTATACACAAAGAACGTATACATAAACATAGATACGAAGATACCACCTAACAGCATAATCAAAAATTTCACAAGTACCTCAATATCCTCTCGATATTCAGTTCTTGCTGCCTTGCGTTCTCCTTCGCTTTCTCCAAATTCTGTTTCAACACGTTCCTTTCGTTCGTTACAACGTCGAATTGTTTATTCACTGCTTTCTGTTGCGTCAAGATGTCCTGATACTGTTGCTTATGCTCCAAAACCGTGTGAGTGTGCGTCTCCAACTCTTGTCTCAGCATCTGCTTTCCGCGTTCCTGCTGCCGTGAATGCTGAGCTATGGCCTGTTGGAGGCCTTGGAGTCTAGTTTCTAGAGCGTCCCGGAAGAGGGCTTGAACTTCGTCGGCGACGGTGGGGAATGAAGACAAGATGTGGTGGTGGATGCTGGGAGTTCAGTAGATTTTTTACGAAAGAAGAGAATCAAAAGTTCGTCGAAAAAAATATGAAGGTTTATGTTCTTGCACGAAGTATCGCGTGGTGATTGATGAATACGATCACTAGATGAGAAGACAAGAAGTCTATTTACTTTTTAACAACATCTTTAGCACAGAGATGATCCCACCCATATCTTTTTCAAAAATCATTGTGGAAGCGAAGAAGAAGTCTACTTTTTGTATTATCACAGAAATGGACTCAACGTGAGCCATATCTTCTTCAAAAAGGCTAGCTCCCGTCTCGTACTTTCCGCGAACAACTTCGTCGTTTGCTGTGCTTGAAGCAACAAGTCCACTGCTCTTTTGCCCACCGCTTGATCTCTAGCCCTGGCCTTCTCCAATTCACTTCTTTCATCCAGCATTTTGATGATTTTCGCGTCCTTCTGCGCCAGTGACTGTCGTAGTCGATCCGTCTCTGCGTCAGCCGCAGATGTTTTGGAGAGTAGGCGTTCTGTCTCTTCTTCAGCCCACTTGAGTTTGCTGCCAACTGTCCTCTCTATGTCGTCCATCAAGACACCACGCTCCTTCTGCAAGAACTCGTCTTTGATCGCGATCCGCCTCTTCAGTTCGTGCGTCTCGCGCTGGAGCGCCAGGTGCCCTTGCTTCTCGTCTTTCCATTTAGAAACAGGTGGTACTTCTTCTTCCAAAAATGAAAATCACTCTAATAAAAAAACAGAAGTCTTCGACGAGGAGCAAGAAGTGTTACTTACAACACATCAGATATCAACAATGTCATGCATAATTTTCGTTGAAGAGCTACCAGAAGAGGAAGAGAAGTTGTTGAAGATCTTCTCAATCAGAATCAGCCATAACCAATATCCCCCTCAGTCGCGTCAAATTGCTGTTCGCCTCTTCCAATGAAGCGGAGAATATCCTCTTGCTTTCCTCCAAATCCTTCTTTTCCGACGTCACCTTCCTCACAGCCGCACGCAAAGCTAGTGCTTCATCCTCGACTAGTTTGCCCTTCTTCACAGCGTCATCACGTTGCGCTTCTAGTTTCTTCAACCCGGTCCTCACGTGCAACAAAGTGTCCTGGAACTCCTTTTGCTTCTTCTCGTCCGACGCCTGTAGTTGCTGCAACTGCTTCTGGTACTGCTGTCGGAGGCTCTGTTCGAGTTCTAGCATGCCACCTTGGTGGTGCCTTCTGGTCTCCTCTAGGATTTGTTGATGGCTCGTGATGGGCATCATCTCAGACAACTTCGCGAGACCAAGATTATGTTCATGAAGCGTTTTCCTCTGCGCTTCAAGCATCTGCTGTTCGCTCTCTTGATGTTTTGCTCGTTCTTCGTCCAGGAGGCCCTGGAGACGCTCGCACTCTGAAGATGAAGATTTGTCGTCCGTAATTGTCGTGATACGGAGAAGAACGAACAGTCGTCCGTGATTGTGATAGGGCGAAGAACGAACAAACTATGCAGCAGGAGCATAGACTTAGACATAGACTAGAAGTAGAAACAAAGAAGTTCTTGTTGAAATCGAAAAAGAGAAACAACTCGTCATCGAAGACTACATCATGGTAGAGTTTGTGGTGGAGGGAGCCAACCTACCTAGGAAAGATAGAAAAAGGTAAAGGTATATACATGGTATAGTGACGTCATCGTCCAAGACTACATTATAGCATACTAGTGGTAGTACCAACATCCTTTCCTTTATACGCTTCTTCCAAATCTGCGATGATTTTTTCCGTTCGTTTCCTTAACTTCTCCTTCTCATTTTTCGTCGCCTTAATTAGAGCCCTCCGCCCCCCTTCATCCCTGTGGAAATCCCTCAATTGTATTGGGCGTCAGTATCTCCCTTGTATTGGGGCGCATATGTTTGAAGGATCTTCCCTGTAATAGAGGAGATGAATAATTAGGGGAAGGAGCCTTAACTTAAGCTTCATGGATATCTCGCGCAAACTCTCCACATTCTCCTTTTCCTCGAGGTCCATGAGTCTCTCGAATTTCTCCCCAACGTTCACATACTGGTCCCGCAGAGTTTGTCGTTCTAGCTCCGACTGCTTGAGGAGGTCTTGGCTTTGCTTTAGCTGCGTCGAAATCGAGTCGGAATGCTTGGAAACTGAAGTTGTGGTCATGTTGTGTGGAGGTTGTAGAGTGGAGGTCTAGAGGATAGAATAAAGGTCAAAAATTTTTAGAATTTCAATTTCTTCATCTAGCGGTTCTTCGTTGGAGGTCGTCAAAAATAAGAAAAGTACACGTTATCACTTCTTGCTGAATGTTCTTCCTTTCATCCTGCAATTTCTCCAAGCGTCTTTCAAATGTCGTTATCTCCTGTTTCAATTTCCCATTCTCGCTTTCGACCAACTCACATTTTTCATGAGCTCTGCTGAGTTCGTCTTGCATCCGCTTCGTATCTTCCAGCCTTTGCCTCTCCAAAAACTCCCTCTCATCTTTAGCGAGCTTCTCTACGTCCGCGATCTGCTTCTCGAGTCGTTCCCTTTCTCTGCGCTGTTCCACCACAATTGTGCTGGTTTTCTCGAGTTGGCTTTTGAGTTCCGCGTTGTGTTTTTGAAGTGCTGCTCGTTGGTCAGACATAACGCCCATTTTCTCGACAAGTGTGTCGATCTGCTCTTCGCGGAGGCGCTCGAAGGAAGGCTATTCTTAGAAGAAGACGAAACGGCGATTGCGACGATGTTGACAAAGCAATACTTATTTATACCTAGTATAGTCTTCAAAAACGAGTTAGTAGTCAACAAAAAGTAACACTATAACTGAGCATCGCCATAAATTCCATCCCCATCTACTCCTCCACCGCCTCTTGCCAAAGCCAATTGGTCCATGGCACTGGCTGAATTCGAAGGTGCGTGGGTGCTTGTGGTTGACCCTGGCCACATTGCCACATCGTTTTCGGGGAAATCGTCAGGAGGGTGAAGATGCTCCAGCGAGTAGTTCGGTGGAACGGTGGTCAGGGGAATGAAGGTAGGGGAGCAGGAGGCGCAGGCGGGGATCAAGATCGTGTTCTTGCGGGATTCTCATCTTTTTACAACAACTCGATGATCATCTAGTCCTCTGGTACTGAATATATCTACAAGATCATCATCTAGTACAACGAACTAGTACTCGTGGGGTCCTCAAGGTCATCATGAGCTCAAAAACATAATGGAAATGGTTATATAGATTCGCCTCGCCATAAATTTACTTGATCCTTCGCCTCCCGAAGTCGAGCGCAGTTTTCTCGACAAGCTTTTCACCCGTTCATCGTATGCTCGCCTCAACGCCTCATAATGAGCATCGCTGCTCGCGTTGGAGGTGGCTATTCCTGGTGCTAACATCGTCTTACCTTCCCGTCTGAGGCGTCACCTGTGAGGAAGATCAGATGCCGCCGTCAGCCATTCTTTGGAGGACACTCGTCATCTGTGTAACTCACTACTTCTTGTGGCGGGCCTCCTCGGCGAAGTAGAGGTCGTTGATAGTTCTTTTTATACATAGGACGAAGTAGTAGAAGTTTTTTTGCTCCAGCATTGCCAACACTCGGTTTTTCTCTCATGACCAGTAACAAAAAACTTATAGTCTACTTTTTAGAGCAAACTAAAATAACATGGGACGGAGTACCATTTTTGTATAGACAGCACGTTTTGTCTCTTTTGATGTGCAAAAATGCTCAGCACGACTTTGTCTCAACGGTTTGATCCTTCTTTTCCTTCGGAACACGCCTCCTAATTCTTCGGCAGGTATTGGACTGGCACAGCCAATACGCGGACCTGGTGCCACCTATTTTCAGAGGCTGCACTCGTCGCATAATACAAGCAAAAATTGCTATCATGATCATACAAGAAGATGAGTTTGTTATTGTTTGGTGTCGTTTACTTATGTCGATCGTGGAGCTTTTAGTTCGATAGGCCACTACGTGGATGTTCAACAAGGAGCTTCAACATGTTGTACATGATCGTTGTTGTAGCTCATAGTGTAGGTTCTCTTTCATCGTGACTCGTATCTGCTGTAACATGCTCGGATGAATTATCGACAAAATCAAAATGTGGATGATCAAAACATCTTTCATCTCTTGTAGTTCTAGAATGAATAAATTGGTTCTCGATATTGTACACATAGAATAGGGGTTCATCTTTATTTTTCTTGTTGTACTACGTACTACTTGGCGGGCTCAGCGGTCAACTGCAATAATATTCTTCATGATCATTGGTATTGGAGAAGAGAGAATGACAAATTGTGCGTCATCTACTTGTAATAACGTTTTGTAGTACCCGTCGTGTATCTACTTCAAAACTATCGATGATGATGATATTTATTACTGCTTCCTTGTTCATGACAAAAATGTAGGCAGATAATTTCATAGGTTCCAGTTCTACTACTGCGTCAACGTTTACGTCTTCTTGTTACATCTAAGAGTATGACTAATATGATCATCACTCTATTAATGTTTGTGTAGTTCTACCGCTTTCTTTTGGAGTTGCTCTACTTGCTCATCGGTGCACTACCGGAGCCGAAGAAGGTGCGACGCTGTCTGCATGTGACAAAGAAGATACGACGACCCTTTTGATGCTCGTCTGATCATGTTCGGCACAGGTACACTGCATACTAGCAAGAATAAGTCTAAGTTACATCGTGTTAGTTGTTGTACTTTTCTTCATGCAGAAATGGAGTTTTCACTTTTTGACAACATAAACTTGCACTTTAGTATGATCCACTAGTCCCTTTTAACTTGCCGAGGAGCCACTTGCACTATTCAACTGGGCGATGCATGATGCGATTTTCTTCTTTGATTTTTCTTAGAACTGATTTTTTACACAAACACAGTGAATACTTTCACGGACTGACAGGTAAAGCGCACAGGCATATGAATATCAAGTTATTGCAAGTACCTACAGGTCAAAATTTGAGAAGAAGGACGACGTTTTGAAGTTCTACAGCTCTTCCAAGAAATCGACAAACGTCAACGTGGTGTTCTCTTCATCTTTCTTAACATCAATTATACTATGCGTCGAACGGCGTATGACATCCAGTGTCAACACACAACAGTGTGATGTCGTGGGTCTCGTGCTCGTCGCGATTTCGTCGCAGTAACATGCGTAACTTGTTCTGACGAACGATGTTGAGTTCTCTGATAAATTGATAATTCTGATAGTTTGAGTACTAGTTCTAATGACAAAAAATAACATACGTCTTATTCTTGGAAGTACAAGAACTTTACGTCCTGTTCAACATTTTGTTACAACCTAGAAAACATCAAATCTGAACAACGATATTAATCTTTTGATGAAATTGCTGAAAGAAGGAAAAACGATTTTTGTTTGTGCTTAGTTGACGTGCTGCATTTTTGTAGTTCTACTTCTAGTTCTTGTACTTGTAGTATTGACGAGTTCGAGGGAAATATGCTTCAAGACATTGAAATTGATTAAGTACTTTGGTTCTCAGTGGTTGCGCATAACAATCACTCGGCACTCCCAGAGGGAGGAGCCCCAGCGTGACCACAACGAAGAACCAACTTCGACAACTATCCAACACTATCGATTTCTTATTTCTGACTAAATTGCATTAGCTACTCTAGTTCCGAACTAGTTTTACTTACTTGTAGTTGTAATGACGAGTTCTTATAATTTTTTGTTCCGTGGTCGTTTACGTTTACACGTGCTTCTTGAATTGTACAACAAGTTCTGTAGTTCCTGCGCCACCAGAAGATCCGGATTCGTCAACGAAAGATATTACTCGACGTCGTTGTTCTTCTTTCGTGGTGGAGAGAAGATCAAGATGTACAGCATCGACGTAGTTCTACTTATCGTAGCTCACTTTCTACTTTCTCGGTTACGGGGTATGATTTACGACGTGCCTCTGTGCACTTCCTTATTTGTTCTGTGAAGATAATAAAAGCCTTTTCTTTATTTATGCTGAAGTTCATGTAGATAGGTAGAGATTTTTTGACATGATCGCGTTCTCGAGAATAAACGAATAAACATATTTATTACGTGATTTCAGATTCAGAGCCTATACATCACCTTCAGCTCTCTTGTCGATTAACCTCAACGATCATGAGGTATTGATGATGGTTCTGTTTGTTCAAAGCGTAACTCCTAGAGGACGAGGACTACTTTATTTAGCAGTGTAGTTTATTATACTAGTTTTATACGTATAATGCTCGGAGTACGTACTTCATGTTGTGTTCAGTATATATTAAGCAAAACTTCTTTTCAGCGATCTTCACTCGCAAACTTTCCTACAGCTCATCCTGAAAGCAGGACGAGGAGGAACTGCCTGCGGCAGTTGTGGACTTCTCCGAAGATGCCGCAACAGGTGTGCCTGAGGGTGAGTGGAAGTCCTCATCCTTAGCGTCAAAGGCATTTTCCAGCAAACCTATCTTGTCTCCTGTTGGTGTAGTCATCTCCTGGAGCAAGACTTCTACTACGTCATTGTTTTCCTGCTGGAGCTGGACAGCACTGGGATTTTGAAGATCTGTTGTTGTTGTTAGAACAGTCTTTTTACCCTGCTCTTCCACTTCAACTTCTCCCTGGGTCGCACTATCATCACCAGCCTCATGATCTTGTTCCACTTCAATCTCTACTACTTTTACTTGTTTAAGTTTGCCGCCAGGAGAACGAGAAGGAGAATTTGTGCCAGGAGTGGCTGCTGTCGGTTCCACGATGACTGTAGTAGATTCATCTTCTTCATCATCCTCTCCTTCGGATTCACCGTCTGCGTCAACCTGTTGCGAGTGATCATTTACATCACGAGCACGAAGGCTAACACTGTTATCCTCGTCCTGGAGGCTCTCATCTGCCTCGATGAAGGCGTCAAGATTCATGGTGTCACGTTTGGTGCTATTGCCAAGGACTCGTTTCTGAATCGGACTTGTTCCGACGCTGGAGACAGTATGATCGTAAACGACATCAGCGAGATGTTCATCCTCACCTAGGTCTTCTTCAAGTTGTGCTTCTTTGAGGTCTTCTGCGTCGACAGAGGTTGGAAAGACAACTGCTTCTTCCTGCAGGATAGGAGCAGGTTGATCACCATCACCACCTTTGCCTTCTTCTAGTACTACCTCTTTTTTCTGCTCTTGTTGTGGTTCTTGTGCTTCTCCCTCTGCGTGAAGTAGTACGCCAATTTTCTTTCCCACGACTCGCTCCTCTAACAGCTGTTGCTTCAGATGACTTGATGTACTAGCTCCGAGTCCTAGGCCTAATCCGCCCAGCACTGGCGTAAAAGCAGACTCCTGAGGACCTAACAGGTTCAGTTTTTCATCACTGAACGAAGACCTACCACTGTCTCGCAATTGCTGCATGACCATCGCTTTCATACGTCTCTCACGCTTCGCTATCCTGTCGGAGGCTGGAGAGCGAGAACGCGGTGGAATAGGCGAGTCGTGCAATCGGTCTTCCGGTGATCCGTAGTGGTCGTCTTCGGGTTCCTCAAAACTTCCCTCCACCTGCAGCGAATCACGGATCAGCGCTGCTGTAAACCGTTGACTCGTTGCATCAACGGAATCGAAAGGGGATAATTTCATTTCTCCTGCTGCTCTACCTCTTACAAGCTTCGTCCCGATAGGAACGATATGTTCATCTGGTGAAGCTCCTGAAGGTGAAGCGCCTGCTCTTCTACTAGAACCTCCACGTCCTCCTAAAGAAGTAGATGTTATCGTGTTTGTTACGATCTTCTGCCATGCAGCTTCCACTCCTTTGGTCAGGCGCTCGTTATTGATGACAACTTCGACACGACTGACGTCTTCTACTTCCGTAGTTATTGGCACACTGGCCTCTGGAACCGGAGAAGACTCCTGACTCTCAATGTTGTTCTGAGAAGAAAGCGCACCATCGTTTTCTTGCTTCACATCAACATGTGCTTCATCATCCTCTTCCTCGGAAGCGGAGAGGACTTTGCACTCAGCCACAGTTCTCAATCCGGCTTGTGAAGTAGATGCTGTAGAGACCGTTGCAGCTGTAGTTGCTCCGACGGCTCCTGATGTCGTGCTAGTAGTAGTTCCAGTCATCATTTTGAGGTAGTTAGCAGGTGCATCAGGAGGAGCGTAGACCAGTGATTGAGATTGCCTATCACTGGCAGCAGAAGATGAGGCACAAGTTTGAGCATCGACATCAGAAGGAGTTGCGAATGAGGAGACGGGAGTAGTTGGCTCAGCTGCTTCGTGTTCTTCTATGGAAGTAGAGACGAGGTTTACTTTGGACTTTGTTTTTGTGGTCGTCCCAGAAGTAGGCCCTGTAATCGTAGCTGTGCCCGCACTGCTCTTCGACGAACTGTCATTGTTCATCAAAGTAGGAGTTTTACTCCCTCCTGCTCCTCCTCCCGGCGTACTGTTCGACAAAGATGTCGTCCTACTGAGGGCTGCACTGGAGGCACTAACAGCGGGTGCATTAGCTGATGACCCAGTGATGATGTTGATTCCATTCGAGAAGTGCGGAGGTCCTCCTCCTGTTGGTGTTACGCTAGAAGTTGTCCTGGTCGTGTTATGGTGCTGATGATGATAAGATGAACTACTGTCCCGATCCCGGTGAGTTGGCGTTCCAGTGTTGAAAACTGCGTAAATGCCCTTTGTGTTAGAGGTTGCGGCATTGCATTCTTCAGATCATCTTCCCTCACCTCTTTCGTCCTACTGGAAAAAAAGTCAAGGACGATGGTAGTGAAGAATGCAATGTGGTAACCCTTAATTGTGGTATTGCTTCCGCCTCCCGAATTGGTGCTGTTCGATGTGTTCATCAGGTGATCTCGCAGTCTTGGTGGTCGGTACACCTTCCTTGGTGGAGAAGACGTCGCTCCTGCCTCAACAATACTATCGCCATAGGCCGAGGACTGAGACGAGCAAGACGAAGCCGATGAACTGCATGAAGCAGACAAGTTGACACCTGGATTCATCAAATTGTACGCGACGGTCGACGGCGACGCAGGATATTGCACTGAAGACGACGTAGCTCCTGGTGCTGTAAAACTACTACCAGAACTAGCAGATCGTGGCAGCAGTAGCTCTACTTTATTTGCTGATGAAGAGTCTGTGCCTGATGTCGTTGAAGTAGGACCCTGGACTCCTGCTGCTCCATCTACTTGTTCACTTGAAGAAGATACAGCTGAGGACGACGAAGTAGATGTCAACGTCGGAATTTTGTTTTTGTAGTTACTGTTTTTACCTCTACTAGAAGTACCACTACCAGAGAGGGCACCTTGAGGAGCTGCCGGTTCTTCTCCCGATGGCGAACTCGAACTAGCATCCCACGGCTTCCCTTTCACATCTCCACCTACGCTCATGATTTGGTTACTCAACAACAAGGTTTGCACTGTTGCGCGGCTCTTTGTCGAACTTGTTGAAGTAGTTGTGTTTCTGTTGAATGCAGGTTCGACAGCTGTGCTAGTTTGAGCCGTCAGAGCGCTGTAATTCACGCTACTGCCACGGACTGAAGTTGCAGACGATGAACCGGAAGTGAACCTAAGCAGGAGTAGGAGAATCGTAACTTCAAATGTCTGAAAGTACATTCCTGCCATCCGTTAGAGTATCAGTTTCAGATCTTGATGAAGCTTCATGATCTATGACGAGTCTAGTTGTGTCTTCAGGTCATTATAGCGATAGCGAATTGTGAAATAGAAGTAGTACCCAGTCGTCGGTGGCCGCTGCAGGACTGCAGTTGTTGATGATGCGCTGTTTTCTTCTTCCACATCCGAGCTGTTATTCGCAGCTGAACCAGACCCTTCTCCGGTAAGAATCACGGAATTCTTGGTAGAAATTCTCGAGCAAGGCTGTACATTTCCAGATGAATCCGTGCCAACATTTGGTTGACAAAATGCGATAGCATGACAGTGGGCTTCTACCAGTGGAACCCAGGCCGCGCGTTCCAAAGTTTGAGCCCACTTCACTTGCAGCTCCACCGGTGTGAGTACCCTCAACGTCTCTTTTATATCCCGAAGACTCTCCTGCTGCAAATAGATCAACTTATCCAAAAGCAACCGGTGGTCAACTGTTTGTGAGTGGTTGTGTGCTGCAAGGACACTAACAGGTTTTTTCTTACAAAAAGTCTTGTCCCTAGTAGATAGTCCGGCTGCTCGCCTAGACCTAAGCAAATGTCATGTCGTGGCGCCTCTTGTGTAGCTATTAATGTGTACTTTTGAGGCCATCCAATATCATCTAGTACCTCCAGTGGAGAGCTCGTAAAAGTAGTCGCGGAAGAGAAAGCCGAAGTAAGTAAGTAAGTAAGTAAGTAAGTAAGTAAGTAAGTAAGTAAGTAAGTAAGTAAGTAAGTAAGTAAGTAAGTAAGTAAGTAAGTAAGTAAGTAAGTAAGTAAGTAAGTAAGTAAGTAAGTAAGTAAGTAAGTAAGTAAGTAAGTAAGTAAGTAAGTAAGTGCAAGCAGTAGGAGGCGCAATATCCTATAAAAGAACAACTTATGCATTGGGGTGCCCGATACCGATTCAGAACAACTTATAATATACAAATTATTCTACATCTACTCTAAAAAAAATACGTGAGTTTAGCGCCATCTGTTCCTCCTCCATTTTTCTCAAGCCTATGCCAATCTCACAGATGCCTGCTGTCAGTTTCTCGGAGGGGGCAAAGCTCCTTAGAAAGTCCCAGGGCTCGGGCTCCTTAATCGCGTTAGAAGAAGTAGTTCCTGGTAGTGACGTTGCTAGTGATAGTGAGGCAGAAGCAGGCAATGCTGGTGGGAACGCAGGTATGCTGTGTCCTCCTCCTCCTGCAGAAGTTGTTGTAGGTCCACCTGTTATATTAGGAGCACTATTTATTCCAGTCGTTGCAGTAATTGCAGTATTACCTCCGATCTGTTGTTGTTGTTGTTGTTGTTGCTGTTGATGTGCTAGAAGGGCCATTTGCAGTTGGAGTTGGAGTTGAATTTGTGCTCCTGCCTGCTTGTTCTGCTCATTTGCAGCTGCTCCATTCAACTGATTTTGTAGTTGTAATAGTTGTTGCTGCTGTTGAGTCAGATTTGCAGCTGCTATCCGCACTTGTAGTGCTGCAGCTTGTTCCTGCTGTGCTTGTTGCTGTGCGGCAGCGCTTACTTGAGCCATTATCTGTGCTCGAAAGTCAAGCTTATTATCTCCTGTTGTTTGTTGTTCTTGGCTGTTGTTGAATTCAGGAGTAGTCGAAAGGGGTCGCTCTACTAAAAATGAAGGTGGCTTTGGTGCTACGTTTGACGGAGGCGCTGCTGCCATTGGCGTGGCGGTCGGCACTGGCGTCGTTGTCGTGGGCATCGGTGTCGCAGTTGTAGGCATCGGTGTTGTTGTCGTCGTGGGCAACATTGTGGGCATTCCGTTCAGATTTGCACTCATAGGCGCCGTAGACTTCAATGGTGTTGTATCAACAGCTGCGAGGTTAAAAGCTGGTGCCTGAGGATTCAAGCCTGCTCCTACTCCTGGCATAGCAATACTAGGTTGAACACCAGCCGCATTACTCATCATAGCACTGGATCCACCGAACTGGTTCTGATTGGCATTCACCATAATGTTGTTAGTCATCTGCTCCATCATGTTGTTCATGTTCATGTTGTTGACTCCTCCAGCATTTCCAGGAGTTGTTGTGTTCAACATGTTGTTCATCATCATGTTCCCAACAACTGTAATATTCGTGCCAGGAGGAAGAGCAGGCGGCTGTTGCTGTAGCGGATTCATCATATTAGCAGGAGCTGCCATTCCGGAATCAACACTGTTGCTACCCATGTTGAACGATGTCGACATGGTATTGCTAGCTTGTGGATGAAGACTCGGACTCAGATCCATGGTTCCCATCGACGTTCCAGTGGTCACCTGCATGTTAGGTCCACCTCCAGGTTGTTGTAAACCTCCAGGTTGTTGTAACAAATGTGGCTGTTGTAGTACTCCACCTGCTCCCATCATGTTGTTGTTCTGTCGTAGGTTTACAAAGGACGGGTTGTTACTGGTCGAGGCTGCACTAGAAGAGGGCATGATCATCTGAGCAGGATTGTTCGACGCCATTGAACAAGGAGGCATCGGTGGAAGATTTTGTCCGATTCCAGTACTACCGTGAAGATGAACATGTTGATCAGGCACTACTTGTTGGCCCATGTTGAAGCTACTATTTCCGCCAAAATGTTGACGAGCATTTGTTCCAAAAGAACTACTTGCGCCAGAAGTATCTTCTCCAGCTCCTAGGTGCTGATTATTGTATCCAGCAGCCTGGTGCATTTGTTCTTGTTGGTTGTAGAAAGCTCCTCCATTAGTTGTATGAGGCCCTCCAGAGCCACCACCTAGCTGCTGCTCTAAATTGATGATGTTCTTGTTGTAGCCAGTGTTGTTGTAGTCTCCTGCTCTAGTCGTAGTACTTGTTCCTCCTCCTCCATTGTTGTAATAACCTCCGCTAGAGGAAGATGTTGAACCATTTATTCGCTCACCGTGACGAGCTGAAGAACCACCTTTGTAATAATTGCTGTTGTATCCTCCTCCATCACCCTTCTTGTAGTTGTAGTTGTAACTACTATTGTAGTGGTCATTCATCTTGTAGTCATTCTGTTGGTATGAAGATCTACTACTACCGCCCTTGTTCGCTGGCGCTGCAGATGAGATACTACTAGTGCCATAATTGTAAGCATGTTGTTGCCCAGCACCAGAACCAGTATAATTGTTCTTATTGTAACCCGCCGATGATGACGACGAGGAAGAAGCACTAGTACTAGTTGTACCACTGGTGCCATGATAACCGCCAGATGTTGAAGATGAACTACCGTAACCCCCGTTACTTCCGTAGTAGGAAGATCCTCCATTCTTGTTAGTACTTTGCTCTCGTGATCTAGTTTTTCTAGTACCTGGTTCTTCGAGTCCTGCTCCAAAATCTGTTCCAGTGGGCGTCGTTCTCTTACTTCCATTTCCTCCGTGGTTGGACTTGTAGGATGTGGTACGCCCTTTCGTGGAAGTCGTGTTCATCTCCGCATGATGTTGATCTTCTGCTAGTGATGGTAAATCACGGTCACCCGATTCTATTGATCCGATGCTTCGCGCTTTCAACTTCTTGACACCCGCACCAGTTGGAGTTGTATTGTTTGAAGTACTGTTATTACTACTACTACCCCTGTGCTGTTCTCTACTACTTCCACTTTTTGTATTTTCCCCACGGTCACCTCCTCCTCCTCTGGAGGAGGAATTTCTCTCTGCTCCATTTGCTGCATTAGTGCTGTTGGTCGTAGTATCTGCAGATGAAGCAGATGAAGACGAAGATGATGACACAGAAGCTCCAGCAGCTGCACCTGATTGTTGATTCTTATTCGCACCATGGTATCTGCTGTTCTTGTTTCCACTAGGAGCATTAACGCCATGAAAGGAGAAACTGGTGCCCGAGTTGTTGGCTTTGGTACTATTGAGGCTCTGATTCTGTTGGAACAGATTGAAATATTAGAGCTCTCCCTTCTTCATCCCTGTGGAAATCCCTCAAGCATGTGCGTCAGACAGTATCTCCCTTGTATTGGGGCGCATATGTTGTTTGAGGGATCCCTATAGAGGAGATGGAAGATTAGGGGAAGCCTTAATAATGGTAGAAAGACATCATGCCGTCAATATCTAGGGGCGATCCTGGACCGGAGAGAAGCCGACTGCTCCTGCGTGCTCCAGCTGTGGATGACGCTCCTGTAGGGGTCGCTCCCGCGGCAGACTTCGCTCCTTCAGTGCTTGTTCCACTCATTTGAGTATTAGAAATGGACAAGAGGTGGATCCGCATCAAGAATCCGAAAGTACTTCTAGTCGAGAGGAACAATCCTGTCTCAAACCTATGAATGTCGACTCAATCAAACACCTTGTAGATTTGTGGAGTACGCGCCAACGCAGGAGAATCAAGGTCATGCGTCCTCGGAAGGATTTTATTAGGCAAACCTTGTAGTTGCTGACTTTTGTCCATAACTTTCTTCCCTTCTGCATCTGCATTCTTGTATGCTGCAGGCGATATGAGGCTCACGTGGTCAGCGACATTGTAGGACGGTTCTTCACTTTCGCGAGAACTGGCACTGCTCTCTTTGCTGCAGTTGAACTGCTGGTTGTTCCGGTTGTTATTGTAAGAGGGATGATCGGCGTATCTAGAAGCATGTCTAGTACCAGACGTTATCCTGACCGTACCATTTGTGTCAAAGCCTTTCCTATGTCCTCCTCCGCGGTTTTGTGGGTGGCCGTAGGTGGATGATTGATGCTGCTCACCTCCTGCAGGTATGTTTTGTAGAATTTTAAAGTTGTGACATTGAAATCCAAGACCTACTACTATCTTATGAGTTATTACCACACGCGGAGGTAAATACTTATACTCTATTTCGCCAGTGACGAGTGACAGTGACACAAAGCAAGACGTCGCTTTACCATTTTTCTCTTCCCACTCAGCCCACTCCTCTGCTGTGTAGTCAGTATCGTGCTTCCGCGACTTTTTCACCATTTTTCGATCCTGCAGGATGGATGATGGAGAATGAATGAGGTGACGGGGCAACTGCGAATTTATAATTTCAACTCTATTTTTTATCCCAATGATCTGCATCAGTGGCATCATAATGCTGACAGGGATTGAAAAAGAACAATCAAAACAAGGTATCTATAATTCTTATACCTCGTTGTAAGAGTACTATGCGCAGACGAAGCGATGTCTATTTTTCGTTTTTTGTCGTCGGCAAAAGGCACCACCAATTTTGTTGTAGTTCGTTCGTTAACTTGATTTTGAAAAAATTTATTGTTAATCTTCAAGGAAAAACAGGACAAAAATTTGAAATGTACAACACCTCGTGGATTACGCAAGGACTACAGAAAATTATCGAGATGGATGTACAACTTTTGTTGTTTCTACTTGTAGCCGAGATGATACTTAGTACAACCTCCAAATAAGATGGTGCAAATCATCGAAAAATCTAACGACGATTACTCTTTCCTTCTTCGCGTTCCACTAAAAAAAACCTCTCAGACACTGAGGAGTGTCTTGAGAGCCGCCTATACTTTTTATTTTCTTGTTGTTGCAGTTCTTAAGGGCATGGATATGGATGAAGAGTGCTAACATATTTATAATCTCAAATCGCTATCATGGATCATCAGAAGGAAGAACGTCGTATATTGGAATCACGACGAATCCACAACTACTTACTAGCTGATCTTCAGACCGAAGACTAATCTTGGTGACCGAATGGAATTATTTTTTATCCGACACGAATTACAACGACCGACTGGACTTGAGCACTCCAACATTAACATCCGATCCTTCACCGACGACAAAGTGAGTGGGTCCTGACATCAACGTAGATGATCTGATTGGCGTTGTAGACTGTCGATCTAACATCATAACCGATTTTTTGTTTAGAACGGGATACAGCACCAGCACGAACTTGAAAACAGAGTTCATCACTGAAATCCAAATATTCGATGAACGCGAGTGACGACGAGGCGCAAACGCGATCATACCATGCTAATTGTATTTAGGGCGATTTATTGCTTATTACATTGGTCATGGTCGTGCATGCAAACGTGTGGCTTGCTTGGCGAGCAAACCAACGTCGCGGTCCTTATCGGCTTTCAACATTTTCATCGTCAGTTGCATAAATTTGGTTTTCACTAATAGGCTAGCCTTGTAGTACTTACTTTTAAGCGTGCTTGCGTTTGTGCTGAAAATTTATCGGGAATGCGATTTTTCCGGTGGGCCTGATGCTGTTGCGGTTTTCGTCTCTTTCATCAATTTGTTCCTTCGCCTAGAAGTAGACGAAAAGAGTGGTCTCCTCCATTCAAGATTATATGACCACCTCTTTTTACTTGATTCCCCTCAATTCGACATCGAAGATCAAGTTAGCGTTCTTCGGGATCTGCGGTGGTGCACCGCGAGCGCCATAGCCCAAATGCGCCGGGATCAGCAGTTTTCTCTTTTCGCCGACCTGCATATCCTTCACACCCATGTCCCATCCTTTGATCACTTCTCCTGTGCCCAGTCGGAACTCGATCGTGCCTTTGTCGAATCGCTTTCCGTTGGAAGCCAATCGGCCATCGTAGTTGACCTTGACCTTGCGTCCGTGCTTGGCCTGCTCACCAGATCCCTGCTTGTAAATCTCGACTTTGAGACCGCCGGCGAGGGTCTTCTTCAGGGGGTTCTGTTATATTTTTGAGAAAAAACAAAAACGATTAGACAGGTGGTAGTTGTACTGAGTCTAGTTTAAGCTTTGATTTGATGAAGTGTCAATGTCATGAACAAGTGGAATAACAAGACGAGCCACTGCGTCCACAGGGGAAAGCGAATATAGTTGGAAATAGTACAGCCATATCAGCGCCCTTCTTTTTCTGCTCCGCCAATCGCTTAATCTCAGCAGCCTTTTCTGCTTCCTTCTTCTCTGCTAGCTTCTTCTTCTGTGCTGCTTCTTTTTGGGCTACTTCTTCAGCCTTCTTCTTCTCCTCAGCAGCCTTCTGCTTCGCAGCTTGTTCTTCCTGTCTCTTTTTTTCGTCAGCAGCAGCCTTCTCCTTCTTCTTGGATTCGACTTCCTCCTTTCGCTTAGCTTCGATGGCAGCTTTTCGAGCCGCGTCAGAAGGCTTGTCGTTTTCCTTCTTCTCGGAAGCACCAGCTGCTTGTTCACTAGATGAAGTGGACGTGGAGGCCGTGGTCTTCTGTTTCTTCATAGCTGGTGCACCAGTCTCAGCCTCAGCATCTGCTTCAGGAGCAGCTTTCTTCTTCGCTCCTGCGGCTTTCATCTCCTCCAAGATTTCTTCCAGTTTTGGGCAGTCTTCCATACCGGATTCCTCCTCTTCACTGTCTTCCATATCTCCAAAAGACTGGCGGTTACCAAGCAGCTGAACGCTACCATCACCTTCAACGGAGAACTTAGCCTCCACAGTGTCGAACTTCAGGTCCATGGAGCAGTTGGCTTCACGCTGAGCGTTGAGAACGGCAACGCAGAACTTCTCTTCCTTCTTGGTCTTGGACGACGACGTGTCGGTGGATTCTTCTTCTTCGAGGAAAGGTTGCGACACGGAGACGAAGCTGTGTGTGTGGGCAAAAAATATCAACTACTTAGTACATAGTTGTACTTATACTATAGGGATTAATCTTCAATCTGAATCTTTAAGATGGAATCAGAATCTGTAATTCAAATCAAAAAATCCTCTTACATTCTCGCACTGCTTCCATCAATCAAAGTCGCTTTCTTGAGCCAGAACACGCTGGACTCGAGGTCCAGAGTGAACGTCTCCTTCTGCTTAACGGTAAAAGCAAAGAGATCCATTTTTTTTATTGTTCGTTGTGGTGGGCGGTACTGAAGATAAATATTTGAAGATTGAATGTGGGTGCTGTCGGTTGTGTTGACTCCTAGAAGGGCTGAATTAGTAGTGGAATTAATACGCTTCCTGGAAAAAGTCGTGATAGAGAAGTAAGAGATATGATGATCTAGTACGGCTTAATCAATTGGAATTGATCTACGAAAATAAATAAGCGCCGTCGGAATCAAAAGTAGGAACGGTAGTCTTTTGAAGATCGTCACAGAGAGTCAAAGAAAAACCATGTTGATCAAACGATCTAGCCCCATCAGTTGTCCATCATCTTGCGTATGGGGAAAAACTTAAGGAAAAGCAACTGTTGATGATCATCATGTTGGATCTCTTGTACTAGAAGCTCGGTGGATCCTGGATGTCAGAACTTTCGTGGAACGAGAAGAATTTTTCGTTGGATCTGCGGCACACGACCACATGAATATGGATCGCATTTGGTGACTGCCCTTGTTGGAAAAGGATCAAGATCTGATCAACTACCTAGAAACACAAAAAAGAATCTCACGGTGATAAAGACAAAGAGCACAGGCTCCACTAAAGTCTAATTTCCTTTAAGCCTCGGAATCCGAGGTGTACTCACCATCAGACTCCTCTTCGTCTGGAGACGATGAAGAGTCTGACGAAGAGGAAGAGTCGTCATCTGAAAACAAAGAATTCTTTGGCTCCTTTGCTTTTGCATTTGCAGGTTGAAGACCATTTGTCCTCGCGGTATTCTGTTCTTGACCCTCAATAATGCGAGTCACTATTCCACCACCTTCTGCCGCTGTTGGGACGTTGCTAGCGGCATGATCTTGTTGAAACAGGCTTCGAGAGAAAAACTCTCCAGTAGAATCATCCTGTACTCCCATCATGGCGGATATAGATGAAGCTGTGCCGTTCCCTAGTATTGCTGTACTACATGTCTCACCATTCATCTGATCCGCGTGTTCGGGGCCACCCGAACGATACCAGATTTCAGCTAGATCCTCTTCTAGATTGTCGAAGATCGCATTCGCAAACGACGGCTCCAACATCCCAAAGATGGAACATGGCCTTTGAAATTGCGTTTCTTGCAAGAATTTCTCGATATTCCACACCACATATTTCTCAGCCCCTTGTCGATACTGCATATCTCGAAACTCCCTCGGATTCCGCACGGGGTCTAAGACGACGTAAAATCGTGGAGACTTCGGCTTCCTCTCCAAATCTCGATGATGAAGGTCAGCCAACTTCTTCTCCGTGACCCGTCTCAATCGTCCGATTCTTTGCTGTTCCTGTCTCCTAGATCCGAAGAAACCACCCAATTGGATCACCACGTTCAGGTTTGGCAAGTCGCAACTTTCATCCAGCAAATGAACAGCGATGAGACAACGCAAGTTGTTACTCCTCACGTGGTCTAGGATCTGTTCCTGCGTTTTCTTCGGGACACTGCCATCTAAGACGCAGATGCCGAAGTAGATGGAAATTCGTCTGGCAAGTTCCCTTGATTCGACTAGGATCAAAATTGTGTCGTTTTGATGAAGCAGGAGTAAACCTTCAAGAGCTTGGATTTTGTGGACGAGATCGGATTTTTCGGAGGACGAGGAGGGCCGCTGTATAGCCGCATTTTCTTCTTCTAGGAGATTACCAGTAGGCGAACTAAGCAATATTTTTCCTTCTGCATCTAGAAGATCGCCAGCACCAGCAGTAGGCGAAGTGAGCAAGATCTGAATACATTCCACAGGCATCAAGAAGTTCTGTGCTATGAGCTCCTCCGCTTCGATTGAATAGACGACTTCTCCGACGATTTTGGTCCATGGAGAGGCGTGGTGGTTGCTCAGCTTTCTGGCGGTCAAATCGAGCCCTTCGTCGTCGTCTTTTTCATCAACATCCTCCGAGGAAGACACCATGAAAGAATCCTTTTCGTAGCGATCATCTTCACCGTCACTGATTTCGTCGTCGGGGGAAGAACTCAACACGTCAACACGTTGTTCAGACTCCGCAGCACCTGCAACTTTCTTTCTTCTCTTACTCTTAGCATCATGTCTACTCCCCCGATCTTCCCTAAACCCCTTCGATTCGCGCAAGAGCGTCGCCGTCAGAGACACGAACTGCAATGCAGGATACAAGGACCGCAACCCTCGGAGAAACTTCAGGACTTTACTTGCAGGTGCTATGTGACATTCATCAAGGACTACTAGGACTGGTCCTCGTGCTGCTGTTCGAGTTCTTGCACTACAACTTGTACTACGTCTTGGTTCAAGAACATTTCTACTCTCAGCAACGAATACCACTTCATCTTCGTCGCCATCATTCGAGCTTAACGGACTCGGAGAGAAGAACTGACTCATCTGTTCGCTATCAGAATCGGAGAGATCTATGACTTGCATGTTGTCGGTCGTTCTTTTGTCTTTTGTACTAGAGTTGGTGTGCGTGGTGTTTCTTGGGTTAGTACTTTGTTCCTGCTTATTAATGACAGAGGGCTTGGCAGGCGATTCCATTCGCATCCGCAACAAGTCTGTGAAAGATGAGGTGCTGTTTTTCTTACCACTTGCACTTTCAGCTCTCTTGTTACCTCGATTGGTTGCTGTTTGTGTTGACTTTGCAGGTGAAGATATCATCCGCAATTTTGGATCGTCTGATATCCTTGGCGCTGGTTTAGTACTCCTCAACACTGGCGATGCAAAGTTCCTGCCAAAAACACCATGCCCATCTTTACCCCATTCCACCAGAGCTTTCGCGTAAGTGAGACAGCTGACAACATTGCCCTCTACTGTCAAGCCAGCACATTGCTGCCTCCACTGTACCACAGACGCATGTCGTGCACTGAGAATGATGGCACGTGGGGCTGCTTCTTCGGTAGTTGAGTCTTTTTTGATGTTTCCGCCGCCGTTTGATGACGTTGAGAGTCGTTTCAAAGAAGTCGATGAGGCGCCTTTAGTGTCCGTCATTCTTGACCTTTCCAATACCCTCCTGCAAATCTCATACCCAACGAGCGTCTTACCTGACCCACATGGCATAACAAGACAGGACATCCGTAAGTCCCGTTGAAGAACCGCGTCAACTGCTGCTTGTTGGTATGGCCGTAAGAGCAAAGGACTCTTCGCCGGGAGAGCAGGCGGCTGTGTCCTAGTTGCTGACGACGAGCTACCTCCTAGCTGCCCACGACCGTTTTGTGCTCCTACGTCCTCAATAGCGGGAAGACGAACATCTTCCTCCGCTGCATCTTTCTTACCTCGTCCAGCTTTCTTGTTTCCCTCCGCCTTCGGTGTCTTCTTTTTGCTATCCGCCATCGAGAAAATGCCTGCAAACTCATTGGCTAAATGGGCTTGCTGCTGCACGAGTGTCATCTTCTCGCCGTTTTTCGGTATTTCTTCAGTTTTCAGAGGAGACGACGGCGATTTGTTCTCGGTTTTGATGGTGCCGTTGTTTGATGATGACTCATTTTGAAGCGGAGCAGGTCGTTTTCCGCCCGTCGCTGTTGCATGCTTCCTTTCCTCCATCATCGTCGCAATCCAGGAAGCAGGCTTTGCGTCAAGCCTCGTAGACAAGAAACGTTGCAACACTTGGGTAAGGTCTTCGCCGGTCGACAATAGTGCAGTCGCGACTTCGTTTACAAGATTCTTGGCCATCTTCTCTGTATTTGTTGATATGTGATCTCCGCTACGACCAGCCTTCAGGTTCTTGGGCAGCGTGATAGTCTCCACGTCTAGTATCTGCTCGAGCGACCTCTCCAGAAAATGCCCTTCCGTCTGAAACGTTGACTCCAACAGTCGGAGAGTCTGTCGTTGTGAGTATTGCCGCAATGCACATACATGCGCAAAGAGTCGACCAAGCATAGCGTTGGAGAGAGTCAGTGACAACTGTGACGTGCTCGTCTCAGTCTCAACCCGTCTCCAGCCAACCAATTTTTCAAACAGCTCCGCCAAGGGCTTTCGTGCCTCAAAATGGATTGTCTCGTCTTTGTTACCATGATGTGAGGCTGTCGTCCGACTCGTACTGAAAATCTGATCCGCGAAGTATTGAGCTAGCTCTGCGACTGAGAAGGTAAATCTAGCTGGGAGTGGTATTCGCGTCGAAGTCAGAGCTCGGTTCGTGGTCGTGGCTCGTCCCTGATTTGCGGACGACGAGGTTGACGAAGAAGAGGATGCCATTTTCTTTTTCTCAGAGTCGAATTATTTCGGATCATGCAGTTGCAGTTGCAGAGAAGTGCGAATTCCAATTTCTGATGCATGTTGGAGGACTACTTGGCAATGAAGACCTGTTGATGTTGTCGTGAAAAGTATTAGTCATACAAGCTGCCCACTCATCTCTTGTTGCTTTTGCTCTTTCATAAAAAAGTTCTTTCAACAAATGCTGGATCTCCATTTTTGCAAGCTTCTCACGACCATGAACTGCACGTAATCGGGTTGCTGATTGGGTATCGCTCTCCTGAGTCAGAATGGAGAAACAGGAGCAACCATAACTGTTCACTTACTTTCACGGAATTCGGAAACTTCAAACTCGAAAAAAATCATGCGTTATCTTCATCGCACAGGATGATCACAGAGACAGAAGTACTTGGACTGTTCATTATTCAGCTCTGTAGATCTGCATCTAGTTGTAGCCTAGGTCTAGGATTAGATTTTCACGCGTTTATCGATACATAAGCTCAGCGCGGCTATGAGCGAAAAAAACAAAAACAAGGAAGCTTACGTGGGTTTAAGCGCACCATTTTCTGTGCATGCTGTTCGTGTTCTGCATCTGCTCTATGCAGGGATGTATAATATGTATTCTCATTTACAAGGTCATTATCATCATAGTACTTTCTAAAAAGTATGCAGCTCAACTTGAATTGAGAATAAGATCGATATCTAACACTGTTGTTCGTCTGGTTGTTCTTGGAAACAAAGCAACAAAAGAACGCGAATGATAAGTCCGTTCAAACAGTTTTTAGATGCTGCTTTCGGTCTAATCATGCGTGGTCAGCTGCATCCTCCGTGAATGCAGCGCGACTGGTACTCCTGGGCTTCCGAAGTACGACTTTACACCTGTTGTTTGGACTTAATAACCGCGACTTTAGTCTTCGTGTGGGTGAGGGCGCTTCTTTTGCGTAGAGTTGATCGACAAAAGGGTTGGCTTCCAGATTCAACTCCCGTAATCTGGGACATGATGTGCCAGATTTTGCTGAAGATGGAAGATCGTAGAGGAGGGGGGCTTCTTCTTGCTCATCTACTTGTTGTACTGCTACAGCTACACCACCTGTTGCACCATATTGATCTTGTTCATCATCCTTGGAGATTTTGTTACAGCTCTCATCCATTTCACCTTTGAAGATGTCAAAATTCCTCGCCTTTCTGCTCCCAGTCGCATCTACTACTTTCGCAGCAAAAGCTTCAGCTCCGAGGATCCCTATTTTGTTTCCACCGAGATCCAAGAACCTCAATGGCGGATTCGAATGTTTACCTGACAGGGCCTCTGACAACATCGCTGCTCCCCTATCCTTGATGTTGTTCTCACGTAGTGACAGGATGCGCAGACGGCAACGGGCTTCCGAGTCTATCCAAAGGACGTTGCCTGAGGAAAGAGGGACTTCAGGCGTGTTGTCAACCATGTACTCGTATTTTTGATCCGGTTGGGCTTCGTGGTCCCTTAGAAGAAGTTCTTTTTTAGGCGGAGCAGCTACAACTTCAGCTGTTTTTGCGCTTGCGGTGCTGTCGTCCATGCTCGTCGAGGCACCAGGGTCAGCATGTGCATTCGGACTGCTCCCTGATGAAGACGAAGAAGAAGTTGTGGCTCGTCCCGCACTCGCCATTGCTGTAGCTTGCGGCTTAGCGGGACTCTTCGTATCTTTCACCAAGGCCCCCTTCACAAACTTCACATCCGTCTTCACAATCTTTGGCCCGTCTACGTGCACAACCTCATGTTCTTGCTGAGAAAACATGCCATCTTGGTGCGCACCATCTTCTGCTTGAGAGAGCATGACGTCCGATGAATCTGAGAACATTACCGTCCCTTCCTGGTCTGAACCTGAAGGTGCTGAAGAGATAGGCTCGGCATCGGAATTTGAAGTGCTGGAGCTAGATGAACCTCCGAGAGACGATCGAGGTCGCGGTAATGGCGGGACAGAAGATGTCAGTTCCTCTACCTCTCCAGTCGCTTTCGCGGCTGTCCCATCTTGATCTTCCTTCTTCACTTGTTTCGCACCATCACCCTCTTCTGCAGAAAAAGGGTTCTTCAGAACCGACTCTAAAGCAGTATTGGCTTTTGGATCGATGGCTGCTCTTCCTGGTGATTTGAGGAGGCCCGTCTTACCATTCACAGAGAGATCCATTTCGCCAGTGATTTTCTCAGCCTCGAAATCGGAAGTGTGGTCGTCTGGTTCTGTAAGAGACGAACGCTTCGCAGATGTAGGACTTTCGTTTTTTTTCTCGTCCTCCTTCATCGTCGCACCTGAGTTCTTGTCCTCGCTGGAGGTCTTGTTTCCGTCGACAGTGCATGGCGTAGCTGAGCCTGACGTATCGGGGTTGACAGCGTCCTTTTTATCAACAGCGCCGGTCTCTCTTTCTTCTGCTAGTGTCGCTGACTTTTCTGCTTCCGCTTCTGCCGCTTTCTTCTTCTGCCTCTCCCTCGCCACTTGCGAGGCGCCGGTCTCTCTTTCTTCTGCTAGTGTCGCTGACTTTTCTGCTTCCGCTTCTGCCGCTTTCTTCTTCTGCCTCTTCTTCTCTTTCTCCCTCGCCACTTGCTCCCTCGCCACCTGCTCCAAGAAAAAGCCTTTCTCCACACGCCCTAGAGCCGCAGCAAGCTCAGCAGCTCCTGAACATCCTAGATGATTCTTATCCAGCATTAGACCGTACTTTTATTCATCTTGCAAAGCATCTTTGACGCAGTTCTTCCCTCTTGAAAAAGGGATCAAAGATGCCTCTTAAGATGAATAAAAGCAAGTCTTAACAGCACAATCCTCTGCAAAGTCTCATTGTTGTAGCGCAAAGCATCCGCGATGGTTGCCACTGACCTGATATGGTTCTGCGCGAGACCCAATTCCTGCAGTGTCTCGTTCACCTGCAGTATCTTAGCAACCTGATCCGCACCAGCATCGGCTAGGGCGCAGCCAGCCAGATTCAAACCTAGCAGTTTCTTGTTGCTGCGAAGGGCTTCCGCCAGGAAGTGGAGAGGTGGTAATATCATCTGTGACGATACGAAGTGCGCTTGATGCTGGAGTAGTTGTGCGGCCGCTCCACCTGCTCTTGTAGGACTACCTCCAGAAGGTCTTATTTGACGACCTGATGGCACGCGCACTGTCCCAAGCCTCGGATTGTAGGAGAGATCTAGATGGCGCAGTCCGCTACAGCTTGTCCCATTCGTCGAAGATGAAGGATAAGGACCAGAACCAGAAGAAGATGTTGAAAATGAAGAAGATGGTAGTCCAGCATTTCCACCACTTCCCTCCTGGGAATCTCCGCTTTGTTGTTGCTTCGGTCCTACCAAAACATAGGCCAAAGCTCTTGCTCCCCTCTGCCCAAAGATGTTATGAGACAGGTCTAGTTCGCGCAAAGTCCCCGAATTCAGCCTCAGCCCAGAACAGAGAATGCCTATGTCTCGAGAAGTCAAGCGGCAGTTTCGTAGAGACAGTTGTGCCAATGTCCTGTTGCAGACCAGTGCTTCCCGTAGCGCGAACAAAGCCGCCTCCGGCCCATTGAAATGGAGCTGGGTAAGCTGTTGCTCTAGCAGATTGCCTTCGTAGTGTTGGCGATGTTGATTGTTGAGGGTCGTGGCTAAGGGGAGCTTGCTAGGAGAACAAGGTGAAGATACAGCTGTTCGCGGAGAAGGAGATGCGAGTGCAGCGCTAGTACCACCACCAGCCTGTTCTTGCGCGGACGTTCCCAGCACAGCAACTCTTGGAGCAATCGCTGAGACGTTATTCGGCGTTGCCATGTAGGACGAATGCGGCAAAAACCAGTTCTGTGCCGCTGTAGAACTCGCACTGGCTGAACTAGTCGGCATATTTCTGCTTCCCAATAGCGCGGACGTCGACACGCCGATGTGGGCATGCTGCTGGAAAGACAGATTGATGTTCATTTTTTCCCCTGGAGGAGGACGGCCTTGGATGTAGGTTGTACCAATTTTTGAACAAGACGACGTAGAACTGTTTGGCTTTGGTGCGTTTGGGTTCTGCTGATTGTTGAAATGCTTCCTCCCCAAGCAATGCTCCACATCATCCAGCGAGTCGATAAAGCTGCAATCTTCGTCACTCGACAAAGCATCGGCCCAAGCGACTTCCTCACATTGTTGTGGCGTCAAGTAAACCAAGGAGTTGCTCAACTGTTGAACATGCTTGGAAGACGAGGACGATGAAGAGCCACCAGTTGGCGTCCCACCAGACATGATAGCTCCACTTATCAAGTCCGATAGATGAGAAGAAATTTTCCCTCCACTACCTGCTCCAGCTGTGGACGCTAGAGCTACTCCAGGAGGCGGACGTTGTGGCGCCTCAACGGTCGCTGGCCTCGAGACCAATGTAGAAGAGACAAATGAATGGTCTCTGCTCATACCTGGCCCAGTGCTGGCCGCGGCTGGCGTTGTGGGTTTGCTTGAAGCGTTTGAGTGTGAAGATGGAATGTGATGCGCTTTTGAGGCTTTGCCTGGGGATCCAGAGCCACTAGAAGAGGACGACGAAGAAGACATCCCAAAAAGCGCAGCAGCTGTCTTGGGCTCCTTCGTCTTCGATGGACTAGACGTGCCACCTAGAAAATTGCGGTCGTTGAGTGGGTCTGTGATATCGTTCAGATACCCGCTTTTTCTCAAAATCATCGTCGTACTGCTGCACATGATGTTGCCACCTTGACTATTAAGTCCGCTTTTGCTCGGACTGCCAAGGCCACCAGACCCAGAAGCGGCAACAACGGAAGAAGAGCTACCACCAGCACCCGCTAGCCCTGGTGCCAAAGGTGGCCTCGAGACCAATGTTGCTCCTGCGGCTACAAGAGGAGAAGCTGCACTTGTCGCACCAGCTGCATTCTTGAATGGACTACGGCTTCTACTTTTTGATCCTGCTTTAGGAAAATTGGTCTCAATATGGTTGTAGTGCCTTCCGCTCGTGAGAGCACTTCCGCCCAGATCCAGACGCACAAGCGTCCGGTTCTTGATCAAGGAATGGCAGATGTAGGCAACTGCGGAAGGACTTGATGACGACTCATCTAGTACTTGTCGTCCCCTCGTCATCATCATAGTATTAGAGGTAGGTTATTGGTGCTCGCTTACCCCGCTTGTTATGCCTTTCCCATCCTAAGGGAGAGAGGCATAAAAAGCGGTAAGAAAAGCACCTTTAACCTACTCTTAATAGTACTCGATGCTGGTGATAGTCGACCAAGAGCACAAGCACGATTGATCTTGCTCACAGCAGCCGCACCTTGGCCAGCAGCGTAAGGACAAGTAGTTGCTGTGGCAAACTTTCTCCGACTACTCGGCGAAGCGCAATCCTTGAGTTCTAACTCAAGAAGACCTTGTGCTGGAATAGAAGTTGTGCTATCATCTAAAAAGGTGAGGGTGGAGCTTGACGACGGCAAAGACAGACAAGAACCATTCTTTTCCGGCGAAACGCCACGCATCATTGCAGCGTGCTGCATTTCGCGATGATCTGCCTCCACTTGACTGAGTATCATCGCCTTTCCTACTGTTTCGAGCGCGTTTTTCTGGAGAGGATTCTGAGAGATCTGGAACGTCATCAGACCAAAAAGCTTGTGCGCTTGAAATTCTTGTTCCCCAGGGAGCGTTTCGAGTGAGTTCCCTCTCAAGTCTAGGTGTCGCAAGACTGCTGGAATTTCATGGGATAAGGCTGCCAGGAAGTCGGCACGAGTTTCCGCTACTTTTGGAGCAGCTGTGGAAGATGGTTCAACCGTGGTCGCCGTCCCAACTACTGCGGTCGCCTTGTAGAAGTCCTTTTTACTGCTTTCAAATTCATGACTTACTTTCTGTTTTTTATGTTTGTTCGGTCGCCACCGCATGGGCACGGCTGCTGCGGATCCTGGGACATGTTGTTCTTGTTTTGGCTCCTTCTCCGTGGTCCGACGCCGTGGACTCGTCAACAACCCTCCCTTTGCTGTGCTCCTTGGGCTCCTTGATGTAGTTGTGCGTGGACTTCCATTCTTCTTGCTTTTGCTATTTTTAGTTGATTCATCTGCTCCTTCGACATGTGGCTCCATGGACGTAGTATCCGTCTTCTGGCCTTTCGCAACGAATGGCTGAAAAGTAAAATCTTCCCACATATTTCCTCCACGATACTGTTTCAGCGTGCCACTCTGTCTCGCAGCCCACTGCTTGGCCAGAGCCGTCCCTATTGACGGTGCTTCACGGATCAAGTTGTCGCGCAAGGAGATACGCTCGAGATTGGGATGCGAGAAGAACAGACTCTCCGTAGATGGCAGAGGCTGTTTGTCGCCCTCTAGTGTGCTGTTGAGGGCAACAAGTTTGGTTCGAGGACTCGTCTTTTCTGATGAAGGACTTTGCTTACTCGGAGTTGTCGCTATCTTGTCTCGCGGGGAAGTCGAATTCTTTCTCTTGTTCTTCTTCTCCTTCTTCTTGCTTTTCTTATCGCGTTCTGACGTGACAGAAGACGAAAGATGACTACTACTTCTATCCCGCCCGTCGTCTCCCGAGGACAAGCTACCGCCCGATGAAGAACCCTCGTCGTTTCTTGGTTTCACTGAGGAGCGCGGTCGGCTTGGGCTAGACCCACCTATCTGAGGTAGACTACAGACTGCTCCACTGGTGGCTGCATTTGCTGGCGAAGATTTCTTCTTCTTAAACAGACTGCTGAGTCTGGATGATTTGCTGGGTTCGACACCGGAAGCCCTGAAAAATTCGAAGAAGTCATCGCTATCATCGTCTGCTCCAGAATTCGCTGAGCTTGATGAAGATCCACCTTCGACTAAAGTCGCGAGAGCTGGTCGTCCTCGTGGAGACCTGTTCAAAAAGTTCGTTCCTGTACTGCTTCGAGGCGTCAAAGACGGTGTCCTTTCTTGACCCACTTGTTCCGTCGCGCAACCTTGAAGATGTTCTGTCGCACCTCCGCTACACATCACAGACAAACTCCTTGTCGCTGATCTCGAATTCTTGAATACCACTTCCCGAGGCCATATTACCCGTTCAAACAGCTCCATAGCACCACGCGACCCAATCCGCGCTCTATTCAAGGCTAGTTCTCGCAGCCCTTCGTTCTGCGCCAGACCCTTAGACAGAACGGAACAGCCCTCGTCGGTAATAGCGTTTTCCGACAAGTCGAGGACTCGCAGGACGCTATTTCTCGCAAGTAATTCGGCAATCTGCGCAACAGGAGACAGCTGTCTGAGAAACTGCTGGAAATTGGAGCTGTCGCTTTGCGCATACCACTTTTTAGCGTTGGAGAACCACTTTTTACTCTGCGTCGCACCAGTAGTCACAGAAGTGGCAGGAAAATGTTGCTGATGCACAAGATCCTCGCTGAAAGTAGACCCAGAAGTCAGCCCAAACAAGCTTTTTGTTCTCGTCGGAGAAAAACCATTCAGTTCCTCCGTAGAGGGACCGTCTCCACCTTTTACTTTCACTTCCCTAAACCACAAGCCTGTGTTCCTCAAATTCAACGAGATGAGACTCACATTGCTTTTCAGAGACTCCACCAAACGCGCCACTGGTCTCAAACTCGCTTCTCCTCGAAACAGGAAAGGATTATCCGCTAAGGACAGATGTTGGAGTTGCAATAACGCAGGTCGTGGCGCTTGAAGAATCATTTGCCGAGTTTCCTGAGTGAGGCTCGCAAATCGCCATCTCTCCTCTTCCATGAGGAGACTGCGGGTGGCATTAGAGACTATGGAAGTGAATGAAGCTGCTGTTCCGGATTTTGATTTGCTTCCTGAAGATGAGGAAGATGTGCCAGCAGATGAAGTCGCGGCCGTCTTTGCTTTTGAGGCATCTGCTTGTGTGACAGCAGTTGACGAAGACGAGGGAGTGGCGTCGTTGCGAATCATACCAGAACTAGAACAAGTACCTTGTTGCACTTTTGAAGCTGACGATACCCTATCTTCCACGGTCGTCGTGGTCAACACCTTCCCGCCATCGCCGGTCGCAGAAGGAACTGTCTCATCTAGTCCGTTGTCCACTAGCGCTGCGTTCGTAGCTGCTGGTTCACGTGCTGCGGCCGTTGACTTCTTTGGCGAGCGTGAGGCGGAGGCCCGTTTATTTGCAGCTACGCCTGCTCCGCGCTTCGTCGCCACCTTCTTCGGACTGCCGTTTTTGCCCTTGCCCTTGGTGGGAGAAGACACCGCGTCCTTCTCAGTAGGCTGCGTCGCTCCAGGCATGATCTCCTTCGTACTCGTTCTTGCTTCACCAGCGCCTTGATGCTCTGCAGATTCAGATATAAAAATGCCAACATTCTTTTTCAACAAGTCATGTTTGAGAGGTGAAGACACCTCTCGTGCAGCACAAGAAACACCTCCGATCGTCGAAGGCCACGGAGGCACAAACGGCGGCTCTTCCTCGTCACCAAAGAGATCTATTTCTTGTACGACTGGACGCACTTTCGGTCTGCTGGTAGAACCAAACGTGGAACTTGAGGACGATGAAAGGCCTCCAGTTTCGGAGTCTTCCTCTGCACCTGATGCTGTACTTGCGGAGGACGATGGTAGTACTGGAGTCGATGCACCTCCAGATAATAGGAAATCTGATTTCTTCGTAGCTTTAGTCACTGCTACTTCTTTGTCAAGAACTAGAGCTCCTGCACTGCCTGTCGTGCTGCCTGATATAATCCTAGACGCTGTTGTGCTGTCCCAACTACTTGTCAAGACGTCAACTCGCCGTACTACTTTCGCGCTCTCAGCCTCCTCCTCTGCTTCTGATTCATCTGAGAACGGCGCGATCTTCTCCTGGTTTTCCCTAAGGCAGTAGATCGCAGCTGCAAGAGACACTGGCACATGGCCTAACTGCTCTGCTTCTTCGAGCAAAGAGCTGCGGATCGGAAATAGTTGGGCTGCTAGAGCTCCTATGTCTTGCGCTTGCAGGCCACAATGCTCAAGGGAGAGGACTTCTAGACACGGATTGCCACGAAGATATTTCAGGAGCGACTTGGGGTCAGAAGAGGAGCGAGAAGTTGAAGAAGTGTCTTTATTGGTTGTTCTACTGCCGAGGTGGACAGCGCTACTAGGTTGTTCCTCTTGTTGTTGAGTTTCCTGCCCTGCTCCCTTTGCAGCAGCACTCAGAGCAGCCTTTCCCTCTGCATCGTGGTCAACATCATCTTCGTTGTCGAAGATGTTCTGTACGCAAAACTCTCTCAGAACTAGCTGTTGGGTTGTAGCGTCACATCGTCCGGCTCCCCCTCCAGTTGGCAACCAGCGCAGGCCCGACCAGTCCACTGTCTCCTCAGGCAACGCTAGCAGCTCTGCTGAGCTTTTCTTGTGTTTCATACTCTGAAACAACCGAGAACGTGCCGCTTCTGTCCTTGACAGGAGAGACTTGTATCCGTTGCCCGTAGAAGTTTTCGAAGGAGAGGAAGCAGTTGCACTGAGTGGTGGAGGTATCGACCTATCTTTTCCTCCAATGGCCGCGTTCACTGCTCGTACTGCAGACGCTTTACTAGACGAAGTAACTGCTCCACCAGATGCTGTTGATGGTGAAGCACCAGCACCTGCGCTACCTCCACTAGTGCTTCCACTACTTCCTCCCCCAGCAGCTGCCGCGATACGATTCCGGTTATCAGCTTTGTAATGGACGATGTTGATGGCCAACTCTTGCATCTTATCAACGGGGTCAACAGCGGGGTCTCGCCATCTAGCAAAGTCATCCAAAACCGCCAACGCCTCTGCTCCCCGGTTGATGTGGAAACTGCACTCGGCTCCGGTCCGTGCGTCTTGATGCCAAGCTAATTCTCCTGATAGTGTTTCGGCAGAAGCTACTTGCTGCTCATCTTTTTCGTCATCTTCATTACCAGCACCAAGGCAAGGTTTGTAAAACGCAGCACTGCGAAACTGCCTAAGAGATGAGAACGTTTTTTTTGGTAGTCGTGAGATGCGGAACGAGAGTTGCAGAGCATACGCCGGATCAGTCAGATGGTCGATGTAGAGGCCAACGTAATCGTCATCAAGCAGTTCATTATCGTAAAGAAGAAAGAGGCGCCACGGAGCCGCGGCGGTGCTTGTGGCACCACTTGAACTCGCACTTTCCAATGAAGAAGAAGATGATGACGCCAGAAACGTCGAAGGTGCCCTAGACGTCGCCAGAAATCCAGGTTGCTCATCAAGAAAATTATCATCATCATCATCATCTTCATCGTAAACTCCTGCTTCAGTCGTATGAGCACCAACACTGTGGGCCTTTTCCAGCAAAGTAGAAGAAGACGACGCAGATGATATTGATAAGCCAGGTCCTCTAGGATGTTTCTCAGGACTTGTGTTGTTCGAGTTCGCACGCGCAGAAGATCGCAACTGCAGTAAGCGCTGTTGATGCAGAGGCGTTGCACCGGTTAATCCAATCGTAGTTGCAGCGGAATTCGAAGAAGTAGTTAGTACACTTGCGAAGCCTCTACCTGCTCCCTTAGTACTAGCTGCAGCTCCTGCTCCCCCATCGGTCACGTTAGCTCCCGTCCCACCTGGTTTCAGATTCCTCCCAGCTGCAGTGGCTTTCCACAGCCTGTAAAAAGCTAGACGCAGTTTTCTGCAGTCCACGACACGTGAGCTCGCGAAGCAGAAAGTTTGAGGTTCGCTGGCGTCTAGCTCCAGCTCTTCCCCAGTTTCACCACGCGCACGGATCTTCATCCCCGGTCACGTCCTCGTCGTGGAGACTCTGGTGCCTCTACTCAATGACAAGAGAACTCCGCTTCAGGCAGGCTGGATTCTTTGTTCCACCATTTTGGTAATCACGAGCATCTTCACATCTTGTCACTACTAGATCGTCATCTGCTCAATATAGTGTTGATGTTGCGAATAAATTGTTGCCACCTACTTATGTTTATTCTGCGAGACAGAGATTACAACTTCTAGTAAACTCTAAATCAATATCAAAGTAGGAGGCTCTAGTAAGGCCTTAATGATCCCTATCACTTCTACACGAACTCTCATTGACTTTGACTCGAAGATATCGAACCAACAAACGTGTTTCATCTTTGTTGAGGGAGTTGCTTAAAAAAGATGCCAAAAATATTGGTCTCGAGGGGACCAGACGATCGGTCGGTGACAGATCAACAGTTCGACGATCGAAGAACCACGGAACCACCAACGATCCGTACCGAGAGCGAGCAAGAGCATGTTGCAGTAGTTGCCCTTGGTCCCGCAACAGCGGTGTGGGAGCGACTGTCGCTCCCATTAGACGGCGTACCATGAACGACACGCGATCTCGACTTCGTTGATGCGTAGGATTCGCGAACCACTCAGAGTTAAAGAAGAAATCGGTGCATTTTATGGTTGCGATGAAAGGATTCAACAAAAAAAGTCAGGAGTCAAAAATGACTGAAAATGTTCATGACGCGTTGTCAGTAAGTCAAAATCTCGGGTTAGATAACGATAAGGGAATCTTTGCTTTTGCTATTTTACGTACAATGAATGTTGATTATTTAGATTTAAGTACCACTAGGCTAGGTTTAAGTATTTGCGCTTTCAAAGGTTGAATCTCCAGTGGAAATGTTGTTTTTGATTTTGTTTCATTGATCCATGATCCTTCTGAGAAGTCTGAGGTACAAAAAAAACTGTGCAAGTTGTCTTTGTGCTCTTCGATATTCATGCAGCGGAAGATATTTATGCCAACAGCCATCACGACTCTCGGCTCGATCAGCGTGGAGATCATCTGTGGAACTGGAGCTCGAGGGCACTGGTACCGTATCTGTGAAGGAGGTATATATCTATTAAGGCTTAAACCTATAAGAGACGACGTCGATCTTGTTCTGATTCCTTCCTGTTCCTTACGCCTACAGTAGAGTCTCACTGTATCATTCTACAAGCCGACTACTAGATTGCTACTATCTACTTTAGAACTAAGAGAAATCCATCTTGAGACGCATCCGAGGACCTTTCTCCCCTTGAAAACGGTCTCAGGATGCCTGTGAAGATGGATTTCTTCTAGCCTTAACTACTATAGCTTCAACATCTATAATTACCTGGTGCTCATCGACGCGTCCCAAACCTGTAGCCTACATCGGCATTCTCGAAACGAATCCTCCATTTCGAAACATCTGTAACTGTTTCGAGTTCTGTCTAGCATACTCCAAGGTCCCTGGAGGCGGCGGTGCAGGTTTGATCTGCACGCTTGGCGCACCTTTGATCTGCATGTTTTGAAGTCTCTTAGGCCAGGGGGTTGTGGCCGCCATGCTGTTCAGTTGAGGTGGTGGTGGCACAGGAGTCGTGCTGGATGGTGCTGCAGATGTTGCCGCGAAGACACTGCCACCGGATGCGGTCGACAGGACAGACGCCGATGACACAGTAGACAGCACACGGGGTCGTTGCTGAGAACCATCCTCGCGTAGGTGAGATGAACCGCTGTCCGTCTGTGGTATCTCCACTTCCACCGCAATAGGTTGATCGAACATGACTTGTTTTGGTGGCGACAGGCTTCTTGCTGGCACGTTGTCACCCGAAGATGGACGCATAGACACGACCGAAGTAACAACAGGACCTTTATTGCGGATTGGTTTTGGTGCGCCAACGGGGGCGCCGGAAGTACTTCTAGTCCCCGCCACATATGTCGAGGACATGTTGATGCTGGAGGGTGCATAATTCCTTGCCTGATTCATTGAGACGATAGACAGACGAGGTTGGTGATATTGGTACTGGGTGTTGTAAACAGTAGTTGTCGCCGTGGAAGTCGTGCTTCCAGGTCTAGTCGTGGTGAAGGACGGCCTCCCTCCGCCGCCGTAGAAGAGCATATTAGGTGGAACACCCGAAGATGGCTGCTCGAACAACCGCACCCGGGAAGGCGAGATATACTTCTGTACGGATGTGTGATGTGTAGATGCTGTTCTAGTAGTTGACTCCTGCGCGCTTGATGTAGTTGTCGTGTAGTTCACGACTCTGTTCTTCACAACAGAGTTTGCCGCGATTGATGAGACTGCGGTTGCGTCTGCAGGAGCGGGACCGCCGCCGGCGCCGCTTCCTCCGCTTGATACAACGTCATTTAGAAGTTTTCCACTAGATGACTTCACTTGCTCCGCCACTGGCGACTTCTTGGTTCCACCTCCAAAGTGATTACCTGGTCTCGCTTTCTTTGGTACAGCAGTGTGCCTCCTTTGCTTCTGCTGTGAGGCTCTTGGCCCAACGCTTGGCGATGATGGGACTGTACTAGAGGTACGGGTGTTTTTGCTACTGCTTGTGGAAGATGCTGCGGAGGATGAGGAGGATGAACCACCTCCAGCGCGTCCTGAAGAGGATGAGGATGAAGCTCCACCAGCTGTACTAGAACGTCCTGCACTAGTACTAGAGCTAGATGAGATTTTGTTCCCGCCACCACGTTCAGGTCCTGGAGTTCCCGGAACAGCAGCAGGAGCGACTAGACTTGCAGCTTCTGTCGCCCTCCGACTGCGCGCGGCTGGTGGCGGTGCAGCTGTGCTTCGTCGCAAGTACGCATGTCTTGGTAGTGGATCAGCGTAGATACTTGAATTGTTCCCCACTAAATCCGGAGTTAAGAACTTCGCATTTGGAAAACGACTTGTTGCGGAAGTACAACTAGTGGTCTTGACACTGGTAGTAGTTCTTGTGGCGCCTGTACCAGATGAACTAGGTGAAGATGGTGCTGCTGGGCTTCCTAGTGGTGGAGGTTCATCTTCGTGTGGCTCCTGAGTTATTTCCTCATTCTGAGGCGGAACCAGAGCGATTTCGCGTGGTGGGTGTAAACGGATTTGAATATCAGGGGATCGGGGAGCAGGGATCCTGTGAGACGTAGAGCTAGAAATTGATGTGGTGGATCTGGATGCTGATGACATTTTCTTTTTGCTTCCTCCATTATTAATATTCTCGACTCCTTTGTTTCGTGGCAACGAGGATTCTCTGCCACCTCCCCTCGATGCGCTTAAGCTTCTTACTCTGGTCGCTTCCTGTCGCAGGATCGATGCGCGTGTACTCCCTACCGTTCGTGGTGGTGCGGCGCCAGATTTCTTCCTTTGTGGCAGCTGATCATGTGTTGAACTACTGTACAACGGCGCTTGATGCTGGTCATGTATTTTCAGAGTCGTAGAGACTCGCTGTCGACTGGTTGAACGGCTTCGAACACTGTGCTCCAATTTGCTCTTGAACAAACTCGAATTAGTCCTAGAAGGAGGCGGCTCGTCGTCGTTGCTGGTCAAAGACTCACTTCTCTTGTGCGTTGAACTCACAGTCGCTCGAGCTAGACGGTTGAACACCTCTGTAGTTGTTGAGGCTTTATTTCGGTGAGCAGGTCGAAACAACGAAGAAACCTGCTGTGCTAGGTCAGGAGACTTGACTGGCGATGGTCTGAGCGTTGTAGTTTTTGGTGTTGTTGGTCCTATTCCTGTAGTTCCTTCTCCTACAGGTCCAGTCTCCCGACCTGACGTAGATGATGCTCTTGCTCTAGTTCCTCCTGCACTGTTTGACAGCAATGTACTGTTCGTTTTGCTCGAGGAATAATTGCGCGCTGGAAGAGACGCTCGAGAGGGCGGAGGATACCCTGTCCCTGGAGTGGTCATCGTGAATACTGGACTGGTTCTGGACTGGTGCGTAACTACGCTAGGAGTCATAAAATGACCGTGGTAACCTGACGGTGGTCTTAGAGATGGGCCTCCTGGTGAAATCGTACCACCACCTTCTCGTAGAGTTGTTCTTGTAGAAGTTGTACCTACTCCTACTCCTACTACTGCACCCGCAACTCCTACTCCTGGAGAATGTCTACGAACAACAGTTGCAGGCAATGGTGGTCCTCCAATTGGCAAAGCACTGATTTTTGGCGAGGAGTACTGCAAAGCTGGAGTCACTGGCGGCGCTGCGCGTCCTCCAGCAAAAGGCGTCGTGGTCGTCGGCGTCTTGACACGAGAATTCGGATGGAAAGAGGGACCAGCATGAGGATTCCCGTGTTCTTTACCTATACCGGCAGAAGGAGGTGCCAACATTTCTTGATGCGGTATCGGTGCTGGTCCTCGTGGCGCCTCTCCAGTTGCGGACCCTTTACTCTGCCTCGCTTCTTGAGCAGCAATGGATGACCCTACTTGTGCTAGCCCTCGCCGTTTGTTGACTCCGAAATTGGATATTTTCCTAGTAGGAGAAGGACTTCTACTACCGACCCGCCTTCGACGGACAACCTGTTCTCTGAGTTTCTGCCTCTTCGCTGGCGAAATCGCACTTGGAGCTGCTTGTTTCTTATTCTCTGAGAATTCTAGAGCATTGACAACATCGTGGTCGTCGTCATCCTGAGCGATAATATGCTGTTCTCTATCTCTAATATCCTCTTGCTCCTCTTCATCCCCCTCCGCAACGGACTGTAGAAACGAAGAGTTGGGATGTTGCGGCGGCTGTGGAGTCAGGAGGAGAGCGGCTGAGGAGAGGTTCACCATGGGCGCAATCGGTGAGGGAGAAGCGAGTAAGGGGGTGCTGCTAGTCGGAGTGACATCAGTATTGATGTTGTATTGATGGAGATTTGCTGTAGTTGGTCGAGGAACATGCAGAGTAGGTTGCTTGTTCTTGAGAGGTGACGTATCTCTGGAACCGGCTTTTCCAGGAAAAGCCGGTTCCAGAGTGCTGCGTGCTGTTGAACTAGATGAAGACGGTAAACTAGGAGCACGCGGTGGTAGTTGACAGGCTGTGGGGCCACCCGCAGCACCTCCAGAGGTCGAAGATGTTGCATTCGAGGACGCCGGGTTTGATGTCCCACGTTTTGCCTTCGGCGGACTGCTTACCGATCGTCCTTGTTGTACATTGGGAGACGACCCACCCGCAGCTAATGGTGTCCCTATTTTGATGTTGAATGACGGAGCTACTAGTTTCTTCGCTTTCAAACTGCTTTTGGCGGCAGCCACGGCTTTCTTCACGTCTTCGAGTGAATTGCGAGCTTCTGAAGTAACGGCAGATGATGTTGATGAAGCACAAGCGTGCTGATCTAGACTAGTTATATTAGCAGAGGATGATGAACTTCTGGCTGCTGCAGAAGATGAGCTGCCTCTACTTACAACAACTGCCGAAGATGAAGAAGCTGCATTAACACCCACAGCTGAGGTCTTGATTTGTAGCCTCTGTTTCAATACTGGAGCTGTCGTTGGAGCCACTTTCTTCTTCTGCGGCGAAACTGTTCCCCGACTCGAAACCCTCTCAAATCCAGCGATCTTTGGGACTACTGTGGTCTCTCTCGTCAGTGGGGGCGTCATCGGTTCTTCCTCATCACTTCTTGTTACTGAAGGAGGACTTCTATTATAGCTGCTATTCATAGTGTGACTGTGATAAAATCCATTAGAGGTAGGTTTTTGGTGCTCGCTTACCCCGCTTGTTATGCCTTTCTCCCTTAGGAGAGGCATAAAAAGCGGTAAGAAAAGCACCTTTAACCTACCCTTAAATCCACTCGTAGCAGGTCGTGGACCCAGAGGAGGCGTCGATGGCGACAAAATCACTTCAGTTTCTGGAGCTACTTCGGTTTCTGGAGCTTCCAGTTCCGGTGCTTCGTCTTCGGGAGTAAAAATCTCATCTCCTTCGTCGGGCACGTCAGGCACTATGTCCTCCTGTTCAGGATAATGTTCCTCCATGTTGAGGTTTATTTCATGTTGCTCTTCTTCTACCTCGTCTTCTTGTACAGGAGAAGACCCTACTACTTCTGCTCGTTGTGCAACTAGATTTGAATCTTCTTTCTTCGTATCGACATCTACATCAAACGCCATGGCATTTGCGAGTTTCTCACTCAGTCGCATTTGTGTTGACTCAATTTGCTCCAAGATCTTCCTGAAGTTTTGGTTCCCTCGCATCTTCTCGACTGTGTTGGTGCTTGAAGAAGATGTACATCCACCTAAAGAAGAGGATGTCATTGGAGCTGAGGTGTAACCAGGTGGTACTGCAGGTGTAGTCCTTGCAGCTGGGAATTGTTTCCGAGGACCCATTGGGATGATCTCAACGCCGTTAGGACCTACAACTTGTTCTGGTACTGTTTTCTTTGAGGAGATGAGTACAGAAGATGAGAAAGTCGAAGTAGTAGTCCCTTGCTGATCATGTTGATGACTCTGTTCTGGTGCAGCCTCTGCTGGTACTGTGTGTGACTCAGGGACTGACGCTGCCTCGTCTCTCACTTCCCACTTCGCTTCTTTGGTTGTACTTCGCTCAGCACTCGTCCCACTAAATGAGGCAGCTTCTGCCTTCCCACCATGATCTTCAACTAATAACACCGCTGTGTGATCACTCCCTAGATATTGTGGAGGCGGTGCAGCACCCTTCTTCGGCGACGATGTAAACAGAATCGCAGGGGGACATCTGCCCGTGCTTACCGCACTACTAGAGGTGGAAGATGACGCACTGTCTATCGCATGCTGATCAGCATCCACACCTCTTTGTCCTGCGAAGCGCAATATATTCCTGTGCTTGTCGTGGTCCTCTAGAACTGGATTATGCGTATGCTGGTTTGGCCCACCTCCACTTGTTCTTGTTAATATTGCTTCTTCTTCCCCAGAGGACGATGAAGACGAGGCTGCGGCAGTACTAGCATTGGCAGACGTAGACGCTGCTCTAGCACTGCTCTGGTCCTCTGCTAGCTGAGGATTCTTTGCGGGAAGCGTTCTGCTCTTTGAAGACCTTGCTTGCACAATTATATCATCTCGAGACACGACAGCTTCAGCTGCCGCATAACCTTCAGCAGGACGAGGTTTGGGATAGCCATTGCTCCCTTTCTTGTTAATACGATTGTCCACCAAGATAATTTCGTCATCGTCGATCGTATACAGTGGTGTACGTGCAGGCGGCTGTGGCGCAGCAACAGCAGTGGAAAGATTTACCAAAGTCTGGTAGAAGTTGGATTGTTTGAGGTCGTCGGGTCGATTTTTTGACGACAAAAATTTTGGTTTTCTTTCGGTCTTCTAGCATCTACTAAACCCATATCCAATCATCTATGAGAATCATCATCCTGATAAGTAGTAGTAGTGGAGTACCTTGTCCTCCCCTGACGCAGTGGCCCCGCCAGCTGCACCTGCAACGCTACCTCCATCAAGGCCTAGGCCAGCACCAGTCGTTGTCAGTTCCGGATTTTCAGAGCTGCTTCCTCTTATTCGCAGTCTACCCTTGTTTGGTGAGGATGACGATCTTGAGGATGAAACGGCAGTTGTACTACTACTGCTGGCAACTACATGATCGGTGCTAGTTGTACTGGAAGACCAAGATGAATCTTTATGATGTGAGGCTTCTGGAAGGAGCGTAGCCGAATCTTCTAACGCACGTAGAAATGCATTATGGCGGTTTTTCGAGGAGGATGTATTATTCGTTGGCGTTATGTCTTGATGCTGGTGGTCACCACTACTAGGAGCAGCACAACTGCTAATTGACGTTGCAACTTCATCCGTCTTATGATCTCTTTGAAGATGAGACGATCCCTCAAGCTCATGCTGTTCTTCCAACGAGTAGACAGCTGCTCGGTCAAATATCATCGGTAGCTTCTCTGGGGATATTATGCATTTATCCGGTGAACTGAGATCGTAAGTGTCGCTCTTGATAACAGCGACAGAGAACAAAGATGCAGCTTTGTGTTTCAATATGCTGCTACTACTAGTAGTGTTCGAAGTGCTTGTACTAGTACTAGTTGTGCTTCTAGTATAATTATGACTTGTACTACTACTAGTGGTGTTAGAAGCAGTCGTTGTACTGATCATGTTATGGCTTGGCGCACCAGGAGGTCTTGGCGCGAATACTGTGGGAGGAGGTCGGGCACGAGCAGGTTGTATTTCTGATGCCTTTACGGAAGCGGTAGGAGGTTCTCCTGCGGCTGCAGCGGTGCACGACTCCGGTTCTCCTGCGCTACTTTGATCTTGAAGGTGAAGCTCTTTTGTCCTCACGACTCGTGAAGCCTCCAGCACCCCCGACTGTTGAGCTGCTTCGACAACTTGTCCTTGTACTTCTGTCCCGCTAGCCCTAACGCTAACGCTCTGCTGGTCCTGAACCTCTTCTACTATAATTGCTCCACTCCCTCCAGATGGAGGAACTATTTCCTCATACTCATTGATAGGCTCCAAACAAGTCGAAGAGTGGTGTCTGCTACGCCTCTCTTGTGCAGCTATACTTTCTTGGACGAATGGAGAAACGAACCTAGGCGCCAGATTACCATCTTGATGAGCTGTAGGTCCTCCTGTGCCTGTGCCTGACGTCGTACTCGCTGCAGTAGTTGTGCTGGTTACTTCTACTACATCATTGCTTGCAGTTGCAGACGCAATACTACTTCCGCCTGCAGTAGCAGTTATCTGTGGACCCGAAGAAGTCGCTAAGTACGGATTCCTCGGGCCGTGTTGATGCGCTCGTCCACCAGCAACGCCACCTCTTGAAGCCCCTGTCGTGGTTGGACTTACACTTGCTGCAGACACAGTTGCTTCTGTTGTAGTTGTTGTTGTTGTTCTTGTACTTTTTTTAGCAGGAGGGACTATAACAGTAGACGGCGTAGTACTAGCTGGAAGACTCTGACTCGTTCGCATAGGATACAAAGGACTCTTTTTCCGCTCTCCTGGATTTTGTAAGGGAAGCGCGCCACCATAAGTCGGGTCTATGTCAACGGGTGAAGACATATAATGGTGTAAGGTTGTATGTGTTGTAAGAACTTGAGGGTATATTTTAGAAGCAGGTGGATTCGCACTTGCCGCTCTAAGTTGATGTTCAACATTGATGTAGTTATTAGCAGCTGCATCGTGATTCTGTAGAAGCTCGGCCAGGGATGGCGAAGGAACAACATTCGCCGCGTTCCCATTCAGGTCGTGGCTTCTCTGAGCCTGCAGTTGCCGCCTGGTCGGACTCCCACGTCTGGATGACGGCGAGGAGGCGGAGGGTGAAAGGCCTCCACGTCCTCCAAGATGAGAGTGAGTGGAGGAGGCGATCATGATTACCTCACGACGACCTCCAGCAGCACAATCTATATTTTAATATATTTTCTTTTTGATGATCATGATGAAGATGTGCTGACCAGTTCCACTACTTTTTCGTGCTATTCTTGCTCTTGGCTCCTCCTACAAATTGAAGTTTGAGACATCTCGTCACTGTTGGTGTCGGTGGGGTAATTGGATTTTCTTGATTTTTAGGATTTCGTAATCTTTCTATTCGCTTCGAAGATAAGAGATTGGAAGGGCGGGTCGTTATTGTTTCTAAGATCATGGCCAGCTGCAGTCGGCCTCGATCATGGAGGGTGGTGGTCGACCGATAAACTGGCAAACAACAAGGAACAACTTTTTGTTTTGGTTTCTAGGGAAGTTCTTTTGCTGTTTCTTTTTAGACTCCTGTTCTTCTTGCTCGATCATCGGTCCGATTTTGCCACATGACACGACAACAGCAACACGTCATGCTATTATAATCTCACACTCACTCTGACTCTCACATCTTATTCTCATCAAGTATAGTATTAGTGGTTGTGACTGTCTCAAGCATATATCTATGAGTATCTGCATGTATCACGTTGGGACGGAGGACACGACAATCGACCATTGGCGATGCTGTCGAAATCTTAAGTGTTTGTGTTAGACTTTTCCGCTCAGTCAATTTCTTCACAAGGAATTTCCTTGTGAAATGATGGATGAGCTCCTGCATGAGGATCTACTTCAGTGGAACGTCATGCTCATGTCGTGAAGAAGACAAAGGTGAGAATGTGAATGTTGTAGTTGTAGTACCTCTTCTTGTGCGAAGAGGTGCGACACGTGGTCTAGGTCTACTAAGTAGTCAAAGAAACCAACAACCTTTCTGAAAAAATCACTGTTTCATCTTCACCTCTTCTACCTTGCCCGTTTTCTTTTGTAGTTGCTCTATTTCCTCCTTCCTCCACCAACTCTAGGAGATCGAGATGCAGATGCTTTTCCTCCACCTCTAGGCGATCGAGATGCTTTTCCTCCTCCTCTAGGAGATCGAGATGCTTTTCCTCCACCTCTAGGAGATCGAGATGCTTTTCCTCCACCTCTAGGAGATCGAGATGCAGATGCCTTTTTTGCTCCTCCTCGTGGAGCACCTTTTCCACGATTGGTGGCCATTGCCGCAGAAGCCCTGCCAGGAGGAGTCTTGTTCCTAGGATTAGAGGAAGCAATATATATTCATTTCTTCCCTTCATTTTTGTCAGATTCGGATTCCCAAGAAGGAATGATGAGTCCTCGTCGTGGATATAATGAAATATTAAATATTTATAATTGTCATTTCGAGCCTTAATCGGAGGGCTCTCCTTCCGACCTCCAGTTCCTCCAGCTGCTTGAGTTGTAATAAATCTCGCGGGGCCTTTGCCGCGGGCTGCTTTTACTTGTGCTTTTGCCATGATCATGTCTTTTTCCTTCTTCAATGGAACGCTATGCACTGGGCCTCTAGTAAGCAAGGCTGCGTCGCGCTTTACCGGTGTCCTCCACTTGATCTTAGGCACATCATCTCCGTGGTGTCTAGGTGATGAGCCAGAACGACCAAAACCGCCGACTCTGGGAGACGAGCCAGACCGTCCTCCTCCATCGAAGTAATCTCTCACTCTTTGAGAATGCTGTTGACCACTAGCCGCGCCTTTGCCTCCGCCTATTCTTAGAGCTCACCCTGGTGCTTATGAAGATGGATTCTGTTGAGATTCATCCCACGTGAGAGGCCCTTTTCCCCTTGAAAAGCCTCTCTTGTTCTGGAATGAAGAGAGACTTCATCTCTGAAGATGAACCATTGGGGTCTACTAAGCCTTAATTTTTTTCCGCCATCTCCTCCTCCTTTCGGCACCATATGGTCCAAGCTCCTGCGTTTGCTCATGGGCTCAAAGTGTTGACTCTTTTTCGCTCCAGTAATCGACGTTCCCGGATGTCCGACCATAGCGTTGGTAATTAGAAGAACTCACACTAGTACAAAGACGATCCATCTTCTTTTCTCTCATCTGCTTCCGTTTTCACTACTTGAAAAGTTGAAAACAGCCCACAGATGGGCTAGAAGATGGAAGATTAGGTCGTGAAGCCTTAAGGTAAACAACTGCTCATGCATCTCCATCATAGGACCATGTCTCTGAGAAGCGTAGCGAGAGCCCTCATGACTGTATTCGGCAAAGTGATTTAGATGAAGAGGCGTGAATGGCTCTGGTGATCGTAAGGAAAACAAGAAGAGATGAATCCGTGTGATCAAATTCAGGTTACCAAATACCAGAACTATTCAAGGCGAGTGCTGGATGAAGACCTTAGTTTTGCAGAGTACAACTAGTACTTCTTAAACGGAGGTTGCTATTCATCATACATTTTGATGAAAAAAAAGTGAATTTTTAGGGAAACTTCTTCAAGCCTTAAGCGATGTTGATGAGGATAAGCACCAGGAAAGTGGTATCCTCCAAGATACCGTTTCGCCATTGAATCAACACTGTTCGGGTTCGATAAGCCGCCTCTTTGGACTAATGAATTGTCCTGGTAAGTTAAACCTCTTGGAGAAAAGGCGCTGCCTGAATTAGAAGGAGTAGGGGCCGGAGGCGGAGCGCTCAGGAGGATAATTCATCTTCTACGTGGTTCCTGGTAGTTGTGTCACGATAGTTGGATCCTAGAAGGAAAAGGAACCAAAGAGTAGATGAAGTTTTAAGTACTTACTTAAATCTTGTTGATGAAGAGTCTTAACTGAAGGTACTGCACCTCCGCCTACAGAATGGCCAAAGCTCCCTCCTGGACCGGCACCATCTGTGATTATATGAGACCCGTCGTGGCCTATTACTCCACCAAGGGCCCGGGACCTAGGATCTCCTGATAGATGCAATTGCCGTTCTTTCATGGCAGCCTCTATGATGCGAGCCTTATCGTCAGCCTCCACGCCTCTATGAGCCGAAAAAGCTGGGGCACTGGCGTGATCGATTCCAGTTCCGGTCTTTCGAAAGATAGAGAGACTACCAACAGGGGCGCCCGCAATGGTGCCACGAAGGTTCTGACTACGCAAGGCACCACGCGGGGACATATAGCCGCGAAGAGGCTGATTGTAGGGGTCGCCGCCGGCACTGCCTCCAATTACGTGGCCGCCAAGAATGGGGTTTTGTCCAAGCGGGTCGCTTAAGGTGCCAGGAGAACCAGGCATATCATCGAAACGAGCACTAGCTCCACCAAAACCTCCCTGCTGAAAGGATACGTTTTTGCCTCCGATCATGGAGGAAGCTTGTTGTTGAGCGAATGGATTTGAACCATTATAGCCTGGTAGTGGAGCAATAGTAGCATTCTGCTCCGCAGCCAAAGTTAGAAGACCTCGAGGACGAAATCCATCCTGCTCACGAGCATCTTCTTGGTGCCGGTTTTCCTTCCTTGAGAATAAAACGGAAACGCCCAACAGAATGCTTGCGAATCGCAAGCATCCTGTTCCCAAGTGAAGAAGATGGATTTATTGTCACGCTCCTTAACAAAGGTGGAGCAATGTCTCGCATGCTTGCGCCGTAGAGGAGATTCGAACCCCTAGCCACTTCAGGCGCAGAGTTCAAAGGGCTCGTGGCGCCAGGTCGGAAGCCTTGTTGCACACTACCTCCAGCAAAGCTTCCAGCCGCATAGCTTTTTCCTCCCACCACGGAGCTGTAGCCATCAATTCCGCCTGGGGCTCCAGCGCTTCGTCCTGCCGCTGCTAGGGCATGAGGCTCCATATTTCCCGCAAATTTGTAGCTGGCATCTCGCATTTCGGCTTTGACTCCGCGAGCGGACAAAGCGCGTGGCTCGCCTTCTACAACCGGACGCGAAGCAGCGCCCCTGACACTGAGAGGACGATCTAGGCGTCTGGATCCGCCATCTGTGAGAAGGGGGTCTCCGACTCCTCCAATTGCGTCAAATGATGCTAACTGCTCAGCGGATCCAGTATTAGCGCTAGTAAGTTTTTTAACTGTGCCTGGTTGAGTGAGTTCATCCCCTTTCCCCCCCTATTTTCTGATTCAAATCAAGGGGGAACCCACTCAGCATTATAGTCCTCCACACAGTATAGATACAGTGAAAAACTGTCCTTAACAGTAACAGTGTTTGCCAATCCCCTACTCGCGTTCACTTTTCCCGGTGTGTGCAAATCGTCCATCGCATTCCTATTGTCGTGCAAAATTTTGTTGACACGATAATCCAGATCGTTCATCCGTTTGTCTCTCGCACTCTTGTAGGCTTCGCCGCTGAGAGTTCCAGGAATTCCTTCTGGAGGAACTTCGCGACCTAGAATTGTGTCTGGGCTTAGGTCTTGTCGCATTCGAGGACTGCGCGACACGCCTCCAGGCGTGCTCATCCCGTGGTTCTCAACCTGGTTCTCGTTTACATTTACGATCACTTGTGCTGGATTCACGACAATATTCGGTTGGGGAGGGGGCTCTCGTGGACTGCTCGGCTCCTCCCTATAATGTGAAGGTGGAGGCTCCTCTTCCGAGGAAAAAAGCTTCTCCTCCGATGTGAAGGGCTGTACGTTTTGTTCCTCGATAGTAGAAGACGTCATTCGCGGCGTTACTGGCTTATCCTCCAATAAGCCACGGTCCGACAACGACCGGTCTGAGAGCACCACCTCTTCCTCGGATGAGGGTGTTCCACTTGTTCCAGATGATGTCCAATACGATCCGTAGGAGGAGGACGAGTAGTCTTCTTCAGATGACGAGGAATAAGAATAGGTGGATCCACCATGGTAACCGCCGCCGTTGATGATATAGATGTCTCCACCTGCGCCGCAAGATCGATGATGATATCCTCTATTATCTCTCCTGATGATACGCGTTCCTCCACCTGGTGATCGCGAAGCGTGGTGGGGGCCCCGTCTTCTAGTTCTATCACCGTGGTCGTCCGCTCGTCCTCGTTCGGAGCTCGTCCCAGTTTTCCCACGAGGGCTTCGCTCGCTGCTTTTCCCCCGAGGACTTTTACCACGTCGAGGGCTGCGTCCGCGGTCTCTCTGTGGTCCACGTTGCGCATCAAGACGAGCATGCGTACGGTCTTTTTCCGAGCGCGTCTTACTCATCTTGCTCCGCCAATCACGATCATGAGAACCTCCAGGGCGACCATGGTTTCGATCTCGAGGACTTCTGCCGTCGCTTTCAGTCTTATCACGAGGGCTTTTGTGGTGGCTTTTACCTGCTCGGGGACTGCCGTCGCTTTTAGTCTTATCACGAGGGCTTTTGTGGTGGCTTTTACCTGCTCGGGGACTGCCGTCGCTTTTAGTCTTATCACGAGGGCTTTTGTGGTGGCTTTTACCTGCTCGGGGACTGCCGTCGCTTTTAGTCTTATCACGAGGGCTTTTGTGGTGGCTTTTACCTGCTCGGGGACTGCCGTCGCTTTTAGTCTTATCACGAGGGCTTTTGTGGTGGCTTTTACCTGCTCGGGGACTGCCGTCGCTTTTAGTCTTATCACGAGGGCTCTTGTGGTGGCTTTTACCTGCTCGGGGACTGCCGTCGCTTTTAGTCTTTTTATCACGAGGGCTTTTGTGGTCGGCGCTTTTTATCGCGAGGTAAGGACTCTTTTTATCAATCTTTTTATCATGCCCTCGACTGCGAGGCCTTCTATTTCCACTGGGTCGATCTACTGGCTCTGCTCGAGGACTTCCACTGCTTTCCGAAGTAGAAATAGGTAGTTCACTGTCGAATCGAATCTCGCTATAGCCACTACTTCCTTGCCTAGGCCTATATTCCTCCGACTGAGGATATATGTTTGAATCCCGACTGTCAACACTGTGGTCTGGTTGTACACTGCTCTTCCGGCTTCCCTTTTTGTTCTTGTCGCCTTTTTTTCCACGAGGGCTTTTCTTGTGGTCGGCGCTTTTTATCGCTCGGGGACTTTTCTCGCCCTCCGCGCTTCGATTGCGAGCAGGACTTCTCTTTCCACTGGGTCGCTCTCGAGGACTTTTATCTGGTAGTTGATCTTCATCCCCCGATATGATTGCAACGTCCTCGTTGTAAGTGGATCCATGACCGCGGCGTCTTCTCCCATGATCTCTAGCATGACGATGATGGTGATGGTGGTGATGATGGCCTCCATGGTGTCCTCCATGATGATGGTGTGGTCCTGCTCCATAATGATCGATTTCTACAATTTTCGTATGTCCATGATGCACATGGTGTACGCGAGGACTCTTATGACCATGGCGGCCACGATTGTGGCTGTGCCCATCACTGTCGCTACCACTGCTGCTGTGACTCCATATTTTATGCTTCTTCTCTTTCTGTTTCGGAGGTGTTAGTGGAGCTGCTTCTGGAGGCGGTGTGGTCACCACATTGATTGTGAGGTTCCTTTTTCTATCACTAACACTATCTTTATTACGATGTTGGTGGCCATGATGTTCCTCATCTTGACGAGGAGACGGCTCCACTTCTCTAGGAGAATGCTTCGCGGCATCCGCAACAACGTTACGGAGATCAACAGGAGGCAGCGATCCAGATCGAGAAGGAGAAGGTCCATGCTGGTTCTGCTGGGCATTTTCTGCGGGATAGAGCATCTCGGATGTCCCCCTTAGTTTGGCGTCGTGCCATCGTTGCTCCATTTCTTCTCGAGATCTGTGCGCCATGAAGTGCTCCTGAGCAGTCCTATCTAAACACTGCACGCCTCTGGCTAGACCCGACAGTGCGAGGCTTAGAGCTAGAGCAAACCCATCTTCTTGCAGAGCATCTTGGTGACCGTTTCCCCTCAGAAAACGGGCAGAAGATGCTGGCTAAGATGGATTTCTTGTTCTCGCCTTAATAGACGCAGCTCAGTTCTCAGCACATGCTCCACGTCGATAGGAGGAAGGCTGAAAGCTCCGCCACTAGGGGCGACATAGGGCGCAGGCGTCGTTGCAGTGTTTGCTGTATTAGAGGTAGAAGCGTTTAAGTATTTCTTGATCTTGATGGTCTTGATGACGAATGGTGCCGTAGTTAAGTACTACAGTTTATGTTACAACCGCGTTTGTCTTAGTTGCTATGTCCTTCACTCCCTTAGCCTTGTTAAGTAGAGCAGTCGAGAGGCAATAAAACTGTAACTTATACTACGGAGGTATTTTTATAAATAACAGAAACACCAAATCCAAACAGAGTCAGAGTGTCGTTAATACTAGCCTTAACTGCAGTAGTTGCTCGTCCCCCGTGTAGTTCTTGTTGAGAAACATGGCGAGCAGGAGAAGCGGTCGTATAAGTATCGCCTCCTGGCGGAACGCCAGGTAAATCGTGCTGCGCAAACGGGCGATCTGTGATCGATCTGTGATCTCCTGACGTTTTCGACAGTATCCCATGATTAGAGTGAGCATTTATCGATCTCGGCCCCCGGATCTTGACCCCTTTCCCATGAAACTAAAAGGAAAAGGCTACTACCAAGATGCCAAGAAAGATGGAAAAAAGCTGACGACCTTAACTTGATGGTCCTCGCTACCTGCTCCCAGTCCCACATGTACTCCGTGTAGTTCTTGTTGAGAAGCATGGCGAGCAGGAGAAGCGGTCGTATAAGTATCGCCTCCAGGTGGAACGCCAGGTATATCGTGCTGCGATCTGTGATCTTCTCCTCCCTGACTGAAGCTGGCCAAATCCCTGATGGTTCTTGGCGAGGACGGGTGTGGTGGAGTTGCCGTCGTATCAGCGGCGTCAACGACTTGATTCGGTGTCAAAGTCCTGCTAGCCATCACGAGATTATTGGCCCTCACCGTCCTCTCACTCAGCTCGCCGCCCATTTCCAGCACTCTATTTAGAGCTCGTCAAAGCATTTCATTTCCTGTTGTTCTTGTTGTTCCCTTCATTTTTTTACTCGTCTCCAAATTGTCCTAAGAAGGAAGCAAGCAGATAACATGGCCTGTAGAAATGAATTGTCTTTTTGCGGAGCCTTAATTTATCGCATGCATGACTAGCATGCGCATAAGCTTGCTGCGCACTGCGACTCGCTGCCTCAACTTCTTTCCGCTGACTCGCAAGTTGTCTGTCCAAGTCCTGCAATTCCCTATAGGTTTCTCGAACTTCCGGGCTGTCGTGGTTCGCAAGGTCAAGATCATGAAATTCTTCAGTGCTGCCAATAAAACTCCCTATTTGGCCTGAACCTCTATTCTCCATGAACCGATCAATATCGTCACTCCGCAGCTCTGTACCAGAGCGGAACTCAGAATGGGCGTCATGATAAAAATCATCTCCATCTCCATCATCTATAGCGCTTTGATAACTGTCTAAGAAGCTATCCAAACCCGCGGATTCCATTCTACTGTCGCCCACGACAACATAGCGGCCACTGCCGTTGCGAACCAAGTCGCCCACTCGTCGTTTACTTGTGCCATTTTTAGAGGTTGATGTAAGCCCTCGGTGTTTTGAGCGTACTTAATGTTAATACCCCGTTAGTTATTGTTAATATGGTGCCCTTTCTTCTACCCCTCAAGAGGAAAACAATAGATACATTACAAGAAATTTCGCACCAAGTTGTAGTGTACAGTGCAGACTGCCTTAAGGCCGTCGCAGTGTGTCGTCACGAAAAGAGACTAAGCAAATAACTTCGAAGCAAACCTAGAACGGCAGAGCGAACATCTGAAGCCTAGTGCCCTTAACATTTTTGTAATCTGGATTGGAGCGCAGACCACTGGAACCACGCCGAGGCCCACTGGTGTCTCGATCTCTTCTATCATGTTCATCATCCTCACTTGCGGCACTGCCAATAAAACTGTCCATAAAGTCGTCAATATGGGCGCTCCGAAGCTCGTGACCAGAAAGACTTGAACTTGATGATGCGGCACTGCCGATAAAACTGTCCACGTGCACTGATGCAATCTTGTCGTGTTCTCTCCTATGTTAGAAATTGCGACCACATTTTTGCATTCTTCAGAAGATCATCCCTGACCCTTTTCCTACGTAACCTTTTTTTTGAAAACGAGCCAAGGATCATGGTAGTAAGTATGAGGAATGCACTGTCGTGGTACTGGTACAGGTACTAGCCCTTAACTATCATAGCTAATTGTTGAGCCGCTCCGCGGACCCCTGCGTGACTCCCACTCGTCACGACTCTGAAGACTCTGCGTTGACGAGGTAGATAGTTCACTGTCGATTCCAATCTCGACATAGCCACTTCCTTTCCTAACAAGACGTGTCTGTTTGTTGTCCTCCGACTGAAGAGATAGTGAGTCGCGACTACTTCTCTTAGAGCTCCAAACAATTCACTTCTTGGGTTCATTTCTTCAGAATCCCAAGACGGAAACAGAAAAAAATGACAGCTGGAAATGAGTTATTTGGAACCTTAATTCTCCTGTGTCTGTCTCCTCTGCGAGGCAAATAATCGTAATCTACGCTACTTCTTTTTCTTGTTCGTGATCCTAACAGGGATCTCAGTCTGGTCTTGAGCATTGAACTCCGTGTTTCTAAATCTTCTTCCGCTGCAACGGCTTTACTGCGCTTTAGCTCTTCTTTGGCTGACATCTCTGCTGTCTGTTCTGCAAATCGAATAGCTCTTGCCATCAAAGTTTCTCCTTCGCCATCATCCGACGACGAGTCTCCCTCTGAGGACATCAGGGGAATCACGACAGGAGCGTCAAGGCTCGACATTTTGAGTTCCTCATCCAAGGACTGACGCCGACTCTTAGTCTCCTCTCCATCAACATGCGAACCCATCCACGACGACGGATCTTTATCATCGGCGGACCAACCCTTATGTTTATGAATGCTTTCAAAATTACTCCTGGATCTACTTCTGTCGCTTCTCGATCTGCTCATGTCACGACTTTTTCCATCATTTGTTCCCCTAAGAAAGATAAGAAACTTCAAAAGGGGCCGCGTCACGACACCAGATCAGAACGCGGCGAGGGATCCAGTTCCAGCAATTTTTTGGATCTAATTAAAAACCATAAAAGTTACCATCTTCATTTAGCAATCCATCTTCATCGACGTTCCCACTTTTAGGGAGAACGAAACGGGTAATGTCCTCTAATTCAGCAGACTTCCTCTCATCCACGTCCATATCCACTGCGTCTCGCTTCACTTCAACACCTTCATCGAACGGCTTCCATTCTTAGAACTTCCCTGAAGAGTGCCACGATGATCTCTTTCTTGGTCGTCCTCCCTTTTTTTAAATTTAATTATTACCCGTGAATAAAAAGAGGAGGGTGGAGACGGCCAAGGATCCAATATCATGGTCCAAGTAAGGGGATGCTTTACGAGCGTGTAGCCTTAACATTCGCTGTCCTTCTTTTTTTCCTTCTTCCTATCTTCCCGATCTTCATCGGATCCGACAAGCCTTAGAGACGAGGGTGCACCAAAATTGAAGTCTTCTGAGGGAATTAGAAGAAATTACTTACAACTTGGATGTCCTGACTTATAGTTGCCGCATATCGATAGGGCTACACTTTTAGTTTTCGTGTAGGAGGTTAAGGCTAGCGGTCAAGGCCAATAGAGCTTCGACGTTCTTCGTGCAATCTATTCATTATCTTCGAGCTTTTTGCTCCTCTTCAATCATGGGGTAAAGGTGTTCGCTTGCTATTCTCATTACATCCAGGAGTAAAAGAAAAAAATGACGAAGTTGTAGTGTACTACAACAACAACATCAACAAGTAGAAGCACATCATCTCATTTCCGTTAGAATAAGAAACTTAAAATAAAGTACGAGCGTCACAACACCAAGCACATCATCTGGATCTACTACATGTATTGTTGGAAGGGCTACACGCTAGAAGAGGTAAAAGCGAGCCGGTTGTTTTATTTAGTGCTTTGAGCGCCGCTGGACCTAAACCTCGACCCGATAAAAAGGGAAGAAGCCAATCAAGCCATCTGGATCTACTACATGTATATGAAGCAGAAGCCTTAACATCATTCTTAATTCCTCTGCATGTTCGACGTTTTCTTCGAAAATGTCTTCCTCTAGCCATTTTTTGTCTTGTCTCGTTCTCTTCTCCTCACTCGGTAAAGCCGATATCGACGCCTTTCCTTCGGTAGAGATTAGAAGAAAAAGTCTTTTTTTTCATCTTGTCAACAACATCAGTGCGTTATCTCAAATGAAGATTATTCTCAATCGTCAGCGAGGTGAAACAGTTCCTGAAGCCTACTTGTGGAAATGAGACCAAGACAACTAGTACCGTGCGTAAGCGTAGGTCTAGGTAGTACTAATTTCACTTCTTGCTAATGCTATTTGTTATCCTCCTCGTTTATTGCATCAATGAAACGCATTCGACAAGAACAACATGAACATACTATTTCTATTTCTCAGTAGTGAGGACAAGAACAACCTAGATGAACTGTACAATTCGGAACTATTTTTCTTCCAAGTAGATAAGTATATATCCTCCATAAATCTGGCTGCAGTAAGGACTGTATATTACTTACGGAATCTAGGTGCCTGACTTTGGGCTTTCTTGACAGGCTTGCTCCTGCAGTCAAGTTGGACTGCAAGTGCTCAGTCGAGGAAACCATCTGCATCGACTTTCGCCATTCAGGGGAACCCCGTTTCTGCATCTCCAGCTTTTCATTCAGCATCTCCTGTTGTTGCTCAACCCTCTTTTGCTGTTGGTAAAGAATCTGGTCTCGCGTCAACGTCTTGCCGCCCCTCGCTGCTCTGCCTTCTTCTGAATTTTGTTCTTTATCTCCTGTAGAACTGCCGAAAGAGACTAGATCTACTAGATTATTCGCATTTGCATTGTAGGATTGCAAATTTCTGTTGCCACCTGTACGAGGATTCTCTGGTTGCACCGACGTCTTGCCGCCCCTCGCTGATCTGCCTCCTTCTGAATTTTGTTCTTTATCTCCTGTAGAACTGCCGAAAGAGACTAGTTCTAGATTATTCGCATTTGCATTGTAGGATTGCAAATTTCTGTTGCCACCTGTACGAGGATTCTCTGGTTGCACTGCCATCTTGTCGCCCATCGCTGCTCTGCCTTCTTCTGAGTTTTGTTCTTTATCTCCTGTAGAACTGCCGAAAGAGACTAGTTCTAGATTATTCGCATTTGCATTGTAGGATTGCAAATTTCTGTTGCCACCTGTACGAGGATTCTCTGGTTGCACCGCCATCTTGTCGCCCATCGCTGCTCTGCCTTCTTCTGAATTTTGTTCTTTATCTCCTGTAGGAGAACTGCCGAAAGAGACTAGTTCTAGATTATTCGCATTTGCATTGTAGGATTGCAAATTTCTGTCGCCACCTGTGCGAGGATTCTCTGGTTGCACCGACGTCTTGTCGCCCCTCGCTGCTCTGCCTTCTTCTGAATTTTGTTCTATATCTCCTGTGGGAGAACTACCGAAAGAGACTAGTTCTAGATTATTCGCATTTGCATGGTAGGATTGCAAATTTCTGTTGCCACCTGTACGAGGATTCTCTGGTTGCACCGACGTCTTGCCGCCCCTCGCTGCTCTGCCTTCTTCTGAATTTTGTTCTTTACCTCCTGTAGGAGAACTGCCGATGGAGACTAGTTCTAGATTATTCGCATTTGCATTGTAGGATTGCAAATTTCTGTCGCCACCTGTACGAGGATTCTCTGGTGGCACCGACGTCTTGCCGCCCTTCGCTGCTCTGCCTTCTTCTGAATTTTGTTCTTTATCTCCTGTACTAGGATAACTACCGAAAGAGACTATATCTAGGCTATTCGCATTTGCATTGTAGGAGTGCAAGTTTCTGTCGCCACCTGTACGAGGACTCTCTGGTTGCACAAGTTTCTTGCCCAAACGCAATCTCGCGCCAGTCGCTTGCTCCAACTGGCCTGGTGCTACTCGTTTGTGAAGATGGATCCGATGACGAACGTGGCGATATCTCAGTCTGCCGTCTTTATCCCTATACGTCTCCTCTGCTTCCTGATTAAGTGGTCTATATTTCGGCACTTTTTCCCCAGTGTGCAGGTTGTGCCTATGATGATGGTAAATCTGGCCACTGCGCAGAGCAACCATTGCCTCACCTTCCGCAGTCCGATTTTTCAGAGGTACCAGACGAGGTTTCGTCCCGACTCCGTGTAAAGTTACCTGATTCTCGACACTCAAAGGCATCGGAATATTTTCACCCTCTGGTTGTATACCAGTCTTGTACAACTTGTTTCCTTGAGCTTTATTATTCTCTTTCTTCCACGCAGCAACTGCCTTCTTGCGGATTCTATAGCGATTGCTTAGATTTGCATTGAAATTATCATCCTTCTTCAATTGCTGCAAATTCAGCTTCGTCAATATTTGCTCCAAGTCCTCCTCGTCAACGTCTTCAAAATCTTCACCAAAATCTTCATCGTCATCCCCTTCTTCTTCTTCATCTTCCTCAGCAAGCAGACCAGCAGCAAAGGGGTTCTGCAACATTCTGTCTTCAGGTAGTTGCTTTGTGTCCTCTTCAGTGTCCTTTGAAGTCGTGACTTCCAACATAGGCTCTGCGTTTCGACTGCCATTGTTCTGCTCATCTAGTAGTTGTACATTCTCTTCGTCTTCGCCCCCATCCACGACGATGAGAGCATCACCATCCTCCTCCTCGTTTACAGCAGCTTCGCCTTCATCTAGCGCAACACGTAGGTCATGCAGCACTTTCTTGGGGAGTTCAATTTTCCGATTCTTTGCCGAAGGTTCTTCTCCGATATTCTTAGCAGCTATGCCCAAACGTTTTGCTAGCATAGAAAGGGACGAAGCGGGTTGAGGTTGTCCCGAAACCTGTACCGGAAAGAGTGAGGAAATGGCACTGAGGACAGGTTCTTGTTGAGATGACCGTTGTTGTAGTGAAGAAGTCGAAACACGACTAGGACTAGCAGCACCATCCACAAGTCCACCTGGCCGCGGTCGTCCTCCTGCCGGTTGTGATAGTCTACCTAGTCCTTCATGTTTCGATTGCCGCATTTCATGTTCTTTTCCTAGATCCTTCGGAGCTTTCTTTGGCACATAGTAGTCCACTACGACGGCGTCGCGATCGCCTAACTGGACTGCAGGAACATTCTTCACCAAAGTTGTGGACGCTGATTTTCGTGACGCTGATGAGGGAGAAGGAACAAATTCGTCTTTGTTTTGTAGTACGTTATTTAGATCTCGCATATATTCATCTTTGAGTGCATCTTTGACGTGGTCTCCCCTTAAGACCGGGCTGAAAGATGCTTCTTAAGATGAATTGTTGTGAGCCTTAAGTTATTTAACAATCTAGTAGTAGTACTAGTAGCTGACGACGTTCGTGAAGAAGTTCGAGAAGGTGAAGCCGGAGTTGTTGAAGTTCGTGAAGTTCGAGAAGGTGAAGCTGTAGAAGTAGTTGAAGTTCTTGACGGTCGTGAAGGTGAACCTGTACTAGCAGTACTAGTGCTGCCGTCTTTCTTCTTCACATCAACATCGCCCATCGTCTCTTCTGGAGTAACGATAACGACTTTTCGTTCTCCTGAGGCCGACCTACGTCTGGCATTGTCTCGGAGGTCCCCTGAAGAAGATACCAGAATACTTCTGCGGACATTTGTTCTACTTCGTGAGGCCGCAGGTTGTTGCTCGTCTTCAGATTGAGGTAGTCGTAGTGGTGGTACCGAACCTTCGGACGGTAGCCGCACACGACTAGAGGACTCTTCCCCATCGAGGCCTCCTCCACTTCCACCCTTCAGAGACCGTCGAAATTCTTCAGTTTGGTTAAGCGCCGACTCCAAATTCAAAAGCGCATCTGCAAACTTCGCTTTTGCGCCGCCTCCTCCACCACTTGAAGACGTTACAGTGCTCGCCGTCGTCGTCGTCCCGAAGATCCCAACGCCAAAACCGAGACTTCCAACATCACCATCTATTCCACCCTCTTCCTCGAAGCTGTTGGCGCTCCTCTTGTTGAGAGAGTCAATGCTTTCATAGTAAAGGTACGGATTAGGGCTCGGACTCCCTGATCTGCTTCTCAGAGGACATCTTCGACCACAAGCTGCTCGCTTGCTTGTGCAGTTTCTTTCTACTCGAGGATGATGAGCGTCCATGTTGATTAATGTGCACTCCTAGTACTTACCTCGTAGAAGAAGTTGACGAGGGTAACTACCTTATTACAACAAAAAGAAGCAGGAGAAATTGTCCCTCGTCCACGACATGGTGGACGAGGAGATCCTCGTCAGAAAATTATCAATACGTCTATTCTCAAAAACAGATAGGCGGGCTAGAAATAAAGTAGAGAGGATGTAATTGAATCTACATCGGAAACGGAAAACGAACTTAGTCTTAGTCCGACTTATAAAAGTATTATAAATAGTACTAGCATCATGGGAAGGCATGGGAACATGGGTAAAAATAGTAACAATTTGAACCTGCTAATAGCGATTTCGTATCGTCAATGACAGGGAACATCCTTCACACATGAGAAAAGTGTGGCTGAGTGCTTCTTCTCGCTAAAGAGCCATATAATCGTTATCCTCTCTAAACAGACCGTCGTGAGAGATTTTTCTCTTATTGAACAACATCTCTCATCACGACAGATTGATCATCTCTCATCACGTTCACGACAGAAGTTTTTACCTTCATCTCACACAAAACTCTTCCGCTCCAACAGCCGACACATGATACACGTAATCTTCGGAAGACAGTAAAATTTTTCAGTCCTTAACAGAGTAGACATGATGACATCAGAATTTTTTGGCGTCAAGACGCTAATTTTTTAGCGTCTACTGTCTTGTGTTGAAGATTGTCTATTGACATAGCGTTAAAAAGATTCAATATACTAATTGAAGATGGCTCCATTATCATTCACACTAATCTATTATTGTGTGTAATTGTGTGTGTCTGTGTCTCTACACCACCACGTTGCGCCGTCAATTAGCACAAGATATGAGACACGACCGCTGCATTTTATCAATATCGACAAGATTTGTCGGCGTTGCGCCGTACTTACATTCCGTTTTCTTTAGGCGAAGGCTTTTCGAAATCGAAGAGTCTATCATTTTAATAAATACATTTAAAGATGAGTCCAATGGAGTAAGGGTTTAATGAGCTGATATTTTCGCGGCTGACACTTCTCTTACCCTTTGCCCTAGTGCACTCGCCCGCAGCTCGCAGGACTACTATCTAACTCATAAAGTATAAATATCTACAACTACGTACTGAGAACATATTAATCCTAATTAATCATAACACCCACTGCCAGCAATGCCAATGGCTAACCTTTACAATATGTATTTTTTCACTTTACACGAATCGATTTCAACTGTTTGTTTGCTCAATCACAATCGCCTAGGGGGCCTCTTGAATGCGCGCATTCTCGTTTTTGACGAACTCATTATATTTTTCGACGGGCTTGGGGTTTAGAGCCGTCGCAAATAGCAGACGCGCCATCGGAACGCCATCGGGGCTGGCGTTTTGGATTTCTTCCTGAGTAGGACCCCGGTGCAGACATCCCCAATGCCTCGTCATCATGAGTAACCCTTTTCCTTGTGGGATGGTCTGCGAATTATCCTCCATGTCCTCTCGGCAACTCTCGGCGGCGGCAACCTTGAGATTAGCGCTCCACGCTTGTTCACGAGCCGCGAGGACACTGGAGGAGGTCAACATGCGAGGGCCCTCCCCCTGCCTCTCTTCTACTAGGTGTCCTGGTGTCACGCTCTCTTCTCCTAGGTCTTTTGTCAAGCGTTTGCACATCGAGCAAATCTTCTCATCCTCGTCGCCACTCGAGAGGGAGTAGGAAGTCCCATACTGGTTTGCGAGAAATTTCGTCGATGCTCCGAAAAGGGGAACAAGAAAGCGAGGGCCATCGTAAACATCAAGTTCGAGCTTGTTGTTAGCAGAGGGCTCACCCAGACTTGCATCCGTATGCCATTGACTTTCTTTAGGTCGATGGCGAAATTCCAACCGAAAACTGTAACCGCTGGTCCACAGGGGAATCTTCTCCAGCAACCTTTTCCCTTTTTCGCTGAGCTCGTCCTGCATCGAAGAACCTCCAGTGTTTTGATGGACTCTACTCTCGCCCGGTGGCAATAAAAAGCTTGTGTCTTCGAGAAGAGTCTTTTGGAAAGCCAAAAGCATTTTGTCAAGCAGAGGACGCACCTTAGCTTGGATAGCGCTGTGGATGCTTTTTGCCAGTTCCTGATCGTCGCTGTTCGGGTTCGGGACCGCCTCCAGTTCGTCGCGAGGAACTATTCCTAAAATCCACACGAAGCAATAGGCTCCTTCGCTGACGAGGTGTCTGATTTGCTCGTCGTAACACAGAAATTCCTTTGCAAAAGGATTGGAAGGCGGGAAAAGCGTTGTAAACTCACTCGTCCCAACATCTTGATTTATTTTTGGCAGAATCACAGTCATCATCGCCTCAGGGGAACTAGAAAGGAATAGCGATCCCTCCTCAGCTTGCTTTTGACACATCTCGGGCCACGTGCCCTTCGCCGGAATTTGTTTCTGCCACTGCTGCATCCTAGCCATTTCCTCCACAGTGAATTGGATATCCACCAACTTCGCAACCTTCATGCCCGGGCCACGAGGATCCTGGCGCATTGCCTTCAGAGACTCCTTAAATTTAGCTTTCAGCGTGGTCTTCATATCCTCGTCTCCTTCCGTGGTTTCGTCCATTCGGAGGCTGGATTGTTGATTAGAACGACAAACAATCCAGCCTCCGACGCATCCTGCTCCTTTATTCTATTGAGAAAAGTGTGTGTATGGTTCTGGTATTTGGTAACCTGAGTTTGATCCTAAGGGTTCTCTTCTTGTTTTCCCTTAGGATCAAACTCAGGTTACCAAATACCGGAGCCATTCAATGTGCAGGATGCATCGGAGGGATGCATTATTTAATATTTGTACCCGCCTTAAGTAGATGATGTAGAAGTTGTTGACGAGTACTTTGATGCTGTTTCTTCAACAGACGGACGGCTGACGCAGTGCGGATAGCGCCCTCAGGAGCCAAAAGAGACCGAAAGAAGAACGACGCCATAAGCGAAGCCTTTTCCGCCCTCTTCAGGCGGCGCTGATTGGTGCTGCCGTGTCGACCCATCTTCTATTTTGCCACCAATGATAAATCTTCTCACCTTTTGGATTTGCTTGTTGTATCGTGGCGTATTTTCTACTTACGAAGACTCCTGCAGTCTTTTCTTGAAAGAATCCAACCAATCTAATCAATCTGAACAAGATCCGAAAATAGATGATAAAAAAGGTATAATTAGCATGAAAGTCTGGGGATGGAGGTGAACTTGTTCTCTCCAGAGCACACTGCAAGATGAAAAAAGTTTATAAAAAGACTGCTACTGCGCAAAGAAATAGAAAACTTTCCACGTAGTTTTTTGCATCCTATTTCTAATTCGACAGAGGAATCTCAGAGAAAAGATCTGTTCGATCTTTGTGAATCTCTCGGATAAATATAACATATTAAAAAGATCTCAAGACTCACAGGGATACTCTCTACTCAAAATTCACAGATATGTTGTTGTCCATCAAGAAGACAGTAAAATTTTTCAGTCCTTAACAGAGTAGACATGATGACATCAGAATGATGCTGTGCGTGCGCTCCTCGACCTCATCAACAGATAAGAATCTTCGCTCAGAAACAGATGTTGAAAGTGCAAATATTACAAGTAACATCACTCGCCTATGCTTGTGGGAGTCCTCTCCTGGCAATATCTTCCAGGAATCTTCCTGTTAATTTCAACAAGCAGAAGATGCGTATTTGTCCACGTCGTTGACGCAAATGTGAATGGGGATTATAGTCTCAAAAGTTCTTTAGCATCACACTACAAGAATACGGTTTTCTTCCGAAGCAAATCTAAGTCTATTTGATGCAGGACAGGGATCTTGTTATTGTTAACTAAGCGATAAATATAAGTCGTTTGTGTGAACTAAGTAGCAACAGAATCTGAAGAATGGATCGAGGATTTAGGTCTTTGGTAGCGATAAAAGTTGTTTAAAATGGTACTATAAGAACGAGGACAACAGTCCTGCTTCACCATATTTTGAGGAGCGAGTCATGGAATTGATAATGTTCAGAAACAGATCATCATGATCATCACGCTCATGCACCTTGTGTGATAAAAAAGTCGCTTGCTGCAGGTGATCGCGCTGCTGCTTCCACATTTTCTATCGTCTCGGCTTTGACCTGTAGGGAAGAAAAAAGTGTTCTTGATGAGGTGAAGCTGTAATTATACATAGTACGACAACGTACTACGGAACGGTCACGAGATGAAAGAAAATAAAATATGAGACAGAAAAACTCAAAAAATTGAAGGTAGTACGAAGCTCAAGTGCTCTTGCAGATTCTGCAGTTCCTCCATCACCTTCTCGCCAAAATTGCCTAGCTGGTGCATTCGCTCTTGCTTCTGCACGTCGTGCTCGCCGAGTTCTGAAGATGATTTTTTGTTGAGATGGTGATGTTCGCGAGTTTTCATAGCAGAAGGTAAATCTATCCAATTACAAGCTTTGAAGGTGGTGATGATCGCGAGTTTTCATAGCAGAAGGTAAATCTATCCAAACGGCGCTAACATCCTATTACAAGCTTTCAGTTCAAAGACGAAGACCTCTAGTTGAGGTACCTTTCTTCAATTTATCAAACTCTCGGTAGTGCTTGTCTCGCATCTGCCTTATCATCTGCTGCCAGATTTCCCTTTCCTTCTTCCTCTTCTCCTCGATTTTCGCGTTCTTATCTTTGATAATCCTAGCCTGCTCGAATGCTTGGATCTGTTGTGTGCCGTTGGGTCGTCGTGGGTGGATTTGGAAATACTCATTCACCTTTCTGTGTCAAAGAAATGCTTTTCAACATCTAACTGGAAGATACCGATTCTGAAGCAGAAAAAAGTTAGAGGTACTAGCCTGTCCCGCATTTCCTTTTTCTCCGCTTTCTCGCGATTCAACTGGTTCTTATAAACCCGAAGCTTCTCGAAAAGTGCAGCCTTCCCTACTTTGCTAAAATTCAAGGCATCCTGTCTCGCTTTCTTGGCTTGATGGTATGAACGAGATGGGAAGCCGAGCAAAGGGTGGGATGGAGTGAAACAACAATCGTGGGATGCAGTCAAACTATCTTCCTGGTATAACAACTACAAAAGCACGAAGATTTATGAACATCGTCTGGTTTTTTATGAAGTGGTAAGCGGAAATTGAAATATGGGACAGTATCCGGATTGAAATAAGGTAAACGTCAATGTCAAAAGCCACGGATCATGAAACAAGAAGACATCGACCAAACAGAAGCATCCGTACTTACTATCCAATATTCCTCCAACCATAACAGCAGCAAGGAAGTAACTTCCTTCACTTTTTGGGCTTGTGCGTGTGACATCTGATTCCCCAGAGTCCATGCTTGTGCTGTCTGGATAATGTCCACAGTATGCTCCAAGTCCTTTACCCTCTCTTGCAGCTCCTTCTTCTCCTGCATAAGTCCACGGAACTTTCTCCGGACGAGGGGGGTGAAAGTGGGATCGTGTTGGGAAGAAGCTTCTCATATCTGATCATGCAGCTGCATCAATTTGGTAGACAACATACTGATAATTTCAAATGACACAATTTGATTGGCCTAAATGGCAGCACATTTACGTAATCAACATGCTTTTGCTTCTTTTCGTGAATTTCTAGACAAAAATCATTGCTTTACTACAGGTACAGCTTACTTTCGTGTAAGTAGCTAGTAGTTTCCATTTTGGTCGTTTTCCATAAAATCCAACAATCGCGGCTGTCTATTCTCCCCATTGCCAAGCAATTTGTCGATTGCATCCAGGTCCCCCTCATCTGGCCCTGGGGCCATCGCTGCAGCCATCAACGCCATTTTTGTGCTACTGGAGTGCTATGAACACAGTAGTGTTATTAAAGAAGTTGAACAAGTGCTTCTTGTTCTATGACTACCGCCTTTTTACTCGTTTCACGAAATAGTGCGCACTAGAAAGGACGAAGCTGTTCTTGTGGAAAAATGGGCGTTGTCGTCGTTTATTTGACAGCACACTTCTTGCAACAGCTTACTCGCCACAATTTCTTGGGACCTGCTTCTGCGAGGCGCTAATGATGTCCTCCTACTAGGCGCCGCTCGTTTCAGAGAAGAAGCACAGTAGATACTGTTGCTGCAACGGCTTCAACCACGCCCACTGTAGCGCTTTAATGGCGCCTTAGGCGCCCCGACGACGACGGGCTTGCCGTCTTAGAAGTGTTCGCGACTGCCATGCATCTGAGTGAGCTTTGCTATTCTTGAGGGAACGTGATGTATTCAGATATCATCTCTCTTTTTGCCACCTTCTCGTGGCATGCCATTGTTCCCCCTGCTATGCATGTAGTGTGTGTAAACGACGTCGTGGATTTTTATAGTAACCGTGCTAGAGCAAGTAGTAAGTACATTCAAATATTATGGTGGAACCAACGACTCAACATTATTAGAGAAGCATGCGGCCACTGGATGTGGTAGATGGGTACAACTTGAGGGGAACGGGAAGTACAACTACTATCGTCAGGCAGTCGGTAGGCGATACGAGGAGTACGACTTCTTCGAGTTCGAAGTCTCTCTGTCTCTGTTCGATGAGAAACCCGATGATTCCGAATATTATGAGGAGAACCGATGATAACATCTCATTCTGAAGTAGAGGCCAATGAAGAGCCAGAAAATAAGCACCGAAGCAGAACAAGAATTAAGTTCGATTTTAGTTTCGCAGAACAATGAGCAATGAGGCCTCTTCAGCCCGCTTTCATAAAAACCCACGCTGGTTAGAATTAGATCGTCAACGAGGGTGGAAAATTCTTGCAAATATCGATCGCTTTCTAAAGCTAATCATCTTCCTTATCGATTAGAAAACGATGTGAGAGTTCCTTATCGTTTTCTAAAGCTAATCACCTTCGGGCACGACGGATTCAACATTGTACATCTACATGTACTTTTTACGCTTACCGGTGTGAAACAAAAACAAAAAAGTCTCCCCTCAGCAAAATATTTCTTCACAAGTTCGTCGAAAAATAGCTCTCATATTTGATGGGTCTTGTTTGCGTTGGATTAGTAGTACGTGCGTTTGTTTCTTCGAACTCTTCGACTCGCGCTGCAGGCGATTTCTTAAAAGTAAAACGTCCTGTTCCTGTTTCTGACTATTGTATTTATAAAAATCCTATCATTCAGTCGCAGAATTAAAATCAAAATTTATACATAGTGTGGCATATTCTTATTCGTGATAGAATTAGATGAATCAGTTTCTAGATCTAGCCTCCTAGAAAAAGCATTTCGCGATGCGCAGCGGCAGCTTGACACCCTGTTGCATGAGGCATTCTGCGATGGAGACGATAAATCCAGCAGGGGTGCAGCTTTTGTTAGAGCGTGAAGCATCCTCGACAGACGATGACTGCTTGAGAAAAAGATGATGATCATGATGATGATGATGATGATGATGATACAATTGGGGAAACTTGTTCGAGAGCTCCTCCACCTGATGTATTTGTCATCTACAACTACTCATCAAAACACAACTACAACTAGTAGTATCTCCTTCAGGCTACGACTAACTACTGCAGAATGACTAGGAAGAACTGCAGATCAAGGATATGATCCTTTATTGCAGAATGAAGCAAATCCCTCAAATCCGTAAATTTGATCGGCATGAGCAGGAGCCACAGCACCAAAAAGAATACCGAGAAAGCGAGGCCAACGAGGGTGAGGATCGAACCAATGATGTACATCGGGATGCGGATAGCGATGGGCTTCGATGCCATTTGATGTTCACCTTCGATCTCAGATTAGAGAGTGTCGGGTGGAGGAAAATCCACGACATCAGTTCTAGGTAGGAGCTGTTTCTTGTTGTTCATCTATGAAAGAAGTTCAACTACAGTGTCCCATTAACTCTACTGCACTGATTTCCTCTTGATCCTCTATATTTTGTGCTATTAATGTTATCATCTTTATCGTGGAAAATGTTATCATCTTCATCTTGGATTTTTCGAAAATGGCACGATATAGAAAATCAATGGTATCTAGTCCATAACAAAAATGTTCCATCTGGGTATCGAGGTAGCAGCGATCGACATGATCTTCCGGAGGGTTGTTCTGTGCCTCAAGGTCTCGCGTCTGCTTTTCTTGGACACAGGCCAGGTCCATGGGATCGGAAGCCATGGAACCCTGTGTCGGTTGTCCCATCTCAATAGCGAGCGGCGCCATTTTTTGGTGGGCTTGGTGTTAGTGTCTTTTAGGTCGAGTAGAAGTGACTTTTTTTGACAACTAGAATACTGTCATCAAACAAAGAAGTAGATGTTGGTAGGTTCTTGCGGAGTGTATTTGCGCCTGGCAAGTGAAATAAAGTTGTATTCTAGAACTAGAACTCTTGTTTTTATACACTGATAGTGAAAGCAAAAGGCTTACGACGTGAAAACGGGGAGCGCTTGGGTACGCCTGCAGCAAGTGGGTTCTCAAGGAAATTGCTCAAACTCAGACACAGAGAGAGAAGGGAACAAAAACAAACCTCACCATTTATATATAACATTTTCTCACATCAACTACTTACAAGGTTGATTTCTCGTGCTCGTTCCTCGGAGTGAAAAGCGAAATGAGGTGTCTCTCAGCGGTGGACTCTCTTGTTCTCTCAAAAGGTGGTGACGTCGATGAGAACACGTCGCTCAAGGTCGGGTACACAAGTTTTACTGAAACTGAAAGAACCTCAACAACCGAGGAACAGGAATCTCGAAGACAACATTACTTATAATTTACAATTAGTAGACCCACCTAGAATCAAAATGATCAAATGTCTGTGCTTACATGCTTCAATCGACCATTTCCATGTTTTCGATTTCGTGGAGCACATTGACATTCGGATTTCCCCTAGTACCCATAAGCTCCTACTTCTTCGATAATGAGTTCAAACGCGCCTAGAACTTTCGGTTTGATAGCCATAAACCCGATCATCTCTATCGATGATGGATCGAATTTCGCACTCCTTCTCCCACTTCTACGCCATGAATAAGCTGTGTTAGCCCAAGTGTCGTCATTGAACGGGAATAGGAATGTCTGAGCTGTATTCTGCATCGGCGTAAAGTCCATAGCATATTGCCCAACGCGTGTTACGTCCACAATCATCTCAAAGATGTTCTGCGAAGCGCTAGTCGACGTCGTAGTAGGAAATGCCCCACTGCTCAATGCTGTAGGAGAACTGGCTTTCACATACAGTCCTGCATATTTGCTCGAATCCGAAAAATCTACTGCAGTGGGGTTCGTGTACACCCTCATACTAGCGAAACCACCGTTGTTGTCAGTACGCACAGTGCCTTTGAAAGTCTTCCCAATAAAGGAATTAGCACTAAGAGAACATCTTGGTGGATTCATCTTGGTGCCCGTTTATTTCCCTTCAAAAATAAACGGGACCATATGGTGCTGGGGAACAAGATGGATCATTTTTTGCAGCCTTAAAAGAAGCATCCGAGCGACCGCCCATGACTCGGTCATTGATTACCTGCACAGAACCGAGACTGGGAAGGTTTAAAGGGTAAAGGATAGGGGTTGTGGAGGAGGAGCTTGAGGAAGAGGAGGAGCTTGAGGAAGAGGAGGAGCTTGAGGAAGAGGAGGAGCTTGAGGAAGAGGAGGAGCTTGAGGAAGAGGAGGAGCTTGAGGAACCGGAGGCGCTTGAGGTAGAGGATGCTCCTGAGGAGGAGGACGGAGTCGCAGAGGCAGCAGCCCCAGCGACAGCGCTGTTTGCTGCAGCAGAAGCTCCTGGCGGCACATAAGTGTTCTGATTAGCACTGACACTGTTCGAAATTGTACCAGAGACAGATGTCGACGTTGATCCCGAAGACCACGTCGATCCCCCTCCTGCTGTTCCACCTCCTCCCGAATGTGTACTATTAGAGTCTGCTAGATTGCATCTCGGCCTCCTCATCGTGACCCCTTATACCTTGTATTTCAACATGAGGATACAAGGGAAAAGGGTACCAAGATGCCGAGAAAAGATGGATAAAAAAAGCTGACCTTAATACTATCCGTCAACGCCAATATCCTTTCGAATCCGGTCTCCAAAATGCTCCATACCAGACCCATCCATAGGTTGTCTATGTCCTGAGTCGACGCCGTAGTTGTTCCCAAATTCCCTAGAAATCGATTGAAACTTGTCTGCACGCTTCGAAGAATGATCTCGACGTCGAGAGGCAGGTTCGAATTTTGGTCGTCTAAGAGGGTTCTAACTAGGGCCATGTAGACATTAGCTGCTGCTTCTGCGCCGTCAGACTGCAGAGTTAGATCGCCTTCTGTACTAGCAGTCCGAATCAGACCTTGGACTTCACTTAAAGTTTTCGTTGGCCGTGTGTTTGAGGAGCTTGAACTAGAGGAAGAGGTTTCCGCTGTGCTGGGCGTCGCGCCCGAACCTACAGCTGCACCACCTGTGCTGGGATTCATCTGATTCGATGATGCCACCGGGTCCGCAACCACGACAATGGGATTCACATAACCATCCGCATCCTCTTCGGAGGTTGTCATTTCTAATATGGTGTCAAATGCGAACCGATGTTGCCATGCTCCCCAAGAGCAATCCTCTGAGGTCTGCATCGTACGCCCTAGCCCTTTATTAGAGCTTGTTACGGAATTACAATCACAATTACTATTGTAATTACACGCCGAAGAGCTTTCCTTTTTTATCGCGAGCGTATGGTGAAAGAGCAGAGCTGCATACTTTCCAGGGAGCGATCCGGCGATGGCGGGAGTTGTACATTAACCTGCTATACTACACGCTAGTACGAGTTACCCACTCACTTACACAAAGAGATACCTGGCTTCTCTTCACATAGGAAAAGCGCCAAGGATGGTAGTGATGTAATTCGGAAAGCCGTAACTTTAACACTCTGCAACGCTTGACTCACTTCCCTTGGTATGCTATACCCTTCCAACAGGCCAACAGTCGTGGTATCGTAAGCCCGATACGCAGCACAGGCGTCCCCATTATTGAATAGAGGTGCGCCAGTAGCGATTGCGGAAATTATTTGACTCTGGACATCGGAAAGAGGGAGTTCCCGAGCACCATTGGTTGATTTAGAACTAAGTAAGAGATATCCATCTGCGGGGTCAACACCCCGTTTTTTATTCAAAAGCGGGACCAAAATGTGGCTTGTTGGAAAGATGGATTTCTTGTAGCCTTAGGAGACGTAGACGAGGCAGAACTGCTTGCGCTTGATACGCGATTTCCGTTTGTGTCTTCGTCATCAGGACCTCCTGTCCTAATCGCTAGCAGCACTAGCATCCCGATGCCACCCATGAAAACGAGGGCAACGAGCATCATAGCTCGAAACTTCTGGATTCTGGCTTGTGCTTCCTCATCGTGACCACGAGCAGTGACGCGATGTTTGTTTATTGACGTGTTCACCCTCATAACGTCATCTTCTTCCTCCTCCACCCCATGATTCCACAACTTGTTCTTCCCCTGATTCATTGGAGATATAATTCGCGCAAACGTCCCTCTCTCTGAAGGATACAAACACATCGGGACGCCTAGTAAACCACCAAACAAAGGACGTGAGGATGAAGTAGATCCACCTGGCGGAGATGAAGGTGAATTTGAAGGAGCTATAGTCCTCGTCGTGCCTTCAGGAGTTGTACCTCGTCCAAGTAACTCTGACTTCGGCATACGGAATTCCGGAGACACAGGAACAGCATACTGGCGGTTCACATTGGTTCTACTTGTAGTACGGTCTAAATATTGAGCATGATTGGGGGAAGATGGGCTTCCGCCAGGTGTTAGAGGAGGCGCCGGTGGAGCACCACCTAGAGTAGCCACACCACTATTATACTGTGACGCTGTTGTACCAGTACCACCCTTAGGTGTTTTACCTCTTGTTCGAATATCAGGCATCAACGATATGTCTTGTCCGATATGATCCCCAGGAGCTCCTGACATCCTCTTGCTCGAAGCCCCTGCTGATCCTCCTCCAGCTGCAGGAGATTGGTGGTTCATCTTCATATCATTCTGCATCCCCCCATTTGACTTTGATTTGGGTGTCGATGCAGTATTTGGCAGTGGGGGCATGAAAGGAGGCTGCTGATGACCATGTAGTTGTCCTTGTCCTTGTCCTTGTCCGGGTGGTCGTCCAACATTACTCGCGCTTCTCCTACCACCTCCCATGGTAGCGGCCAGAGGAGAAGAGGCATTTCGAGGCATGCTCGAGAAGCTCGTTGTAGACTGAGAAAGGCCTTGTGTGGCCGAGAGAGGAGGCGGACGTGAGGGCGCCATTTCTTTAGGAGAAGGGTAGTAGGAAATTGCCTAATGGTAGAGAAGCTGCTAGCAAAAAGATTTTTGCATCCAATGAATTGACGTATCTAAATCAGCACGTGAAGATGCCCATCTCTCAACAAAACGGAGATATGAAGAAGATCATGCTCAAGAAGCTCAACAACAAGCTCACTTAATGTTGACAGACTGAATTATTGCAACAGTTGACTATTAAGAAAATGCTCAATTATATCGGAACGAACAACATGCATACCTGCAAAAGAAAAAGAACTTTGTGGGTCTCGGGAAGTGGGGCAACTGGGGGTGGAGGTCGAATATGATGTAAAATGCTCTTTAGACTGCGGCGTCATTGAGAATCGTCCGATTTTTCGCTTCCAAAATACCACTAAGATCCATGGAAACGGAGTCAGAGACCTCGTCGCTTGTCATCAAACAGCTCGTCCTGGAGTCAGTAGGGGAGATAGCGAACACCCGTGGCTCTCACTCTCGTCTGCGGGTGTTATAGATCCCCAAATACAAATTCAGCGGTTTCTTTCGTATACATACGTATGTCTCTCACTCTGCTTCAAACATAAACACACCTCGTTAATACTGATAGATACCGAACACACTTCTATTGAGGTGCAGCACCGATGTTTAGATTCTTCTTGAACTTGATGTTGAAGATTCTCCATTTATCACTTAATCATTGATGTGGGCTTGTTAGACACTAGGTAGCCCTTGTTGTGTTTTTTCTCTTACAGCTGCTTGCCCTTGCAGTTGCAGCTTCTCGTCTTTTTAGAATCTTGGTAGCCTGTCGTTGTTCCTGTTGCGCGAGGACTGTGTTCTTTTTCTTGAGAATGGAACAACATGATGACTTTAATCTAATCGGCGATCTGCCTAAGATTTCACCTGAGAATGGAACAACGTGTTTTTTATCTATCTTATCCACCTTGTCCTTGTCCTCAGGACGAGATATTTAGACTAGAAAGACATCGAAGCCAAGTAGTAAAGTAGACTAAACATCAATAATGTTGGAAGACAGAATCATGATTCTGATTGACACGACTGACTTAGAAGACCTGCAGTTCTGCTAATTTTGGATTCTGAAAGGAGAATATTTCTCCACATCTTCATTTTTAATTTCAACGATGAAGGTCTCGGTCTGAGAAAAGGGACGTCAGAGCAGGCGTTATAACAACAGGGACGTTCTTACAAGTGAAAGAGCAATCAACGGAAGCATCTACGACGCATCTTGTAGTACTTTTCTGCAACCTCTCGTCCATCATAAACCAAAAATTTCTGAATCTTTATTCTTGGAAAGAATCAAAAGAGCTGAACAAATTAAGTAATCGGGTTAATCTTGCTGTACATAAGGACAAACGACTTAAGAACAAAAATGGTGCACAACTATCGCGCCAAGAACAAAAAGGACTGCTGTGCAATTACAGCCAATAAATAAGAGAGGAAACACGTATACGAGGACAAACAAACGAAACATGAGTTCAGTACTTGTGAGCAATCAATGTCATCAAATAACGGGAAAACATATCTTGAATCGATAGTGTCGCGCACTATCATGACAAGTGACTCTACCGCGACTACCAGTCACTGCTGAGTTCATTAGATGTTAGAAAATCGTTTACTTGTTGACTCTGGTCTAGAAGTACAATCGACCATCAACCAGGTGGAGGTAGCGCCAGGTTCGACTTCATCTGGAGCGAAAGTTGAACTATCATTCAAGTAGTAACAAGAGAAATCAACATATCAACAAGTTCACCTTGGCCATCAATCTGATAAATAAAAATATATTCCACTCCGTGGCATCAAGCTCTGCAACGTTACAGCTTTACACAGAAATCCACGCATAGCGTTTTTACTCCATTTCATCGAATAGAATTGCAAGCGTGAGAAGCCCCATACCGCAATACCTGTAGTGGGAGTGGAGAGGAAATGAGGATGAACCGGCAGGATGCAGACAAGAATTTTCATAGGCAGTTTCCGAAATATTATTATAGGTTACGACCAGCAACAACAACATGATAGATTTAGTAGATACTTATTTGTGACTACAAGAGCCTTGATGTCCTTGTCGTGATGAAGAATGTCGCTGTCGGTCTAAGGTAACGGTAAGCACAACCGTCAATAAAGATAGGTAGTTTCCGAAAGCTACCGTCAAAGCTAAAAAAGTAAGTACTTGGCAACGGTCCAGCCCCAATGCGTCTCTGGTTCTTCCGCTTCGTCGTCTGAGTCATCATCACTGTCACTATCCTCGACTTCAACTTCGCCGTCTTCAAGCTGTGGTATAATAAGAAACCTTTCCTATAAAAAGTAGAACCCTTACATTTTTGTTATTCACCTTGGTGGCTTATGTAATATTACCCAACATCGTCAGCCATCGAGAACTACAATATAGCAAATCAAGCTACCGGACTCCTCTCTTTCTCTGGTTCCGAGGCATCTGCATCAATAGCACTACTGGCTCTCGTGCTTGCCTCCGATGCTGCCGATGAATTTTTCCGTTGTATCGTTAAAAATGGACCTAGGAAGTCCTGCCTCGTCTTTGGTGGTGGCGGCTCATCGAAAGCTATCTTCGATGGTTGAGATAGAGGTGCACCTGTCGCTTGCTCTGGAGCAGGATGGCTTTCCTCTGCTGCCTGCTGCATCTTTTCGCTAATATTCGGATCAATACCTCCTGTGTTGGGTGCTGGAGAAACTGGTGCCGGCGGAGTTGGGCTTACCTGGTGGAGATCCTAATTTGCGATTTCTTAGCTCGTGATTCGACGTACTTGATGAAGATGGTCAAGATCTATTTCTTCGTTCATTTTCCTAAACAAAGCTCTGAAAAATCTCAACATCACAAAGAATGTTTTATACCACTATTGGTTTTGGCGTTTCCAGTGGCTCGAAAGGACCATCAGGAGCAGAAGTCGTGGTTATCTCCGCCTGAGGTGCAGCGGTCATGTCTTTCGATTGAAAAAATAAAAAAACGAGTACTGAACAAGTGTAGTGTTCGGGGACGGTTTCGGCACTAATTTTTGTAGTTGAATGGAGAGACAGCAGGCGGGTAAGTACTAATAGGATCGATAGAACAAAAATGTTGAGAATGCGTACAACTTCTGTACTGAAAAGGGAACAAAGCTCTACCATGTTGTCAAGAACTACTCTCAGGACGTGTACACGATCATCAACATCACACCTAAATTCGGATACACTTGCGATACACGACAAGATGAACAACTTCTGAGGCGAGTTGCACCGACGATTGAGCGCAAGCTTCATGTTATTACCGATACAAAACCGACAGCAAACGAGCACCTGCTATGCTGAGGTACAACAGATACAACACAAGATGCTGAGAGGTCGAGGACCGATGTTGTAGAAACGAGTCTGCAATTGCTTGAAACCTTTTTCATTAGAAGCCTTGACAACATGTTAATCTCTTTGAGGTTTCGGATGTTATCTATGAGTCATGTCCTTGGGTATACAACATGCACATCAACAAACGAAGAAAAATGACCAGCCGGCGTCGTCCGTCCCTGTCATGCGTGAAAAAAAGAAAGCAAATACGACGTCCCAAATGCTTACTGCCCAGCCTTATCTTTTGTCATGGTTCTTTACTAAGTAAAAGTGTTGAATCAAAACTATTTTTGGAAGTGAAGTTTATACCAAAAGAATAAAAAACTTGATTTCTCCTTGGTATGGTATCCTACCATGATTGCCTTGATGTTCATCTAACTTTTCTTACAGCATACAGGAGAATGACGACAATTCGCATGATCATATCTATCGTGCTGTGTCCTTTAACAGAAGTCTTCTGCTAATTCAGGAGTTGTTACGGTTTGATAAATACTAGCTGCTGGTGCTGTTTTTTTTAGATTGATTCCCCGGCGTTATGAGTTGGTTTTGGTTTTTGATATTGTCATGATCCCTTGATTTATTGGTTTTTGAAGTTTCTTGTATCGATAGCGAATGTTTCTGTGCAGATTCTGTGCAGTTTCACTGTGCAAAAAGTCTTAGTTTTTCTAGTCTTTCTTTGTGAAGTCTAGTTAGTCTTTCTTGTGTTCAACTTGAATCATCACAAAGAACGAGAAAATATGGTTTTTGATATGATTCCCCCTTTACAAGTCATTGAAATACAAAACTAGTACATAGCAACATCCGTATTTTATTTCGGACCTCTCTCGTCTAATATCATACTCTAGTTTCTATCTACTACTTTCTCTCTCTATAACTACTTGATATCTTCAAGAGAACTAACATCAAAGTGGCGATTAAACATGATAAACGTGCTTTTCCTGCTCCTCGACCCCAAGAGATAGCAGCCTATCAAATACCCGAATTCGACGCTCGCATTCTCAGGCACGGTAGGCAGATCGGCCTGGCGGCTGAAATGCTCCTCCAGCGAGTGGCTGTGCCTTCTGCCCACCTGGTGCTAGGAGTTTCGATTGCTGCTGTCGTGTTGAAGATGCTGCAACAGGCTGCGATGGTGGAGGCTGCGACACTACATGCTGATGCGTCCGCACCAGAGCAGGTTGACCTCCAGCTTGCACCATATTCATTTGTGGTACTGTGCCTAACGGAAAGGACGCCGATGCAGTCCTAAACACAGGTGGACCACCCATGCTGAAACTAGGAACTTGTTGCAGTATCGAAGACGTTTGTCTCATAACTGCGCTCTGCTGTTGTTGATGATGCTGTGCGGCTAGCATATGATTTTCGTGCTGCTGTTGTGCTGGCAATATAGTAGGTGCCGGCTGCTGGTGATGGTGTTGGTATGTTCTTGACATTGTATTAAAGCTCAGCCTTCAATGGTCACTGATGCTGAACGGAGGCGACCCCCTTCAAAGCTCTCCCCTTTCCCTTCGTTTTCCCCCCATCTTTCCTAAAGCGGTCGCTTCTTCGATCTCAGTGACCAACCCCAATGACCATTGAAAGCTGAGCCTTAATTGTACCATGTTGCTGCAGCTGCTGATGTTGTCCTCCTCCAGGCGTTGCTCCTCTCCCCAGATTATGATGTTGCTGATTAGGATGTGATTGTGAAGAAGATGCTGCCCACCATGAGCCACCTCCCGCAGCTTGTTTTCTGAAATTCACAACACCAGAATCTCTATCTGAGTTTCTCATATCTTGTTGATGTTCTTGACCTGCTCCTTGGGGCTTTTGTTAGAGCTACCGCGTCGCATCCTTGAGTCCATCCCTGAGCCCTTTTTCCCCTTGAAAAAAGAGCCAGGGATGGCGCTGAGGATGCTTCAGCGGTCGCCTTAATTTTGGATCACTTGGTGCTGATCTGCTCGCACATATTGTGGATGCTGTTCAACACCAGCTGCAGCATTGCTCCGTGTAACCACGCCAGTGCTGGACGAGGCCTCAACAGTACGTGGAACAGCCCATCGAAACGTCGGTGCAGGTGCGAGTTTCAGGTTGAATTTATTAGAACTTCCTGAAGTTCCTGTAGTTGTAGGTCCTGAAGAAGAGGTCGAGGAGATAGCAGCAGGGCCAATAACACGTGGTCCTTGAGATGTTGACGAAGTAGATTCCTCTGATTAAAGCTCAGCATTCAATGGTCACTGATGCTGAACGGAAGAGACCCCCTTCTTTCCCTTCGTTTTCCCCTGTTCTACTCTCAAGGGAAGGTCGCCTCTTCGATCTCAGTGACCAACCCCAATGACCATTGAAAGTTGAGCCTTAATCTGAAGATGAAGAGGTGGTAGTTCTTACAACCACCTGAGAAGCGTTGTTCAATCCGATTAGCTGCTTGTTCTGTCCTCCTTGTTCATGTTCTACTCCTCCTGTAATACTATCTGAATGACTAGGCGGCGCACTCCCTCTAATCGATGAGCTGTTCGATCGCAGCGCTTTAGGCAGGGCAATGGGCGAGCAAATATTTTCCTCCATTTCATCGATGACACTCAACTGATGAGTGCCGATTGGTGGTTCGTAATGTGGATCCAGGAGATTCAGATTGATGTTCTGCGCACTATAATCTCCTTCTATTTCCTCGTGTTCACCCTGTTTCTTCTTCATATTCTTTCCAGACGAGCTAGACGATCCAGCGCAGTGGTCTTTGCTTCCCTTTGGTTGACCGCTTCGCCGGCTGCTCAGAGTTGTTGAGAATTATCGGTGTAGTTGAGGGTATCTATGGTAATATACCTTTGTAGGAGAAGAGGAACAACCAAGAAATGAACCAAGTTTTTCATCGACTGCACGACTATAAAACAACTACAACTTACAACTAGTAACTGGGACTAGGACAGCGACAGTCAAAGAATAAGTTCCAAATATCAAATTCAAGTACTTATACCTCCGTCCTCCACTCTGCACAACTCTACTCCGTGGATTATCTGCTTTCCGCAGCGAGTTGCTGAATATGTCATGCGAATGTCTCTGCGCGCCCTCACCATGTGTTGGCTCGATTTCAGCATCTTCCTCGTAATCTTGTGGACACATATCTGTGAAATTCGCACTTCCAAAACCTCCATCTCCAGTTGAAGATGCCCCTGTTCTTCCACTCCTACCCGCTTCTAAGGTGAATGTTGAAGAAGAGGCTCTTGTTGATCCGCTTGTTCGAGAAGAAGCTCCTCTAGTATTTGCAGAAGTACTACTAGAGGAGAGCTTCTTTCCACGACGTTGGGCCGCAAGTCGCTCAGGAGTGTATTCAGCAAGCATTGGTAAGCAGACATACCCTTTTCGCTCACTCTGCTCGCGGTCGAGCTGGTGGTTGGGAAAGAAGGAGACATAAGCTTCACCAGGTGCAAAATCTCCATGTAAAAGAAGTGCTTGATGTATTTAAGCACGAGATTACAACATCGCCTTCGTCATAGTACGAAACTAACTATGTATAAATAACCTAAAGTTCTCAGAATACCAAGTTGAATAATCATAATCTCCTGCAATTTTTCGCAGTCAAATACGAAACTACGTTTAAATCATGTTCTTGGGATTCTAGATCGAAGCAAAGCTAATGAAAGAATCCCTCCTGCTACTGTCAGTGTCAGTCCTAATCATTAAATGCACACAAAGGAGAAAGATTTGGACTTTAAATTTAAAAGAACTAAAAATACCAAGTTGAATAATCTCCTGCAATTTTTTGCGGTCAAATCGAATCCGAATATCTCTAGGATTGCTTGTTCAAACAGCTGCGTTGAAAACCGGATGGGCGGTAGACACCGAGACAACCTTTCTTGTGCTAAAGCTTCCTCCTCTTGTTCTGTCAAGGCAGGACCAAACTCTAGTCTTGAGGTCGTATTGCCGGAGGAACCTGCCGTTTCGATGAAAGGCAATCTTAAAGTCCACGTATTGCTGCAAAAACCTGCTACTGCATTTTTAGGACAGTCTCGAGTAGCATTCAAATTATCGGAGTTTCAACATTTTTGTTTAGTGAAATTTGAAAAGGATATTGACTGGAAGGAGTTGTCTACAACTTGTAGCGACGAGTCGGAGTGAAAATTCATTTTAATTTTGTCTAAATTCATCAAGATCAACTACAAGTACCCCCTGCCCTCGCTTCACCTCTTTCCACACTACCCTTGCTCGAGGGTGTTGAACTGGATGAGTCATTATGTCCAAAATCTAGCTGCTTTTGCAGCCAACGGGGCGTTACGATCTCTTCTTCCTGCTGAGCTTGAAAACAAGGTCTCAAACCACGCCTTGTTCCTCCGCTTAAAGGAAAACCCATCGGAAACTGTTGTTGTAATTGAACGAGCTTACCTCCACAGCTGTCCAACTCCGCTTTTTTGACGCTGATGAAGTCCCCACCTCCATAGTTGTCGATTTCAGATTTCTTGACGCTGATGAAGTTCTCCAGGGCTTCCGAATCTATCAGGTGCAGTTCCATGGCTGCATGCACAGCCGCGATCTCGAGAGTGCCGAACTCAGCTCGCAATCTGCTCTGAATCTCAGCTGCGACTTCACCTACAGTCATACCCTTCATTACCGAAGAAGCGGCCTGGAAGTTCTGGTCTTGGTGGAGAAGCTGAGCGTGGTTGGTGGTGTTGTACTAGGAATGAATTATTCTTACCACAAGGAGGTGGTAGTGCGTTGTAGAAGTGTACAACTTACGAGTGGTCATACATATTGTTCACCACTATCATTGTGATTGAAATGGTGTCTCCCCCACTAGAATGCAGGACGAACTACTACTCCTGATTACTCATATTATGACCATATTAACCATTGTTCCTCCAGAAAAAAACTTCGAAAAAATAAAGATAAAAATGCTTACCAGCTCGCTCCCTCTCCCAGAGTTTCGACTTCGTGCTGTCAGGTGATTCCCGCTTCCGCGCCCGCCTAGTGACTTCCTAGGCGACGTATGGACAGAGGACGATTCAGGAGAAGACGCTCCACGAGAAGCATTTAGAAGAGTTTCAGTTGTAGTCGCAGAGAGTCTACTATATCTAGTACCAAAAATGCTCTAATTTATGTGTGGAGAAACCTGATGCTGTACGTACTAGCGCTAGTTCTGAACTAATGATATCAAGTAATCATATCAAGTAATCATATCAAGTAATCATATCAACACTTTTCACCCTTAACTCTTCATTTGCCGTGTAGCTGCTCAAAGGTTTCATGTCTTTATCAAACAGCTGCTTGGGTTTCCAAACTGCTGATGTATCAAATCTCGGCTTCTCGCTATTCCTAAACGCTGCTAATGTCGGCGCCACTCTGCTCCTCGCTTTTGTTGCTCCCGGCTCAGCCTTATTGCGGGACATTAGAGGTGCGTGGAGATGGAGGTCCTCTCTTCATCTGTGAAGAGGAAGATTTTGAGGAATGGTGCCAATACCAGAAAGATATTAAGCCTTGACACTATGATACAAGCACCACACAAAAACCGCGTACTAAGTAGTCGAGTAGACGAGCCATAACAAGCTGCCACTAAACACCACGCCGGGAGCGTTTTCATACCCTCCATCAATCGGGACGACTGTCGAAGACGTCGACGCCATCAGAGGGCCAGTGCTGAGTGCTCCAGTCGTTCCTCCAAGGCCCGTTGATGTCCCTATGCTCATGGTAGAGGTGTTCATCACATGATTCATGAAACCTCCGTGGAGAACGTTAGAGGAATAATTCAAAACACATGATTCATGAAACCTCCGTGGACAACGTTAGAGGAATAATTCAAAAATCATATTTATCGGCGAAAACTTACAAACCAACGCTGATGATGTTGAATGGTGTTAACAATGAAACTGGTAGTAGCGCAAGCGCAACCATGTAGATGAGTATCATCTACTTCTTCATCGGAGATCAGCATCAAAAAGAATCCAAACAAGTAATCAAAAGGGAAAGTCATTAAATAACCATAAACTGATCACCGCCTCCCGCTCCAGATGAAGCTATACTAGCAGGCACAGCGACGTGTTGCTCCCCTGCGCTGTTTCGTCGAGTGACTTGACTGCATCTCGGTGTTTGACTACGTCTCGCAGACACTGGGGGTGAAGATGTGCGAGGAGCAATTGGAATTCGCCCTGTTCCTGCTTTTGCACTTCGCGACCTAGCTGACTGGATGCGGGGAGGTGAGTACGCCCTTGATGCAGTTGCGCTGCTGGTTCCAGTTGTTCCGGTTGTTGATGTACTTGTAAAATTTTTGCTAGTTGCTCTTGCTCTGCTTGGTGATGTAGTCCTTCGTTCCGTGGGCTCCGCCGATCCACGTGCGGAGAGGGGGACAACGACACGTCGAGTAGCACGCACGGGAGCACCGAAACGTGAAGGAGTGACGCTTCGCTGAATTGTTTTAAAAACGCGAAATGTAGAAGAAGTTCGATCATTTTTAGCATCAATTATACATAGCAAATAATCTTCACATACTTTTTAGATTATTCCAGAATCTATGTTTAATATCCATCGAGGAGGAGGGGTTCAAAAATAGGTACCTGAATTACAGTACCTGTTGTTGTGACGTCACTCCCACTCCTGTACTATGATCACCTCTAGTATTTTTTCCACTTTTCTGAACATCGTTCTCCGGAACCCTTGCTGATTGCGGCGACGTGGCGGAGGCTGTTAAAACAGACGAGAGAGCTGTTTTGCTCCCTAGTGTTTGCGTGTAACGGAGCAACTGTGCACTTCTTCGATCGAGTGTGCGTCTGTCGAGTGCGCCGCCTGGTGTGGTCGCAGACGAGACTGTGGTATTCCCACCTCCAGGAGTGAGTGCAGTTGTGCATGATGCGCTAGAAGCGGCCGCGTTTTTTGTGTTCACCTTAACTACCCCAACTTCTTCATGTCCTCCTTTCTCCTGGAGGTTGTGCAGGTTGTTATTTCCAGGAGAATTGGTATTGGTTGTAGTAGAAATACCAGCCAACGAGCTAGAAGAGGCTGAAGCAGCGGGAGTGTCACTACTTGTTCCACCTGCATCCGGGTAAATGCTGCATGCGTCATTTTCCACGACCGTAGTTCCCACTGCATCTGCAATTTTCGTTGTGGGTGGTTCCCGTGGTGGTGGTGAGACCGGTTCTACTATGCGCGTGACGGTTTCATCTAGCGTATTGTTGTCTGGTGACGCCAGAATCAAGCGGCGATGTGTTTCGATACATTAGAGATGATCCTTCCCGTAGGGAGATTGTTTCGTGCGTTTTTTCTTTTCAGCTAAATCAAAATCAATCGACAGTCAAAAAGAATTCTATGTATCAGGACACAGTCCTCAGACATCAGACGTGGTATTCTTGTCTTCACATAGCGCCTTAAGTACAAGACTGTGGTGGAGGCAATGTGGGCACTGAATTTTCGTCATCTTCGGCAGAGTGAGGAAAGCGGGAATGAGATACACGCTCTTGAACAAGATGCTTTCCTCGATTACTGGGATTACCCATCGAGGATGCTGCAGGAACAGGAAGAACAGCTCCTGTCGTGGTCGTATCATCTTCTACTTCTGGAGGAGGACCTTCCTGTCGCAGCCCGCCGTCATCAACTTCGACACCTCCCGAGGAAACAACCGAGCAGTCCTCTTGTGGTGACATGGGAGTTGGAACGTAAATCGGTTCATCATCGTCTTGTTGAATCCGGTCTAATATGTTCTTGAATTGCGGATTTAGGTTCTGTCCCGCTACAACGCCAGGTGACCATGGTTTCTCCCTGCTAGGTGAAGACTTGGAGATGGATAGTGGAGGACGTGGATGAACTCCCGGAGTACTTCTAGGTTGAAGAAATATATCGTCATCTTCTCCTGCGGCGCCGGAGGAAGACGAGGCACCGCTACCGCTTGTGTTGACGAGGATATTAGAAATATCAGATGTATGAGGCAATAATCATGATATAATTGACCAAGTTGAGGAAGCTTAATATGGGTAGAACACTAGATGAAACTGGTGGTGCTGGAGTTCCACTTCACGCTAGTATCACTATCAATCTCATTGGCCTTAGAATTCAAGAAACGATTTCAAGCTAGGATCACTATCAAATTCAAAAATCAACATTTCCTATGTATTCTAGTACGAAGGACTGAATAGCCTACGCTGGCTCGCACTACAAAAAAAAGGTGTGTTGCATTGAATTGTGAATGAACTATCGTCCGCTAACATAACAGGAGGACCCAGCGTAGGATGAACCCGCTCTTGGTCGCTGCTTGGTGGTCCTGTACTCGATGTTGAAGTTTGCGACCCATCTTCTTCCACTTCTTCTTCTGCCTGCTGTAGCTGCTCCTCAGAAACTACTCCCTGGACATCGAGGATATGAACATCAATTCGGGGACTACTAGGACAGACAGGAGAAAAGGACTAGAGATAGTCATAGAGCAAGGAGATAGTTAAGCTGATGAGGTAGCTTGGAGGACGAAGTAGTGCTAGTTCGCGAAGGATGATTTTTATGCTTATAACATCTAGAAAAGATGAAAATTCAACATCTCAGTTCTTTTCTAAAGAGCCTGTGCTTCTAGCTACTCACCAGTTATAATATACAACTGCATCTTCTACTTCTTGCATGATATGCACTGCCATCTGCCTTAATTTGAGTTCTTGGAGTTTTTTGATAGCATTTTCCCAACCAATCTCCTTCTGCCGCGCACTAGTGGAGCTGGAGCAGGGACAAGAACTTGTTGAGTAAGAGTATCTGGATCTTCTTCGAACAAGAACACTGTTCCTGATACTCCCGCCCCATACGTTTCAAGGAAGATGCGTCGAAAGATGTATTAGGTACAGCCTTAATATTAGAAGTTGTTGTATCTATAATTTAATGGTGCTACATCTTTTCTATTACGACGGTTGCTCTCTGTCTACAGGATCAACTTCTATCTCTACGAGTCCATGATTATCGCTTTGCCTTCTATGTATTGTAAAATTTTCATGAAGGTATTTGGCGAGATGATCAAAAATATCTTCATTCGTTGAAGACCTTTTTTACGCGTAACAAGAACCTAGTAGGTAGAAGTACCAATATTCACGAAATTACACGACAACAAGATGCTGGAGGACGGCAACATTTGCAACTTGGACCTGCATAAACAAGCGAATTATGTTAGGAAAAAGCGAATAACAGGGTTGACGTTGAGGGTGGCATGCGCGTAAGTCATGGGGGAGTCTACTCAGACCACGTCGTGAAGTAGATATGTCTACAACAACAACGGAGCGAGTCTAGCGGCACTACGATTTTCATTTTGCATCATGCAGAGAGAGAAGGCTGAAGGTCTAGTGTTGCTAAACCGATCACCCGATTCATTGTTTTCTACTTCTTGACAAGAGATATTGACATCAGAACAAGAGTTGAAGACCGATTATTCTTTTTTGGGACGTCGATATCGCTACTGACCAGCGCACAACTCGCCACATTTTTGGTGACCAACATGACTGGGTTTCATTCGGCGGGCACGGACCCAAAGTAGACAGAGACACAGACATCAAACTACTCCGAGACATCCAGCATACCAGTTTGGCCAGGGTTTTCTGACTTGCTGTAGTGGCTGAATTTTCTCTACTTTTTGCAGACAAGATCCAAGTGCAATATTTTCAAAAGCCGGCACTCTTCTATATGCTGCTCTGGTCCAAAAGTGCTCTTACCTCCAAGACATACTTATTCATATTCTCATCAAGACGGATAAAATTCAAGTGCTTCATCGCAATCGTCCAAAGAAATACTTATTATATGCGGCAACAGGGAGTTCGAGTTGTTGATTTCAACCGAATGATTCGACGATGCTGGTTTTTTCTTTCTCTTCTACCGCTATTTTGGTGTCTAAATAATATCGTAAATAATGCTGCTAAGCTGCTCGTAATGGTAGTCATATTACTCAAGAATTTATGCTAATTAGGCTCCTAAGATGAAATTGTGTGCTATTAATAACCCTAGTACGTGCAGTGTGTGTTCTGTCGTTAGGACGTGCAGTGTGTGTCCTGTCGTCGTCGTCGTGTATCCATAGTCTTTCTAAAATGTTCATGTACAACATGTTAAAAATCTCGTCAGTTGTACTGTGACATTCATTGTCCTATCATCTTCAAAATAACCTGCGATACCCTTGCCCTTCCAACCCAGCTTCTCATTCTCCATGTCAATCTACTTACTAACATCTTCGACGATGAAGCCTCTTTAACCTTACTCATCTTCATCATATTCTCTACTATCATGAAAGCTAGCATCATCGGAGTGTTTGTCATCTTCCAGAGCAGCTCCATCGTCCGGAAAAGCAGCTTCAAGGACGTGAATGACCAAACGACTTGCCGGTAAGACCCCTCGTCGAGCAATGATCTTCAACAGCCGGTAGAAAATTAGAAGAACTTGAACCCCTCGTCGAGCGATCAACATCTTCAACACTGTTGGTAGAAAATTAGCAGAATTGAAGAGGATGACTTAACTTATAAGCAGAGAGAACATCTTCAGTTCTAGTCACAATATGCAACCATAAGACAAGCGAAAGGGCATTGCGCAGAACTGCGACCCCTGATACGTAGTACAGCGACTTGCGCACCGACAGGTTCTTGCAGCGTGCTGTCTCGGACACGACGCAGCTGGCGCCGCCTGATGTGTTCCTTTCACCTAACGCACACGCTTTACTCGATGCTGCTGCTGGTGAAGCAGCGGAAGCTGAAGTGGAACAGGACGATCCTCCACCGGCTAGAAGTGGAGCATGAGGTATCTTCATCTGTTCTTGTTGTGCACGACTCGTCTCATTTGCTGTTGAAAGGGAACCACTGCTAGACATTTGTTTCGCTCCGGTTGTGGAGACGTAATTGCAGCTTCTCCTGTTGCTCAAAAGATGAGAGGAAGAAGTCGCGGAACGTGCTCCAGGCGTCTTCTGAGGACCATTAGAACATTTCTCATGACTAGTGGAAATGCGTCGCAATTCAGCGGAAGCTTCCCAGTGCATAGGACTGGGCTATTTCTAGTGGGGGCATCAGATTAACCCCGCAGCAACTCAGAGGGACAACCTTTGATTAGATTCCACAAGAATCGGCCAAGGAGCGCCCTCCCCAACTGCCAGATCGTTGGCGCTCGCCTCCACCACCCGCAATAACTCCATCTCAAGCTCCTAAAAAAAACACTCATCACCCCAGAGCCCCAGCAGAAAATGGCGTAGCAGACACCTATGCTCGCAGCGGCGACGGACCTCAGGACTATAAGAAAGCAGTCTCACAGTTTTGAGGTCCGCGGCGGACCTCAGGAATCTCAAAGGCCCTTGTGAAGAACCAGCCTCAAGCATTTTTGAGTCCACAACACTCAAAAAAGCCTCATGTCCGCCGCGGACCTCAGGACTCTGAGACTGCTCAGAATCCTGAGGCCCGCGGCGGACCTCAGGGGTTTTTTCTGTCCTCGGACAGGCCCAGTAGGGTCGACTCGGTCTGTCCGAGGACAGGGAAAACCCCTGAGACCCGCCGTGGACCTCAGGATTTTGAGCAGTCTCAGAATCCTGAGGTCCGCGGCGGACATGAGGCATTTTTGGGTCCCATGACTCAAAAACGCCTGAGACTGGTTCCTCACAGAGGGCCGCGTTGAGATTTCTGAGGTCCGCGGCGGACATGAGGCATTTTTGAGTCCCATGGAGGCATTTTTGAGTCCCATGGACTCAAAAATGCATAAGGCGGGTTCTCCACAGGGGCCTTTGAGATTTCTGGGGCCTGCGGCGGACCTCAGGACTCAGCAGTCTAAGAGTCCTGAAGTCCGCGGCGGACATGAGACTTTTTCAGTCCCGTGGTCTCAGAAACGCCGGAGACTGGTTTCGCGGAGGAGAGTCCGGAGAAAGCCCTTCGAGTGCCTTTTTCTATTACTATCGCAGTCGCAAATGTTCTAATCTAGGGAGCAAAGTCCTCCAGTTAGTCCTACTGAGAAATTTCCGCTGTCTCAGATGAAGTAGAAACGCAAGTCATGACATTTCTGTTCATCATGGTGGATGAAATGTTTCAAGATTACGAATATACTTAACGTCGGGAGACTCTCTGCAGCTCCTACAGCTACTTCAATGCAACAGGTAGCCCTAGTACAACCACATCGACAAGAAAAGATACGTAAAAGATATCAAAGAACATCATGTTGTACTCGCTAGAGATAAAGAACATGTTGTACAAGCTAGTTCCAAATTTTGCAAGATACTCCAGAGAAGCCACAGAAGAAGAAGAACAAAGTGGTGGTATCATAGTAATTCTGCTCTCCTCGTCTTCATCTGCGGCTCCTTCGTCAGATCCAAATGGAGCTCCACCTTCTCCAATGTAGTAGAACAGGCACGACCGTCGTGGAGAGTTCGCTAGTGTACCACGAGCTGAGGCTAAAAAGCCATACCTTCGTTGTGGGGATTGACTCGTTGATGGAGTTGTCAGACGGGCAGAGGTTGACGGAGAAGTTGCTGTGCCTGTCTTAGAAGAGGAAGAAAGATTTGCTGTTCTTATCTTAGAGGAGGAACATGATGGATTTTTCGCTTTCATCAAGGATCATGGTTAGGGTATCGTTGAAGATACGCAAATTACTGCTGGTGGTGGTCGTTATTCGAAGAGGAGTGTGTATTTGGTCATCCACCGACTTATCACGTTCAAGGAGGACAATTATGTGCATTATAATCGACACGCGATCAATATGAGTGTTAATCCGTAACATCCGCACAGGCTTGCTCTGGAGGTGAGTCTTCCGCTGGCGAATGGTCTTAGAGGAGCAGGAGCTGCTATACTAAAGCAATCTAGTAAACAATCCTGCTAAAGGAGCCTTCATCAAAAACGAGCCTAGTGATAACGCCTAAACCACTAAGCCAACTGGACGGACTAACTTTATAGGATTACAGAATACGCCGGGAAGGGAAGATGAATGGTGCTGAAGGTAAGAAATAGTTACCATAGACGTACCTCTCATCCTCATTTGCGAATACTTTCACGACAGCATCAGCAAGTAGAGACTCCTTTAATTTCTCGACTCCAGCGAGCAACTTGGGACGCAGGTAAGCTTTGAAATTAGAACTGCAACAAGTAGAGCTCAACGGAAGATTCAGAAGTTTTGACTCGTTGTTTTTGTTGTTCTTGATGCTAGAAAAAAAACTTTGGATTGTTCTTGGTCTCAATCGTTCTAGATGAATTTCAGCTGCCGTCTCTTTCAACAAGGTGATAAGAAGTTGGTACGATAAGACGGTACTTACAACCGTCTAAGTAGGTAAGTAGCCTAAGCCTATGCTGCTGCTTCTAGGTACCAACATCGAAGGTATTCGAGAACCAACACCAAGTCAGAAGTGTCAGTATTGCAATGTGGAAGTCGAGGCTGTTGCTGTACTTCTTCTACGAGTCCGCTTAATCTTAAAAACTTTCAGATCACAGTATCTAAGTCTTAACTTTCATATCAGTATCTAAGTCTTAACTCTCATATCAGTATCTAAGTCTTAACTTTCATATCGTCAGCCATCTTTTGGACCCCTCCACGACTCTCTACTTCCTCCAACAAATCTGCCCAAGCGAGCTTCCCCACACCAAATCCTAAGGTCAGTGCCTCCGAAAGGGCCTTTTTCAAAGCTTGTAGTTAGGAGAAGGCAACAGGCGTAAGGGTCGCTTATGTAAAGATTGATACCGATATGCTTCTACTTGTTGCCATGATCATTCGGATGAAAGAGACGCTCAATGTTGAGCAGGAGAGTGCAATTCTTGTGAGTTGTAACTACGGCGCGGCTCGTGAACAATCAACATAAAAATAAACTGCATGTTCTCGCGATTTCACGCGTTCTCCACAGCAGTCGAGCAATTGCGTCTCAATCAGGCCTCCCACGAGTGCGGTTTTCTCCAATAAACTGAAAATGGAACGGCCAAAGATTAGAAGATGAAGATGTAGACGACTTTATATAAATCATAATGGTTTCATAAGCTGTTTAGAAGTCGTTGAGACAAAGAACTGCGTGTGCGTACTGTCTGGACTGGTAGTTGTACGACTACAAGTGAATAATGACAGGGCTGGGGCTGCTAGTGTTATCAATACAACGAGCTACAGACTTCTCCTGTCACCGCAAACTGAGCAGCTCCATAAGAAAAAGAACAAAATGAAAATGACCTTTCATATCAAGCACATCTTTAACCGCATGAGACGAGTCGTCTCTACTTCATGATGTTTCCGAAGAGGTACATCACGAAGGTGAGCTGCATCTTCTATTTTTAGGGGTTGAGAGTTTGCGTCTCTAGCTCGTATGTCTATGGCTTTCCTAATTGAAGAACAAGAAGCCATAGAGATGCGCAGAGAGGTGTCAACTTCCAACCCTTATTAATATTTCTTGCTCTTCCTCCTCCTCTACATGATCAAAAACTTCTCCATCAACATCAGCATGTTCGTCCTGAATGGTGACGTTTGCCGAAGTAGGTAAGTCATTTTCTACTGCTCGTCTAGAAGTAGCACCAGAAAGCACAACTTCATCTTGGGCATCGTTCAAGTCTATGACAGGTGGAAAAAGCGTACTCGTCATCCTCACAAGAAAGTTATTAGATTCTTTGTTCCTACTTCAATCTCAGCTAATTTCTTGAGAGAGTAGTAGTACACTTTTTCCTTTCATATTCATATAGTCCTCTTCTAGCCGAACTGGTCCACTGATGGAAGACGCCGAAGTGCCCGAATCCAATCTACTGGAGTCCGATGCATTACTGTCCGTTCCCGAAAGCGTGGATGCCAGCAGGGTTGACGCTACTACATTAGAAATAAAGTAGAACTATAAACGCAGCACCACGCGAATTGTGATTCACATTCATATTCAAGTAGACCTTTCAGAAGTAATAGTAAGTACTAGAAGTACAGTGAGGAAAAATTTCGAAAAGTAGTCTGTAACGGTTTTGAAGAGGAGAGGAAGAGGGACAGGTGGACAGGTCGAACCGATACAGAGGAGCGTGCTCAGGGAGGTGGAGGGCTTATTTCGTCCCTAAATTATAAAGCTGAAGTTGACGTTGAAAATATAAACAGCATAAACAAGAAGTGCTGCGTACTCTACTTCACTAAGCTGTTGTAGCTTATAGATAGCTTAGGTTATGGATCCTGCACGGTGAGCCCTAAAGATCTTCCCTGTTCTTGCAGCATCCACATCTTCAGCAGTGCTCCTCCTGGAAGCTTGCTCCCTTCCACCAAAGCTCTTCGGTGATGTTCTCTCCTGTTCTTCCCTTCTTCTTCCTGTGTCCGGCTGATTCTTCGGATTAGAGGTGTTGGGAATCCATCTCAGGGATCCTCTGGCTCTCTTTTTCATCTCGTCTTTTTCCTCCAGATGCCTTTGGACGAGATGAATTCCGTACACCTGCTGAAAACTTCTAAAGTTCTGGTAGTCCTCGACGGGATCTCCTTCATGCGTGTTGTACATAAAATTAGAGGAGGAGGAGGAGGAGGAGGAAGGGGAGGAGGAAGGGGAGGAGGAAGGGGAGGAGGAGGAGGAGGAGGAGGAGGAGGAGGAGGAAGGGGAGGAGGAAGGGGAGGAGGAAGGGGAGGAGGAGGAGCTCAGAAGTGGAAGAACGACTGCTCAATATTTCCTTTTCCTTTTCCTAATTCCGATCCTAATTCCATTTTCTAGTTACATTGATCTACAAAAAATAGAAAGCCGAGTATTCCTATAAGAAGAGAACAGATAAAAATGAGCAGCACCAGCATGCGGAAGGAAATGAGACATGAAGTAGCAGCAGATGAGCCGTAATATGCAAGTGAGGTGGTCCTGCACTTCGTTCTTGCGCTGCTGCCTCTGACGAATAAGCCTGTAATATATTCGCCAGATCGTTCTTATTCTTATAGGCAGTTTTTCTTTTTCACTACTCATCCTACCTAAGAAAGTAAGTGGGTTTTCACTATTCCCGCCTTGATTTCTTTCACCTTTAGAAGAAATCAAAGGACGAGACTCTACTCCACATTTAGAAGTCCACACAGAAGTCCACAAACATAGCTACAGCTAGGTGGAAAGTGATAGTAAACTAGCCTTAACATCATCCTTTTTCGGCTGCTGAAGATCCCTAGCCATGTAGTCAAAGTCATCCGCTAGTGGCGGTGTGAGGTGCGAGGGTCGCAGGATTGAGGACGAGGCTTAGAGGTAGGGTCTTGGTGTTTCTGTTTCCCGTTTTCATTTGTGCTTTTCTCATCCCTTAGGAGAGAGAGGCAAAACAAACGGTAACAGAAACGCCAAAAACCTGCTTCCCTTAAGAGGCCAAGACACTAGAACAAGTGAACAAAGTCACCTCTTCCTCGAAAGCGAATAGTAACAGCAACTGCAGATGACGATGAACCACGAGACCGCGCTTGAACATTTTCATTTTGTCAGATGAATGAAAGTACAACCGGTCGGTGGATGATGAAAAGTCCAGTCGTTTGGTCCTCGTGTCGAATACTGAAAAGTACCGGCACAGTACGTAGTGATACTACTGACGAGTCGGAGGAAGTCGGGAGACGAGGACAACACCAGAAATTGCACACGAAATAGGAAGCAAAGGGAGTACTAGGCGTGGAGAGTAGACGTGGTCCATGCGTACTTGGTCTATTCCGTCTTGGTCTCCTCTAAAGAAGATCTACTACGAGATCCATTCAGAATCAGTTAGGAAGAAGATCTCATCGTGCATAATGCAGATCTTCCACCTGGTACTACAGCATGGATTCACAGCACAGATGAAGGAATGAATGAATGTACCCACTCTAGGGGTTAAGCGTTATTGCTTCTACGGCATGATGGTGTTGCAGTATCTACGGCATCGCATTTTTTTAATAGGTAGTCGAACCACGACGAGTACAACAACTCCATTGAAGAATAGTACTCAAAACCCACGTCGCCAGCGAAGACCACACCAGATTATATCATGAGAGAGCACCTGACGTCCATAAGTCTTAAGTTTATATCATGAAGGAGTACTGAAGTTTCTCTTACATCGATTGGAGGGACTAACTTAGGTGGGAGGTTGAGGGAAAAATCCTAGGACGAAAATGAAATCTTCAAGACCTTGTGGATCTGAAATCTTGTTAATGTGACTTACAACTTCATGCAGCTACTTCCTGCTTTGTCCTCCTGTTCTTATCAAGTAAGAACTTTCCGCAGCTGCATTAAGTTCAGTATTTGTGTTCGATTCATCATCATTTTGTTCTTCGAACAGTTAATGTAGTTCTTGTTGTGTCGATAATCAGTCGTGGAATCATGCCTAGCCGCACTTGGAGGCTCTCAGTCGTGTGCGTTTTTATGTTGTCGCTGATTGAATCTACTTCCAGTAGCAGCTCTGAGAATTAACGTTGTTGGTTTAGTCTCTGTTCCTCTTCAGCAAGAGCAAGGACCACTATGCACTAGAAAGTGACAACCACTGCTACTCAACATTCACTCAATCACAACTCATGCAGCACAACTTTTCATGTTTACGATGTGATTGACTACGCTTCCTCCTTGATACAGGTAGCACAACTCCACAGGAAGCGGTACTAGGAGAAGGCGGGGACTCAAGTAGAATAGCTCCAGAAGGTGCACAACAAGTACTAGTTTTTTCCTGGACGTTCACATGATGCAGGGAGCTGGTGCCAGGAGCTAGAAACTTCTTGGGAGGAGGCGTACTCATGTGATTGCCTTTTTTTGAGGAGCAAGAACTACGGAAGCGCCGCCGCCGCATCACTGCCGATGCAGAAGAACAGCAAGAACATTCATTGAACAGCGCCTATCAGACATGATGCGTCAGGGTCAGAGGCAAACCAACCAGCACCAAATGAAAATGAATTATCAATATCCTTCGTGCTGTACATTGTAATTGTTTCCTGTTGTAATTGCGTTTCTGCTGTCGTTTTTCATCTTGTCGTGGTTCTTTCCTGAGTCCTGACCAGCTAAAATCATGTGCGACTTGTCTGATTACACGAGGTAGTTATCGTGATCGTCTGGCGTCGTATTTCATTGTGGTTCGCATGATCATGTCGTCGATATTGTAGACCTGTTTTAAATAAACTACAAATCTACTTCATCTCAAACAGTCCTAATTACAAATTGCAAGTAATCTTAATTGTGTACTACCCGTATGTTGTACAACGAACGATCAAATCAAGTAGAAGCATCACAAGGGGTTAATCGCATTGCAGTGTGGTGCATACTGTGAAAATAGAAAGTGAAAGACGACTCGCCCCCTTTCAAGAAGTCCCCGCCTTTCAAATTTTCACTGCGTAGTGAGGTGAAAATGCGCGTCATCGCGTCCCCAGCATTCATCTTCTCCTACAAGTTGATGTGAGCATCTGTTTCTTGATTTTTCGTTTGAATTGATAAGATTCAATTATAACTTCTTCCCATATATTGATCAGGAAGTCCTAACTTACTACAACTAGTTCAATAAACTAACTCATTCATGTTGATGTTCTTCTTCTTGGCTCTATTCATTCGTTTTTCTGTTCAGTTATAATTCCTCTACTCAGTTCTGTTCAGTTCTGTGCTTGTTGTGGCTGGTGCTGAAATAATTCGGATTATTCCGAAAATAAGATAAGTAGATGGGTCCATCAGGTAAACATGTTGTACTAAATGCAATGCTCGTGGTGATTGATCTGATATACGCAATTTGAATTGTCAAATACGTGGCGTTGAACAATACGTGGCGTTGAATAATAGATAGCAGTAGTACGTTGTGTATCATGAATGTCAGTGATAATGCAAAGTTGTTCCCCAGATGTAAGATCATTTGAGAGTAATATTACTCTTCTTGTGTATGTTGAAAACGTGAGATATAGGTATGCACTTGTATTTCAAATAATTCAACTCCCTAGTATGCGTATGGTTACGTCGTAGTCATAGTCATTGAACATGATCATGTAGGAAGTTCAAGTAATAACAAGAAGATGATGTGTGGTCTTTTTTAGTGCTGAAGGTGTCTTCTCACGATTTTTTTGAAATTGTAGTACAACAATTGAAAGGAAGTCGTCGTAGTTTGTAGTTCTTATACATAGTACGGCAGCCCTAGGTTTGGAGGCTAGTCCAAGATTTTTTTGACTGAGATGCGTAAGCTGCTGAAGAATCGAAACGGACAACTGTCGGACACAAGCTTTGGTTTCGGTTCCCGAACCAAGAAACGATTTGGTGGCTGTGCTCCCATCCACCATTATGAGAAGGCTCCTATCATTGCCAGTCTCGCGTAGCACCTGGAAGCGGAGGAGGACAGCGGTTTATTAATAAAGGAAAAAAGAAATTAGCATGTAAAAACCCATCAATCGTACATACCAAGCGGAACGAAGTAAAAAGGTCAGTAGCAGGACAAAAATCACAAGGGAATTGCAAATCAAGAGTGCTGTCGAGGACGTCTACGTCGGTACGGTTAACAAGATACAGATTGAGATTGATAGTGGAATAAAAAAAAAAATCATTGAAAAGAAATAATGTGTAAGCGACTGTACCTGTTCAAGAATTTATCCCATGGCAATAAGCTTAAGCTCAAGCTGTCGTCGTGACTTTTCGACCACCAGATAATATGCCCACATCCGAGCATGATCGCAGCTACAACTTCGACCGATACAACTTCGATCCTGGTCTTTTTCTGCGTCAACTCGACGACGACAGGACGAATACGCCAGAAGTCAGAGAAGTCGGGGCCTGCTTTCTTGGAACTACCTTGACGTTCACGACCTGGAGGATTGAAAAGAAACGATATCTATAGCAGAGAAATTAATGTTGATCAGTGAGAGTGGTCAAAGACAAAGGCGATACTGGCGGAAAGAGTGGAGTCTTCTTACATCTGTAGAAGTGAAGTTAAAGTTAGATACTAAATGCTTATTTTTTGTTGACCACAGATGATATAGGTTATAAATATTGATACTCAACAACGGTATTCGAAAGATAGAAAGGTAGGTGGTAGATGTATCTCTACTACCTACTGCAGCTCTGGTCGATAATCGTAGTCAAAAACATGTCCACCGAAACACAACTTGTAGGTCGAGTAAAGTTTGACCCAAGGAAAAGAATTACATCAATCGATTTTCCCTGCGAGCATGCTTTATGGAACCTGTAGTGGCTTCTTTGATCAAGTTTAACAAGTTCAAGATTCATCTTTCAAGAACGAAAAAAATGCAGATCCAGTAGATTTTTTATATAAGTACTCGTCTTACAAGAACTTTGAGCAGCAAGGTAAAAACCGAAAGCCACATCATGGAGAGGAGTGAGTGTTCAAAAATACTTTGCTTTATTATAGTACCTGTTCAACTTCAAGATGTAGATGATCTTCTCGAGTCACGATTTTGATAGTATCATCTCCCTGCACTTCTTGTTCTTCCGCTTCATGTCGTCCACGAGGTCCTGCTCGATCCTGCGCAACAACTACAACTCTTCTCATCGCATAGTCAAAAGCGATCCCAGTACTAGATGAGGTTCTTCTTGGACCAAAAAACTACAACCACGACTACTAGGCTTCTATTGTTTGCTTCATCTTCTATCTCCTGCTTTTCTTGTGCTTTTGAAACATCGGCACGGAACAATATGTAGTACTTTGTTTTTCTACCATTGCTTCGATTGTGTAGTCGCTCTACTACTTGCCCTACTGCGTCTACTTCATTTTTCTTTTTCTCACTAGCGAACGTCTTCCTTGTTCTTAAAGATGATTGGGAGTACTCGTACTACTTCATCTTGTAGTATTGGTACTAGCTTCTCCCCCTTCTTCTTCTACTAGCACATTGTCTATTCTTTTCTTCTCTTACTTCTCCTCCACTTTTTCTCCATTCTCCAGGGCCCCGTAAATGCCCTCGCTGCTCGTGGACGCTATGATGCTCGTCTGTTGTTCATGTGAGTAGTCGTTGTAGCGAAAAAACTGTGACGCAGTACGACGCGCGCGCTTCGAGCAGAAGAGAAATCCCGCCAGGAAGATCACACTGGAGCCAAGAACGAGTGCTGGGTTGTTGGAAGCAGAAGCTAAGACGTTGTGGAAGAAGGAGGCGGTTGCCGTGTTTGCGTATTCTTATCTATTCATGCGTACTACGTATTCGTTCTGACTGCTGATGGAGTTAATTCTCATGTCATAGAAAGCAAGAGGACGATCACGGTTGTAACCGGTGGGACTGCCGTGTAAGCCGGGCGGTGAAAATGCTGTGGAATCGATAGCGCAACTTGCTACGCAACTACTCCTCTTCACTTGCGTTTTATATTTATACGGACCAGTGAATAATTGCGATCCCCATGATCTCCGCATTAATGTCTTCACAGACACAGAAGCACGGTCTCAACAAAACCTGGACGAAAAAGTAAGAGGTGGAGAGAGAGTATAGTAAAAGCAGCAGAAGTAAAAAAAATATGTCCTGCATTAAATATGGAGATTTTATGAAGGGATTGAGGTCGTGGCAGCACCGGCAAAATCAAACTAAAAAACTAAGACGATACCTCAAAGAATGAATTACAAATACAAGAAGGAAGGATCAGACGATCATGTGTACCTCTTACAGTAGCCGCAACCTCCAGCGAAGCACTTGTCACTTATAAATTGGATTCACGCCCGTAATGTGTGCTGTCTCCTCCATCTTGCACGCTCGTTGTTAGTACTTACATGAAAGTTAGGTGCACGTACACGTCGTCACATCAAAACGGGATAATAAATAACCCAACTCCACCAGTACCACTCCACTGCGCTCTGATTGCCAATTGGTTTTAGTGCGAAGCCTGTTGTAGTCGTGGAGTATTATAAAGTGGAGTGCTAAGTTTGTTGGTCATGTATGGCTCAAGCCTCTCGGGTGTCGTGGCGTTCTGTTCTCAGTGGCTCACACAAAGCCTCGCGCTCGACCGTCATCGGGATGATCTCACAAGACATGAGTGTCAATGATCATGAATGCTACCTCCAATGCACATTCAATGCATAATCATAATGGTCAAGGTGTAGACTAGGCACGGCTGTGCTGATCCTAGTCGTATGATGCATGTTCAGTCCGGTCCCTTCTGACATGCTTACGCGTTGGCGTATGATTCATCCTACCCAATGAACCAAACAGGGACTACACCAGCCAGAGATCACAAGTCTCAGGCAGGAGTATCAAGATTTGCTCGCATTCAAGATTCTGACTTTGTGTTTCCACTGAGAAACGAACCAAGGCACGGAGGCCTGTGTTCTTGTGGTCCAACACTGGTCTAACCCTTGAGCGGCGAAAGTAAATAATAATTGGAAGTAGTGTAGTAAATAAACAAATCCATCAAAATGTCCTGCGAGGCCAAGGAGATCCTCAAGAAGTTGGGACAGAAGTCCGACTGGCGCGAGTGGCAACGAGCCGCACGTCAAGAAGCTAGTCGCCTAGGCTTACTTGAGAACTACACGAATGTAGTCAACGTGCCGGCCGTTCCACATGGTGCACCGCAAGGCAATACCAGTCGCGAAGAAGCGACCCGCCAGAAGTGGCGCAACCTGAAAGACGTAATCATACGAGGCCTGAAAGGTGCGGCCAAGTCGTTGCTCGTCGACAATCGGAATAACGATGGCGCGGTGGACGAGATGGATGCTGGTGAAGTTGTTGCTCTACTTCGTGAACAAGGGAACTTCAACGCAAACAATCGCCAGGAGCAGCGCATGAAGGTCAAGCCGTTGTCGGAGGGACTGACGAAGTTCCACAACAGCGACCAGCCTGCAGATGTCAAGGAGTTCCCCTCGAAGATCCGCGACATCGTGAACCAATCGCCCACCGTCTTCCCGCCGGATGCAGATCTGCCCGAAGCTGATCAACAGAGCGGAGCGATCTTGCTGAAGTTGCCCGAGTTGTTCTGCAAGAACTTCAAAGCGACTATCGAGCGGACGCAAGAAGAAGATGGCCTGACATTCGACCAAATTGGGGACCGACTTGAGAAACGTCTCACAACGTTGATCGAGGAGGGAACCTACAAAATTGAGAACGACTCCTTCAGGAAAGCGTTTCCGGTCAATGTTCAGGAAACCTCGAACAAGCGTCCTCGTGATGATAAGAATGAGGATGATGACGAGGTAGAGGCCAATAAGGCAGATGGTAAGACCTTCACTTCCGCTAACGCCCTCAAGCGTTTCAAGCAGAAAGAAAAGAAGAAGGCAATCGCCGAGGTCTACAACTCCTACGGGTACCAACCCAAAGGAGGAAAGAACGGCGGACAAAAGCCGAAGAAAGATAAAGGAAAAGGAAGGAATAAGAATACCTATCCACCCCGCTGTGCTTGCTGCCACAAGGTCGGACACAAGTCCCCCGAGTGCTGGCATAACACGCAAGCCCTTCAACAGGGACAGGGAAGTTGGACTACCGGAGCCCCATCTAGTAGCTCTAGAGGCAAAGGTGGAAAGGATAATAGCAGTGGCATGATCCACATGTCGCAGGTTGCAGAGATGCTCAACGTCATGAACTCGCACAACCGAAGCTGAGCGACGGAACCAGACGAATTTGGGACGTGTTCGCTGAATTTCGAAGAAGATGAAATAATGGCAAATGTTGTTAATCATGCTGATAGCTACAATACCGATGGATATAGTTTCACAACCTTGGATACTAGAACTTCAGAGGACGCAACTCTAGTAGATAGTTGCGCAAACAAATATCTTTCACGACACAGAGATGATTCCGATGAAATTGGTAACAACATTTGTAGAGTAACAGGTAGCGCAGGCACTAAAGACGGAAAAGTCGGAAAACTCAAGAACAACGCGCTTGGACTAAAGAATGGAGCTTGCTATGATTCTCTACCTGGAAACATAGGTCGCGCATTGCCATGGTTAGGAGACGGAAACTGCTCGCAATTAGGGTGGGAGTTCAACTTCAAAGGCGCTGGCGGTTGTATCGTGCACACGGACACCGGCCAGATGCTACCCATCAGAGCTCACCCACGCTTGCAGCTACCCGCACTCGCATGTAGTTTCTTTGAAAACAAACACGAAAGTGGCTCCACTTGTGCACCCATTGAAGAAGGTGCTTCTAGTTGCTATCTTACGAGATTAGAACTACACAGGAGATGTGGACACTTCCACATAGATGGTTTGCAAGTTAGTTGCCCAGAATGTGACCTACATAAAGGACAACGGAAACCCCATGCAAAATCTAGAGACATGTCTACCTACAAACCCGATCCGAACCCCTCAAACTACTTGCAATAGACTTTGCTGTAGGAATAAAACCTGTTCCAGTAAGATCTACGAGATGTGTTCTAGTTGTCATATGTGACGTAATTAAGAAGGCGCTCTGTCGACCGCTGAAGCTTAAAAGTGACTGCGTGGAGGAAATAGAACAAGTCATAAAAGGCATTCGACGAGACTACTCCCTATCGCTAGATGACAAGGTAGCGCGGTTCATCCGGAGGGATGGAGAACCAGTCCTCGGTAGTGATGACATGACCAAACTCATGCAGTCGCTGCGGGTCTCAGACAATCCGGCTGCTCCTTATAGTCCGGAAATGAGTGGGACTGTTGAACGTTTTATGCGGGCCTTGTTTGGCAGCGTGAGAACAATGCTAACGAAGGTTGGTCGACGTCTTTGGTGTTACTGTGTTGAGTACGCTAGTGACTACTGGGATCGTCTTCCGCATAATTACGCTAAAATGCCAGAACACGACGGAAAGGGTCCAATAGAGATCCTAGAAGAAAGAACTGGTAGAAATTCTTCCAAAAGCAAAATCGGCATGCTCCGCCGATTTGGTTGTCTTGTTTACTTTCGTGGACAAATTCAAGCCAACACTCCTGAACCCAAGCTCTCGGCCAAATATCGCCGCGGCGTCTTCCTTGGACTCTGTCCGAAGTCGTCTGGTTGGTTGGTTGCTACTTTCGCTCATGACGATCGTTGCAAGCTTGGATATCGATGGGCGGAATGCTCTACCCTAGATGTCAAGTTCAGAGAGGATTACCTAATAAAGGACATAGACTGGCTAACGCCAGATAGAAAGGGCCTTTACTATGAGTGCGACGAACTGGAAAACTTGCAGTGTGGAGCGTCGTCGCTGGGCTCCCCCTTGATTGGGCAGTCAGTGCAAAGGCTGGGTCAGCAATCGGGGTTCTCTGGCACGGAGCGCGCCTCAGGTGGGCCGACCGGTATTCCCGAAGAACTATATGCTGAAACCTTAGACAAGAAGGCTGAATCCGACGTGGCTGACTCTTCTGAAGGTGTTTCACTTGAGGAGGGGAAAGTTGAAACGAAGGATCGAGTCTCTGACTCACCTAGTCCGACTAGATCGAAAGCGCTATCTCCCGCGCGTGTTGTGGCAGGCGAACGCCATACACACAGCAAGAAGCGTGGCCGACCGAAAGGAGCCAAGGACAAGGCTGGGGGAAGGATTCGTAGAACAAAGAAACAGATGGAAGAACTCAGAAAGAGTTTGGCGCTGTTCGCAAGTGCTATTGGTGGCACGTGTGAGATAGACGAAGACGCGGAAAGCGTCGAATCACGTGTGACGCTGTCCGTTGCCAATGCGTTAAAGAGTCCTGAAGCTGAAAAGTGGAAGGAAGTCATTGACATTGAGCACGCGAGACTACTAGCCTTCAAAACGTGGGAAGAAGCTACTGACGAGCAGCTAGCAACCGCGTTACGGGCTCTACCAATTGCCATCATACTAACAAGAAAGAGATGTGGAAAATACAAGGCGAGGGCCTGTGTACTCGGTAATTTAGATCGTTCAGGAGAGCTAAACACCTTTACTCCCGTGGTATCACATGCCGCTAATAGGTTGCTCCTCACTTCTGCTGCGTCAGAGGGGGGCTATGTGATCCCGTTCGATTTAGATTCAGCGTTCCTCAATGCCGAACTCGATCGAGATGTCTACTGCCGTCTTCCACCCATCTGGGCGAAACAGCATGGATACGAGATCGCGAAGCTCAAGAAAGCTCTATACGGCTTGAAGGACGCACCACGAGCATGGTTCAAGAGGTATCGCGAGACCCTAGCCAGTCTTGGTTGGGAGCCGTGTACTTCTGCGCCTGGATTGTGGCGCAAACCGAGCAGCAAAGCACCGGGGAAGTTCCTGAGGATGTCTGTCTATGTAGATGACAATCTTGCTACAAGTCCTGACCAAGATGAGCCCAAGACCGAACTAGACCCCATTCCCACACGTGCTCCAGGCCGTGCGATTGAAGTCGAGCCAATTCTAACCCCCTGGGGTCTCGAATGGCTAAAGTTCGACTTCTTAGCTGCGATCGTGTACTATGGCCGTGAAGCTAAGTCGTTCAGACTGTGCATGGAGCAGCACGCCGATAGAATTGCTAAGAAGTATGAAGTTCAACTAGGGAAACCGGTTTACTCGCCCAATTTTGACGAAAAAACTTTTCTTGAAGACGGGATCAAGATAGTTGATGGGTATCCCTTTCGTGAGGTAGTTGGTGCCTTACTATGGGTAGCTGTAACCGCGCGCCCGGATATCTCTGCTCCGGTAGCAGCGTTGGCTAGACATGTCAGTAAACCCACGTCAACAAGAATGGCCAAAGCAGCCACGAAAGTCCTAAAATGCCTGGTGCCAACAAAAGACCAAGGAGTAGAATACTCACCAGAAAAGGAAGAAGAATTCAACAAAATATATGAGAAACTTCTACCAGAAGGCAGAGACATGCCAGAAGTAAACATATTCAGTGATGCTGGTTTCGCCAACTGCATCAAAACAATGAGAAGCACAAGTGGCTCCAGAATGTATTACAAAGGTACACCCATAGCATGGAGGAGCAACAGACAAACGGTTAGAGCCTACTCAACGGCTGAAAGTGAGTATATTACAGCCTCTGACACGATAGTGCTCAGTGAGATGCATGACTTTACAGACTTCTATAAGCCTCTTCCAACTCAGTTGGTACACACACAGAACGGCTTGCCTCCCTCCTTAGACAGTGCTGCACTGTGGATAGACAACCAGTCTGCGACCACAACAGCCAAAGCGACAGACACTCGCCCTAAAAGTAGACACTATGCTCTACGTTATCTAAGAGTGCGCGATGCTGCTAGTAAGATGAGATCGTGCTCTGCCCTACCAACCTGATGAAGGCAGACCCACTTTCGAAACTAACCACACCTGCAGTGCCACTCAGCGTAGACTCATCCTACACCACGTAGATAACCCGATAACCACAAATAGAGACGATGACTGTGATTCCTCTGACGATGAAACAAATACAAATGAGGATGGTTTAGCTTAATATAGCGTAATGTATTCGGTTTATTTTGGTTTCTAAACCACCGTAGCCAGGTCACACACACTAAACAAGAGACGTGATTGCCGTGACTCAACACACAGCGAGGCGGTCACGTGAGACGGACTTCGACCCGCATCGATTGAGGAGGGGCGTTGGTCATGTATGGCTCAAGCCTCTCGGATGTCGTAGTCGTGGTGTTCTGTTCTCAGTGGCTCACGCAAAGCCTCGCGCTCGACCGTCATCGGGATGATCTCACAAGACATGAGTGCCAATGATCATGAATGCTACTCCCAATGCACACCCAATGCATAATCATAATGATCAAGGTGTAGACTAGGCACGGCTGTGCTGATCCTAGTCGTATGATGCATGTTCAGTCCGGTCCCTTCTGACGTGCTTACGTGTTGATGTATGATTCATCTTACCCAATGAACCAAACAGGGACTACACCAGCCAGAGACCACAAGTCTCAGGCAGGAGTATCAAGATTTGCTGGCGTTCAAGATTCTGGCTTTGTGTTTCCACTGAGAAACGAACCAAGGCGCGGAGGCCTGTGTTCTTGTGGTCCAACAAAATTCGTGTAGTACTAAAGTAGCTCTAGTAGCTCAAGTGGATGAGTTCAACTTGGTCATAGTGATGATTAAGCTAGTAATCGTACTTGTACTACTAGTTACTCAAAACACAATTGTGTACCTCCTTGAGTTTTTCTTCAACTTCAAATTAAACATTGGTTTTAACTATTTCAATTTTTTCAAATGATCTCCTGTTTCTGCGTTCAAAGTATCTGTAATCTGGCATTATCTACCAGATGGGCTTTCATCACGCGGCCGTACACAGAAGCACCCAACGACTACAATCGCGACCGCCTCCTGTTTTCTATTAACTCAAGTTCGCCATCCTCTCCTCCATAATCTACTTCATTCTTGTGTCCTTGTCGTTGTTCAATGTCTGTGCTTACAATCTTGTTGTTCTTGTTGTGCTTATTCGACGTCTACATATTCTACTGCTCACAGGTCTAGTTAAATGTAATGCATCACGAAAGTCGATAGATGTGTTCCTCCGATAATCAGATTTTGTTGCTCGTCCTGCTGTCATATTCATTGCTGCTTGCTCGTCTAATATCAATACTACCTGCACAACTGGCACAACTACTACTACTACTACTACTACTACTACTTCTATCCGAAGATCCTGTCGTCAACCTTCATCTTCATCTTCCCAGTGTTTTCCATTACTACCTTCAGCACCATCTTCCTCCACCTTGTCCTCCTCCCTCTATTCCTCCACAAGAACCAGGAGCAAGGACAAGTTAGTAGTGTAACCTTTCGACTCCTCGTCCCTCTAGTCCTCCACAAGAACCAGCAAGTACAAGCAGCACGACGAAAGAAGTACTACTAGTTCTACTTCAACTTCTTGATGATGCTGAAGTAGTTTTTCTTTCCTCCTACGAGATCGAGATCTCCGCGCCCACTTCTTCACCTTTCTCCAGGGCACCATAGGTGCCCTCGTCGCTGGTCGTGGACACTGTGATGTTCTCCTCGTGGTCCACTTCTTCACCTTTCTCCAGGGCACCATAGATGCCCTCGCCGCTGCTTGTGGACGCTGTGACGTCCTGCTGATCACGCGAGTCCGAGTGCTGTTCGCAGCCGCGAACAAGCTGGAACGCAGTGCGACGCGCGCGCTTCGAACAAAACAGAAGCCCCACCAGAATGATCACACTAGAACCAAGGACGAGGAGTGCTGGGTTGTTGTAAGCAGAAGATAGGACCTTGTGGGAGAAGGAAGTGGCGATGTACTTGTTGTCCTTCCGAGATGTCGCGCTTGCTTGCACTAAGCCAGCACTTCCCATACTACGGTGCTGGTGAGGAGGAAGAGACTTTTCATAGCCGTACTCGAGAGTGGATGCGAATTCTTCTACCCGAAGTTCCTCTGACTGAGGAGCGATGGAACCTCTAGGGAAGTGATGAGGAGAATATTGTTTATCGTCGTCCGGCGGAGTGGATACCTCTTCTACCCGAAGGTCCTCTAACTCAGGAGCGATGGAACCTCCAGAGTTGTGAGGAGGAGAATCTTGTTCATCGTCGTCCTCGAGAGTGGATTCACCTTGTTGTTCTAGGTCTTCATCTACGACCTCAGGTTCGCTTGTAGCTTCAGTGGCGATGGAATCTGTTTGTAGCCCAGGAGTTTTTACCTGTAGATCTTGATCATAAATTTGTATTGTATGTATTTTGCCGCCGTCCGCCCACATTGCCTCAACCATCATCGTCTTCGTCTTTAAGATGTTATCTGCAGCAAGGTCGAAGCAAAGAGCATTCGCGGTGGCACGGATATGCACTTGGGCATGTATCTGAAGATGAGATAACGAAGGGGAAAAAATTGAATCAAAATTAATACTAAAGACGAGGCACATAAGGCTTCAACAATTTCCCCGCAACCTTCCGAAACAGAAGCACTTCCTTCAACCGAACACACCTGAACCGAATAAAGCGTCTCCCGCAACCAAAAACACGCGAGGCGCAAATACTTGAACCAGAAACACCAGAACCAAAAACACCCGCGCCAAAAATGAACATGCGGCCCATGCACATGGCAGATTTCTGGATGCTATTATAATCAACCAACAAAGAAACGCGAACGGACGCATACAGCCACGCAAACACAAGAAGAAAGACCCTACGCACACCAAAGCCGCAACAAATACAAGCTGCACCACCACAAACACTAGCGCCACACCGTCACCCCTAGCGAACCGCTGAAGACAGTTCAGAAGGCTCAACTCCAAGACAGAGCCACGAGGCCCTCTCTCCATTTCTGTCCCCTCATGGATGTGGACACCTCCAAGCGTCTAAAATTCACCCAACAAGGCAGAACCACGAAGCACGCGAAACGAAGACCGAAAATGGCGAGCACATCCTACCCGCCAGCGCCAGGCCCGCGCGCTCTGATTCCAAGAATGGGCGAAGCGCTACTGCGTAGGCGTGAGCTGATACGTCAGCCAAGATAGTCAAGACCAGCCGAAGCAAATCCAAGCCCAAAGCGAGAAACGATTACCAAGAACAACGCCAACCACCCACAACAGCCGCGGCCGCTAGCATGGCCAGGCTGCCTCAGCATAAGCGTGAAGCCATCAACAAGCAAGCTGCGCCTGCCGCGAAGCCCTCCACGCCTGCCACACCGTGCCGGGCGTTTGGGTTCTGCCCTGGTAAACAACAACGAACAGCAAAGCCGTCAGAGCTGTGGCCCCCAAATGGGGCAAGAATGAAACCAGAAGGAAGAAAGCAGAGAAAAAGAGAAACAGCCAAGCCCCATCCCCATGCCGATTGCGCAGCGAATGGGGCTGCCTGCCTCTTGCTTTTATCACCACAACCACAACTCCAGCACAAGGCCCGCGAGTTTTTTCGCCTGGCTGTCGCGGTCCTTCATCGCCCACAGCTCTAAGATAGTGGGCACGCAAGGCGCTGAGCCCTTACCGATTCACAAAGGCAAGAAAGCAGAAACAACAAAAGCAACACGACAAACCAAAACAACGAGAACAAACAGAAGAGCCCCACCGGCTGCAGTGCCAGTATCTGTAAGAAAGCCGGCGCAGGCGCTGCCCGCTCTGTTTTTGTGTGCCTGGTGCTCGCTTTGGCTGCCCTCTAGATCCTCTACGCATCAGCCTGCGGGCCCTGCAAGTCATTCAACCAGCTAAGAGACTGGGCTGCCCGTTTCTTTCCCGTCACTCAGAAGCAGCACGCCAAGCCCATACCTTGCCCATGCGCTGGGAGAATAGTCAAGAGAGCGGCGGAGACCACGCCCAGGCGCTACCTTCTTCGCCTCGCAAGCGAGCCAACGTCAGCCACGCCGGATGGCGAGTCCAAGAAGAGGAACGACAAGACCAAGAGAAACACGAGCCAGAAGAAAGGCCCCTGCTTCCGATGTGCAGCAGAACGCCACACATAGCGGCAGACACGCATCCGAGACAGCAGAAACAGAAAGAAACAAAAAACAAGAAACCAGACAAGCCGGCGCCACTACTCGCGGCCGCGGAAGCCTCGCGCCTCAATGGGTAGCGCGATGAACCACACACACGGAAGCCACACCGATCGCGACAGAGATAAACCCCGCACCACTTCCGACGCCCATCCCTTCGATTCTATGAAGAGGGCGGACCCGCTCCGCGTTTTTTGCTCAGAGTCTGAGCCCGTGCGCCTATCGGTGTGCGCCTTCAATCTGCTGCAGCTCATTCACTGCCGCGACCCACTTCGATCTGAATACGCTACGGGGACCCTCCTGCGCGAAAGTTGGGCTTGCCTCTCTAATTCTCAGCCTCCCCTCGTGTTTGCTCTCCTTTCCGCTGCGTGCCATGTTTCTCGACTATGTACACCACACAGAAAGACCAAGGAAGCGGCAAGACCGCCACGGCGAGAGCGAGAGGGCCCCTTATCTGCTCAGCCCTAAGGCAGGTCGCCTTTCAGCCAAGACGCTGCTCGGGCAACGACATGCCCGCTACTGCAGAGGCGAGGCACAACCATGCCGCAGCCATGTCGCCGCCGATCCATCGGCGACAAGCTGCGCGCCCCCTCTGGAGCGTCTTTGCCTCTCTCTCAGTCAAGGCATCCCGCCCAGCCACTCTATGCACGAAGCCCCTCAGCGGTACCGCCTGGACTTGCTTAGGCCTTGCTGAGGTTTTTTATGGAGATCCACGCCCTGCCCGACTAGTCTAATTGACGCAACAAAAAGCACAGCTTCACCCTTGACGTGGGCCGGTCACTCAGCTACTTGCGCCACGCCTTAGCCTGAAGCGCATCGCTTTGGCGAGCCCTTACCGGAGACCCCTTTACCTTGCCACGGTTCTCACGGTGACACGTTTCAAGATCGAGGCAGGCTACTGCGTTGCTGATTTCGTTCTGCCTATATTTTTTGCCGTTTGCGCCTATATTTTTCCACATTTTTGCCCTATATTTTTACTATATTTTTTGCATGTTATTTTCGGAGACGGGACTTGGCTCCTGGTGCTGTTTCGTCAAAAAATACAGCAAAACTATAGCAAAAATATTTATTTGGAAAATATATGAAAAACACAGGACAAAAACTCAAAAAATATAGGAGAAAAAGGCAAAAAATATAGGAGAAACCAAATCAGCGCCGCAGTAGCCTGTCTCATTGTCGAAGCCAAGCACTTTGAGAACCGTGACACAGTAAAGAGGTCTACGCGAAAAGCCCACCAGGTGACGCGCTTCAACTTGAAGCGGAGAAGCGCAGAGAGATGACGGAGAGACGCGGAAAACCCCTCCACGGGGCGCTCTGCCTTGCCTCTTGCTTGCCTTATTTTAAGTGCCTTCATCGCCGTCAAGGTGTCGTCTTGCATCAGCACCAACCCAGTAAGAAACTGCCCCAGCTTCACCTCTGACGCGTGTCAAAGTGAACGAACAAAGGGAGCCGAAGAGAAGCCCGAGCCACTGCTCAGGCCGCCCTTTGTGGCTTTGACATAGAAAAAGCCCGACACTTCTAGCGCAGTCAGATGCAGACCAGCCGAATAAGAACACGGCGAAACTGCGCGAACGTCTCTCCCACCAGGGAAGAGTCCCCTACAAGCTCGCAAGCGTCTGAAGATCTTAGCAGAGTGAGTGGGCCTTCTCTGTCTTAAGGCTTACCATGGTCAGCCCCGACGCGTGCGCCCGCTGGCTTCTTTCTGTGAACAAATCAGCCGCCCTCGGCCCTGAGCCCGCTCGACTAGCTGAAGAACATGGCCAAAATAAAACTCTTGAAGATGTTGCTTGCTTCGACACTTTTCGCAAGGCCCCCGCACTCGGCGGGCCACACGCCTGACGCGGAGCGCTTTTGCTTTGCTCTTGGTAGCCTACTCTCGGCAACTCCCTCACGCACCCTGCCGCCCCTGGTCTTGACTGACACACACCAAACACCTCTCCGCCCCCTTTGCTTTTGGGTCTCTCATCGTTGTGCGCCCTTGCGTCTTTTTTGTCATTCGTGTCAGCTCCCTCTAAAAAGTTGCCAAGAGTCCCACCGTTGTCAGCCAAGACGACGGCCGCCACGCTCTGCCCCTCGTCTGCATTCTGGTGGAGTTCATCAACCAGCTGGCGCCCGTTTTCCTCTGCTTGTTCTTGCTGTAGTTGTTCAGCTTCAGCAAAGCTACTGGACTTCGTTGGCCTGAGAGCACACGCGACGGCGCTGCCGTTTGTTGTCGCTGCAGTTGTTGCGCATGCCGTTCTTCCGCTCCTAAGCTTGTGACTCCCAGAGGTTCCTCCCCAGCTAGTCCTTCAGCTAAAACCCGCTGCGGAGGCTCTGCCCTGCGTGCTCGCTCGCTGCTCATCTCCAGCACCTTGAAAGCAGACGAACCACCAAAGAGCACCGACCCGAGACCAGACAAGAGCAAGCGAGCCCATCACTGAAGGGGCGTCTCTCTTTGTTTCTTGTGCTCTGGAAGCTTGGCGCCCACTCCTCGAGGCTCTCTGCGTCTTCCATCCTCTCCGGTGGTTGCGCAGCCTTTTAGCTGATGAAAGGGCGGCGAATCCGGTGGCCCCTCACCGACACCAGCGGGGCGCCTGTGTCTCGTCTGCTGCTGTCCGCAGCGTGCAGCGTTGGCCCTTTGCTTTGCTGCAGTGTTGCTTGCCTGTGATTAGCCGGCCGACTCCAGTCCCAAGCGTCTGCGCCTGCCGAAGGAAGCGCTGCGCCCGTCTTCGGGGCTGGCGCTGAAGCCGATGCCCCGCCAGTCCCTTGCCTCTTCACGTTTTGGGCCCTGCTCAAGGATGAAGCGGGAACGGCTGCCGCACTCGCAGGCGCACTGACTCCTCATCTCCAATTTTCCTCTTCACTCTTCCTGCCAGCAGGTGGCTTTCCACTACTGCTACCACTAAGGAGCGCGCTTGTGGCCACCCCGCGCGAGCCTTCTCAGCAGCTCGCTGGCGCCTTTCCCGCGCCTTCAGTCATCCCTTACTTTCCAGCTTTTGGCTTTGGCACGTCGAGACAATGAAGCCACGCGCTCCAAGTTATTTACGCCAAGCCAAAGCGCCAGGCCAGTGGCCTCCTCCTCTTTCACATGCTGAGGCGCCAGCTGCATCCAGCTCACCCCCCTACTCCCGCAAGATTATAAGAGGGGGCGGGGGGTGTGAATGGGCGCACCGAAATAACTGCCAACCACAATACGCACTAGCGTTGCGCGTTCATCTATCAGCCCCCACTGACAAATGTTGGGGCCGACAATGAAAAGGGGCGAGTCTGAATGGCAGCAAGTACGCGATTGGCAACACCCCCGGCGTCGCGGGCTATTTAACTAAGAAGGCCACGACGGTGCGTCACGCTCGTTGTTGCTGTCACTTGATACGGCGCGGCCATTCATCACACAGAAGAAAACCCGGGACGCGTCTGCCATGGGGCATGCGTGCCGATGTATCCTTATGCACCTCCCTCCAACCCCGCCTACAACGCACACAACACAAGCAATACCAAAGCAAACCACGCACGTCGGCCCGTGCTCTTGCGGACTTTTTACACGCAGCAAAGCCGCCAACCACCTGGCAGAACCTGACTCCCCTGGTCCGAACCTGTGGGCAAGCTCCTGAAACCGTTGGCCCCACGGAAGTCGACCGAGGAGCAGCCCCAGCCATTTGCAACATTCCGCAGCTTGCTTAGTATTGTTGGGCCATCTCCGTGAGCGAAGACATGCAAGCATCGCCCGCCCCTGTCTGCGCTTCTTTCAGCGAAGCGCGTCGCCTTCGAGCAGAGCCATCCCATGACCATCCACGACGCGCAAGACGCTGCATAGCTGTAACTAAGCCGTTTAGCGTCAACCGCTCCCCCAATGGGCACAGCGGTGACGGTGATGGACTTCTATCAATATCCCGCCGAAGCAGCCCAGGCATGTCATGACCCACACCAAAGAGCATCGCCAGCGACAGCGAGTCCAAAACCGCGGCCCCACTGTAGCAGCAGAGAGCAGCAACACGGCGAGGCGTCTCCCCCTCCTGCTTGGTCACACAACTAGAGCAAGACACGCGCCGAGGCTGGTGCGCTGCGCCGATCGCGAGGAGGTCCCAGCATCCCTCAACACGTGGCGAGCCTCCAACCCCATGAGAAGCAGCAGCGCCAAGACAGACACAGCGGCCACACTTGCTGGCCGCTCCTGCTAGTGGCGCCCCACATCAAAGCGCACCGCCGTCGAACCACGCCGCCGACCAGAGTCAGGAGGTGCACTAACTTCGCAACCGGTCGAAAGGCCTTGGCCCTCTGTAATACTGCAAGCGGTTGCCTGGCTATCAAACAAAGCCCATAAGTTTTGCCGGCTTCGTGCAGCCGCGGAGAGGTCGCTCGACGGCCTGGCCCAGTGCCTCTACTGCGACCGCCTCATTGCTACTTTTTTTTTTGGGTGCAAGTGATTTTTTTCTTTGGGTACAAGTAAAAAAAGAGACGCGCTTGGCAGAACTGACAAGCACGCGCTCCCTGTGACCGATGCGACCGATTTTGAGCGACCGACTTCGAGTTCCGAAATCGGCGCCACTGCTAGTACATATGACGAAAAGGGAAAACCCCAAAAAATATAGGGAAAGATATAGCGTCGATTTAGTGACTGATCGGGTGCCCTTAGTAGTTCCCCCCTATGAGTGGGCTTTTTTATTTTTGTGCTCACGCGGAAAAGCCGCGAAATCGTGACAAAACGGCTAAGACTGGAGACGAAGACTCCACGACGCAGCAGCCGACGTCGCTGCCGCCCAAGGCAGAACCGTAATCCGAGGTAGGTAAGCGCAACCCAAGGTAAAACGTACGGTAGCCACTTGAAACTAGGACCCCAACGTAGGCCACAGCCCAAGGCCAAGCGTACGCTAAGCCACTTGGAATGCGGATCCCGCCGTAGGCTGAGACCCAAGGTCGGACGTGCGTCAAAGTAAAACGTAACCCAATGTAGCGCGTAACCTAAGGCGAAAACGTAACCCAAGGCCAGCAAACGCAATCCAAGGCAAACCCGTAACCCACTTGAAAATCGAGCTAAGCGTATGCTAAAACCCAAAGTCGCGCGCACGTACCGTAACCCACTTGAAACTCGGGCAAAACGTAAAGCCAAGGCCCAAAGTCATGCGCGCCGCAACCCACTTGGAACCGGATCCCAACGCGAAGCCAGAACGCAAGGCCAAACACACCGCAACCCACTCGAAACCGGCCCCAACGTAAAGCCAGAATCCCAGGCCAAGCGTACCGCAACCCACTTGAAATTTTCGTAGAACACGCTGTGTCCAGAAAAATGACCGCAGCGAGACGTCGCGTCTCAGAAAAATGGCCGTAAGCTAACGCCAGACGGTCTAACCGGTTCCCCCCACGGCCGCCGCATCCATGAGAGTACCCGTCGCAGCACGTGGAAGTTGAAGAACAGGCTTGAAACATCCAAGGAGAAACAATCTCAGATAAATCTGAATCGTGAGCGTGGTATATTAATACCGGCAGGGGAGTAGACCCCCGCGTCGAAAGTGTTACGCTCGACCTTGAAACGACCAAGCTGTGGTCTTGAAATCGAGACTCGCAACTGTCTCACGAATTTGCTGTGTAAGTGGATTCGTTGCTCTCTGCATACTCGACGGAATGCGTCGCCGGTTGCTCGTGCACCATCACGAAAGTACGTCGATCCCCCTCCTGATTTGCGTACTCCTCACGATGGTCGCAGACGCGACTGCTCTGTCTCGGGTGGAAGTAGTTGCTCCCGAAGGTGTCTAAGTTCGGCTCGAAGACGCCGAAGCCCGGTTTGCACTTCGAGTGCGCCCCGGTTCGAAGCGTAGCCTATCTGTCTCAACGTTTGTTCAGTTGAGCGCCAAAAGCGACGAATTTCTTCAGTGGCTGCCTCCGTATTCTCCTTATCTATTTCGTTCCCTTAGGAGTTTGAACATTTGGGGGCAGTTCCTTTGAAGCTGTTGGCGAGGTTGTAGGCTGCATTCCTGGACTCTGCACGAAGGAAAACGAAGCCGAAAGCAGAAGACCAGACGCCACGAGAAAAGAGGACGCGACGACTATCCTCCAGGACGTGCGTTCTTTATTTTCGTCAAGGAAGCGCGCGAATTTGCCGGCTGCGCATGTTCCTTTTGATCTTTCGTCTGGTGGTGAGGGGTCTTCTATGTGTTTAGTGTTGAATCTTCCGCCGCCGGGTTGTGTCTCCCCGTCGTCGGTTGCCTACGCCTACTTTTAGTCTACTTACTTAGCGCAAGAAAGCAAGCGAAGTTATGCGAATGCTAACCCAAAAGCTTTTAGTCCATGACTTGAACAGCCCCCAGCTGTAAATGGGTTGGGTAGTCTAGTTGTTTCTTAGCTAGAACAAGCTAAACCAAATCGCGCCAGGCGATCTGTCTCATTCAGTTTCAGCCACGAAATGCTGTCTGAGTGTAGTACTTTGGGTAGTAAACTAAAACCCTACTGGCTTTTTCAGTTTTTGTCTTGTCATGAAATTGCTCAAGAATTTCCCAACTGTATCGAAATCGATGGCGCACCATCGTCAACGGTCTGAGGCCTCTCGCTTAGTGATGTGCTTGCTCAGTCGGTTCCCGACTTTCAAAAACCTAACAAAGCCTTTCTGTTTTTCCTCCCTTCTTTCTTTCGCTTTCTCTTACTTCTTCTCCCTTTTCCCTTCTATTTCTCTCAGCTTCTTCCTTCAAAGAAAGCAGGCAAATGAATGCGCAGAGTTTTTCAGTAAACCGAAACGCTCAATGTGGTACGCTTTCAGCGTTCTTGCTTGGCGGCTCTTTATCAGCTAAAAGACCACTTGCATACTAGTCAGTAGCAACCGCACACCTGTGGGGGGCACAACTCTCGCGAAGTTCATAGCCTAAAAGACCTACAGAAATTCACCCCACGGACAGCCACGCCATGCTATGGGAGTCCAAGCCTTATTGAAGTGCAGCGCTATGGTTTATAATATTGGCCGGCGCTGCTCCGTCACGTATGTAATTTCTTGCCTTCCTTGATAGATTGGCTTCGCTTTCCTCTGAATTCATTTCAAGCGATACGTCCGCCGCCTTTTATCTTCGTCGCAATATTCACAATTATATCGCTTAACCATCACAGCGAAAACCTGGCGCAGCTTAAACCTACAAACAACGGCACAAGATAAGGCCTTCCTGCAACACGACCAAACAAGACAAAGCTTCGCACTTTTTCGGTGGTTTATAGCATGAAGTCAGTCACTTGCTCAGCAATGACTAAACTTATACAAAGGAGCCCCCTCCCAAATCTGTCCTATCCAGAGAGACAACAGCCGCAGCAGTTTCGTCGTGTTTCTTATTCAACACATCCAAAGAAAGGAACACCATCACAGGACAAGAAACACAATCCGAACGCGCTGGGTTATGTAGAAGGCGCGGCTAATGCTGGAGACTGCCATACTCTTCTTTTTTTCTCTTAGTGTTGTGGCTGTCTGTGTTCTTCCCGGGCTAGCCCCTTTGCCTTCCGTTGTGGCTTTCTGCGTTTTCTCTCTGCTTATTCGTCCCCAGCGTGTTGAGGCTTGTGGGAATGTAGTGGGCGAAGTATGGGAATTGCCTGCCCCTGGGTACATTCCCGAGAGTGAAAAACAAAGGCACAAAGGAGGGCGAGGGATGTTGGGTGCTCCCTATGGTGTAACCTTTGAAAGACCAAGACGCAATCTGATAGAAATTCTCACCGCTTTAAAAGCGAGCGACCCTCTCCAGGACGGGGCCAGAGCTGATGTGATCTGGTCTAATGCCTCTCTTCAGCGACGACCGCTCTCCGCTTTAGCTTCGAGGTGTGCTGCAGCCAAATCCTCACAGCCTCCGTCTTTTCTTTATAGGGTTGGGGCTTACTTAGGGCCCGCGACGCTTCAAGCATGAAGTAGCAGCCTGCTAGCTTGCTTCCTTTTAGCTCCCCCCGCCCCCTTACCCTCAGAAAGAGAAGCCCAAAACGCAGGAGCGGAGCTATGTCATCCCACAAACGAAAGCCCCTCCAGTGCTTGAATAGCAGAGGAAGCGAAGCCCCTCGGGCTTCCTTCTCGTGGTATCCTCAGAGTGAGCATCTTCTCAACAGTCAAACAGCATGACCTTACACCTTCAAGCCAGACTTATGTATGCGCCCCAGACCCCACAGCAGCAACAACAACGACAGCAATGGCCTCCGGCTCCTTTACAACAATACGCAGCAGCAACGCCCGGCGACTTCCGGTTCCTTTACAACAATACGCAGCAGCAACGCCCGGCTCCTTTGATCCCGTTCCCCTTGTTTTGTTTTCCGTGCTGTGGCGCGCCATCGTTTAATCACGCAGCCAAAGGAGAGAAAAGGAGAAGACCACAAACACCCACGCCGACTAGTATGGCCAACGCGCAAGCCATGGCGCCCGTGGGCTGCGTGTTTTTAAACTGCCCGCCGGCGCTTGCTTCCTTGCCATCATCTTGGGAACGCACGGGCTGGATGGCGCCCACTTTTCGCGATATTGTTTCCGAGCACCCTCGCGGGCTTCAAGTTTCTCTGTGTCCGGCGCTGTTGTTCGCTGTCGCTCGGGCACGAGGCCACAAACGACCAAAGGCGAGGAGAAGAAAAAACCGCAAAACACCTCCGCCAGCTATGGCCAACGCGTTTGAAGTGGCGCCCGTGGGCTGCGCACTCAACTGCCCGCCAGCGCTTGCTTGCCATCATCTTGGAAACGAGCTGCCATCTCTTTCGCTATCACTACGGAAAGCCCTCGCGGGGCGCCGCTTTCTCTGTTTTCGTTGTTGTTGTTCACTATCGCTCGGGCGCGAGACCACGAGCGACCAAAGGAGAGGAGAGGAAAAAACATCAAACACCCGCCGACCATGGCCGACGCTGTGAACATAGCGCCAACAGCTTCCCGGGTTTAACTGTCCGCCGGCGCTTGCGACCACCTTGGGAATGGGCTCCCATCTTTTTCGCTATCGCTTTCGGGCACCCTCGCGGGGAAGGCAACAAACCACACGAAGACGACCCCCGCCTTGCCTGTTGCTCCTCCCGCTTCCGCTTACCACTAGGCCGAGGGGAGCGCGCGCCCTTCGGGCGCTTCTTTCACTAGGTGAAACCATTCACGCAAGCCCACATCCCTGAAAAAATCGCTTTTCCCTTCTTTAATGTCTCCCGGGGCATTCCGGCCCGGGGAGAGAGAGAGTTGATATAAGAACTATTATGAGAGATGGACATGGACGAGCCTTGAAAAGTAAATCACCTAAGGCAAAACCAATGGCCAGGAAGTAGTACCCCATGTTCATCCTTGTACACTTGGCCGCCGGAAGAATGCCGAGGCACCTTGACCACGAAGCGATCGCTATCACTGGTTCCCATCTTAAGTTCGCCGATAGTTTCCGAATACGCCGGGTTAGCGATTCGCTTCCAAAAATACCTTTAGAGTCTCTAAAATTCATCATGATCACCACCCTGACTCGAGGCCAGTTGTGATGGGAGTCCCGTACTTCCAAGTAGGCATGCACTTCTAAGGAGATTCCAACCTGCTTCGTGATGAATCATATAAGACCGTCTTAACCGTAAGCGATGTGCCTCCCAAGCTCGTGGAGATCGCCGTACTGGTAGTCGCCACCATGACCATCTCCCTCAACAGACACCCACGGCATCAACAGCCGTTGCAATTTATTTCCTCTATTTCTTTGTTTCCTCCACTGCGGGAATATGTATCCCGAAGATAGAGTTGCCTCTACTTTGCCTTCCGGATTATTCTGTTCATCTCCATACTGGCTTTTCAACTGCTTCCGCACCTCTCTGTCGTATGCCTCGAATCCCTTTACTAGTTCCTGTTTTGCTTTTTTGATGAGTTGATCTCCCATGGCCGATGCCGTATGTGCGGCTCCTAGTAGTATCGTGAACACGACTAAAGCGAAAGAGAAAAACATTTTTTCTTCTTGTTCGCAGGAAACTGCTGCCAAACCTCAAAAATTTGGTTTCTTTTCACAAGCTTAAACCCTACAAGACCCTGTGATTATGTAAGTTGTGTATTTGTCTTGTCTGCACGCCTTTAAAAGTACTTTGTTTCCTGCATGACAAAAATTGAACGAGCAGAAATCGCTGACGCAGCTCGAATCCAAACGAGTACGGGTACGGGAAGAGAAGCGGGTTTCTAGTACGTATTATTTGTGATCTACTGAGATATCATGACCCAGAAGGGAGTAGCATGCGTCATTGTGCCCGAAGTTTTAGTCTCGGTCTGTGGAGTCACATGATGGATACAGGCTCTAGGGATCCTAGACTGGAAGCAAAGTTTGGAGGTATCCGGGAAAGGAGTCAATGCAATCTTGTCACGACTCTCCGCCAGTTCCTCTCGTCGCTCTGGCTCTAGTGATTCATATTTGGACAGGGTCTTTTATTGCGACTACGACCACACGAAAGCTGCAACAGTTTCTACTTTCACCGATTCATAATGAGGATAGCACGGAAACAATGAAGCTTAGGAAATTTTGAATTCGGTGGTCCCAGTCACGATTATCTTCGATTGTACTTGTGACGATGATTGATAAAGTTGTAGCACCGCTTTCTTGGTTCTTCGTTATCGTTGAGACTACAAGTGTCTTCCATCGTCTGAAACTTTTGATGACATTAAGGAAAAGGTCCTCAAGTCTTCTTTCTCAGAACTTTCGGAAATGGTCACCTAGAGTAGTCCAACAAGAACAACAAGGAAGAACAACTTTTGAAATAAATGGTCCAGCAGAGCCTGACACTTTTCTAACAAATAAATGGTCTAGTAAACTCCAACAGCTTGCTTTGAAATAAATGGCCTGGTAGACAACTCCATCTCCAACAGGCAACAGGAACAGCCTGTTTTGAAATAATTTAAGGGGTGGTCTACTACAGACCAACTTTTGAGAATGGTCATCTCGCGGATTTGATCTCGCCGTGAAGCACCAAGTCTCGAAGATCGGGATCCCCATGAAGAGGCAGGAAAGCTTCACCAATCACATAACCTGCCTCTCGCCGTAAATCATGAACAAGAAGATCAGTGCAAGTGTTCGTTCTTGAAGATGAGCTAGTTGTAGGTACATCATCTATATAGAAGATGACTACTTGTTCGTTCTTGATCTTGATCTTGTGCATATCCTACTACTTAATACCTGAAGGTTAGGTTATCGTTGTCATTATGTTGGCTACGACTACGACTAGGTTAATAAACATGAAAGGGATCATGTAGATGCTGAAGAAGATGACTGGCCGTAATCTCCTTCGGTTTCACAGACAGTTTCATGGTCTTCCCCAGGCCGGTTGCAAACGACACAACAAAAAGCGGATGCGAACAAACGACATGATATGAACGTTCCAGCACCAAACACCTACAGGTGATTAGCATCCGTTAGTAGCATCCTGCTTAGAGGTACTACTGGAGGCGTTTCATCAACAGCAGTTTCCTCCTCCTCCCTTGGTCTCTGACGTGCGCAAAGCCTAGAAGGTGAAGCTCTTCTCTTCCGTTGAGAGGCAAAACAAACGGTAACAGAAACGCCAAAGACCTGCTACCCTTAAGAGGCCAAGACACCAGAACAAGTGAACAAAGTCACCTCTTTCTCGAAAGCGAATAGTAACAGCAACTGCAGATGACGACGAACCACGAGACCGCCCTTCGACATTTTCATTTTGTCGGATGAATGAAAAGTACAACCGGTCGGTGGATGATGAAAAGTCCAGTCGTTTGGTCCTCGTGTCTGATAATATCGGTGGAGCACACCTAAAATATAAAAGAATCAAGTATGCCAATTATTTAAAACAGAACTATGGTGGCCACGTTTATATTAGGATCCGATAATGAAAAGTACCGGTACAGTACGTAGTGATACTACTGAGAGCGTTCGAGGCCAAGGCGGGCCATTGAAGAGCCATAATAAATAACCACCTGGTGCTACAACATGGATTCACAGCACATGATAGAGGATGATCGGTGTTGTGGGAGAGGACAACACCAGAAATTGCACACGAAATAGGAAGCAAAGAGCGTTCGAGGCCATTGAAGAGCCATAATAAATAACCACCTGGTACTACAAAATGGATTCACAGCACATGATAGAGGATGATCGGTGTTGTGGGAGAGGACAACACCAGAAATTGCACACGAAATAGGAAGCAAAGAGCGTTCGAGGCCATTGAAGAGCCATAATAAATAACCACCTGGTGCTACAACATGGATTCACAGCACATGATAGAGGATGATCGGTGTTGTGGGAGAGGACAACACCAGAAATTGCACACGAAATAGGAAGCAAAGAGCGTTCGAGGCCATTGAAGAGCCATAATAAATAACCACCTGGTACTACAAAATGGATTCACAGCACATGATAGAGGATGATCGGTGTTGTGGGAGAGGACAACGCCAGAATTTGCACACGAAATAGGAAGCAAAGGGAGTACTAGGCGTGGAGAGTAGACGTGGCCCATGATCATGCGTGCTTGGTCTATTAATACTAGATGATGAACTAGAAGTTATGGACTAATTCCAACTAAGCTAAAGGAGAAGAACGACCCTAAATTTGTGCATGCATCTGTATGCTTGAGAATGATTGAATCACCGATCTCCATCATGAACCATGTCGATATGAGAAGCGCCAGTGTAGAAGACACACGACACACATGTAGGTCTATAAGTAGTTACTATAGTAGGCAATATCATTTTCCGGAGTTGTCCACCACCAACTGACCACACGACCTACTGAATATCAGTACGACAACTCGTTCCGAGCGAACTTTACAACGAAAACGGAAGATCGAGATTTATGTTGTCGTTGATTGAATCTACTTCCAGTAGCAGCTCTGAGAATTAACGTTGTTGGCTTAGTCTATGTTCTTCTTCAGCAATGAACATGGTGATCACCACTCTGCACTAGACAGTTACAACCACTGCTACTCAACATTCACTCAATCACAACTCACGCAGCACAACTTTTCATGTTTACGATGTGATTGGCTACGATTCCTCCTTGATACAACAGGTAGCACAACTGCACAGGAAGCGGTACTAGGAGAAGGCCCAGACTCAAGTAGAATAGCTCCGGAAGGTGCACAACAAGTACTAGAGAGAGGAGTACAACGAACAACTACCCGAAGGAGCCAATCGAGCGGCCGTTTAATATGAATCATGAGCGAGAAGCTTCCAATTGGAAGTGTGGGCGTTTCTTCCTGGACGTTCACATGATGCAGGGAGCTGGTGCCAGGAGCTAGAAACTTCTTGGGAGGAGGCGTACTCATGTGATTGCCTTTTTTTGAGGAGCAAGAACTACGGAAGCGCTGCCGCAGCGCCCTCACTGCCGACGCAGAAGAACAGCAAGAACATTCATTCATTGAGCAGCGCATATCAGACCTGATACGCCAGGGTCAGAGGCAAACCAACCAGCATCGATCAGATGAAATATATGAATTATCAATATCCTTCATGCTGTACATTGTAATTGGTTCCCGTTGTAATTGCGTGTCTGCTGTCGTTTTTCATCTTGTCGTGGTTCTTTCCTGAGTCCTGACCAGCTACAATAATGTCCGACTTGTATGATTACACGACGTCGTTATCGTCTGGTGTCGTATTTCATTGTGGTTCGCATGATCATGTCGTCGATATTGTAGACCTGTTTTAAATGAACTACAAATGCAAATCTACTTCATCTCAAACAGTCCTAATTACAAATTGCAAGTAATCTTAATTGTGTACCCGTATGTTGTACAACGAACGATCAAATCAAGTAGAAGCATCACAAGGGGTTAAACGCATTGCAGTGTGGTGCGTACTGTGAAAATAGAAAGTGAAAGACGATTCGCCCCCTGTCAAGAAGTCCCCGCCTTTCAAATTTTCACTGCGTAGTGAGGTGAAAATGCGCGTCATCGCGTCCCCAGCATTCATCTTCTCCTACAAGTTGATGTGAGCGTCTGTTTCTTGATTTTTCGTTTGAATTGATAAGATTCAATAACTTCTTCGCCTATACTGATCAAGAAGTCCTAACTTACTACAACTAGTTCAATAAACTAACTCATTCATGTTGATGTTCTTGGGTCTATTCAGTTGTTTTTCTGTTCAGTTATATATAAATCCTCTATTCAGTTCTGTTCAGTTCTGTGCTTGTTGTGGCTGGTGCTTAATAAATAATTCAGATTATTCCGAAAATACGATAGATGGATCCATCAGGTAAACATGTTGTACTAAATGCAATGCTCGTGGTGATTGATCTGATATACGCAATTTGAATTGTCAAATACGTGGCCGTGAACAATACGTGGCGTTGAACAATAGGTAGCAGTACGTTGTGTATCATGAATGTCAGTGATAATGCAAAGTTGTTCCCCAGATGTAAGATCATTTGATAGTAATATTCTTCTTGTGTATGTTGAAAACGAGAGATATAGGTATGCGCTTGTACTTCAAATAATTCAATTCCCTAGTATGCGTATGGTTACGTCGTAGTCATAGTCATGAACATGATCACGTAGGAAGTTCAAGTAATAACAAGATGATGTGTGGTCTTTTTTAGTGCTGAAGGTGTCTTCTCACGATTTTTTTGAAATTGTAGTACAACAATTGAAAAGAAGTCGTCGTAGGTTATAGTTCTTATACATAGTAGTACGGCTACTCTAGGTTTGGAGGCTAGTCCAAGATTTTTTTGACTGAGATGCGTAAGCTGCTGAAGAATCGAGACGGACAACTGTCGGACACAAGATTTGGTTTCGGTTTCCAAACCAAATCACTATTATACCAATAACCATTTGGTGGCCGTGCTCCCATCCACAATCATGAGAAGGCTCCTTCTATCATTGCTAGTCCCGCGTAGTACCTGGTGGAAGCGGAGGGGGACAGCGGTTTATAAATAAAGGAAAAGAGAAATTAGCATGTAAAAACTCATCAATCGTACATACCAAGCGGAACGAAGTAAAAAGGTCAGTAGGACAGGACAAAAATCACAAGGGAATTGCAAATCAAGAGTGCTGCTGCTGTCGACGTCGGTACCATTACCAAGATAAAGATTGATAGTGGAATAAAAAAAAATCATTAAACAGAAATAATGTGTAAGCGACTGTACCTGTTCAAGAATTTATCGCATGGCAATAAGCTGTCGTCGTGACTTTTCGAACACCAAATAATATGCCCACATCCGGCATGATCGCAGCTACAACTTCGACCGATACAACTTCGATCCTGGTCTTTATCTGCGTCAACCCACGCCGACAGACTCGACGCCGACAGGACGAATACACCACAAGTCAGAGTCGGAGCCTGCTTTCTTGGAACTACCTTGACGTTCACGACCTGGAGGATTGAAAAGAAACGATATAGCAGAGAAATGTTGATCAGTGAAAGTGGTCCAAGACAAAGACGATACTGGCGGAAAGAGTGGAGTCTTCTTACATCTGTAGAAGTGAAGTTAAAGTTAGATATTATAAATGCTTATTTTTTGTTGACCACAGATGATATAGGTTATAAATATTGATACTCAACAACGGTACTCGAAAGATAGAAAGGTAGGTGGTAGATGTATCTCTACTACCTACTGCAGCTCTGGTCGATAATCGTATTCGAAAACATGTGCACCGAAACACAACTTGAAGGTCGAGTAAAGTTCGACCCAAGAAAAAGAATTGCATCAACCAATTTTCCCTGCGAGCATGCTTTATGGAAATGGAACCTTTAGTGGATTGTTTGATCAAGTTCAACAAGTTCAAGATTCATCTTTCAAGAACGAAAAATATGCTGCAGATCCAGTAGTCTTTTTATATAAGTAGTCGTCTTGTTACAAGAACTTTGAGCAGCAAGGTAAAAACCAAAAGCCAAATCATGGAGTGAGTGTTCGTCAAAAATACTTTGCTTTATTATAGTACCTATTCAACTTCAAGATGTAGATGGTCTTCTCGAGTCACGCTTTTGATAGTATCATCTCCCTGCACTTCTTGTTCTTCCGCTTCATGTCGTCCACGAGGTCCTGCTCGATCCTGCGCAACAACTACAACTCTTGCTTCTCATCGCATCGTCAAAATCGATCCCAGTACTAGATGAGGTTCTTTTTGGACCAAAAAACTCCAACCACGACTACTAGACTTCTACTGTTCTTGTTACAACCACGACTACTACACTTCTACTGTTGGCTTCATCTTCAATCTCCTGCTCTTCTTGTTATAGTAGAAACATCGCCACGGGTCATGTGCTTACTTTGTTTTTCTATTGCTTCGATAGTGTAGGAGTGTAGGTGCTGTACTACCTGCTACACTGCGTCTACGTCTTCTTTCTTCTTCTCACGACCAACGAGAGTCTTCATCGTTCTCGAAGATGATTGAGAGTACTAGTACTACTTCATCTTGCAGTATTAGTACTACTACTAGCTTCTCCCTCTCTTTCTTCTCCTAGAACATTGTTCATTTTTTTCTTCTCTTACATCTCCGCCACTTTTTCTCCATTCTCCAGGGCGCCATAAATGCCCTCGCTGCTTGTGGATGCTGTGATGCTCGTCTGTTGGTCAGGTGAGTAGCTGCTGTAGCGAAAAAGCTGCGACGCAGTACGGCGCGCGCGCTTCGAACAGAAGAGGAATCCCGCCAGGAAGATCACACTGGAGCCAAGAACGAGTGCTGGGTTGTTGGAAGCAGAAGATAGGACGTTGTGGAAGAAGGAGGCGGTTGCCGTGTTTGCTTGCATGAAGCTAGAAGGAGCAGGATCACATGGACGAAGGCGCACACACACACGTAGTTGTTCGTGATCAGGTACGAGGGGACGTCCGTCCGGTTCTTTGGACGCGAGAGTTGTAAAATTCACAAAACCACGGTGATCTATTTCGCCTGCTTCGAATCGGATGACGAACGAAGCGGAATCTTCACCAGGACCGCTCCTCAACACGGTCAAGCCAAAACCCGCGCTAGACTGAACATCAAAGCCAGACGCCTGGTTTTTTCGAAAAAATTAAAGAAAACAAGAAAAGCCGGGGAATTTGAATAAGCCGAAACACTTGAAAGGAGCAACAGATCAGACGCATCAGACCCAACGGAAAAAGTAATGAGAGAGGTCAGGGCGATGGACTTTTTTTGTAGACTTTCAAAGAATAGAATTTGCTGGCACCTTAGAATCACTTTCGGCTTCGTCGGACCTTGTGGTAGTCGAAGGAGCGACCAAAATCCTTCCTATTGAAAAAGCCGAACGCTTTGAAAAAAGTCCGTCCTTTTGAGACAAAGTCGACCAGCTTGAAAGGAGGCGAAGCCCCTGCACAAGCACCCCCAGCCAAAACCGAGCTCCCGAGCAGCATAGCCGCCCCTTGCCCCTCCAGATGAGAAAGCCGCAGCACGCTTCTCGCCCCCCCTTCCCTCAACCAAGCGCAGCCCGCTTCAATTTGCAACGCCACCCAGCTGCCCCTAGCAATCCACTCTAACCCAGCACACCTCCAGCCAGCTTCCCCCTCACTCATTCAAGCACGCTGCCCACCCCACCCCACCCCACCACAGCCCCACGCCCCCCCCCTTTCAAGGCGGTTTCTGCGAGCCCCTTTGTCATGGATGGTCATGAGGATCGATTAAGGCCGCCCCCTTCTCTGCCCAAACTTCTCCGCGCCTCCTCTCCTCCCTCAGGTCTGTCATAGCTCTCGCCGACCAGTCTCGTCTGGGTTTGTTGCATCTGCTCCAGGATGCCATGGCCAGAGGCCTTGGACCTGTCCAAGCCGTAGAGCAAAACAGCGGCGACTACTACTAGCGCCCCTGCCGCCATCCATTGGCCGCGCTGGTCCTGGTCGATGTTTTCATCCCTTAAGAAAGCCCGACCATTCTCGCGACCTCCTTGGCGTTGTTCAGCCAGTCAGCCCTCCCCGGCTGCGTGGCTGGCGCCGTCGATATATATAAGACCACCGAGGGCGGGCCTTTCGCTCCTCTTGGTCAGGTCAGTGCCCTTCGCTCCGAGGTCTTTGCTTCCAGGTCTCTCACCTGGGGTCTTTCTCTCTTGGTGGCTCAGTTTCTCTCGCGTGAGGATCTCTGCCTTCGATTTGTTCACTATCCTGCCTCGCGAGCGAACTTCTTCAAAGATCTCAACAGCTGAGCTCAGGCTGCTATTTTCTCCAGCGTGTGCCCCGATGTGGTGGGCCCGCATCGACTGCGCCGTAGAAAGATGGCGAGGCTCGAGGCTTAGCCAGTGCCTCTGCCTGCTCCCTGCGCACCCGGCTACTCCAGTCCTATCCCCCTGCGTGGCTCGCTGCCTCTCTCCAGGGGCCAGGCTGTTCCGCTTCTTCCTTCTCAGTTTCCACCTGCGCTGGCTGTCTTGGTTTCCCGCTTTTTCGGTGCTCTTCCGTCGCTTTTGCCGGTCTAGGTAGTCACTCCCACTCCCCTCAGCCCTTCACCTTCCAGCCTTCGCCCAGTTTCCTCACCCATTGCCAGCACGTAGATGGTGCAGAGGTATGGCCTGCCGATACAGAACAGGCGACCCCTGGCGCGCCCCTAGGTCGATTGTGGTCCCTTCTGCGCGGTGTCTCTCCCACTGAGAAACCATCCACGCCCACCTATGTACATGTAGGCTGTATCGAACGGGAAAAAATCTCCATCCTTAGATCTTGCTCGCTGCAATTAAAAGAAATAAACTCAAGCGGGAACTCCGCAGAATAGGCGCGGCGATAAGCAGCGAGCCCGAAAGCGCATCACCACGCCCGCCCGCTTGGGCTGTTGGCGTGTGGGAGCCGTCGGTGGTGGGCTAGAATTTGACGAGAAGCCAGACACACCCAAGGGGCTTGCCTGGCCAGTCCCTCGAGATCGTCCTCTGACCAAGATGGCTGCAGTCTCACCTTCGGCGCCTTTCCGCGTGTTGATATGCGGGAGAGGGGTCACGCGGTGGCCCTGAGAGGCTGCACAACAAAGGGGGCGGCTGCCAAAGCTAGCACAGGCCGCGGATGGCGCGCGCCGGGTTGTGGCGCAGCGTAGCCGCGGCAGAACAGTGGTAGGCGGGCGCGCTGCGGCTGCAAGGTTCTGCCCTTTGCGTTGGTCTGTGTGTCTGTGTGTCTGTCATGCAAAGTCTGAGGACCCTTTTCGGATCGCTCCAAGATGCGCGGCATAAAACTAAAGTGCCTTTTCGTGGCACCTTTGTCGGAGATTCGCGGGGCCCTCCTCTGTCTGAGGCTTAGACCCACTAGGCCCCGCGCAAACTCCTCAGGTTTTGTGTGCCAAAAAGGTCCCACGCTAAGACACAAACAAAAAAGCTCGCTGACCCCTTGGCCTTTCTCTTTTTGCTCATCTCTTCAGCAAATCCTCTGACGGCGATCGCCAAGACGCCATGGCCGCCGGATGAGTAAACCTTGAAGCGCCAACAGTGAGGACGGCGCCACGCGTTTGCGGTTCCATGCCGTGCCGAGGAGGGGAGGGGGGGTGGCTGGGTCGAGTGGACCCGGATCGGGCGAAGGCGTTTGCCACCGTTCGTAGTAACTTCGGAGTGGCCCCGCAAGCTTTGACATTGACACGCAGCAGACTTCGCGCCGGCCTGCTGCGCTGCCTCTCATGTGCTCGCTTTCCTTGGCTTTGTGCCTTAAGGCAGCCAAAGAACCTTGCCAAGCGAGCTGCAGTAGCAAGCGACTGCCTCGCCCTTCGCTGGCTCAATAGTTAGCCCGGCTACCTGGACCGCCTTGCGCTATGCGGCTCCACTTTCTCACCTGGCGGCAATTTAATTCGCGGCCGGCGACCGGATCTGGGGACGAGCACTTTTTTTCTTTGATAGGCTGCGGATTCTTTCTACGTAGCCAGCCAAGGCACCAAGATGCAGCACGATCCCCCAGGGGTGGCCCTGCTTCAGTGAGCAACTTGGCGCCACGATGGTAACCCCTGCACCCCCATCCACACCAGGCAGCCATACTGCCGAAGCGAGCCTTCCCATGGTGGCCCTTCTAGTTCCTTCGAGCTGCCTCGCGTGTGCGTTGCAGGTGACCTCGCGGGCGACTTGCAGCGCAGCGACTGGCCTGCAATTCACTCACCCGCCCTCGCTTCCCTTCGCTTTGTACAGCCATGCAGCCAACCCAGTCGGCTTGGACTGTCATGGCGCTCTCTCATCCTTCCCTCCCTGATGAGAAAAACTGCGCCACGCATTTCGACACTGCCAAGCCCCACGCGCTTCCGCGCGCTCTACCTCTATAGCAGCTATGCCCGCCCGGGCTGGTTTCAATTTTCTGACACAAAGAAGGCAGGCCGGCGCCCCCTTTGGTTCAGCTTCAGTCTGGTGCGCAGCTTTGTGCAATATATTTCACTGACCCAAACGAGCCCCGCACGGCTTCAGCTTAGGGCGCTCAGCTTTCCCCCGCTTCCGCTTCAGCCCAAGAACCGCGCAAGCCCGCTCCCAAATCTCGCAAATCGCCTCAGCCACTTTCGGCGAAGCCTCATCGGGATTGACCCCACTCGACAAAACCCGGCCCCAGCTCCGTCAAGCTGCAGCGAGCCCAGCTGCGTTAAAGCCCGGCTCCGGCGTAGCTCCTCACCCCTTCAGGCTGTGCCGCTAAGTTTCCACCACTCGAGCCCTGGGCCTCAGCCTGGCACAGCAGCAGCCTAATCCTGGTGCCCACTCTCAGCTCCGTCGAATACCGAGCCAGCTGCCCAGCGCACTGCCGGCTGCCTCTCAGCTTCCGCGACGTTTCCCCCCAGCTTGGACTGGCTTCCTTGCATCCCATTCCAGTCCTGCTCCCGCCGCCTTTCGCTTTGGACTGTGTTCACCCAGTTGCTTGGCTAAGTCGCCGCGCGTTTTCAAACCTGTCAAAGCACGGCCCCCGCCTCCGCGCCGCGCGCCCGCTTTGTTTACGCGCTCCCCCCCTCGCGGGCGCAGCTCATGTCTGTCCCCAGTCTGTTGCTCGCGTTCCCACCCCTTCTGGATTGATTTCAGACCACTCGTGCTGCCGCCCTGATTCAGTGCAGCTTCATCCCAGTGGAATCCCGTCCCGAACCCGTCTCGTCGTACGGTTTCCGCTCCGCCAGAGTAGAGCGTCACGCATGGGGCCAGCCTGTGGCTAAGCCATAGCCCCCAGACTGCCAGCCGGTCACCGCCTTCCCTTACTTGGTGGCTCAGCAATTCAAGCCCCCCTTTTTTCAAGCGCGCCCCCCTTTATTCCAAGCAGCCCACTATTGGCGCGCCTTCCAGTTTTTTGTCTAGTGTATTTTTGTATGCCTTAAACTACTTAAATAAAGCAAATAAAAAATATAAATGCCCATCGGTACTGAAAAAGGCAACAAGCGTGCGGCGCTCTCCTTTTGGTAAGCAGGCGTAGACCCAGACACATGACTGGAACAAGAACTAGCCTCAGTCTATCAGTGGAGGCCCGAAGCTGAAAGAGTAAGAAAGCAAAAATGACCAAGAAGCAGCAATACGCTATCGCCATTCCCACCGAAGAAAAGGCCGCCGTGGTCGCTGCCCTCGAGCGCTCTAACGTCCGCGCTCAATGTCTCCTCGAGCTGCTGAATACTTCGCCTGTCTATCGCATACAATTCGGTCGACCTCTCAACTGCCGCAAGCTCGTCCTGCAACAGCTCGCCCTCCATTTCCAAGGCCGCGTCCTTTATTTGCGGACTCTTGCTTGCCTTTGTGTTCCAGGATGCCTCCTTCTCCCTCAGATGCTCCAACTGGCCTAATTCTGCCTTCATAGTACGAAGTCGGGCTACATTCCAAAAACATCGTTAGAGCAGTCGCGAAAGCAAAAGCCGGGTCGCTCTCTCTACGAGTTCAGAGAGAGAAGCTCACCGAGAAGAACACAGACAGACGTGAGAAACCCAGCCGACAGCGATCCGGAGATCAGTCGGTGTCGTAAGGGGCGCGCAGTCAGTTGCTTGCCGGCTGTGCTTCATGCGCATTCTTCTCGCCTCAAATCAGAAGGAGTAGCCATGTCCGTAAACGTCAGACGTCTACTCATCTCGAAGCTTGAGCCAATGTCGTAGCACAAAGAAAAGACGCCGCGCTGGCCAAGACACAAGCCACAAGATACATAGAACAAGCGCAAGAATGGCTACCCACATTGATGCACTGAAATACGTGACGAGGGAACAAGAAGAAGCCGCCGCACGTAGGTAGTGAGTTGGGGGACGGAGGGCGCGAAGATGAACCCTCAACGCCACTCCGAAGCCCCTCCATTAATCAACTAGCGAGCCCACTCCTTCTTCTTCACCTACTCCATTACTTACTTAACCGCCCAGCCGTCACACATGTCACTTACTTAACCAACAAGGACAGAAACCGAATACGGGAACTAGATCGATACACTCACAGACTAGAAAAAACGAAACACCCGAAGCGAGAGACTCTATAGAACGGCAACGGCGCTACTTAATTTGCCACACCTTAAAAGCGAGCGGCGCTATATCTCGACCCCAGGAGGCCATCTGCTCGCCTTTGCTTTTCTGCCCATCATTGGATAGGCTCCGCAAACGACGTCGAGTAGCTTCATTTCGTCGCCCTCGATGATCATACACAGGAGACGCACCACAGCCATCGCCAGAAGTAGAAGATGAAGCGCCGCGGCGCGCTGCGTCGCTAGAAGAAGCGCCGACTGGATCAGTTGCATTGGATAGCGCTGACCTACTCGAAAATCCTCGACGTCCTGCTCGCCGAGCAGCATGATCTGACGGCAACGAAGACAAGCCTCCCCTAGAAGCGGCACCTGTGTCACTGCTTGACGCCGAAACGCCGCGAAACGGATTTCTCCAACCTATGAAAGGGCTGGACACATCTAAGCAGCCGAACGAAGACGGCATGGCCATCGATTGTGAAGATGCAAGCTCCGCCCGGCTCCCCTGGTTCAGATCTCGACCGGCTTGAAGAGCGGCCAGACCCAGACGCCGACGAACTTAGTATCGAGCTGCGCTGAGGCCCACGCATCTGAATTCCCAGACGCTTCCCTCCACGCGGGGAGAGCGCGCCATCGTTTTTTGCAGCCCTCTGCCAGCCTGCGGCCTCTTCGCTTTCTAGTAGGTTTCTCCGTTTTAGGCTGCCCAGCGTCATACACACTGCGACGATCGTTTTGGCAACCTCGCCACTGCGTGAATGTATCACATCCATCAAGGAAATGGCCTAGCGTCAAGGCTAAGCGTCTACTTTTTCGCAAAATGAACAAAATAAAGCCGACGCGTGTCCTTTTTGGCAGTGAATTGCCTCAGCCTTTCCCATAAAAGATACTCACGCAGGCGACGACACTGCCCAGCACCTACGAGACTGCTCGGCCTATTTTGTATGGCGGGCCTTAGACTTAATAGCCCAGCTCTGTCACAAAGTGAGACGTCGGCCAGCGATACTCTGGCAGCGAATGCTACGCCCGGACTGTTCTCGTTGTGCCGCCTTTTTTTTTAATGTCGCTGACCGTGCCCTGTCGCTTAAGCCTGAACATACCACACCCCAGGGCAAGGGCCTCCTGGTTCGTCATCGTCTTGGTGCGTTTGGAAAGTAGTTGACTCGTAGGGCTTTGCACTTTTTTCGTTTCAACTATAGAAAAGGAAGGAACCCCGAAGCATGTTAGACGAGAGCGCCAGACCTTGCAACAGTGTCAAACTTGTCAAAAAGTGCAAGGCCTTTTGCGGCCTCGCAGTCATGTGGTTTAAGACGTTCTGCGATCCATGCCTTTGCCCTGTTGAAGTTCTTAGCGTCATCCCCCCCAGCCAGACCAGTGGTCGCTGTCATGGACCTACCGAGGCCCGCCCCCCCATTCTCTTCTGCGGGGTTCTCATCACTCTCCCAAAGAAAGCGCCGAAGCCTCAGCCCTGTGGAAGATGCTGCTACTTGCCCCACCCACGCCTCTCCTAAGTCTTCGCCACAAGCTGCACGGCCGACGCCTGCGACGTGCGTCACGTTGGCCCTCGTGCCTCCGTGCAGTCAGCGCCGCCGCCCTTATCGCGCTTTCACATGATGCATCCCATTGCTCCGCCCGATTAAAGCACGGAGACGCTCGCCCCCCTTTTCTGAGGCATGTCTCGTTGTTTTCTGGTGTTTTTCTTACTTTTTTCTTGGTTTTTCTCTACGAATGACACAGGAAAATCATGGGTAGAGGTTCTTTTTAGAAGCAGGGGGCAAAATAGCGCAGCACCATGCTCCGGAGTTCATCTGACTCTAATCACGTTCCAGAGCTCCTGCAACCCCTTGCTTCCACCCCTTGTAGAGTCGTCATCTTCTTCGAGGCTTCTCCTCAGCTTCAACGGCCCCGCAATACTGACATCGCCAGTAGCTGGGGCCGAGGCTGACAAGTTGCCCACCGTCGCCAGATTCTCGCCATCCGAGCTGTGACCAGGTTCCATGACAGAACCCTCCACGGCCTCACCCACCGCAGCTGTCGCGATCTCTCCCCCCGGAGAAGACGGCGACGCAGTCGCTCAGGCTGTAGATGATGGCACTACTTCGTTTGTCACTAGAGACATCCCCAACATATTAGCTCCCACGCCGTATAGCTCTACTTCGCAGCAGTCTCGACAGAGGCGTCGCCATTCCCTTCACCGTCGAAAAGATGGAGATCCTTTGACCCAGTAGAGGCATCCGCGCTCCCTCTCGGGGACTCGTCCGGCCGACGCGGTGCACATATTTCAAAACATTCTGCACCAGAAGCAGCGGCGGTCTCGTCTTCATTTGCGAAGAACGGCCGCGATTCTTGTCCCCCATTGGTTCTCTCAATTCGTCCACCGTGGTAGTGGCACTGCTCCAGCCAGCAGATGAAGCCTTCTTCGATTGGAGTTGTGCCTGTAGTTGTTTCGCCTAGACGGGAGCGTCCTGCATTTTGCACAGGTTCGCCACTTTCTCGGCACGCTGCTGCTTTCGCTGCTCAAGGATACGACCCCGAAGAGCTTTACAAGCACCCAGGGATAGTCCCTCACGCGCGCACTTCATCCCGTCGCTGGAGTTGACGATATCCCAGATAGCCGAGAAGCAGACAGCTCCTGGGAATCTGCGCGCAACCTCGGTAGCAGCGACCGCCGCCAAAAGGTTACACGCCGCATCATTTTGAGAGGTCGCCGCTAGGTCGATCAGATCGATACTGGGTCGTCGCCTGACCAAGTTCATCAAAGCCTCCAGGGCTTTCGCGACCAAATGAGCCGCGGGAAGCAACGAACACGAAGGTGGTTTAAATGATAAAACTTGCCGCGATAGACATTAGGAACGTCTCTGCAGTCTCCCCCAGCGGTTTCTGTGAAGTGAAAGGCTTTTGTTTAAAGTTTTCCCATGAAGTTCATGAAGAGACGAGCCCAGAAATTCTCGACAAATTTCAGTCGTTTCCTCTTCTAAATTTTCTAAGTCTTCCTATCAACGTTCGAGCCTGTTCTCCATCTGTGTCCTCTAACATTTCTAAACAAGTTGGCACTCCACTGCTCGCCCCGGCGGCAAGAATGCGGCTGAACGGACTCAGCGCGGCTTCAACTGTGTTGGACCGGGATGCGTAGCATCCTCGTACAGCTACAGCGTGTTGCGGAGAAAGCTGTCCTTGATCGTGGTCGCGGGCTGCTTGGCCCACGTTTTCATTTTGTGCGCAGCATCCAAACCAACGGAGAAGCCTGGGATCTCCTCAGAGAAGTTTCAGCGAGTTGTCCTCCACGCCTAAAGCGTGGACTCGACTGGCAGGGGAAGAAGTACAAGAAAGCCAGCAAGTTCTATCTGCACTGCGTCCCGGGCGAGCAGCTGCCTGCTCTCCTGTTCTTGCCCACCCATGGCGGCGCCTTCTTGACCGCTACCCTTGCTAGAAGGTGTGGCTGCGTCGTAGGTCTTGCCCAGCTTCTCACTGTAATGATACTGCCCACCTTCAAAGTGAGTTGCACCATTTCCAGCAGAAGACGAACCACCACCCCAAGGCGAGGACCCCGCAGCTTTCGCCTTCTCCTCCTCCGCCTTCTCAGCTTTCTCCGCCTTCTTCGCCATCTTCTTCGCCTTCTTGCGTTCTTTTTTAGCAGAAGGCGCTCGCTCTGCTTGGGCCTTTTCCTCCATTTCGTTCGCCATTGGTCCAGGGCTTTCCTTCGGCCTTCCAAGCTTTCCACCCCTGTGGTTGATTGTTGTCGCGGCCCCTGTTCTGGTCGTAGTTGTAGTTGTGGCTGTAGCTGCGACCGCCGTCCTTGTCAGTCGTAGGAGTTGTGGCGACCGCCGTCCCTCTCCTTGTCGTAGGAGTTGCGGCGACGTGGCCGCCGTCCTTGTCGTAGGAGTTGTGGCCGTGGTAAGATTTTCCACCTCCGCATCCTCCTTCTCCACCTCCATGACCACTCTCTCCACCTCCATGCCCATGCCCTCCCTTTCCAGCTCCATAACCTCGCTCCCTGGCGTCCTTTTTCATGGGAAGGGTGCCGGCCTTTCTCGTTCCTTCCTCCTCAATTCTCGCCGTACTTCCGTAAGGAGTAGCCCGAGGCTTCCACTTTGAAGCGGTGAGAATCGTCCAAGAGTCTCAGCCTTGTTTTGTCGTGCTTCTTTGTTGCGCTTGTACTTACGTGCGCGCCGTTCTTACGTTCTGAAATGAACTTGCTTACTCTCGCTGACAAACGTCTAAACCCATGCGGAGTTCTGTCATACATGACCGATCTCAGACTTCACGCTTGGACCTTCACAACGTGCCAGCTCTCTTGACAGCTCTTGACTGTCAGTTCTGGCCACGCCTTTCGTTTCGATCGTAGAACATCGCATGCGTGTGGGCTATAATGGAATGGGGCGCGGGGTGATTTGCTCCGCAGTGCTATACCGTGGGTCCTCTATTTCTGTACCGTTTTCCATTTAGAACTAGGGCCAGGCTTGCGTGTCTCATCTTGCTTCCGTTTGGTTTGCTTTGGTTTCGTTTGGTTTGGTTTGGATGGTATGCAATTCGCTTGCTGTCAGTTTATTGGGTACCGGCTTGGCCTGTGTTTTCTTTAGTTTGCTTCCTTCTCTTCCCACTTACGGCTTACGCCCATGCTACGGCGCGGCTGGCTGCTGCGGTGCGTTTGTTTCGTTTTGGGCTTGTGTTCTTTGATTGCTTTTGCATAGATTGCCTATGGCTCCTCTTTACTCTTCTAGACTGGTGCCGGCCTACGTCTATGCCTATTACTCTGCTAGGGTTAGCCTTCGTCTCAGTGTAGTATAGTTGGCGCTAAGGTCGCTAGTGTTGTGCGGTATCCGTGTCAGCTTATCGAGTAGCTACAGCGCTGAAATAGAGCAGAGGGGAGCACGCGCGCCGTAGACGTAGAGCAGGGGCCGAGGCATGTGAGGCGATCCGGTGCCACCCCCTGCCTAGATAAGCCTGAGGCTGAGCCACGGCAGCCTTGCCTTCAGCTCGCCGCGCCAGCTCAGCCCGCCTCAGCTCAGGCCAGCGCTGGAACCGTTGCCGTGTAGGCTGTGCGGTGGTATTGTGTAGGTTAGCCCCGGCGCGGCTCGGCCTCGGCGTCGCGTCGCATGTCCCAGCCTCTGCTCTGCTCTCGTCTCGTGTTCTTTTCTACAGTACAGGCACAGGCACGCTAGTGCTCTACTCTAAAGACATGGCCTTCGCTTCTCATCAATGTCAATCCCATGCCAAAGCCAAGTCTAGTCGTCTGCGCTGTGTTGAGTTGTTGCTCTCATCTACTGGCTTACTCGCTATGGCTCCACGACCGCACGGGGCAGCACAGTCCGGCGCTGAAGCCACCGGAGTGGTTTCGAAGGCTTGCGAATGACCTCTACCAACCGGAAAAAGCTGCGCCAGGAGATCGACGACCGCCGTGCGTGTATTCCTCATACTCAGAGGGAGAGACAGGAGCTCGACGCTATAAATGATGCGGCACTCGTAAGCATCACCCTCAACGGAGGCGCTACATGCTGGGTCTGCTTTTCCACCGTCAAACCCAAAGGGCCCGCTTGCACCTGGCGCAGACATTCGCGCAGAAGATGGCGCGGAGGTCAGGCCTGGAGGTGGAACGCCGTCCGGGTGCGGCGGGGAGAGTCTGGGCCCCCAGCTGGATGCGGGGACCAAAGCCAAAGCTGGCGCTGAGCCGAAAACGTGGAGCAACAAGGAACGGGAAGCCAGGGCGCGCCTAGGGCTTGGAGGGGCTTGCCCCTTAACAAATGGCAAGGACCTGGCGGAGCTGGATAAGTTTTTTGCGCGGGTGGATGCTGACCAAGGCGCTGCTGGCGCTGCGTGCTGTTCTTCAGTTGAGGAAGCTGGGGAGGGACTGGAACCAGCTGGAGAACAAGGCGCGCCACTCGATGAGCTTGCGGAGTGTGGCAGCGGTGCTGAGCTCAGCAAGGAGAAGAGGACGAGGACGACGAAGAGGCAGAGCCAGAAGGAGAGGCCCAGGGAAACGGAAACACAAAAGCAAAGCCCAAAGGCTAGCCGCGCCTCGCCGCAGCGCAGCGCGAAGGGAAGCAGAAGGAAAAGCGAAGGCGGTGGCTTCGTTTCCCGCTCGCTTGGTGACCAGCTCCCTCTATCTAGTCACTCAGGCGCTGCCTGGGTCTCGTCTCCGTCTGACTGCGTGTCTGTGCTTCTAGTCTGCGCTGGCCTTTTTGAAAGAGCGGTTTGCTCACACAGTGAACACTTACATAAAGTACAAAAGTCGCACCACAGCGGAGGTGGGCGTAAGGAAGATATTGGTATACTAAGGCGCTAAGCCATAGTGGGAAGAAGCAGCACGATGATGAAGATGATGGCTTGTTTGTTGGACTTCAGTCAACTAAGTCACTCATCCTTTCTTTCATCACAAAAACACTTTCACACTTTTCAAAGCTGTTTGCTTTGCTCTCGTTGTGGGACTAGTGCTAATTTGAGCACGCTCGTGTAAGGTTCTTATATCCTTTCATTTCCTTTCCGTGCAAACAAAGAAGTGAAACAAAGAGAATAACAAACTTTACCGAAATAGATGGACAGACGTGTAGAGGCAGGCACACACCTTACATTACTTTCAAACAAAGACTAGAACACGCAGCTTGGCCACTAACAACCCTGCCTCCCAAACTGCACGAATGGGAACTATTCTACAAAGGGAAGTAAGGTTCTAGCTGTAAGGTGCTTACTGTTCTTTTGTGGTGGATGCTGCCTCCTCTTTTCGTGTAGTTGTTCGTCGGGTTTTTTGAACCTACTCTAAGTTGTTTCTACTATCCTGACTAGAACGTAAATAGTCAGCCCTTCTTTGATTCCCGTAAACTGTACAAACTGCTTTCCCAAGTATGTGAGCATGTACGTAGAGTTTTTATTTAGGTTATGCTATTTTTATTTTGTTTTATATTTTTTCTTTTTGTTTTTTGTGCTTAAAAGTTTTTTAACTACGCCAACGAAGTTTAACTCGATGGCCTTCAAAGTAAGAGGTCTTCTTCAACTATACTTTTGAAAACTTAAATGCTCTTCCTAAGCTATCATGTAAAGCCTTATTTTTAACAACAGTCTTTCGGAACTGCCCAAGATATGCATGAAGAAAAACAGAAATCCTTTTTCTAGTTAAACTGTGTAAATCAGCGCCATGCCCCAAGTTTGTAGTTGAAGTCGTAAAAATTGTACAGAAAGTTACTTCGTGAAAGTTGTGCAAGGCAGTCTCTGCTGCTAAAAAACACTAGATTAGACTCCTGTCGTCTGTATTCTCCCCAAGGTAGGTAAACCAGAACGCAAACGTAGACGTAGACGTAAACATAGGTAAACCACGTTAAAAACAGTCTAGCCCCTGAGCTAGCTGTCGTCGAGCCGCTATTTTACGATTCGTAGGCGTAGTCTTCGATGGGGATAATGCGCTTGATGTTGCACTTGAAGCTCGTACTGTCGATCTGATGCTTCAACAAAACCGCAGAGCCGTAAACGTCGATCACGTCAAACGGACCAGAGGCCAAAGCCTGTAGGCGATAGGTGATACCGGCTCGCAGCTTCTCCAATCGGACATAGACGATGTCCCCGATCTTAACCTTCGGCGCAGCGGTCGCATCAGCGTAAGCTTCTTGGACCTCCTGTTGTTTCTCTGCAGTCTCCTCTTGGATCTCGCGCATGTCGTCGAGGCGCTTGACCCAAAACTGGTGGAAGAAATCCGGAGACGCGACCTTCGGTAGGTTGACCAAGGTAGCCGGCCGAAAACCGTGCACAAGTTCGAAAAGCGATCGTCCGAGCTTGCCGGACTGAGGATGCGTGCGAAACGCCCAAGCCGCCGCCGGAATTAGCAACGCCCAGTTCGCTCGTCGACTCAAATTGTCGATGATGTAGGCCCGAAGGAAATCGCTAAGCACCCTGCGCATACGTTCAGCCTCACTCTGGCTTGTAGGGTTGTATGCACATCCTTTGATGTGCTTGTGCGCAAAAATGGAAGCTAAAGCGACCATAACCGCAGCTATGAATTCCGATCCTCGGTCGCTGCGCAACGTGTGAAAGCGGCCATACGTACAGATGACACGCGCGTGCAGAACTTCTGCAACTTCAGCTGCTTCTTTCGTAATCGTAGGCTCGAGGACTACCCATCCTGAAAGAAGATCGATGATAGTGAAAACGTAGCAAAAGCCTGCCTTCCCGCTTGGCTGCAAAGGTCCGACAAAGTCGATCTCCCAGACCTGAAGCGGCATAGTCGTGACGCTAAACTTCTGCGGAAATGTAACAAGGCCACGTCGTACCTTTGCTTGTGCGCAAACTCGACAAGCCCGCACAAACGCACGTGCCTGGCGTGCGCAACCGACCCACGTAAAATTGCGACGAACCTTTGCCAAGGTTTCTTTCCTGCCGCTATGGCAACCGTCCAACACGTCCTCGTGGAAGTGCTTGATGATCTGCGTTCGGTATTTCGTAGGTACAAGAATAACTTGTCGTGGTTCAGTCTCGTCTTCGAGAATAAATTTCGTGCACAAACCACCAGCCACAACAACACTTCGAGCCTTTTTCTTTTGAAATTCCCGCATCTGTTCCTTGCGGAAATCCTCGACATCGATGTCCATGGAAGGCAAGTCTACCAGAAGACAGTCTGGCAGCGTGCCGTTGTCTCGGGCAACGATTTCTCCGTCACCGAGATCACGCTGAAGAACGTCCGCAACCGATTCGGCAATAGGATCGCCACCAAAAGGATCATGTCCAAAAGGATCATGTCCAAAAGGATCATCGTCGAGAAGATCGCCAGTCTTGATCTGTGACTCTGCCTCCAAGGCAGGTTGTTCATCGATGTTGCTGCTGCCTCCAAGCCCGGATGCTTGGATTGCGCCATCGAGCGCAGTGGCATTACCGGTTTGGCTGTCATCAGCCAGAGGACCGTCCTCAAGCGAGTGCTGAAAAGGCGCCTTCTTGTCCTTTTTCTTGTTATCTTGGGGCTTTTTCTTCGGCTGCTGCTTAGCAGTTGTTGTCTTCGCAGCTGCAGTTTTCTTGCTGCCTCCAAGGCCTTCTGCCTGTGGATCGAGGAAAGACTCGGCTTCATCATCGTAAACCGTAGCTGCATCGTGTTTAGTTTCGTTGCACCACTTTGCAACTTTCTCGTACTCATTGGTACCCTTTGCGGCGAAACGGATGCATTTTAGCGCACGGTCTTGCCCAAGCGCCCTCGTACTGAGCCAGAGCTCCTTCCGCTCAGTGCCGTCACGCGAACGAAAAGGCTTACTGGCCTTCAGCACGTAGTTCTGACCGCGCTCATCCGTCTTCTTGAAGACGCTAATCTTGCCCTGCACCGGTTTGGACGGCAACCGTTTTTGAGCCGCAACGCGTTTTGCGTAGGTCACGTAGACCGCTGTCTGGTTAGACATAATGGCGCTGCTATCCGGAAACACGTCCGGGAGCAGGAGATCGACGTAGCCCGTCTCTGCAACAGCAGTCGAGATCTCGTTCCCGAGTTGCTGCGCCGCAAAGTTAACTGCAACTTGACATAGTTGTGCTCTCTTCGCTGGTTTCTTCTTAGGTTCGATAGCTTTTTGCGTTTTGCGTTTTCTTGCATCTGCAATATGCTCTTCGGCAAAATTTGTCAATGACCTCGCGCGGAACTAAGTCCACACCATAGTATTCGTAAATCAGCTCTCGCACCGGCGTACCCTCAAGAATACGCTTTTCGAACTCCGAGCGCGCCGCAATCGCTCCTGGAGCCAGACGCGACAAAAAATCAGCCGCAATGTTGTCCTTGCCTGGGATGTGCATGTATTCGTAGTTGTCGCCGCACGCACGAATCTCCAAAGCCCAGCGCGTAGCTTTCTTGAGGACTCGCTTGGTGTCGAGGTCTTTCTGCAACCGTGGTTGGATCGTTTCGTTATTCAAGTGATCACGACAGACTCGACAAGTACTGTCGCGGACCCATTTCTTGGAGCCAGTAACGCCGTCGAAGAGCGGAGCCAGTAACGCCGTCGAAGAGCGCGTAAAGCTCTTTCTCCGTGACAGTCTGGAAGAGCTCATAGTCCTCCTTGAATGCGTAATAACCGCTGTCGATCAGAATCGGCGTTCCGTCATCTCCGATTGCAGGTTCCTGCCAAAGCCACCAAGCTGAGCAAGCATCGCTGCTATCAACGCAAAGCGTAAAGTCCCAGTCGGACCTAGGTGCATGGTACTCGATGCTGCTCACCGTCTTACGGATGTATTGGATGGCCTCGTTTGCCGAAGTGTCATTCTTAAACATTTCGTAGGTCATGCCCTTGCGCGAATACTTGTTCAACGGTGCCACAAGTTCGGCCAAATTCGGAACAAATTTACGAATCCAAACTCCCATGCGTCGGTAGCTGTTGACCTCGTCGAGGTTGGTAGGATTCGACAAATCCTGCATTGCCGCTTTGCGTCGTGGTTCAACACCGATACCACGCGCAATTCGATGCCCAAGTAACTCCATCTGGGTCTCGACCAAAAATGTCTTGTCCCAGTTCAAAAGCCACTTGCGTCTATTCAGAGAGGTAAGGACACTGCGCACCATCTTGAGACGTGCAAGCATGTGATCCTTGGTAATCGGTTTTCCCGCTGGCACCTTGGTTCCGGCATAAACATCGTCGAGATAGTTTCGACAGTATTCTTCGTGTTCTTGGATATCCGTCTGGACTTCTGCTTGAAAGGCAGGCGGAAATTCGCTGCCGCCGAAGCCAACAGCGAGTGGTTCGTAGATCTTGCCGCTGAATGTGATGCCGAATTCTTCGCGCGTCTCCGGCGCAAGCTTCAATTGGTTGAAGCCCCAGACGAAATCGGCTTTGAAATGCAACGCGAACATAGCAGCAAATTGAAGAAATTGTTGCAAGTCCGGCTGCACCCAAGGTACTCGCTTTGTGCATTTGTTGATGCGAGACAAGTCGAAGATCGGACGTGCCAAAATCCCCTTGCCCGCGTTGGCATCCGTAATAAACATCGGATGAACCTTCTTCGGAGGTTTCTCGGCAATTCGCACTGTTCCGCTTTCGCAGTGCCATCGGAGATGTGCTTCGCCGCGCTCTGCATCAAAAGCAGAAACAGGGTAGCCGGTTCTGCGGCCTAAGGCCTTAGCATGTTTTCGGACGAGCTCCTCGTCGAGCTCAACTTTGTATTCGTATCCTTCAATCGTTTTGAAGGGGCATCCCTTCTCTTCTGCCAAAGCAGGTGGGAGAACTCGCTGGTGATGTTCTTGATCTCTGCAACTACTTCTGGATGCAGATGACCGTATCGTTTGTCGACCGAGTCGCGCAAATTCTGCTTGTACTCCTCGGAGTACATATCGTGTTTCCTGTAGGAGGCTCGCTTTCGATCCTCTTCTTCGATTGCCTTGCGAAGCAAATCGTGCTGACCCGCCCAGCGTGCTTTTTTGCGCTGCAAAGCCGCACTAGCAAAAACGTTAACCGCCTGCGGAAACGGATCTGTACCAAAAGGATTCGAAGGAGAGAACCGCCAGTCGACATCTCCTTGCTCGGGTAGATGTTCGATGAGATCACGAGGCGTATAGATTCTTGTTTCTTCTCCAGCCTCGAGGATCGTGTAATTCGTACCAACGTGGTATGGCATCGTTATGCCATTTGCGCCTTCCGCATACGCGTAGACCGGTTGTGCTTGATCTGCAACAAGTTGCGACCAACCGAACAGCAACGAAAATGCAAGACTCGCGATGATGAGAAAAATCGAGATCCTCGCCTTCGTTCTGCCAGAAACGTCGACACGCTGCGTTTCTATCATGACGCATTCGTCAGCAACAACCGAAGACGCACCGGTCTCAAAGCCGGAGCATTCGACCTCTGGCCCCTTGAAAGTACGCAAAATTGCATAGTCCGTGTGAGGGCTACGCGAAGCAGCCTCCACCCAAGCACGACTCGCCAAACCACGACCAGAGCAGGAGTCCTCCTTGATCCTCTGGCACGAGTCGCCAATCTTGATGACGCTCTCTTGGTGTTCACCGTTATTGACCGCCGCTATGTTGATCCTGTTCGGCATCTGCTCAGAAAATTCGCAAAATTTTCGCGCTAAACATTCGAATTGAATCTCGGCGATCGGCTGGTCTCCGTGGACCCCACGATCCGGCTGGACAGCAGGAGGACTGTGATCTTCGCTGCCATCGAGAAGCCACGGGTTCTGCAAGTGCTGAGGCACCCCCGCGAGAATCTCACGCTCGCACGACTCAATCGTGATAGGTACTTTGGCATCTGTATCATCAACAAATGCAAACTTTGTTTTCGTAGTGCCACCAGGAGGAGCTGTACTCCAACCAGGAGTCGACGCTGTGTGGACTGCAGCAGCAATCACTCCACGCGCAGTCTCGTCATCGGTTGGTTGACAGAACGCCTCAGCACCAGCATCAGCTTGCTGCTCTTGTTCTCCGGTGGTCACCGCGCTGGTGTTGGTTCTTCGCGGTGGCTGGCCTTTCTTGCCTGGTTGCTTGCCAGTGCCTTTCCCTTTACCGCGCTGCGCAGCTTTCTGCTCATTTAGCTTTTGCGCAGACTGCCTATGCGTTCCGGCAAGGTGGTTGCGACCACCACATTCTCGTCCTGCACATTTGTAGTTGCAACGTTTTCCGGAATTCCATATTTCTTCTCGCTCTGCCTGCGAGAGGAGGTTTCCGGGACAAGGTCCTGGGTGGACACCGTGGCATCGCGAGCACGTTTGTGTCTGCGACTCGCCCTTGGCGCCACTACCTTTTCCACCACCCTTTTTTCCATTACCACCTTGAGGAGGAAATCTATCTCCAGCGCCACGCACAAAGTTGATCTGTGCCTTCGGTCCGAGCTCCATTCTCGATTGGATCCATCGGCGGCAGCAATCCCAAATAGAGATTTCCGGTTCTTGGTCTTTCAGACCTTTCGCTTCGCTGCTAGTTCCGCCGATGATCCGCGAAATTTCTCCATCGCTCTTGTCGACGCAGTTAGGCTGCGACAATTCTGGTAGCGCTTCGAGATAGGCAATTGCCTCCGGCAGCAGCTTCAACTTCACGTCTTCGACCTCGCGAATCGATTGGATGATCAGTCCAGCCTGCTGCATGCGCATACGCGCAATCCGGTAGCGAGTGATGAACTTTTCGAATTTCTTCACCGTAGACATTTCGTCCGCAGAGGCCTTGACCTCGCTGTACTCTTTCATGACGTCGCGCGGCTTCTTGCTCGTACTGACGCCCGCTTTTGTAGGCAGAAATTCGCCAACGAGATGCCGTCTGAGATTTGTCCACGCATCCTCGTCTAGTTCCGTGTCGGAGTAAAGCTTGTCGCTACCAACCGACAAGACAAAGTCCTGCATGAAAGCCGCAGCGTTGCTAAGCTCCTGGGAGCACGCCTTTAAAGTGCGAACCCATGCTTTGGAATCGGTCAAACCCGCGTCGCTGCACGCCTGAGTGTAGACCTCGAGCTGCGTTTCAAACTCGCGTGCCGTACCGAAAACGAGTTTGGTTCCCACCGCCATTTTCACCGAAGCAACTTGCTTCTGCACCTCTCTCTTGTTGCGCTCCGCCGCAGAGGTCTCGGTGGTGCCCGTACTCGCCTTCGATTGCTCGCGAAGTGCGCTTGCGAGTGACCGAAAGCCGTTTTCTTGGTCTGCTGCTGCGTTTCCAAGTTGGTTGGTAATGGCTTCTGCTAAAACTTGCATGCTATTGGAGCTATTCTCCGTCTGCTGTGCAGTTGAAGCTTGGATAGCTTCTGTTAGTTTCTGCAGCGTTTCTACGTGCGAATCCGGTGACGCGCTAGTTCGCTGTGACTGCGCCATCGGTTCAGGAACGAAATCAAAATCGATAATACCGTCCTCGGTAGCTGCATTGAAGAGGTTGATCGCCTGTTTCGGCGATAACGCCGCATCTCTTTCGATGTCTCTCACTATCTGGGAAGGGTGAAAAACATGTAGCCGCCAATACCATCGCGTGTCGCTTTCCTCCTCGTCGTCGAAGACGATGCTGACGTCAGAAACTGCTCTAGCCTGCGCATCAGGCATTTGTCGCTGGAACCGTTCCGGATCTGCGATTTCGTCATAGCCCGTTTTCGGGTTGATCGCAACCAACTCGCCACAGACCTTCGTCGCCGGTCCGATCGAGTTGAGGAACGTGAGTTCTCCTTCGACAAGCAGTTCTTGTTCTGCGTCGCGCAGATTTACGGCGCAACCGCGCATCAGCGGCCGCCGGTGAGGAGGAGACATCGAGATATACGCCATGTCTTCTTTTTTCTTTTACTTTCTTGCGCACTGCGCTGAGCCAAAGGCTAAGTTGGAAATTAATTATGCGCACAGCGCTGAGCCAAAGGCTAAGGTGGTAGAACAACCCAAAGGCACACGTATCGTACTCGAAAAACGTAAACGCCCGGTACTCGACACACGCAGATGCGAGGTACTCGGAAACGCGAACAGAGGTAGGGTAGGTAGTGTAAACGTAGGTACTCGAAACGTAGGCGCAAGGTACTCGGAAAACGTAAACGCAAAACGTAAAACGTAAACGCAGGCACTCGAAACGCGAACGGAAGGCACTCGAAACGTAAACGCAAAATCAACAGTAAACTGCGACGCGGAGTACCCAAAATCGTTGCTCAGCCACCGTAAGTAGCGTCTTGCTGTAGCTGAGCTTTTGCGTGAAAAGGTTGCTCAAGGTTTTTTCGATATAAATCGTGAAAAGTAGGACCTTGATTGCGATAGTTTAATCCACGTGGTTCGCACTTAGCCTTCGCTTAGCTCGGTGGCCAACTCGAGTAACCGGAGGCCAAAAAATTTTTTCGTCAATCAAGTCCAACGCCAGATCGTCGCGCGAAGTGAGAGATCGCTGCCTCAGCGAAAATGTTCGTAAAACGTTCGCTCCAAAACTAGTGCTCATTGCTGCATTACTATCGACAAGGAAACTGCTTCCGCGGCCTGGGTGAGATAACCCAGCCTGTCCCTGTTCAAAACTCGAGTAGAAAAGTTTGCAAATGTCAAAATCGGAGTTTTCGGATTTGGCCGCTCCGTTCTATTAGCAGAGGAAGTTCAGGCTGTGCTGCACTCTTCTGCATGCCATGGCTTTATTCGTTAATTCGTCCTTCAATGTAGTGTCTAGAGGCTGTTTAATCTTGACGAGTCAGCATTTCAGTGAATTTCATGAACATGGGATGATTGAAACTAGTGCTGTTTCGATGTATCATCCAAAACTTTATACCAATCATTGTGCTTTTACGTAGTGGACGAGTGGAAAAACCACAGCGCCCCAGTTGAGAGAGCGGTTTGCTCACACAATGAACACTTACATAAAGTACAAAAGTCGCACCGCAGCGGAGGTGGGCGTAAGGAAGATATTGGTATATTAAGGCGCTCAGCCATAGTGGGAAGAAGCAGTATGATGATGAAGATGATGGTTTGTTTGTTGGACTTCAGTCAACTAAATCACTCATCCTTTCTTTCATCACAAAAACACTTTCACACTTTTCAAAGCTGTTTGCTTTGCTCTCGTTGTGGAGCTAGTGCTAATTTGAGCACGCTCGTGTAAGGTTCTTATATCCTTTCACTTCCTTTCCGTGCAAACAAAGAAGTGAAACAAAGAGAATAACAAACTTTACCGAAATAGATGGACAGATGTGTAGAGGCAGGCATACACCTTACATTACTTTCAAACAAAGACTAGAGCACGCAGTTTGGCCACTAACACTTTTCTTCGTGCAGGCGATAGCTTGACCTCGCCGGGGTGGATGAAGAAAGATGCCCGAAAGTCCTCAGAAAAACAAAAGAAAAACTCGAAAACTCTGAAGGTGCGCACCTTGCAAAAATGACAGCCAAGGAGGGCAACACGATAAGGCGCAGGCTGGTGGCCTCATCGGTTTCCGAGATGTGGAGAGAGTGAGAGGGGGTCGGTGGTGGTTTGAAGATCTCCAACAGGTCAGAGGAGTCTTGCAGGTGGTGTCACCCGATAGGTGGAGAGATGGGCAGCAGGCCTCGGGGTTCGAGGTCCTGCAGACAGTTTAGCCATGGGAATGGTGTCAGGGGAGAGAAAAGGACGGAAGAAGAAAAAGACGAGGGAAAAAAGGAACCAAAAAAGAGAGGGAGAGAGAGGGGCGCAGGGTCTTCGGTCTCAGGTAGTAGGTGGATGGTAGGTCGGTCAGCTGAGAGAGCCTGGCACACGTGTGCGAGATGGACAGAAGCAGACCACAAAAGGGGGACAAAAAAGGACAACAAGAACAAGGCCAAAAAGGAAGCCACAAAACGGCGAGGCCGCGCGCCTCCCTTGGGGCTTTTTAAACGTCTGGAGCTAGTTGATTAGATAAGTGAAACAGTAGAGCACAGGAATAAGCTGAAACATTTGAAAACGATGCGGCGCGACCGGTCCACCCTCTTGGCGGTTTGCTAGTCTTCTGGGCGTCTTCGTGATTCTTCCAGGGGAGCGAGCCGACCGAAGTTCGGAACACAGCCAGCGGCCGGACGGCCAGGCCGTTCGCCAGCAGCGCCACAAGGAAAGGCGGAACAGCTGCCAATAGGTGTCCAGCTGGTGGCATCATGGGCCCTCGCGGGTTCGTCGCCTCGTTGCTTGTAGTGGTTGTGGGCCTTTTGGGCTCATTGGGTCTGCCTCTTGCGGCCATGGAGCTAGGTGGAAGCAGTTCCAGCACAGACGCCAGCGGGAGTCCGTTCGCCCTTGAGCCTCTGGGCAGTGATGTCCGCGCATTCTTCGACTCGAAAGACCAGCTTCATCCTCGCAGGCTGTGGAAGCTTGGATGCATTCTAGTGGACGTAGCAAGAGACGCGGCACAAACCCGAGCAAAGAGCAACAAGATTTACGTAGTCCAATACAGAGCGGAATCCGACGGAACAACCACCCAGCAGCTGCACTTCCAGAGTGATGCTGTAGGTAGATTGAGAATCTTCACGCATCAGATAGTATCGCTCGCAACAGTGCAGCGCACTGCTGCAGGGGTGAACGGTGTCGGGTCATGGTTCCTACCAGCGCACACGGTGCTGTACCCGAACAGCGCGCAGCTTGGTGAAGGAAAGAAGAACAGGAAGAGCTGCTTCCGCGGATACTCAGAGGCGTACGAGATCGCAGACCAGATCTGGGCAACACATGACCCCGAAGCGTTCTTCCGTGAGATTCCTGACTCTACTATAAAGATCGTCAGTCCGTCGGCCGATAGTGGAGGAAGCACCATCAGCATGCTGTTCTATCTTGGCAAGTTTCTCATCGACTCGGCTGAACTAGCATCGCGCGCCATCTTCTGGCCTGACAGATGTAAAAACCATCAGGCAGCCCCTGCCTGCAAGTCCACCGCCGAGCTCTACCTTAGTCTCGTAGGACTCAACCCAAAAACATGGCAGAAACGGCTCTACTTACAGGTATACACACCCTCTGGGCTTTTCTAGCTCGCTCATTTTCAAGGGGCACCGGGGTAGGCCTTCCCACCTTCTAAAACTACTCCACTCAGCCAAAGAAGTGCATCACCTTGATGGGCATCAGTTCCCCGGTTCGTTCAGTTTTTTTTCAGTAGATGGATAGCAGCCCCGAGCACCATGACCGTCGTAGCCTATTAGGGGAGTGCCTGCACCCTTGAACCGTATGGGCAAAGTTATCCAATTGCACTTCGCCGCCCAATATCTCCAAACCAATCAAAACACACGCCAAGCCCTGTCGGTGCGGCTTCTGCAACAGAAGATACAAAGCCAGCTGGAGAGTGTATCGCAATGGGTGACGGAATTCAGCAGCCCTGCCTTCCAACCAGAGAAGCAACCTGAGCTCGAGGCGTTCCTTAAGCGGGCAAGAGTAGACGAAAAAACCCGGGAGGCGCTCCTTGCTAGGAGAATAGAACGGCAGCGGCTGGCGGTCGCATATGAAGGAACCAGAGGGATGATGCGAACGGTGCGCAGCATCTACAAAGGGTGGCCGCTTCCAATATGGACCAGGTGGCTCACAGCTCTGCAGGTCTGCACCCGGTGCATCGTCTGCATGGCTTACTTCTTGGCAAGAGTCTTCTTCGGTCTTGGGCGTGCGAAGTATCAAATTCGGGCAGGATAACCTACTGGAGCACACCTTTGGCCTCAGCTGGAACGATCAGACAGACGCGCAGTTTGTCTTCTGTTTAACGATGTGGCTCATAGCGATCATCATCACACCGGTGGAGCTGTATAATGGTACCACGTTGAGCACTGACCGCAACAAGAACAGACGGGACGCCTTGCGGCTGGAGTTCCATAAGCACTGGCGCACCGCCATGCTGTACCTTCTCAAGGGTGGCGAGGTGCTCCGAGATATGTCGCTCTTGTTCTGCACCATCGGGGGTTCCGCGTTGGTTCTGTCACCAGAACAGATCGCTATGGTATTTCTTGTTTTTAGGATTGTTTCAGTGTTTTAGTCTGATGAGTGAGGGCATGGACCAGAAGAGAGAGCCAGAAGGGCTGGCGGGTGTATGCTCTCCCTGACGACCATTGCTTTCATCTCAGACCGGTTGCATCGTTGTGCGGATCTAGAACCCACCTGGGGGAGCTTCGGGCCCACTTGTGGGCCGGGCGCCCTCCAGGCGACTACATCTTGCTCCTGTGTGATCTCTTCCCACCCATTTTACCCAGGTACATTTCTTTTCCACAGGCAGGTGGCGCAAATCGCTTTGCTTCACAGCATGGCGGTGCTGTGGTACCGGGATGGGCTGAGTGAAGTCCATGAGGCGTGGCTATGGCGGTACGTTGAGGACCCTGCAGCAGCAGAGCTCGAGCCACAGCAATGGGAGCCGAAATACACAGCAGGCGACCCGGGAAGTGTTGCACTTCATTCTTTGCAGCTATGGCACGCTGGGCAACCTCAGCGCCACCGGAAGAACAGGCTTAAGCGTGCGGTTACGTTTTTGCTGGGAAGGGAGCGGGCCCAGAAGATGAACGAGCGCAAGATCGGAAGATTCAAAAACGAAACCCGCAGGGTAAAAGGTGGACTAAAGTCAACGCCTGGCGCTGACACCGCCACCAATCGCTCGGACTTCCGGGCAGCAGAGATCCAGGTGGTGAATGAGCTGACGCAACTAGATCGCCTTGACCTGCCCTCATCAGATGGGGAGACCACAACCCGCAGACCGAAGAAGCAGTACTTCATGGCGCGGGCGATCGATTTGAAGCGCGCGGATCAGTATCATGCCTCCGCTATTCCGGAGTCGAGGGACCCTTTGGAACGTGCTCGGAAGTTGAACTCATGGAAAAGCGAGCAAGAGCGCACCAAGTACACTCGGATCGCCGACCAAAAGAACAAGCAAGAAGCCCAACATCTAGAGGAAGACCCATCTTCTGCCAGTAGTGAAGACGATGAGAAGCATCTTCTTCACCCGAGGGCAATAGTGGAGGAAGAGGCGCGGTTCTTTGAAACCGTTCGGGACGGCACCTCTCTGGAGTATGCTGCGCGCCGCGCTGATCATACGAAGATACTGGCACAGCGTTGCAGCAGGGTGCATCAACCAATAGCGCGCCCAGATCCGCCGTCCATCTCCGTACACGGAAGGCCAGTGCCTGCTGCAGCCAGGATCCTCGCACGGTGGTGTCGTGCCAGGCGTAAGAAGCTAAAAGCGATCCGGGACGCTGAGGCAGAAGCACTTCCTGGCCAGCGAATAGAGCAACTCATTTTAGAGGAGGAGGAGGATGATGAGGAGGCTGAGACGCTAGGCCACGGCCTTGAGCCAGCAGAGGACGACGGCGTTGAGAAGGCCTTAGAGTCCACCGGAATCAACATCACTCATCTTCTATGTCCGACATTAATCCCCCGGCTTAGACGCATCGAAGCAGATCGCTGGCATTGGTTTTTGATCACGGACGTTGCGCTATCCCCTGCGTCGTTCAAAGCGCAGTGGATTCAACGGCGGGAGGCTTTGCCTAATGATGATGCTAGTTGTGGGCTCTTGATGAAGAGGAAGGCCATCAACTCCGACTTGGACGGCTCGGAGTTCGATTTGAACTACATCTCACCCTTCTGGACAGTAGAAGTAAGACCTTCTGAGGAGTACACAAGGGCAGGCATTTTCTTGGGCAAGAGACTTCTTCTGCAAACAGAAGGAACAAAGCAGCAAGAGGCGGCGAAGGCCGAACATCTCAAGGAAGTTATAGCAACTTTATCAGCAGCTGAGCGCGCAGAACTAGACTACAACCTTGGGCAAGCTTTGAAGCCTGCTTTTGGTGGTGTGGTGAATCCTTCAGCGAAGGACGGGGCGGCGCTGATAAGTCAAAGGCTAAACGTCGGCCTTCCTGTCGAGAGTATCGACCCACCAATAGAGCAAGCTAATAACTCAGCGGCAGCAGCGTCTTCTTCTAGTTCTAGCTCTAGTGGTGATAAATGTGCAGCAGCGAAATCTGGGAAGACACCGGAGGAGGAAATGTCTACCCGGGAGTGCAAGTCCGTCCAGAAGCAGCGGAAGAAAGCACAAGCCAAACTGCTGCCGGGGAGGATTGATGGGCTCCGCGTGGTCGACGATACCGATCGCACAGCCGCCAAATCAGCTGGCCGATCGATTGTTCGCCTCAAAGCTCGCGTCACTGATCCCCTACTGGCAAAGACGTTTCGCCAGCTTCTTCCATCACCTTGCATGGACATGAAGTGTAAGGCGACAACCAATCCAAGTCGCAGCCGCCGACTCGGTAAAAGCGCCGCCATGTTCTACTGCGAGGCCATGCTGAATCTGTGGTCGGTGAGAGCGCGGCTTGTGGTGGAGCGAGGATCAACGCATGTGGTGAATCCACACGCTTCACCTGGTGCCAATCACCTAGAGCATCTCCGTGAGGCTTACAACTTGTACAGCGCTGACGTCAAAAGCTACGCGCTTGAGCTGGCAAATGGAGACCCCAAAAAAATCAAGGAAGTGGAGGAAGAACTGAACATCCCAGATTCTATGCTCGAGAAGCTTACTCCTATGCCTGTGGGGCACCAGTGGCACGACTTCCCGGACTCAGAAGACTCGGATCCTGAGGAAGATGATGGCAAGATAGTGAAAAAACAACGTGGCGAGACGAGCTACAACATCCCACATGGAAAGGCTGACGCAAGTCGTTCAATGGACGAAGAAGCGGAGCGCTTGTTGGCGTAGTTGGCAGATAAGTGTGGCAACTTGACGTCTCGGGCGTTGGGTGTTAAGCTAGGGATCTAGGCGACAGCTTTCGCATTTTTGGCTCGGTAATAATTACAAGACAGCAGCTTTTTACTTCAGTAACAACTTATTTAATCAGGGAAATCAGTAGCATTATCTCAAATATTCCATGTTTTTAGGTATATTGGGATGAAGAGTGTAGGTGGGCTTACAGTGGCAGGCATTTATCAGAAGAACCCCAGAAGAAGAGGACCCCAGGGTCCTCTTCTGCGGGTCCGGCTGGCGCGCTGGCGCAGGCTTGGTCGGTCGGGGCCAAGCTTGCAGGAAAGTCTTTCGAAAGACTTTCAAGAGAAGAGGGCTTTTGAAAGTCCTTTGGAAGTCTTTTGAAAGTCTACCACAGCCCTCCTCAGGAGGGCTTTTGAAAGTCTCACTTTTGTCTCGGTATGCACAGACCCCTCTGCCCGAGGGTCTGCGATATAGCGAGACTTTCAAAAGCCCTCCTGCTGAGGGCTTTTTGAGACTTTCAAAAGACTTTCAAGCGTGTCTTTGGGAAGCTCTTTTGAACTTTCAAAAGAGCCCCAAACAAAGTTCTGAAGACCTTCCCACGCCTGTTGGATGAGTCGTGGGAAGATCTTCGCAAGACTTTCGAAGGCCTTCGCAGGGAAGAACATGGCGACAGATGCGAAGGCTCGCCAGGAGAGCCCAGTGGCGTGGGCAGCAGCTGTGGCTCTCCTGGTGAGCGCTCGCACCGAGCGCGGCAGGCTGCGTTTGGGAGGTTCTTGAGGCCCTTCCGAGGATCTGGCGAAGGCTCAGCGCAGAGTCTTCCCAAGGTCTTCAGAGCTTTGCGAGAACCTCCTTGCTGGTCGTCCAGAGGCGCGCTCCTCATCCGAAATTCTAAAGAGGTTATAGTCGTGTAGCTCTTACTTATAACGACTCGCTTTGATCTTGATGGCTATGGCAATTCGTCTGACGATTATTAGATATTACGCAACGACGTCTGACATCGCCGGAGGTAGTTGAAACTGTTAGAAGGAACGAGGTAAAGAGTATCGAACCACTTGAAAGAGACACGATCGGCGTTGCTTATTATTTTTTTTGGTTATTTCGGTAGGAATTGACTAACGTTCGTCAGCTTCTCACTATTGCGACAGAAAGCTGAAAAGTCGGGCAATCTCTAGTAGCATGCAAGACAATACCACACGGACACATCATTTTTAGAGCAGAAGAGCAAGCAGCTGAAACGCCTGCGATAGAGGAAGAGAAGGATCTAGAAAAGTGGCAAGCTCGCTGCATTTCACAGAAACGCACTATTAAGATCTGACTTGTGCATCTGCTTGTTCGCCGTCTCAGGTCCACAACTCCACCGACACCCCAGAAGGCCGCCAGCTTAGAAAGAGAGACGATGAAAGACAATTTAAAAGAGCGCAGACTACTTTTGAGTCGTGATCTTTTCACTAAGGACCTCCCTGAATTTCAACAGCATGGCGAGCTTTTTGTGGTGGACATGATGACTCTTGACAGCTTTCCCGTGCAAGTTGTAACAGATAAGAACGAAATAGCCTGACCATCACGCTTGCGCATTTTGGGAACAAGAGCGCCTTTTTATCCAGCCACCTGATAGCCGCCCAAAGTCTATAATTGAAAGTTGTCTCGGCAAGTACCAGTAGACCAAACTCACGCGAGGCCATCTGCTCCAGACGTTGTGGCTTCTTGCTAGCTCGCCACGGGATCACTTTCGATCACCAACAGCTCGCAAACAGTGGACGCCCCATCGTCTGCGTCTCATGAGTTTCGGCACATGCTTACGCTAATTATGACGAAAAAGTAAGCGCATGACTGAAAAAGCTTCTCTCTTCTACATAGTCTCGCAATAAGTGAATGGATAAGATTTAGAACAATACAATAAAAAAGCCCTAATCTAAAACAAGAACTGTAGGCCATCATCTAGTTGGATAATATTCAAAAATCTACGCGATGCCCGGAAACGCTGGTAGTGGAGGAGCGACCACGAAGGCGCGCCGCCTACAGCGTCACAATACAGACGACGCCGCAGCTGAAATTCGCGCAAAAACAGGGACTCCAGTGCTAATATTTACTCTCGTTATTAGCTATCATCTTCTATGGGTGTAATTTTTGGAGGGTCTCTACTCTGTTATGTTTTCGTTGAACTGAGTAGATTCCGACTGTTAGCTTATTCCTGTAGCCCGAGCAGATTACAGAAACCAGCTGGACTAACAACAAGCATCAAAGGCACTCTCCCTCCACTCAAATCATAAACAAGCCTCCGCCCCTTTTCACACTCTAAAAAGTCTAAACTTAACCTATCTAAACAGAACACCGCGGCCATGATTTCCTGTACCAAGACGCTACGCAACGATCAGCAAAACGCCAAAACGAGAGCGATGGGTCGCATTGAGAGGCTTGCGGAAGTGGAGGAGGCGAAGACTGAGGTGGAGCCTTTCTTAGAGCACGAAAAATCGACTGCAAAAGCCCTGAAGAAGATTCCGGGCCCCATTCGGGGCATCGTCACGGCTGTCCGTGCTGACAAAGTATCAGCCAAGGTCCTCGCGCTCAAGAAGGGCACGCTCGAAGGCACGGACGACGAGACGAGCAGACGGGTCGCGGTATTGATGTTTTTTTTTAGATGTAGAACGGTGGTAACTCTAGCGGAGATCTTAAGGGTAGCAAAGAACTTCAGCGATGTTGTTGAAATTAGGTTTCTTATGCAGTACGAATCGCAGTTTTGTAGTAGCACAAGTTGTCACCCCATCAACTTCAGCTCCTGCGAGCCCCTCTCAATTTTTCTAAATTTAAACCAGCAGGGTCATCTTGTCGACCGGTGCAAAGGGATCACCGATGAGCAAAACTGCTCGCGCGCTTTGGCGGCGTGCTCGTATCTGTCCCCGCTATTGCCGGACACGAGCTGCAAGGTCTTGCGCGAGGTTGCTGCTGCTCATGCATACGCTGAAGGAGCGGCGAAGAGCTACAAGTCGGCTAAGGACAGGAGGCACGCACGAAGAACTTGCAGCAGCTTGATGTTTGGAACACTGGCAAAGGGCGGGCGTTTTGCATGAACGCTACATCAAACCTCCGCCAGCTTGTGCAAGGTTGCACGCTCATCAGGTCAGCACGGCCATCAAGGAGCAAAAAGTCGGCAAGTTGGAGACGAAGACCTTGCCACTTATCGACGGTGAGCCAAAGCCACTCAGTCCGCAATGCGTTTTCTTCTATGGCATCAAGACGGTAATTTTTCTCAGCTACACGCTCAAACTTGCTTAGCTCTCAACTACATACTCTGTCGCTCTTCAAATATTTAACAACTATGAAACTCCTATAGTGAAAAGCTAAAAGTTGAGCAACTTTCTTTCCTAGTTCTCCCCCCGACGTTAGCAAATTTCAAAAGCTTGCAACTTCTCCAGGCCTTGGCCACGGCAGCAACCGATGAACGCGCTCTGTTTGTGCGGACCGGCATCACGTCTTGGCTGAGCCTGAACGTCGAGGAGGAACCCGAGCTGCCCACGCTCGACGAGGTGAGCCGTGCTCTTGATGATTCCGAGTGCGCGGAGATGATGTCGTGGAAGAGTGTCGCCGGTCATGTGTGCCCAAACTGGTCCGGTGAGCCGAAGATGAAAGACCTGGCATATTTTTCGACTGATTTATGTGATGTCGTGGGAGGGATGTGCTGGGTTTTTTTGTGGGTGGATGAGATAGCGAAGACTTAGAAAAGTTCATGAACTACTGAGAGCCAAAGCAAGTGCATCTAAGTCTATAGTAATCAAATACCTCTACCACCCAGATGAGTGGCAACATGGCCGCGAAGGTGAAGAAGTGCAGCAAGGCGCTTGGTGGCACCCAGCCCCATGCGGCGTTCAAGAGCCTCGAGGGGTTGATCACTCGTGTTCGCACTTGCGGCCAGCGTCCATACGCGCAGGCGCCTGGAAATGTGACAGAGGGTTTTCCAAATAATTGCAGAAATATTGTGACTCGGTTGGATCAGGAGCGAGCTGACAACGACGCACAGAAATTGATGAACTCGCTGAAGGCAATCGGTGAGATCTGGGACAACTACGACGAGAACAACTATCATCAGCAAACCAATGAGATGAAGGGGCTACGTGACGACTGTTGCTCCAAAGCGGTCAAGGATAGCGACGCCATGGCCCCTCTGCTGAAGACTTTGCGCCGCGTGACCAGCGTTTTCCCCTTGGATGACCTTGATGAAGAAGCAGAGGCTAAGGCCGTCCTCACTCGCCTGGAGTTGTCCAACTCTCGCACGCTCGTCGCGTTTCCAGAGGTTGCCGATGCTTTTAAAGCATTCTGCGAGTCGTATCGAGGCTTCGACTTGAAGGAGACCAACCCAAGAAGTTGGTCGACGCTGCGATTTCTACTGGTGTCCTTAAATGCTGGCGCTTGTGTTTGGGAGTGGTGTCTTTAATCTCGGGCCTGTGCCCGTAGTTGTGATCCATATCTGATAGAACGCGTTTCCGCCTTTGAATCCTCAGAAAAGTTCAGAGTTTAGACTTCTTGCAAAACCATCGAAGGACGGAAATGCGAGTTATATTGTCGCCATCTTCGTCGGATTTTCATGATGCAGCCCTTTTCTCACTCCTCCAGGTAACTACGCGGACGCGATCAAGGCCTACAACGACGCAGACGAGAGCTGGGAGCTCTTGTCCCCAGAGCCACGGTCTCGATTGTGCGCCCGTATCAAGAAGAAACCCCCCAACCAGCCTGGCGGCAACGGTAATGGCAACGCTGCTGCCAACGGCTTGCAGATGGCGGCGGTCGAGATCAATCTCGACGACTAAGCAGAGCAAGACAAGCCGCCGCAGCGGGTGGGGATAGGCGTGTGGCATGAAGAGAAGAGTCGAGGGAGTTTCTAAATGAACCAACATCATGACGATACTGATACACTTACAGGAAAAAATTTAGAACTACACAGAATTGAGATCAAGACTATAAAGAGTGGTGACGTTTCTGCTTGTGTGCTGCGCACTTTGTTCATGGTCCTGGTTGTATTTTGAGGCCTTTTATCTTCTTCGTTGTTTTGGTCCACGATGTAGCTTCGTTTATTTCTGTTGGATTTGTGTCTTGCCTTCGTCGACTCGTTGCCTGAACAACGAGGACAAGGCCAATACTTAACGACCTACACATGATGAGTTTGATTTTGATCAAGAAGCGAACACCTCCACCCTATGCGTAATTGTTAATATGCGAGAAAGATAGTGGATCTGTTTATTTATCGCTCCGAAATTTGTGACCTTTCCCTTGGCGTAAAGTCAGACTGTGGGGCTTGGTGATCGACTTATCGGAGCAAGAACCAACTTGCACAGAAGTCGGCGAGTAGTGCTCCATCATGACACTTTTGGAACGACCTAGCAGAGCTCTTACCGATGTGAATTGTGTCAGTCACCATAGCGCACCCTTCTACAGCTGTGCAGTGAACTGATGGGAAAAGTATAAAAGTCTATCACTGTGCGAAAAGGATTGGCGTGGGGATTCAGGTGGCTGCTTGAGTGCACAAAGATCGGCCCTAGGTTGTCGGCGACGCCTCCGCCTGATGCTAGTCAGGGGCCAGAAGTGAAGCAAGGCACAGAGCAGGAAGAAACGATGGCAGAAGGTAGCAAGTTCGGTCTTCTAGGTACAAGAAGAGCCGGGGCGGTGCTCGCGTGGGAATCTGAGATCGGTTTGGCGTGCTTCTGAGTCGGTGGGAGCATGCACGGCCATGCGCAAGCGCAGAAGGCCAACGGAGGAACGAGCAAAAGAAGACGCTGAACAGAGCGAGGGCAGCAGAAGAAGAAGATCGTGAGTCGATAAGTCTGCTACTTCTCTCGGTGCTTTCTTCTGAGTCGGTTCGTAATTTCGCTCAATGTGGTGCATCGGTAATTTCCCTCGGCTGTTCAGACAGAAACGGAACACAAAGCCCAAGGCTTGCACTTGGTGGGAACACTCTGATGATGGTGCGCATCTGGTGCTCCTGCTTGTAGATGCACACCCATCGGCCGCGCCTTGATTTGCGCTGTGAGATCTGTCATGATGAGCATCAAAGGCACTGCCGGCGGTAGACGTGCAGACCGCTTTTTGATCGGTGTGAGCTGCTGAGTCTGTCCCGGTGTGGAGAAGGAGAGCACACACCCAGAGCAGAACCCCCGCGGGGTTGTCTGGGTATGGCTCAAAAGCTTGAGCCGGAGAGCAGGTTGAGAGAAGGGGCAAAGGCTGGGGCCTGGTGTGGATTTTCGCGAGAAATTCTGGGGACTTTCCCGAGATAATCAGGCCGCGAAGTCCATCCCGGGCCGGCGGGGTCAAAATAGTAGAGAACGACCCGGCCAGCCTAGCTCTGGCGTGGTCTCGCTCTCAGTCAGATTCTGGGGCGTGGCTTAGTCTTAGTGATCGCGATGGGGATCGGCATCAATTCAAATCAGAGCAGGAGCCAGGCCGGGGCTGGAGAAGTGCCAGAGCCAAGCATCGCATTAGACTAGTAGGTAGCTAAGAAAGCGCCCAGCTTGTTACTAAGTTAGCACGCGTATAGAATCAGAAGCAAATGGCTCGAGCTGGCCTCATTCAGCACACCGATTCGCCATCCCCTCACGCTTCTACCTCCAGCATTTAAACAGGTGCTCTTCTATATTTATACAATACACTAAAGGAACGGGATCGAAGTCAAGCCCAGCCTGAGACCAGACGAGTAGCAACATCGTAGGCCCTCTCTACAACGCAAGGCGTTGCCATTGTATTGCTAGCACTTGCAGCGCATCCGAATCAGATCAGACCGCATCAGACTCATACGCAAGAGAAGACACATCAACGAACAAGGACAGCAGTACTTACACACAGCGGCGCACCATGCTGAACCAGTGGCCCCGTGTGGTGTCATGGTCGTCGCGTCGTCATCGTCTCGCGCCGCTTAAGTTCAAGCAAGAGAAAAGACAGCAGCGCTCTACTTACTTGAGTAGCAGCGTGCCTCTATCTATGGGCATCGGTGACCAACGAGAGTAGCTCGCGCCATGCGTGACGTCGGGCACTTTCTCGAGACTTGTGCTGCGTTCTTCTAGTGCTTACCCCTCCTCTCACCTTCTACCATCGTCTCTCCTCCACCAACTTGCTCCGTCTTGATCTTCGTCATGAACGCACGATAAGAGGAGAGCCCGGACCACTTTTCTCAGCGCTTTGCCAGTCTTCTTCTTTTCTGTTCACCAAACCGGCCGGCTGGCGCGCCTCCATTGTTCTTAAGGAAGCATAGCGCCCCGAGCTCCTCCTCGAGGGACTTTCATCAAGGCACGCCATGAGTTGAGATGGCGCGCTCTCTACTCTGCTAGCGCATGGAGTGGACTTGGATGGCTTTGCCGCTTTAAAAGCGAGCTGCTGGCTGCTCTCTAGGACGGGGCCGGGGCTGGTCTGGTCTGAGCTGATGCCTCTCCTCAGCAACGAGATACACTACCAAACCACACCAAGCGAAGCCGTAAGGTTGTCAAACAAGCGAAAGCGCCTCGCCTAGCCTAGAGGCAAGGGCTTCCCCATTCCCGACGACCAACGAGGGCGGTAACCGAACGGCACACAAGAGGGGAGGGAAGCCGGGTAGCCACTTCGAAAAACGCCACGAAATCACGGGCACCAGATGGACCCAACAAGCCAGCGCCTGCCCTGCGTCTGCCGCCATTCGATGGGCAGAGAGCGGCGGCGAGAAACCTCCAAAGGAGGGCGCTACCAATACCACACACAACGCCCGCCGCCCGCGTACAGGTGCCAAGCTTCGCCTTTCTTAATTATAGTCCTTGCAATGCAGACAAGCCGGCAGACAAAAAACGACACCCCAACCCAGAGCCAACACTGCAGGGCGGCTGCCTCATTCTCCGGGAGCGCCCGGCCCCGCCGCCCCCGGAGGCGGGGTGCTAGCGGGGGGGCGGGCACAAGGAGAGAGGAGCACGCGCGCACGGCGGGCGGGTTTGCCCCGCCAAAGAGTGCCCACAGCCCCCGCCCAAGAGCCCGGCAGAAAAAACCAAAAGCGCCGCAAGCAAAAAAGAGAGACCGCCGAGCAAAAGGAGGGCCCTGCCATCAGCATGAGCCCAGTGGCGAAAGCGCAGCGAGCAAAAAGAAGAAAAAAGGCGAAGGCCAGACCTAAGAGCAAGCAAAGGGCCACTGAAGTGGCGTCGCTTGGGCTTCGCCGTGTTTCATTTGGAAGAGTATGCCCAGACTTTTTAGGCTTTCAGCCATGTGCTGCCGGTTGCATAAAAGAGAAACAAAGACCCCAAGGCGCCCTCTTTTTTTCTGCGTTTTCAGGCGCCAAAAAATACGACCAGGCCGGCTCTTTTAGGCTTAAAGGCTGACCCTCTTAACAGCAGAAACGAGCCCGAGCATGTGCCAAGAGTTTAGTCCGAGTTGAGGTAGGGGCTAAAACGTGAAGCGCAACCGCTGGGGAGGCTCTAGCAGGCTACTGGGTGCTTTCTCAGAACGATCCTGCGTCCTAGAAGCCCACACTTCTCCGAAGTTCGTTCTCATAACTAGAATCAGCAAGGTGGAACTGTGGAAAACGCAGCCTGAACTGTGGAAGACGCAGCCTGTCGCTGTCATAATGGCAGCGGGCTTTGGTTGTTTGGGCGTAAAATCAGTCCAGCTCTACTTCACTGCACGACCTGGCCGCGTTTCTGTTCTACTTGGTCCCCCCGCCTTTCTTCTCTACCAGTAGGGAATAGATCCAGGGGCCTCGTCGACCTCTTTCAGAATTCTTCAGCGGTTGTGCTCGTTTACGCTTCCTAAACAACAGCCACAACACTCGAGCACACCAACAGACAGAGAAGACACCCGATGGCGAAAGCAATCGCCCTGGCCCCGTTGGGGCACAGAATCCCGCACAACGTCGCGCAAAAAGTGCTGAGGAGTGGGCGTGGGCCACGCGGGTACTATAGTACACAACTACCACTCAGATCGAAGGCCCTGGCAGATCTACACTCTACGCCATTGCCCCTACGTTCTTAGTGTTGTCTGTCTTACTTATCGACCTCGGCGCCAAATCCTCCCCCCACAAACCAGAGGCGCCTGCTCGGGTTCTGTTTGTGTTGGGATATAAAAGTCGCCGCGTCACACTCTGCAAAGTATGCCTATAAGAGACTAGACTACGCGACTCCGAAAGAAATGGAATTCAGGTGGATGCTGCAAGTAGCCGCTTAGGGCGTCCCTTTGCCTAGCGATCTCTCATGCCGCTCGTCTTGCATGTTTGAAAGTGCTAGCATTCTAGATCCTACCACTGAGGCGGGCGAGACGAGGCCACTGGGTCTCTCCTATGGGCTCACTACTAAAGTAGAGGCATGCCGGTGCGTAGCCATCTAGTGTCTGTCTGAGCTTTCTCTTTCCGATTGGAGTCGAGATGTACTCAGCAGGTTTGCGCAGATCCATTGATCAGCGCTGGCGCTGCACAGCTGAAGAACGCCGAAGGCCTGCGGAGAATCTTGGAGATTGAGCGTCTCACTGATGGCATCGGTGTGCAGTCCTTGGCGTCTCAGATTGCGAATCGTCCCGACCCTTGATCAACTCCATCAGAAGAAGGCCAATGGCAAGAACCTGCGTGGTATCTTTGTACTAGTCTAGTGCCGGCGTCTTGTCTGTGCTTGGTATTTGCATGCCGTGTGGCTTTGTTTCATTTTACCGGTCGGCTTCTCTCTCTTCTCGCTGATCCATAACCGCACGCCTATCAAGTCACTGATTACCGGCTACAGCTTAGCAGAATCTTACTCGCCTGCTTCAGAACGCTCTCACCAAGACCAGCACCGTAGCCATTTCATAACAGCCAAAGCCACGCGCGAGATAGCCAAACAGATTCAGAGCGTTACCAAGTGCGACGCGTTGCTGGACTACCTGGCTGAGTGTGCCCCCTTGGAGGCGATTACCTGCGACGAGTTGATGGGCTTCAGCGGTGGCGCCGGCGCTGCACTTGAGTACCCGGCGACCCAGGCGAAGAAAGGCCGCCCTGGCCGTTGCCGTGGGTGCTTGGACAAGTTGCAAAACCTAAACACCGCGCAGCCGGCACATACTGGCGCAGCCTATCCCATTAAGGCTATCACCTTCAACGTAGCGCACCTTGCAACCAAGTGTGCTGCTCTTGCATGCCATCAGTTACCACTGCAGCTGACCTATCTACTGGTCTGCAAGTGCCATAGTTATCCTTTCCCAATTTCCGCCGGATGGTGCGCCACGCTTCTCGCCCGCCGGATAATTCAAGCCGATGGGGCATTTGGGTGAGGTCACTATCTGGCTTATCGATGGCCAGGACGTGCGTGGCTGGATTTCCTTCGGCTTTGACTCCACTCTGGACAGAACGTCAAGGACTGGCTGTTGGGTACGTATGAATGAGAAGCACAAGATCGCACCAAAGGAGACACCTGGCCGCATCTCCAAAAGATTGGGCCAGTGCAGCGAAGAGATCCAGAACTTGACGGGCCCACAAATGCAGCCCCTTCGTGGAGCGATTCCGCGTCGCCATGAATTGTTCCGCAAGAATCTCATCAAACGCGAGGCAGCCATGTACTTGCTCGAGGAGTACGCCAAGGCGGAGGGCCTTGACGCTTTCAGAGACGACCCCGGTCGCCAATTCTCTTGCTTCAGCTATTTCGGGCGCTACTCTCTCTCGGTACAGATGGCCCCCGACGCCGATGCGCTAGGATGTCAGTCGCCATCGAATGAGGTGCACAGATGGAAAGCGTGCTAGCGTCTCCTGTTCATGTTCTTGCATCTTTATGGAGATGCCACAGGCTACCTCTATCGCCGTCAGCTCTCTGAAATCACCTACGTCAGTACCCGTCTAGACCTGACAGACTGAACCTAGTGGATGGATATGCATCAGATCGCATGGAGCTTATCACGAGAATACCCTGCGACGGGCTTCATGCGCTTGGAGCGGATGCAGCTCAGAGCTGACAAGACGGCGCAGACCTGGCTACGGCTATGAACGTGCGCGCCCTTTCTCTGCTATAGTGATAATCTGAAAACGCTGGCGGCCGTTTGCCTGTTGATCGTTGACTTTGGAACCACACGCGTCGAGGCCTATGAGTTCCCCCGAGTTCTTCCCGGTGGTTCTCTGCTTGTCCTTGACTGAGCTGAGAGATTTGAAACAACGAACGAGAGAGAGAGGAGAAGCCAGAGGCACCCGCGCAACGGTAAACCCGTCGGGCGTTTGGATAGTGTTCCAGCTGTGTTTGCTAGAGGTGCGAAAAACCGCCGACACCCGCGCCAACGACAGGCAACGCGTTGAGATTGGCGCCGATGGGTTACCTTACTCGCCTGGCGATCTCGGTCATTTTGGTGATCTCCATCCTCCTGATCTTTGTGGGTTTGTGTTAAATTTCAGGGCTTCAGATCATGGCCATCCATCTATTTCCTCGCCCCTCGCGATCCCCGAGAACACTCCTAAAAAGTGCACAGATTCACGCTTTCACGACAACGATACAGAAGACGATAGACCAGCTCACGCTGACTTTCGTCTTTCTCTTTGCTTCCTCACTCATTCATCCCCCATCCGAAAACGGTACGACGATGGCGAAACTATAGCTGAGTCGCTTTGGCCCCTACATATAAACGAAAACCGGATTAGCAGCAGCCTGAATACGCAAGCGGAAAAATGAGGAATGACGAAGAAGAAAAGGGCGAAGAAATAGAATGACGAGTGTACGCTGTAACCAGCGCCAGCGTGTAGGATGCGCGGCCCCCTCGAGTGGACAGATGATTATCAACCGAAGCCATTCACTTTGCAGCGCCAAACTTGGGCTAGGCGCGATTCTTCGGATCGCGTAAAGCAACTAATTCCATAGCAGCTAAAATTCATCATGATCATCGCCCAAAGTCGTGGCCAGTAGTAATGAGAATCCCATACTTCTACCTAGATGAACATGCACTAATAGAATTCCAACCTCCGCGCTGAATGATGAAAGGCACGAGTCTTAAATGTGAGCAACGTCTCTCCCAAGCTCGTAGGCTTTGAATTTGATGTTCTTGTCACTGCTCCACATGCGTCGAGTCGGCCGCCGTGGTGTTGGCATTGATTTTTTATCCAAATCTGCCGTAGGTCTGAATATTCGGACGCCGTCGTCCAGCTTCGTCACTGCTTGAGTGTAGTCCTCAAATCCGCGCCAAATTTGTACAGCGGCGTCGGCAGTCACGTTGTCAACCATTTTGTCTACTTGTTCGCAGGAAGCTGCAGGCGAGTCTAAACCTCAGCGAGATTCTACGTACTGATGAAATGTCCGAACAGCGAGAGTATGAGAGGAGCAGGAGAAGGAGGGCCTAGACCTACTAAGACTTACTATAGAGAAAAACTAAATCTGAGAAAAGCAAATTCGCCTAGCGAAGGGTAATTGCGGAGCCACAAGGGAAGTAAATAATAGATGTGGAAGTCATTCGTCCAGGGCTTGCACTAGACTGGAAGCAAACTTTGGAGGTGATCGGAAAGGGCGTGTTTTGCGGTGCAATCTTATCACGACTCTCTCCGATTCATCTCGTCGCTCGTCCACTGACTCATTTACTTTCGGAAGCATCTTTTATTGCGACTACGACCACATGCTGCAAGTACAAGACTTCCTTTCATCGATTCATTGATCACGAGGATTGGATAGCATGAGAAGTACTCCTGCTCGAAATGTTTGACAAACGACGAAACTAGGAAATTGTCATGGTGCCAGCTACGAGTATCTTCGGTTGTATGACGATGAAGCTCACAAGTAGAACACTTTCGCTGTATATTATGACGCGTTCTACTTTTTGTAGATGAAGACGGGACAACATGGCAAATGATCTTGTCCTTCATCAAGGTCTTGTAGCACCGTTTTCTTGTTTCTTCGTTATCGTTTAGACTACAAGCGTCTTCCATCGTCTGAAACTTTTGATGACATTAAGGAAAAGGTCCTCAAGTCTTCTTTCTCAGAATTTTTGAAAGTGGGCTTCTAGAGCAGTCCAACAAGAACAACTTTTGAAATAGATGGTCCTCTAGCACCAGACTCCAACAGCTTGTTTTGAAATAAATGGCCAATTAGACTCCATCTCCAACAGGCAACAGGAACAGCCAGCCTGTTTTGAAAAAATAATGAGTGGTCTACTAGAGACCGCCAACTTTTGAGAATGGTCTCGCGGATTTGATCTCGCCGTGAAGCACCAAGTCTCGAAGATCGGGATCCCCATGAAGAGGCAGGAAAGCTTCACCAATCACAAAACCTGCTTCTCGCCGTAAATTATGAACAAGAAGATGACTGTTTGTTAAAGTTGAACTGATTGAACTTGTACATCATCTATAGATGATGACAAATTATTTTGCGAATTCTACTTATAAATATAATACATGAAGGTTAGCGGGTTATCATTATGGCTACGACTACGACTAGGTTAATATTGAGATTCTATAACATCTTCTTGTTGAAAGTAACTACTTCATGTCGTGTATGCAAAGGTCATAATCTCGTTCGGTTTCCCAGACAGTTTCATGGTCTTCCCCAGGCTGGTTGCAAACGACACAACAAAAAGCGGATGTGAAGAAACGACATGATATGAACGTTCCAGCACCAAACTTCTACAGGTGATTAACATGTTGTATTAATCAACTACACTGGAACAGCACAGTATCAGTGACAGCCATTTTTCAAGTAACGACTTTAGCCGCCAAAGAGTGTTATTTGGAATTGAAGTTACAAGTCCTTGATAGGTCCTTACTCATCATGTTGAGAATCCTTTCTGCAGCTATTCTTCAACAAATGAATGAAGTACTGCTCACACGACGCCCAGTTGTTAAACTTAAACGTCTTTAGACTTTTAGTACACTTCCATGCTGATGATAGTTTTTTTCGTAAAGGAAGCAGCTCTTTTCGGCTCCGCAGCTGCCATGCGTGCACGAATCGTCGATGTTGATGGTAAAAGGTTCTTGTGTTTCTGCTGAGTCGTTGTCGTGCTCGTTTCTACTTCTGTTAAAACTGTATGAAGCAATGGAAGAAAGGGCATTCTTGCATGGTTTTTTTTTGGTACTTGCACCACACAAGAAGTTACAGACTGATAAAGGAAAAGAACAAATAAGATGCCTAAGCTCTTAAAGCTGTATGAACTAGTGGACGAAAGAGGTTTATTGGGTTTTCTCCGTGGTTTTTGTTGACACTTATTGTCATGGAGATAAGGCAAATAAAGCGACCTTCTAGGCTACCGCTACCATTTCCACGATCCTCGTAAGTACTCGTTATTAAACAACGACTGCTACTTCTTTGTAGTTCTTGTGTACCCGTTCGTATTCGTTGGCACATTCTCAAGTAGCTGACGAGGTAACAAAGATAGAGATACCTAAGAAGATGGTCTCTAACTTCTCGTAAGCTGTTTTACTTTTATAAATACACCATCCAGCCATAAGTTGGATGCTTCGGGACTCCATGGAGCGGGAGAGAAAGAGGAATGGCCTCGTCAACGATCGTGCTTTATTAAGAATCGCATTAACACTTCAGTGTTCTTGACGAGGATGAGTAGTACAGAAGTAGCAGTCCTAGCCTCAGTCTGGAAATAGAATTCATTGAATCCAGTTGGCAGTTCCAAAATAAATTGAAGAAATAGAAAGACAGAGGCGAAAATGAAAAAGACCAGGAACACGAAATTATTTTTCTACCAGAGTGCACGTGATCAAGATAGAAGATGAGCATCAACATTTTCATGAAGCACGACTGCTAGAAAACTCCTACCTTCCAGTAGTCCTAAAATAACCTGCCTGACTTGAAACTCGAAAGTAGTATAGAAGTAATTTGAGGATGATAATCGATAGCGGACTTCCGTGTCAAAGTCTCAATGTCAAAGTCAATCCTACTCTTAACATCTCCGTCGAACTTTTTCCTCGTGGTGCAGCTTTCCTATCCATGGTAACAGGATGGTGTTCTGTGTGTGGTGCACCACAGCGACATTTAGCACGCCACGTCCGCACATCAAAGCCCTTTCGACGTACCAGCCACCACTCGCCTACTTTTAGAGATGGGTATGCTAAAAAGTCGCAGATTGCTCGGCATTCTTCTAGAAGAACGACATTAGACCAGGACTTTTCTCGTTGCGCCACGTTATTTTTTTTCGTTTTTTGCTAGCCTAAGAAGGTGCACGCCCTACGGGATCGCTAGAGCCGTCCCCAAAGCTTGGCAGTGAACCCGCGGAGCGGGACTCCCCTCCCAAAGATGGCGAGTCGTGGACTCTACAAGCGCCGCGAAGGGAGTCCCACTTTGACCCCCCAAACGACCCGTGTCATTTGGCGACCATTTTGGGCCAGAAAGGGTCGCCTTGACTATTCCTCTAGAAGAACAACAAAGAACGAGCCTAACAAAAGCCAAACGCGAATGAACTACAAGACACTTCAGACTTGTTGATGGACATCGATACCATGCTTTTACGATAGAATAGGAAAAAGTCTGTTTGTGCTATCAATGAGTCTACTTATCAATAGTAGGGCCCTTACCACTTCCTCCGGTCGACTCGGTATGAATCGAAACTCCTTGCACGCACACAAAGTCCGTGGAGGCGTAGGCGTAGAAGTGCGCGTAGAAGATACAACAACTTGCACTTCTTCTAGTTCTGCAGAAGCAGCAGACGAACGCGAGGAAATGTCTGATGTTGTGGTACTTGAGCTTGCAGGGGCTCTTGCAGATGTAGTAGTAAAGTTGGATGAATTGTTCTTGTCACAAGAAGACCGGCTGCCCATACATTGCGACCGTCCTGAATTAGATCGTACTAGAGTCCAGACTATTGCTATTGGTTATTGAAGAAGAAGACTTAACAGATGAAAAGTTAGCACTCTTCTTTTTCGCATTTGCCTTCATGATGACATCTTGATGTTCTTAGTTATCTACTTCGACATCTAGTCGGGGACCATCTTGAACTTCTTGATGTTCTTACTCTTACAGTTATCTAAGTGTTTGTTAACATCTTCATCGCCTTCATGTTAACATCTTCGCTATCTGAAGTGCTCATAACTACAACAGGCTTTTTGAGACTTCCGCGCTTCATCTTTAGCACGCTTGCGGCGATCTGCGCTTGACAATCCTCGTGCTCATCGTAGGTACAGCCGCAAAAGCACATGGATTTAGGACCAATGCGACTGCAGAACTCTGGCTCTCCTCGATTGATTTATAACCTATGCTATACCCAGATCAACAAGAAGATCTCTTCTAACTTCTAGTACATCATAATATTTATAAGGTACCGTTGTCAACAAGATACAATCAATTATTGCAGATGCCGAGGAATGAAATTACGCTTTTAACGAGAACTTGAGTTCTGCGAGAAATTAATAGTATTATCGACAGAGGATAGTCGTGAATGTGAAAATAAGAAGATCTTAGTGCTTCTCTTCAGACGATCACGATGAAATGCTGGTTTGCGTATAATAGCTGGATTGTTCGTCATGATCGTTGTAGGTATGGAATTGGAACAAAACATCAACCCGAGTTCATAAGCTGAAGCACCATTGTGACTGCGTCGATCACCCTTGAGCCTCCAGACGCCGTAGACGCCCAACTCCACCGCTCTTTGGCCTGCGAGTAGTTCCATACGCATCATTTTTTTGGCGCCAGGTGCCGGACCGTGTTCTGCGACCGCGAACTTCACGGCCCGTGCCGGACCGTGTTCCGCGACCGCAGACCTCGTCACGGCACCTTTCGACTGGTGGTCTACTTGGTGCATCTGATGCATCTTGAGGGTAATACCTTCTCCACTTGCTGCTTACTGTATCTTCTTATGACTACGAAGCCTATGCACAAGCATAATTCAATTCTGATTGTTCTAAAATAGTTTTTGGCAGCTTCGTCATTGCCATTGGAGAACTATTTTGATTTTTGGAGACGAGATGAGACGACAACTGTAACTTGAGGTTGAGTTTTCTTATCAATTTTATTGGTGATATCTGACAGAATGACCGGACACACGTAGGAGCATGCATTCCACCCACCAGTTGTGGATGAAAACAAGCAAGCACTTTTCGCTTCTACATCGTGATTGAGATGAAGCTACCGCTTCTTGTTCACCCATCTTCCCACTGCTATAAAAATAGGCACGTGGTGCACTGAAAAAACATAGTTGTCATCTTTTCGATGTCAAATGGAAAAAACAAACAAAAAAGAAATCAGAAGTGTTCTCTTGTTCCTTGCTCTTCTTGAGGACGTCGGCGCGTCTGCTTACTAGAAAGTAGTGCTAGCTGCGCCTCTGCTTCACCAGATCTCTGCATCTTCTTCTTCGAGCCGAAGCATCATGATCGTGCTGGTTTTAGAATCCACCTGCCCCCCCCACATCAGCGTCGTCCTCAAGGCTCCGGAATGCAGTAGTGATCAAAGCAGCACTTCCATGTGTGTTGTCCCCCTGCCGCTCCTCCCGGGTTTAGGTAAGGGTAAGACCAACCATCTTCTTCGCACAGATTAGAAGAATGAAAAAAATGTACAGGCTCAAATCTTCTAGTACTATGTTGACTATCTCTTTTGTCAGTAGAAGTTAGTCGTCTTGAAATGAGTAATCTTGTTCATCGGAAGATGACATCCTGACTGCAGAGTACTTAGTATAGAGCTACAGGGGCCATACTTGGTATAGAACTAGTGCAGACTGAGTATAAAGCTTCATCATCACTCACTTTGGTCTTGAAATGAGTAACCTTTATCATCGGATGACATCATGAGTACAATGGTATAGAAAGAGTGCAGACTGCAGTGTATAGTACTATAGAAGTAGAACTATTCGAAAAACTGAAATAAGCAAGTAACTGATCAGAGTAACCGAGATACTGATGAGAAGGTAGAGTAGCCCTGATGTTAAGCTATAACCTCCCTTATTTCAGTCAGTAACTCGGTTATTTTGAGTTTTCGAATAGAAGTATCTATAAAAGTACCATACAATTGCAATCGCTCAATGGCTTCATACTTGCGATCGTGTAATTGTGATAAGTTTCGGCGCACAATTTCTCTGTCCCCCGTTGCTCGCATCCTCGAACGAGAGATTGGAGCAATGTGGGTCAGTGGGTCCTTGATTGTGTAAAGCAGCGTTGGAAAAGTGTGGGTCAGTGGATCCTTGTTGATGTTCTTGGTACATAGTGATACTGACCTCAACAAGGGTAACAATACGGAGTCGTTGAAATTAGAAGCCGTCTATTCGATAAACTGGAGTAAGCAAGTAGCAGACGAGAATAACCGAGATACTGAAGGAAGCAAGAGTAGCCTTTAAAAGCTGTCGCTACGTACCTTATTTCAGTCAGAAGTTGTAATCATTTTAGTGAGGACCAAGTCCATAACATGCACTGCATTCGCGACGGTCAGCACGGTTGGGAAGATGCATGCCCAGAGCGTTCTTGGTGATCACTTGCTGTAAGCTCAAGAAAAGCAGCAAAAAGCGGCACATCTTTAGTCGATATGTGCAGCCAGAGCCGTAGTTTATCCTCCTCGTTATTTTCGTCATTCCTCAGAAGTGTAGTGTCATCTTTACGATAATATTAAGCTACTTGTTATTTGCATCATCATGATGATCCAGCACGAGAGTTGTTTCTAGTCTCCATAAAAAGTAACGCTAATGATGTTGATGGTAATGTGAAATATAGCAACAAAGCGCATCCGCACTTCCAGTGCCACTTTACAAGGGTTCCTCTGCATTGTGGGTGTGGGTGTGTCGTTTCACAAACTAAGCCCTTTTTGATTCGTTGAACAGACCGGTTGTCTGATACACAAAATGCATCGTCCAAGCTTCGTAGTACAGCTTGCGGGACCGCGACCGCGTTGATGCACCAGCAAGTTATTAATCTGCTAAAAATACTATTTGCATTGCATCTCGTCTTTCATATACATTTTTAGTGGACAGTGTAATCCTTGGCGTCCTCCTCCCCGCGCCTACCCAAGGCAGCAATCATGTGATTTTACTTCGTTAGAATTCTGTACATCAACTGTAAAATAACAAAGAGGTGCCGGCAATAGACCATATGTATCTAAGAAGTGCTCCACGTCAGGCCTAGTACGGCTCAAACTGTGCAGAAGAAAAGAACAAGCCTAGAATTATGACGTGATGGCATGGCTTTGTATTTGCGTTGTAAATTTGCTAGAGTTCGTATCAGCAACTTTTGAAACTGGAATTGCTACAACATTCAGCTAAGTACTTAAAGTATATTCATTAGATTTGATCATGGTAGTACATGAACTTCACATTACTTAGTCCTAGTCCTCGACGTACACTTCTTGTTATTGTTAATATTAGACTAACAACAAGAATAAGCCGAAACCTCATGATTCATCATCATGTCCTCATCTGCCTCTGGCCCAACTTCTTGGAATAGGATCGAGTCAACAACTCAAAACGAAAATATGTCAGTTCCAAAGTAGGAACGCGGACTTGATGTTGAGGACGATGCGGCTGAGGCAGACGCTGACGAAGTGGTTGAGTCATCACTTCCCATGCTCAATAGTCTGCCATCTGCTTCTTGCAATAGTCTGCCATCTCCATGACCATGTCCTTCTCCATGTCCATCCCCAGCGCTCCGTAGATGATCATGACCATGACCATGTCCTCCATGATCATGATCGGCTTCTTCCCCCGATCTCCCCTTGTTCGAGGAAACTCCCAGAAGAGGAGGAATCTCAATCGTTGTGGTGAAGAGATTGATCTTCTTGTTTTCTTCCTCTTCTTGATTCATCCATGATGATGTAGATGAAGATGTCTTTCTACTATGATTCTTGTTTAGGTCGTATGGAGTCGATGGCGATGCGGATCCACAACTACTGGTGACGCTGGAATTTCTTCCTATGATAGAGGACGAGGATGAAGCAGTCGAAGTAGAACTACTTGGTAGTGAATTACTTCTTCCCTGCTCATCATGATCGTCATGCTCAACATCTAGTACTCTTGTTTTGGCACTACTTCCTCCTGTGTCAGTCCTCTTGCGGGAGAACAAGTCGTTACTACTACGGTGATTATCCGTTAGCAGCATCCTGCTTCGAGGTACTGCTGGACGCGTTTCATCAACAGCAGTTTCCTCCTCCTCCGTTGGTCTCTGATGTGCACAAAGCCTAGAAGGTGAAGCTCTTCTCTTCCGTTGCTCTGCTCGTAATCTTGTACTATGACCTCGCGCAGCTCCTTCCTGTTGTTCGCGTTTCGAGAACATTCTAGAAGAATTATCATTATTTCCCCCTCTAGTTCTACGTTGCACAGTGTAGTTTAGAAGCTGTTCTCTTTCATCCTCGAAATCTGCGTCGTCCTCTGCATCGTAGGAATATTTCCTCCGACGTGGTCCCCCTTTGTCCTTCTTCTTCCAAAGATAAGCAAGCTCATCCTGTAGATGCAAAAACTGAAAACCCACTTCCCGTACCACAACTGAGATTCCCCAGTCCACAAAGACATACGCACGCCACAAGGCATACACTGTGCCCATCGTTAGAAAGACAAGAAGAGAAGCGCAAGCACCAATCCAGGACCATATTTGAGCTGGGTGTTTCATGCACTCGTGTACTACGTCAATTTTCGATGGAATGGGACCTGCTGACGCGTGTGACTGTGTTCTCCTTCTGCAACTGGTATTAGAATTGTAACAGCTTCTGCGCAATACTTATGTACTCATTCTCATGAACATGGAGTCAGTTGCAGCGGAGCCTAGTCAGTATCAAAATAATCCTCTTCCCTAATATCCACCTAGTTGTAGTGGCAGTCGTGAAGAAGAAAACTACAACAAACTAGAAGTACAAGCACAGGCCATAATCTCAAGCACCAGTGAGTAGATGAATCGGTAGTACAGGGTCTGGGCTAGCCAATGTTCGACATTGTGCTCTACGCAGGTCACTCGATATGGCGCAAAACGACTCCAAGAACGAGTGTTGTTGTTTTTGTTGACCTTGACGCTAGTATGTTGTACTAGTGCCTGATCGACACAGCTATTCCCTGGCATACCTTCGTAACCCTGGGACACGATGAAGCCTTGCTGCTTCTATTAGAAGTAGTCGGGATAGAATGAGGATTAGGATCATCATCAGCTTGAAGCTATGAGGATTCAGCCTGAAGATCTGAGGATTATTCGAAAAACTGAAATAAGCTTATGAACAGAAAGAGTGACTGTTCCGCATGCAATCGCTCGATCCGTATGTAATAAGCAAGTAACTGAGCAGAACAACCGAGATACTGACGAGAAGGAAGAGTAGCCTTGATGTTAAGCTACCTCCCTTATTTCAGTCAGTAACTCGGTTATTTTCAGTTTTCGAGTAGGATTAGAAGGAGCAGGAGGACCGCGATCGTATTCATGGTCATTTCTACCTCAACTCCTTCCTGTTCATTCACTTTCTAGGACAACAGGTCTAACCAAGTAACGTGTACGTCCAGCAGCCATACCACCAAGGCAATTTACTGCATCGTATATTGACATCGATCACGTCCGGAGCGTCCTTCGAGTTTGTTGCTACGCATTCCTGTCCTCGCCGATAAAAACCCTCTGCGCAGAAAAAGTCTGCACCGGTACACGGACAGGTCTCTTGGTGTACTTGCGCTAAAGGTGGATGCTCCTCGACGAGGACAGCAGTTGGGGATTCGACTTCGAGAAGATCTTCCTTAAGGGACTCAGAAAGAGCTGCACCAGACAGCAAATACAGCGCTAATTCCTCTTGCCGCTCTTGGCGTCGCAAGTGGTCTTGCTGGAGAAGTAGGCTTTGGTCCCTGTCTTCGTGTTTGAACATGTTATCGCCGAGCCGGAGTAGCTCAGCTTTTGCTTTTGCTTCCTCACTTTCAGCTTGCTGCTCTGCGGCTTTTGCTTCACGCTGGGGTGGTGTGCGAAAGTTAGACGGCTACTCCAACTTCTCGTTCATCTAGATGAAGAGACTCTATTTATGAACAGAGGACATTCAAAGCAACACCTGTACGGTTGCATCTCCAAGTTCAAACACTCAGTCGCAGTCTCACCAGAACCAGAAGATGCAGATCCTGAACCAGATAGAGCAGTAACGCCATAAGAAACAACACTACCGAAGGAGAGCGGCAATGTGCGACTGCCTGACGGCGCCAGAAGGTAGAGCGTTGACCAAGGTGACATGGAGAGCCAGCATCCCGCAAACTCCACGGCTCTAAGTCTCCTAGTTGGCATACAGGGAAAGATCTGTAAGATATTCTACTCGCCTGCTCCCGCCTGGTATTGATGTTGGTGTTCTTGCTGTTCTCATCGAAGCGTTTTTGGCGTAGTTCAGGAGAGGAAACTACAAGCGCAGCATGAGGATCTTCCCTAAAAGTTAGAGGTTGCCGAGTTGCCTTCTGCAGAACCTCCTTGATCTATTTCCCCCTTGAAAAGGAGCCAAGGATGGTAGTGAGGGATGTAATTATTCGCAACAAACCCTTAAAAAAACATCATGTTCTTGCTCATGATCAGCGAGATCATGCATTACTAACGAAAACGAAGATTGACTTGGTGGACAATCCTCTGCTGGTCTTAGTCCTCGACAAGAAGAACTTCTCGATCTCGTCATCATCTGCAGGAATACTCGTGTTGACGAGTGATCAGGCGACAAAAATGCACAAACGAGATGATCACCTCCTGCTTCTGCATGTCGTGCATATTGATGTTGAGCTAAAGACCACTTGCCTGCTACAGCGTTAACAAGGTCTCGAGGTTGCCAGGTAACGCCTTGATCAAGGGAAGTCAACATAGAAGAAGATGCATAGGCCATCAGGATGTCACCCGAAGCTAGAATCTCCATGTTTGAGATCTCTTCGTCCAGTGTTGACACAAGTCTCCATGTTCTACCCGCATCTCGACTGACATGCCAAGATATTGAACTAGAAGAAGGGTCGGCATTCGCACTCGAACTCGTTGCTAATTTTTTTGCAGATGACCTGCTGCTAGCCTCTGAAGTAGATGATATTGTACGAGGACTTGTTGCATCTTCAGCAGTACTAGTACTGGTCCTGCATTTCCCAACTAGGAAGCCTGGAGCGTTTGCTGCCGACTTGATGGTGATAAAACCTCCATCTTCATCATCGCAACCACTAGCTTGGACTTTTTCCCATATTTGGCCTTGATCGAAGGAGACCCAAGAAGACAGACGTGGCGCAGATGGGAGGCCCTGAGTGAGGACGACGAGGAGGATGTATGTAAATTAGAGAAGTTCCCTGAGTGAGGACGATGAGGAGGATGTATGTAAATTAGAGAAGTTCCCTGAGTGAGGACGAGGAGGAGGATGTATGTAAATTAGAGAAGTTCCCTGAGTGAGGACGAGGAGGATGACTATAATTATTTTTTGAGCGTTTTTAGTGTTGCGACCTGATGATCATGAACAAGCTACAACAATCATGAAACAAGTAGGCTTTTAGCATCTTACCTCGTCCCCAGCTCTCCCCCGCTCCATCCGCGTAGCCACAAAACCTCCCGGAACGCCAGGTCCTAGAGGGAACCACGCTAACCCAGCATTTCCATTTGCCGCTTCGGGAGACTCTATGAGACCTTGGAAAACCAAGCGCATCGATTTTTTCTCCACGATCTCGTATACATCAAAAGTTGAAGAAGTTGAAGTGGTACTACTACTAGAGGGAACGGCTAAATGCACAAAACTGGGATGAACAGCAAGGACGTGGACGTTCGCTGACGATTGTTGTAGTGAATGTCCGAAATTTGTTGTTCTACTGGCTGGTTCGCGTTGTGATGCATTCCCTGGTTCTTCGATCCGACGCCATATTTTAGCTGAATGTTGCACTGCTGGAAGTGGCGAGTGGGAGTACTCTTTCCTCTCGTGATCCAGGCAAAAAAGTTCTAAACCCTGACGTATCCAGATCTGGCGGTCTTCTTCCTCGTCCGATGATGAAGGAGGAGAAGAAAAGCCGTCTCCTCCATTTTTCTGCAAGTAGTATTTTGATGGATTCTGTTGTGGTGGTCTTGATGATGGTTGGCTCGACATCTGGATGTCGTCGTCTACTACTACTGCTCTGTTTGTTCCTGCGTCCGTTACAACTATTTCTTGTTCTCCATCTGCATCTACTGCAAGACCTTCATCTGATGTCTTCGTATTCCCCGCCGTTATCCATCCTTTATTGTCGCCTCGCAACCCAACCACCAATAGCAAACCAGGTTTGAAGATCACTTTGGCCGCTGCATAGATTCCCGCACCACGACCTACTATGCGATGTGAGGTCACGAAATTGTCGATGCGGTAGAGTTCAAAACCTTCTCCAAAGAAGAATTGTTGAGAGGCGTGGCCTTGTGGTGGTCCCCGGTGTTCATCTTGTGGTGGTCCTTCTCCTTCATCAACATCTGCATCACCATGTTCAACAAGAACGGCATCATTTCCAACATCATCGATGTAGTCGTTCTCGGTACGACTATCATCCTCCCTTGCGATTGGCAAAGGACTAGTAGATGGATCTTCTACGAGCGAAAAGAGCCAAGGTTTCCATGATGCGAGCCACCGGTCAAACATCGTTTTTTCTTTGGTCGCAAACGCAACATGGTGTGGAGTGTCCATGTCCTGATGCCAATTTTGTGAGAATGATACCGTCTCAAGCTGCTCCACCACGACTTGTTTATTGTCGCGCCCATTTTCTGGAGATTCTAGCAGGACTGGGTCGGGGTTCATCATCATGTTGGTCTTTTCAACAAGAAGTTTTTGCTCTACTTGTGATTGTTGTTTTTCTCTTTCTATCTCTATCAATCGTTCCTGAGCAGCCTCTGCGATCCTATGCTCTTGTCGCTTCATTTCTCTTCGACGCTTCGCTATGCGGCGTTGGAGTTCCTTTTGCATCTGCTGAAGGCGCCTACTTACTGCAGCAAGGGCTTCTTCGAGGTGTTGATCTTCATCAAGTGGTGAAGTTGTCGTTGCCACCAGAGTTGTACTAGTTCTCGGTCGTGAAGGTTCTACTTCAGATACTTTACTTGATGGAACTTTACTACCTCCGAAAGTAGATACTTTACTAGCTCCAACTTTACTACTTCCGAAGAGCGAGAAGTCCTTGAAGTAGGACGACCACCAAGATGTCGCTGGAGCTGGTGTACTAGTGAGTTCTTGATACGGGGTACTAATGATCCATGAAGAAGCTGACGCCAATGTGTCGCCTCGAAGATCTCGAAGATGTTTCTTCACGATGTACAAGCTGTTTACGTTGAGCGAATCATCTTCATCGTCGTGTGCTGCGTCATCAATAATAGCTCCCCACGTAAAATCTACGACATCTAAATCCACAAGTTGAAACCCATAGAACTGATTGCGTCCTCTTTCTCTTTCTATGTTCGCACGACCATGTAAAAAGAGCAATAGCTTCTCGAAGAAGATGTAGTCATCAGCAAGGTTCGTAGATGTGGTATTAACTAGAACTTTTGATATCTTCTTGGTCGTTGTAGTATTCTTGATGTTCTTGATCATGTTGTGGGAGCCAGCAGCAGGTAGTAGTACAGTATTAGTCTTATTGTTTGTTGACCTTGAGGTAGATTTCTCCAAGGATACGACTCTATACAAGGCGCCATCTTCTCGCAAGAGTAGTAGTCTTCCCGAAATCTTCGGATGCCATTCCACTCGTTTGATATGCGGCATTCTGAATGTGTTATTCAGAATTCTGAATGTGTTATTCAGCATCTTGTTGCTGTCCTGCGACGCCAAGACTGAATCGATTCCAATAACTGCATCTTCCCCTGTTGATTCACCGTCTAAAATGTGACTCCACGACCGTCCAGCGTCATTGCTTAGCCACACCCCGTCGCCGCATCGCGCTGTGATTAGTGCTACGTGGTCAGAGTTGACAGTACTTACAGCGACCGAAGGTTCGCATTTCTTCTGCTTCTTGTTCTCTACGCGGGGGCTCGTGTTGGAATTCGATTCTCCTTGTTCATGGAGATCGAGGTGTAGTAGTCCTTCTACTTTGTTCTCTACTGTTGCTATTCTTCTTGATGAGGAGTCGGCTTCGGTTCCTCCTGTCCCTGTTCCTCCACCTGCTCCTCTTCCTGTACCTCTTCTAGATAAAAAAGTAGACTTCTTTTGTTGTCGCACTTGAGCATGAGCGCCATGTTGATCTCTATTTTTCCTATGAAGCAGCCGATGCAATCCACTACCATAGTTTAGATCAAAGAGAGGGTCTGCAATTTTCTTGAGCAAGTGATGTTGTTGTTCTACTCTTGCAGATGTTGTGGTAGTAGACGCAGATGGAAACTGTGAAGATGATGGTTCTTTTATCGCAGATGAAGTTGCAGCTGAAGGAAACCTGCTTGACGAGGAAGATGTGCCAGTATCTCTACGACCAGAAGTAGTTGTTGAAGTGCTGGAGATGCCATTCAACAAACGAAACTCTTCAAGCATCGCTTTCGTACTCGCATCTTGCTCGAGTGGCACGTTCACGTTGCTTGATGTTCCTCCTGCAATATTCTTTTCTTCTTGAATATGACAGGATTAACGCGTTATTTTAGCAACGCGCTATAGATGCATGCTGGTTGGATTCTAGTACTTCTCGACTAATATTCTGTCATATAACGTGTTGCTAAAATAACGCGTTAAGGCTGCCATATTGAATAAACGATAAAGGAGAATGAGGACCGCTACCTCCTCGATCTTCCGCAGATCCCTTGTCCAATGCTACGTCTTCTTGTCCATGACTTGTTGTTCGTGGCAGAATCTCCTCTACATCTATCCAGGACTCCCCACCATCCTTCGTGAAAAAAACGCCAGAAGACGCTGCAGAGGAACGACTAGTACTAGACGGCAGCTCTGACACTCCGAAACCGCGAATTACAGATCCGCCAACAAAAACCAAGTCGTGGATGAAAGGTGCTCGTTCTTGTTGACTCAGTCCACCTCCGTTAGAAGTTTCATCACGCTCTAGTTGTACAGCAGCTTCTCCACTCACCACGAAGAACGTTACAGCTGCGAGTACAAGTAGACAGGAGGAATGGGCGGACATAACGGACACAGAGACCATCCTTCGTAAAAATATATTGGTATGTTTTTTGAAAACTAAAGATTAGCCAAACTCTTAGACAAACTCTTTTTACTTTTAGGCATTGGTATGTTTTTTGAAAACTTAGAATTAGGAGGAGCAAGAAGAAAAGTGAAGGGTCAACAAGATTAATGTCCGTTTTGGACTCGGAATGAAGACGATTAGCATATATGGCGGCTGGCTCTTTTCGTTCAGCAGGACGATTGAGTTTGAGGGCACCTTTTTTTTTTGGTTTTCTAATTACTCCAGCAGACATGGGCAACAATGCGAGAAGATCATAATATGCACATAATAGTGATGTTTGCGCTCTTCAGCTCGTGTCCTCACTCGTCGCTTTACAGTGTGGGAGATACTAGTTCTTTCTCTCACAGCCCACAGAAGCTTTTTACGGAGAGATTTACGCATCCAGCAAAAAATCAACGCTAAAAACCATGACAAATTTCTCATGAAGCTGCTCTCCTAGACCGGACAAAGCTGCTGGCCTAGGGCAGTAGTCCGCAACGATCGCCCCATCGATCCAGCCGCGGGACAGAGTGAGCCCGTCGCCCCACGCCAATGCCTAGACCGCTGATGGCTCGACGGGCGCGCCAGTGCTTGCTCTGCCCATGACTTTGCATGAGGCCCTTGCTGTTCAGAGGTAACCAAAAGTGTCGCTATTGACTTCGGGCGTCATTTGATGCCCTGCTTCTCCTCCTTCTCCTTCATTCATTCTTTACCAGCACCCCAGGCGGCGGCCCGCGATCTCCTCCGCCGCGTCCTGCTCCGGCGACTGTTGCACCTCAGCTAACAGTATCAGCGTGGCGGCAACCACTTCGGCGGGTGCCCGAAGCCTTCCACCTCTTGCCCCTGTTTTGCTTTCGCCTTGTGTCGGGCTCTCAGTCGCCTCTTGTGGATTCATACGTTCGTTTGATTGGCGGGCGCCGGTTCGCCTCTTGTGGTTTGGCCTTCGCCTCTTGTCGTTCGGCTTTCGCCTCTTGTCGTTGCGCTTGGCTGTCGCCTCGCCTCTTACAGTTGGGCGGCCGCCTCTCGTTTGGCGGCGCAGCTACTCCCGGCGGCAACGGCCGTACTGTCTCCGGCGGATCTCCCCCGCGTCTTCCTGCGGCGAGGGAGTCGTCCGCGGCTAGCTAGCGGCATCACTCAGACAGCCCGGCGGCTGCTACCGCGTCAGCAGTTAGCTACGGAGCGGGGGGGCGCGGACTTTCTCCGCCCTGGCGGGAGCGCTGCCTTGTTTGGTGGCGGCGCTGCTGCTGTCACCAATGCTAAAGTAGTGTGATGTCTGCGCGCCTGGCATTGTTTGCGCTTCAGCCGGGCTGGCGAACACATGATGCTGCTTAGCAACAACAAAATATATGCGTGCGACGATGCCACTGCTAGGACGGAATACTTCTACACATTCTTTTTGAAGATGAACATGAAGATGGTTGGTTACACATCAACTTAGTTTGCGAAGGTCACATCAATGCTCTTGTTTAAATCCACCATGCGAAGATGACATCGATGCTTCCATCTGAGAGGGGACTCTATCATCGTTCAACATTCGCCTTCATATTTCTGTAGTAATAGTATGTTCTCGTGAGTGCTGGTATTTTCGCCGCGTGCTCATCTTGCAGCTGCATCAGTAATACAAATACAACTCTATGAATCTTTATTCAGTGACGAAGATACTAGCCCGAAAAATACCTCATCATAAACCTACTGAGATCGTGATGTTCTTTATGTTGTCGGCGGCTATACTTAATCCTTGCTGTTTCGGATCCTAAAACATGGCATTATTATGTACCTCCTATGCACAATTATGTTTATGATTTTGAGAAGTTCGCCGTTCTTGGTAAGCCCTCTCAGCAAGCCACAAAAGGATAAGCGGAAGCCCTCTTGATTCGCTTTGTCACCTCTAGTACTTCGTAAGAAGTACGTAGAAGCTAAAACGAAGAGAAAATTCTTTTTCTGGAGGGGTATGTACTTAAACTGAGACTCATGGGGTTTAAGTCTATGCCGTTCTGAAGGGTCTAACAAGGATGAAAGAGATTTTTCTGTGCAGGTATTATGGATGAGTCATTGATTTCAGATCGAACAAGCAAATATTAGGATAAGTAGTTGTAGTATTGGTGGAACTAGAAGTAGTGCATTGTTGATTGTCGTAAAACGCATGTTGCTCACTGTTGTTGTAACTACTTCTCCTACTTCTACAACAACTTATCTACTTAATACCTGCTACAACAAACTACAAAGTAGAATGAAGGACAGACCACGAGTTTGAGTTTATTACTTTCTAAATAATCATTTTCAATTGATGAAATTCATCAAAACTTCTTACTAACTTTGAACAGTAGTTATTGTTATACCCATTGTTTTCCCGCGAATAATATTGTCGACATAGAGACAACAACATACTGTCACGTTCTTTTTGTTTTTGCATTATTAACAACTCTTCCCTGTCCAGTTCCAAAGTCTTCGGCCAAAGGGCCAGCGCACCAGCTGGGGTGGGCGCAGGGAAGTCTTACATTCAAGAAGCCTGGTACAGGTACATACAACTAAAAGTCGTTATGACCCTTACCGGCGATGTCTTCGACAACGACGAAACGACAAAAATTTGAATCCTAAAACAATCATCATAAATGTGAGAAATTCGTACCCCACGTAACTTCCGGGGACCCTGCTGCCTGCTGCGTCTTTTTTGTAACAATGTGGTTCGTGTGCGCGGCTTTGTGAAGAATGTGCATTGTTCCTCCTTCACATTGCATAAATCTGTTTCAATGTCTACTTTCTGGCGCTCGACTGTAAATAGCGTAATAATCTTGATCTTCCATAGGAAAAAGATTGAAGATCTTGTAGTTATAAGCATAAAAATTTAATACCATGGTTGATAGATTGTTCATCTGTGATTGAATAGGAAAGAAAATTCTAGATAGGAAACCCACATCACCAACATTTTTCCCTTCTAATATTCTTTAGTTAGTTAGGACTATATCAATATCAGCCCTCAGAAACAAGCCCTTTTTGTTTACGACTAGTACCTACTAAACTAGTACTCGCTACCTATCGTCCATGTACTTAGTAGTGAACGTGAAGAAGTATATGCGTTTGCTGTAGCGAAAGCTGTACAAGTTGTACAAAATATTAAGTCTCGTGGTTGTAGTTGTTGTTGTACCAAGGTGGATTATATATAACTCTAGTACGAAACTGGTCTGGCTCAGGATTACCATGAGGGACTCGAAGTCAAAAGGGTGCTCACCTGGCTGTCTCGCCTGCGTCAGAATCTCGTCAACAGGCGGTCGTGAGTAACAATAACTACACAAGAAATAGAATATTCTTGTCTTGAATGCTCAAAACTCGTATAAAATCATTTACTTTTTAATGATGAACTTGATGGTGAGGTGTCCTCGATGATGTGTGTAGGTCTAAGTGTAGTTACTTTGATTTCTAGCCCTACGTTCTTTCTGTCGATATCATCAGTCATCGGGAACGGGAAGTCGTCACAAACTCTTAATGCTTTATCACATCTATGGTCTTCTGGTTCTCGTTGTCCTACTTTTGAGTGGTCATTCTAAAAACATCGTGGATTCGGCGTCATCATACTGTTAAAAAACTATCATCTGCGGTGGTGGATATCGATATTTCTATTTCATCACATAATCTTGAGCTTGACATAATGCTAAATGGATTTTGATGTTGTTCAGTTCACTCTACTTCTTCTACTATTCTTCAGTCTTATTTCCACATGAATATCACGACTCCTACTTCTACAGTAGAATGAAGGATTCAAGTTCTACTAGTCTCCGTCTTGAAGAATAGTCCTCCAAAAAGGAATTCTAGTAGTCTCATTACCACTCTAGTCATCTTACCACTTGTTTTCCCTAGTCTAAGTAGTCCCACTACTTCTGCTACTTCTTCTAGTCTAACTGTAAATCCCCTGACTTAGTAGTGATCGGAAGACCACCTCCAGAAGGACCATCGTCCTTTACTTAGCAGTGCTAGTGATCTGAAGACCACCTCCAGATGGACCATCGTCCTTTTGCATCATAGCCATGAACTCCTCGAAGTCGATTTCGCCGTCGCCGTTGGCATCAGCGTCTGACAAAATCTTGTTGATAATGTCTTGTGAGACCATGCGATTGTTAGAGTGTGCAGCAGGAACAATGTGGTGATATTAACATCTCCAATGAATGGAGTAAGTAGTTAAATAGAAATACTTTTAGACAAAGTACAAATTACTACGAGGACAAGGATGTTGCAGACGTCAAAAATGAACAACTCTGTAGGAAAATTTGAGCCATAATCTTGACATCACCATCAGCCAACACATCGGCGATCTCCTGCTTGTCAATATGGCCGTTGCCATCGCGATCGAAGACCTTGGTGGTTTAGCACGGTGGGTGGGTGAGGATGGTGGATCATGCGAAAGGATAAACTTAGAGAGCGAAGGAAGAAGAGTTTGACTTTCCTGCATGATCGATGACCGCACAGATTCCACCTAGACCCTAATACAACTGCAACTGCAACTGCTTTTCCTCGTTGGAGTGGTCCGTCTATTATTCTTGAACACAAGAATCAATCTAACTGTAACTCCTCGTACATAGGTAGAATTCGAACAATTATAATATAGTACCTTGAAAGCGGCATAGCACGCGCTTTCTTTCATGTAGTGTCGCTTATCCATTGTCGCTGCCAAGAATTCTGTGTAGTCAATCCTTCCACTTCCATCTGAATCGATCTGGTTAATCAACTCTGCCAATTGTTCCGTGTTGTCCTGGAGACCGGCTTTTGCTGTTAGTTTGTGGTTAGGGTTTCGGTAGACACCCTAGCAGTTGTTACAGGTACCTACTGTACAAACACTTCGAGGAAAAATGCTGGTATGGGATGCATTGGTAGAGGACCAAAAATCGTCTCGATTCTACTACAAAGATCCAAAATTCATAAGTACCCATGCCATCGACGATTTCTTGCACGGTGAGTGTTCCATCGTTATCCTCATCCAACTGAAGGAAGAGCTCACGGAGCTGCCTGATGCTGTCGTCACTGATTTGCGTCGCGATCACCTATGGTTGTAGGGTGAAGGGATCGTTTTGATCTTGATGTGTTGAACTTCTAAATCTAGTCTAAGACAGAAGCATCCTCTACGGTCTTGTAGCGTATTATCCTATCAAAGTCACCAACAGTACCATCCTCTACTACTGTCGTTGAGGTTCTAGCGTCTTATCCTATCAAAGTCACCAGCAGTACCGTCAAAGCCGCTTTCTTCAGTTTGTTGCCGTTTCGGAAGGAAGTGAGAGGACCGACCAAGTTGCCGGAGAGTGAGATGGAGGCTGCCTTAGGCGCCATCTGCGAGATCCATACGTGGTCCAAAGCTTGCTTCGCAGTGAAGCGATCGGCTGGGTTCTTCTTCAACCTTTGGTGGGTGGTGACGGGTGGAGGTGGTGTTGTGGAAGTACAATGTAACCTATATTATAGATCAAGACAACGTAAGGAACCTATATTATACATAGACACGAACGTCTACTGTTTCTGTTTCATCATCATCAAACAAAGCGCCAAAAATGATCGTCCCTTCGGAACAATTTTTTTGAAAATGAAGAAAGTCCCTACCTCCACTAGTTGTATTACAACAAGAGGATACGAAAAACTGAAATAAGCAAGTAACAACCGAGAATAACCGAGATACTGAAGAACACAGAGTAGCCTCTAAAAGCTACCTCCCCTCTTATTTCAGTCAGTAACTCTAACTCCCTTATTTTCAGTCTTCAAGAGTAAGTAATCATTAAAGCAAGTACATCTTCGTGATCAATTCGGTTGCATCAGATGTGACGTTCTTCCAGTCTGCCTGCACGAAGGTGAATGTTCCGAGTCGGACTCTGGCCAGGACATCTACATCACTCTCACCGTAGAAGGGTGGGTAACCACAAAGCATGATGTACCTTTGAGAAGGAGAGGAAGGTGGGACGATGATGTGCAACTCCACAAATAAGGGGACCATATCTTCCACAATATATATGAAAGAAAAAAGTGCACTCAGTCAACACACACAAAAAAAGTGGCTATTTTCCTACTTCAATCCTAGCCAATTTCTTTAGTGTGAGTGCACTTTTTCGTTTCGTAATGTATCATTCTATTTTAGTACATGATGATTCCGCAGGAGCTCCACACGTGAACTCCTACTCCACAATATATCATTCCATTTTAGTACATGATGATTCCGCAACTCCACACGTCACAGCTCTGGTCGTATTTTCCAGTAAGGACTTGTGGCGCAACGTAGTATGGGGTTCCAGCCTTGGTGCTCTTGAACTCTCCCGGCTTGTACTTCGTTGAGAGACCGAAATCTATGATCTTCACTGTGGACTGCTCAATCGGTGCGTTGTCTTCGTACTGTTGTGTTCTTGTAGGGTCGTAGTTGTGGTCGTCCGTTGAGAATTATGCTTCTAGAATTGTTGTATGCGTATGGGGTGTTCAGATTCAGATGAAAATGTTAATATCAATGGTGTGGGGTGTTCAGATGAAAATGTTAATACTATACCAGCAAAAAGTTTTCTGGCTTGATGTCTCGGTGCATGATTCCGTGTTCGTGGAGGTAGTGGATAATGGACAAAATCTGTCGCATCAAGATGGCGCATTCCCTCTCTGTGAAGTGACCAGATGCGATAATTCTGTCGAACAATTCACCACCCTGGCAAAGCTCCATGGCCTGTTTTTAAAAGAGAGAAGATGGTGATGTCACTCACATTCATTCATTCATCTTATCCTCATCACAGTTCTGACTAGAAACCTTCCACTACGATTAGAAACCTTCCACCCTTGTTCTGACTAGAAACTGAATCACACAGGTATAGGTATTCCTATTCGTATTGTATCAAGTACCAAGTAAACATTCCTCGAGTCCTCATATGATTCGAACAGCTTGACGATGTTCGGGTGGTCGCAGTTCTTCATGATGTTGACCTCCTGCTTGAACCGTTCGATGTTCTTCATGTGCTGCGAGGTCTTTGGAATGCACTTCACTGCTCGAATCTGCTGTGTCATCTTATATGTGGCCTTGGAGACGGAACCTTGTGGTAGGTGAGAGGTCAGAGGGCTTAGGATTCTGAGGGTTAGGGTGTTAGGGGAGGAGGATGCTGGAGACGGAGATGTTAGTGGTTGGTGGGAGGAGGATGATAGACCTCAGAGGATGATGGAGACGGAGATGTTAGATAGATGCTGGTTGAAGAAGTAGAAAATGTTGAAGGTGGATAAGTAGAAAATGTTGAAAAAGTAGAAAATTATGATGTGCCTGCACGACTTAGGTGAACAAGTCCAAACAAGCATCGAGTAGATATATTAGTTCACCTACAACTCGAATTTGATCTTAGAAGTGAAAAAGTGAAACTTCGTCATCATTATAATACCATAGGTTCCCTGACCCAGTTTTTTATCCTCGAATGTATAGGCATCATGGATCTTGCCGCGATTTTCGAAGACAAAGTCCTCAGCTGAGAAGGCATTTGGCTTTTCTGACCTTCGCTTTTGCTTCTCCTGGTCGGTTACCACACCAGTGCTCTTTTTTGAATTGGTACAACCCATTTTTTGTCTTTTGGTGGAGGTTAAGCTTAAATAAACTATAAGTGATACATAGAAGCTAAAGTTGAATTTGGTTTGAATCACTCAATGAAACCGAAATCGATGTGGTCAAGAACTTTTTTGCTAGTAGAGAACTCTTTTTCTACTTGTAGTGCAAGACTTCTAGAACTTCGAATTTGGATGTGGAGAAGCAGATGAAAAAGTTGTAAGAAGTGTTCGGTAATGGTGAAGTTGGAAAATTGTAAGAATAAGTAGATGTTCTTGTGATTGTAGCCAAGAATTAGAATCTAGAAAACTAAAATTTTTGAACCAATGAGAGACGCAGTTCATCTTCCTCGTTTTTGCGTGATTTTGTGATATAATAAGCGTTGGGGAAACGGAAAGAATCGTTAAGTTCATTATAGTAAAAGTTGAAGAAATATAGCAGCAAATAAAAACGTCAGAAAGTATTAAGAATGACCAAGAATTTTGAAGATTGAAAATGCAGAATTGTCAATCGCCTTATCATGATGAACGATTGACAAACGACACTATGCGATAACAATAAAATTGGCTATTTTTGATGAAACAAAGTAAAAAGGGAGGTGGGAGAGAGAAGGTGCATGCCAACAGAAAGGAGGTTTGGGAGAACAACGTTTTTTTTTCGATTTGAGGGCATGAGGCAAAATGGTGGAAGATCATCATGATCAATCTATGACATTTTCTCTCGTCGCGACGACCACGAAGATTTTTCAACCTCCAGGTATGGATACCTACTTAAAGAAACCACGTTGGCGCCACTTACAAGCATTTCCTGCGTCACACCCACACAGAATGTCGGACTCAGACAGAGACATCACTTTTTGATATTGCGCTGTTGCTCTTCTGCTCTCAACAACCTCCGTCAAAGTAGAGCACACTCACACTTTCACTCCCGGAAGAACCGAGAAATTTTCCCTCACCAGATTCATTTCGAGGCACTTCGAGGTTTCTCTTTATTCGGTGAGAAGTCTTTCGAACACTAGATCTAGGACACTAGGACCACGTACAGTAGATATTCTCAAACGTTTAATACGTTTGCTTGTTGTAGTTCGATCATTTCAGTTTCAGAGTGCTTCTTCTAGTACAGCCACAATGTCAACTACAAATCTCACACGTCGGTGCCCATTTTCCCTCCTTATACTGGGCTAACAAGTGTTCTAAAGAAAGAAAGAGAGGTGAGAGTTCATTCGCCGCCTTTTCCAAGGTCATCCAATGCCAGCCTTCGCATTTGTGCGGCTCTAAATTTTCGATTTCGCTCTCGTCGTGTCCCTCGAAGGAGCTTGCCATAAAGAGGTATGTTAGAAGAAGGAGTGCTCGCTGGGTAAAGACGGGGGGGATTAGAGAAAGGAGGTGTTGCTGTTGGCGTTGGGAGGCATTGGAAATAAAAGGATTGAGTGGATAATCGATACATGGATTCTTCGCAAAAAATCAAAATTCGGTAACGTAGTGCATCAGCGTGAGTTTGTTATCACCCTTCTATCAATCTCCTTCTACGAGTTGACTTTGACGAGTTGTAGTTGGGTTCTACTTCTACTTGTACTACTGTAGTCATCAATTATACCAGTACAACATCTACTAAGCACATAAAAATAACTAATACTTATCAACTTAAATATACTTGATATACATAGTTAGTTAATAATAGACATAATAACCACTAAGCCTTAATGTCACATAGTGTTTTTCTGGCGTGCAGACAGACGCAGTTTCAGCTCCTTCTTGTGGCTTTTCTGGAAGCATCCGGTCATTACTTACGCAGGTGAGGTGAAAGCTATCTTCTGGCAAGGAGACAGCTGTTTCTTCCGGGAATTAGAAGAGTAAGTGACTGCGTGAATGAATGTAGATGTACCCACTCCAGAGGCGTAAAGTAGACCACTGCACTAGTACTACTTCCAGAAGTACTTTTGACTTTTCAAGCAGTGTTGAACCCATTCATGGGGTACTACCGTCTGAAGTAAGGTAAAGGGGGGAAGGGGCACTACGCATATGATACAACATAACTCACTTCTCTTGCTGCGCACTGCTGCCACGTTTCACCCCATTCTAGATGACCCCCAGGCAAAGCCCAACATCCCGCACCGTGACTGTTGAGCCGCTTTCCCACTAGGACTTCGTATGCCGACGTGCTTTGTCCTTGTGCTTGTGCTTGTGTCCAGTCATCTTCTTCACTCACAGCTTTCACACTTCGGTAGAGAACGCAACCAATGCCGACGCGAACATTATTTTTTGGTTTCTTGTGTCCAGTCATCTTCTTCACTCACAGCTTTCACACTTCGGTAGAGAACGCAACCAATGCAGACCTGACGCACTCGTTGAGGCGGAGCGCATTTTTTGGAACCAGTTTCAGGCATCCTTCGGGTCAGTTTGATGATGTTAGTCGATACCTTCGGGTTGGACCTACGACTTCCCGGAATCTCTTTTGAGTTGTTCTACGAATCTAGTAAGACGAAGTGAATCATGGATCGACCTATCACGAGTGAATTGATCAGTGTGAAACTCTGTGATCTCTCACCTGCAAGCATTCTTCTTTGTGCGATCCGCGCGAGCTGGCTCCGATTCAGATTCAGATTCAGATGGGGTCCTGCCTCATTCTATTTCTACCTCTAACTTTTTACTTATTTGTAAATGATCTCGACCCGCCCTGATCGAGTTTTATATAGTTCTCCTGTCTTCTCGACCTAGGTTGTCGTTCATTCACTTACCTGTTCGAGAGGTAATTTTTGACATCAAAAGATGCAGAAGGCAGCTCAAAAAGTACACTTTAATTAAAGCTACTAAGAAACTTGAAGGTAGTAAGACAGCCTTTAATTAGATTTCTCCTTTCTTTGTGAAGACAACTAGGCACTACTTTAAGGAAGCTTGTACTTTTTTTAACTCGGCAGCTTTTTCCTTTTTAGAAAAGGGCTGTAGAATCCAGCACTTGATAGTATTACAAAAAGATGACAGCAAGACTTTCTATAATTTTTGGTTCCATTCTACGTATTTGCTGTTCTACTTATCTATTTTCCTTTTCGAGTTTAATTCTATTTCTTCTTCTGTTTATTTTTGCCTCCTTTTATTTTTGCATCTTCTCATGTGCTTCCTTTACATTTTCGCGTCACTTCTCATTTTTCTATGCACTATAGCTAGTATAGGCATCCTCGTGACCAGAAGATTTTTAACCGTACGTCGTGATAGAGGAAGTGTTCATTCATTCATTCACTCATTCACTTTCGCGGTTCGGGTCCGGCAAGTGTTCGAATTATCTTCGATAATCATGTTGAAAAAGCGATGGATATGGAAAATTATGTTGGCTACCTAGTTCAAGTTCAAGTTCAAAAATTATGATTTCAATTATCAGGCTGCTCTACTTCAGCTACTTTAGTCTTCGTTCCTTTTCTCTTTACCTTTTAGTCTTAAGACAGGTTTAACCTGGTCCGAAATTGTCAGTCCTTTTTCTTGATGATGAGATATTGATAGTGCCCAGTCTAAGTCCTTAAGACATCTTCTCAGTCTTAAGACAGGTTTAACCTGGTCCGAAACAACTCCATCTAGCTTGTCAATCTCAATCATTGAGATTACCTGTAACTCAATGTACTTCAAGTAGCAGTTGTTGTATCTTGCACATAGTACTCCTTTACAATTAAAAACATTTTCTCCTGGATATCATGACCCTTCAACGACGATGTCAATCAACATTGACAAGAATACACATAAAATCTTCTTTGAATTTCGTCTACTACAGTGTTCTTGGTTCACATTTTCACTGCAATTACAATTGCAAGTTTTTCGAACTCGAAGGGGGGCTATGGCGGGCTGTATAATACTAAAAGAATTAGTATGTTGACCCACATTTTTTCCAGGATGCTGCCCGGCGATCATGGTGGGAGTGCTGCATTAACCTCCTGTACTAAACGCACCAGCTCGGAACTACTTTTTGTTCGTGAAAATGAGGTTGGTGACGAAATGATGGATCTTTATCCAGATCATACGGAATAACATCCTCGACAACATCCTACTCTCTTGTAATATTATAGTAACATTTGCGGAAAGTGAAAGAACAATAGATGAGTAGATATAGCATGTACCTAAGTCTAAGGAGGCAACTCTAATCAGCCGTCTCCAAATAGTTAGTCGTGAAGAACAAACAAGATGAAGTACTAGAAGAACCTAATGAGAGATCTTTAACAGAGAGGCAAGGAACATTTGTCAGAAACAGGCAAGAAACTCAGCGGCTGTAGTGTGCCTTTCCCTCGTTCCTCTTGTTCTTGGTGTGTAAGGGAATGCTTCAAGTGCAGGGATATCTCGCGGGTGTCTGTATCGTAGATACTAAGCAAAACTATTGCTTTTTTGAAAAAACTATAGCCCAAAGAACCTTGTTAACCCTAGGGGTAATACCAGAAAAAAAAAATCAGGAACACTATGTATCCATAAGCTTAATTAGACAAAACCCAGCTTATCCTTGTGATAAGCAAGAGTAGGAACCCAGAAAGGTAAAAATAGTGCAAGGCAAACTGTACAAGTCACAGACTTAAACCTTTTCTTTCGCTTTGATTTGTCGAATGTTGTTCCTCAACTTTCGTCGTGGCTATCGCTATGCATCTTCCCCATGTGTTATGTATCAAGTATGTACTTCCATGTTACGACCTTTGTTCATCCATGTAGTTACGACCTTATAAAACTCGCTGAGCAGTCTTGTCCAATGACCAATAACATATCTTGATAAGTCAAATACATAGTGAAATAGCAACCACATAAATCGAATAATGGACAAGAAGAAACGAACAAACAAATTACAACTTACTCGAGTAAAATACACGTCTCGATTGTGGATGAAATCCATCTTCCGATGACTTCTACGGGGAGTAAATATGTGTCCCGTTTTCTGATGGTGGTGATCTTCTTCATTCTCTTAAAAGAACCAAGGCACAAGTGGTGGATATTAACCGCGATATTTTTATATTTGTGGTGGAGCAAACCTGTACCTAGGATTAGGAAATCATTATTAAAAAAATATCAAGCTATCATCTTCAAAATATGACAAGCAGCTTATGCTCTCTATAATAGGATTGTCACTGTAGAATTAGAAAGGGCGCTCATTCCTTCATTAATTCTAGTTCACGCACTTAACTAACAAGCGGTGATCTCACGGGGAGATAAGTTGCACAAGGGGGGGCTATGCAAGGAGGGCCAAGTATTCTTTGCTCTAGGGCCGAGCATTATTTCTCTGATGTTGAGGCTCCTGTGAGAGTGATGATGGTGATGATCCACTGTATGTTGTTACATGATTGGCGATATTAATTTGAATACTACAGCGAGCTGCTAAAAAAGGACTAACGCGCGCGGGCGCTTGTTTTGTTGTAGATCAGAGCAAAGAGTTAGTAGGAGCACTTCAATCAACATTCAAATGCAATTTCAAAAACCTAGAGTACACTTCTAAACTTCAAGGAGTTCAACTTCAACATCTACGCTCCCGCTCTCTACCATGCTCAGTAGTTGGAACTATGTTTTCTACTAGACTTTCTCTTTTACGGTCGTGGCCCTTCCAGTTCCACCCGATAGTATGAGGGGACCATCGATCTACTGCGGAGCGAGTGCGATTGGAAATCAATTAATAGCAACGTTCTTTGACACGTTGCGATCGGGTGGCATTGAAAATAGCACGCGAATTTTTCAGGGAGAGCATCATGAATATGACTTCGTTTTTCGCCTGTCAGAGCGCACGAGCCATGCGTATGCATCTTCATCCCGTTTCTTGTGGTTACTCATATTTACGACCTCAAGCTTGTTCTAGCACGACCTTATAAATGAAATAGCCTAGTCTCGATGTTTCTGTCCTCCTCGGGTCCGTCCTTCCTCCTTCACTGCGACAGCAGAAAAATCCGAGGTGTTGTGACACTCAACTTCCAGGAGCCCTTATTTCAAAGGACTTTTGAAAAAATAAAACGCCTCAAACTTCTACTCTAGATCATCTACTAGCACGACCTCGGAGAGTACAACTGTCCCTGAGCGACAACAGCGTGAATGGCACCTGGATCGGATGATATTTCATCGTTCCGATATAATGATGATTCTTGGTGTTCAACACCTTCACCGCGTTCTTCACCAGGAGGAGACATAACTACTCCAGTTGTTGTTGTTGATCTTGTTACACCTCGTATTCTACAACTAGGTGTAGAACTACCTTGAGCTACTTGAGGGCCGTCTAGTACAGCTTGAGCTTGAGTGGTGGTTGTTGTCCTTGTCGGAGGAGACGAAGTCGTTGCTCCTTCTGGAGGTCCTCCGGGTTGCCCATTATTTGAGGTCTTCATGAAATCAATCAACAACCGCAAATTTTGCTGCAGAAACGTCATCTGATGTTGAGATTGAGAAGTTTGGAGGTGGTCTTGATGTCCTTGATGGTGTTGTACTTGTAGTTGAACTCCTGCTGGATGTCGGCAAAGAGAAGGTGCAGGGCCAGAAGTTCCTGGTCCTGTACTCGAAGTAGTACTGTGCACGCTATGCCGGATCATGTCGATATTGGAGGCTAACTCCTGGAATTCCGAGTTACTACCTTGCGAGGACCAGTAACTTTGCGTGGAAAGATCTCTTTGCAAAGCATTTAAGTCTTGCAGACGTGGCAAAGTTGCACCACCTGAACCACCTGTAGTAGTTGAGTTCAACATTTGTGCTTGTGGAGCTAGATAGTCAAGAGCTCCTTGCACTTGTTGTTGTTGATCTTGCTGTTGGTGGTAAGTGGCACTAGAATGTCCTTGAAGTTGGAGCAGGGCGCTGCTTTCTCTGGACATGTTTCCAGCATGCATTGACGGCACTACATGTTGAGGTAGTTGGTTGTACTGCGTAGTTTGGTTGTACTGCGTCGAGCTGGTAGCTGTACTCGCTATAGAGTCTTGGTGGAGGTGCATGATGTTGGTAGTTCTTGCATGTGCATCTGGCGGTGAGCAACATGTTGTGGAGTGCATAATGGTAGTTCTTGCATGTGCATCTGGCGGTGAGCAACATGCTGTGGAGTTATTACTGCTACTAGTTCCATGTGCATCTGGCGGTTGTGAACATGCTGTGGGGTTCTCCATCATATTAGAGGAAATAAGAGTAACTCCTCCACCACTTGTTGTTGTAGTTAAGCCACTTCCGGGTCCTCCACAACTTGTTGTAGGTAAGCCACTTGTTTGCTGGTTACTTCCGACAGTTCCGAGTATCTGGCTACTTCCTCCTAGGTGTCCGAAATGATGATCGGACATATAATCAGACGCGTGTTGATGTCCTCCTCCCGACGGATGCTGCGACGAGATCGTGTGAGAAATGCCCCCACCGCCTCCAGAGGAAAACAACGAAATTCCAGTGTTTCCTCTGTGGACCATGTTTGGGTCTTGATGAAGATCTGGAGGCAAATTTACGTTGTTGAAGTGATTACTTGTACTTCTACCACAAATTGGTAGAGTCATCATGTTCTGCGGAGTAAGCTGCCCTCCACCTCCTCGTCCTTGGGGACACGAGGCCAAGCAACTGCTTGCGCCTCTGCTCAGCAAGTTGCTAGGCTCCTCGTTCAGCAAGTTGCCAGGCTCCTCGTTCAGCAAGGGAATGTCGTCACTGCTGCACCCACTACGACGGCGGTACAGTTCGAACTGCTGCGAACCGGTCGTGGCATTGTTGAACAAATGACTCGCAGCAGCTAAATACTGTCTTGTTACGGCAGAGGTGTTGCTTGTCACCGAAAAGTTTCGCTGAACGTGTGACAAATCCAGTGGCGTTGGCGGCACGGTAGAAGAGACTACGCTACACGCTGAACGCTGGTGGGCAAGGTGGCCGCCTCCACTAGGTATCGGTTCTCCAAGAGCCTGCTGTTGCCCTAAGGTCGAGCCTCCATTTTGTAGCTGTTGATCGTTAGTGGCGTTGGTATTAAACAGTACTTGTTGCCCGTTTGTGGGAAGACCTCCTCCTGTTCCAGTAGTAGAAGTATTCGAAAGAAGTCGTGGTATAATGGACGAATTCGGAGTTTGCTGAAGGAGGTGCTGTTTTGCTGCCGATTGTTGTAAGGAGCTGGGATGCTTGCCGCCACCTCCGGACGTGTTCATGCAGCCTCCCATACCCAACATCGCACTTCTGGGGATATGACTTATTGAGTTAGTAGTTGTAGTAGAGTTATCAACCACCATCCCAGTAGTATTGACATGGGGAGTCAACATAGAAGTACTGCCAAAAGTAGATGGGCCTTGTTGTTGTTGGGACCACTGAGCAGAAGCCGCAAGGGTGTAATTCTCCTGGCCAAAAACTCTGCTGGTATTACTTGTGGCAGGAGTGTGGAACGTCAGCTGATTTGATGACTTCTGGTGACTTAGTTGTGTTGCTCCTGCATTTCCTAACATTGCACCAGTCGTAGGAACGCCTCCGCTTGTTGAAGAAAAAGTGCTTGATGAAGAAGCGAGACGACCAAAGACAGGAGAAGCACTTGAAGCGCCTGGCGCTGAAGAAAAGTCACCGATATCGACGAAATTATCACCTCCGACGTCTATGTCGCAATTGCTGAACCCACCTGGCGAGAAGGAACCCGGGTTATTACTCCTGCGCACTCCTCGTAGTTCTACCCCTTGAGCAGCTTCCCCTTCTGCTTCCGCACTTTCTCGTTCTCCACCTCCTAGGTGAATGATGTTGATGCTCTTGTTGACCGCGACATCGGTTGTAGTGCTCAACACTTGTGCTGGATGTGGAACTTGATTTCCCTCAAAGTCGATGCAAGTGCCGACGCAACTACTGCTTGCCTCGTTGGCTGGTCCCACTGGAGTGCCGAAGGGTAGGACAGAATCGCCGGGAAGAGCTGAGTTCACTTTTCGTCCTGCTCCGGTAAGGAGATCTTCATCTCCACCGTCTTGCTCAACAAGAGCACCCTTCATTCCAGCGAGGAGGACTTCTTGCTCACCTTGTTCTCGTCTTTGTTCTATATTTAGACTGATGTTCTTCATCTTTTTCTGTTGAGGTTGATGTTGACCTTCTACTACAGGATCCGCGTTGTCCGATGAAGGAAAATGCAAGTCATAGCAGATCTTCAGTTCTTGATGCCGAGTTAGTAACTGCGCTGCTGCAGCGTCAGCGCTTTTGGCTTGCACCACTTCGATCCCCAGCTTGTCTGCCATTTCTAGCAAGCGCACAGCTACTCCTGCTTTCGACGTGGTCCCTGCTGACGAAACTGCGGATACTTGATGTGGTTCTACTTCTAACTTTTCATCTTGGTCGGGCTGTCGTGTCGTCCCTAAGGGCACGTTGGCGACGCTCCCTCCTGTTGCTGAAAAAGACGTCCCACTTTGTTGCTCCTCCAACACAGGCAGACTGGAGGTATTTCTTGAAGTAGAAGATGCAGGAAAAGAAGCTGCACTAGTTGTAGCAGTTGCAGACTGGTGCTCTTCGACTGTGCTGACGCACCGTGTTGTAGAAGAGGGCGTGCTTCGCTGTGCAGTTCTTGGGATATCAAAGGGCTGGCGCGGCGCTTGTTTAGCTTGAGGTTTCGTAGAGCAGCCATCTCCAAGTTCATCTTGATCGGGCGGAGCCATTCTCGTCAAGACGCCACCCATTTCCTCGAAAATCCGGGTCATTTCATGACTGGTCAGCGTGAAGACATCCACGCCACGCTTGTCTAGGAATTCCGCTCTTTCTAAGCTAGCGTATAAGGCTTTGAGTTTCCTCCTCCGATGCTGTCGCTTCGTGTTGCCTTTGCTTGTTCGTGTTGCCGCGCTACTCGTCGAGCAGGCAGCAGTAGAAGTATCCCTCATCGCCAACATCCTGCTCGAAGGCATACTAGCTGAAAAATCTTCATACTGCTTCTGACCACGGTTTTGTGCAGCACCTGAACGACCTCCGAGGACATCTTCATCAAAGTCATTATTGACATTAGTCACATCGAAGCGCGTCGGAGCTCCTACTCCTACTGCCCCTACTCCTGCACCCTGAACCTGACCTCTTGCAGGTTGCGGAATCCTGACGAAAAGACTATTCGTAGCATTTTGTGGCCCAAACGCGACACATAACGCCGCACGCAGAGCTGTAGCATCCTCTGTTGTCAATGATGTTGTGCCCGTAGAACCTCTAGCAGAAGCAGCAGTAGATGAGCTACCACCTCTTTCAGGCAAACGACTCGAAGCTGAGAGAGGTGCACAAAAGGTATAATTGTTCATGTTTTTTTAAAGCTCAGCATTCATTGGTCATTGACTCCGAAAGGAAGGGACCCCCTTCAAAACTCTCCCCTTTCCCTGTTCTCTCAAGGGGCCGCCTAGTAACTCTGTAACCAACCTCAGTGACCATTGAAAGTTGAGCCGTAATTTTTTGAACAAGATTGCTGTCCGTTTACACTATCCGCACATTGTTCCCAATTTTGTCCTCGTCCGCAGTGAAGAGGGCTTCTTTTGATGTAGTGTTGCCCATTCCTTTGTGACATCATGAAGCCTTCTTTGAAAAGGTTGCAATTTGCTCGTGGTCCTCCGCTATGAGGTAGTGGTCCTGCTCCTCCTGCAGTAGAAGAGGAGGTCTTTCGTGAAGATGCCATCAGTCCCCTATCTCTATCTTCTACGAACTTATTTCTTTCTTTGTTGAAATCTTGTGAAGATGATCTTCTACCACCTTTATAGTTGGCTCCTACACCAGCGATATCGAGCAGGGTACTAGACGTAGCGGCAGCTGCTTCAGCGTCATCGATTCTAGGAGAGCCAGAGATGTCCTTGGACGAGGAAAATTCTTTACTGATAACTGGTACTTGTGAAGCTGAGGGTCCTCCGTTTATAGTTGGTACTGGTACTTGTGAAGCTGAGGGTCCTCCGTTTATAGTTGGTACTGGTACTTGTGAAGCTGAGGGTCCTCCGTTTATAGTTGGTACTGGTACTTGTGAAGCTGAGGGTCCTCCGTTTATAGTTGGTACTGGTACTTGTGAAGCTGAGGGTCCTCCGTTTATAGTTGGTACTGGTACTTGTGAAGCTGAGGGTCCTCCGTTTATAGTTGGTACTGGTACTTGTGAAGCTGAAGAGGGTCCTCCGTTTATTTCAGCGATGCCCCCTCTTGTTGGCGGAGAATATAATCTAGGTTGTTCTCTTCTGACATTGTATAATGCCGCTGGAGCTTGACCTCCTCGGGCGCCTCCTCCTGCCCATGAAAATCCTCCTCGGGCCTCCTCCTCCTCCTGCCCTTGACCTCCTCCTCCTTTTCGAGGTAATTGCTGCTGTGTTCGACTTGTGCTAGAAGAGCAGGTCCTCTCAAATTGGTCATCCTTGTTGTACCTAGAAGCACCTCTCACAGGACGATTGTAATCGTAATGCATCTCGTCGTCTTCGACATCTTCCCATTGAGGACGCGCTGGTCCTCCACCAGTAGCTACATAGGCAGACCACTCTGCAGCTGCATATTCTCCAGATGCGCGTGGGTGCTTGTATTTCTCTCCTTTGCCTCCTTTTCGAGGTAATTGCTGCTGTGTTCGACTTGTGCTAGAAGAGCAGGTCCTCTCAAATTGGTCGTCCTTGTTGTACCTAGAAGCGCCTCTCACAGGACGATTGTAACCGCAATGCATCTCGTCCTCTTCACCATCTTCCCATTGAGGACGCGCTGGTCCTCCACCAGTAGCTGCATAGGCAGACCACTCTGCAGCTGCATATTCTCCAGATGCGCGTGGGTACAACAAGTTGTATTTCATCTCCCCTTTTCCTTTTGCGCTGTTGTAAAAATTCATCATCTTGTAGTTTTTATTAGCCGCGTTGTAAGTTGATGTAGGAAAAATAGTGCTTCTATGTTGATGATTAGTTGAAGATGAAGATGGGCCATACTGTCTGTCGCTACAACGTTCTTGCTGGAACAGTTGGCTGGAACAGTTGGCTCTTGTCGTGCAGCTGTCGTCCTCGAAGAAGACATGATGACTGGCGAAGAATCCAGTGACGTCTTCGTGGCCGAATGGAGTCACTCCTCCATTTGGCGCCGGCCCAAGTGCAGCACCAGCGCCGGGTGCTAAGCCGTAGAACTGTTGCAATCTCGACACTGCGCTTGCTGTCCTCGTGAGACTACAACTACTGGAAGAGGAAGAGTCGAAACAACCGCGAACATTGGGGTTGCCTGCTAGTACACCTTCAAAGGCACAGCTAGGAGGACCTGGGTAGAAGTTGTAGTCACGCTGATCGTGCGCAAGATACCCAAAATTCTGCGCAGGACCAGTCCTCATCTTCTAGTTTCCTTGTCTTCACGGTCTAAATTTTTTGGAATTTTCAGGAGGTGCTGCTGAACTTGTTGCACGACGTGTTGTTTGTTCTTGCACTTGACGCAAAAGACTCTCCAGACGGTCGTCCACTTAAAAGCAAGAGAGACGATGAGGCCAGGCCTGTGATGAAATTGTAAAGACTCTATTATAAGAGGGTGCTGTTGATTGAATGATGAGGCTGAAGACGATGGTATGATAAGGAACTACTGCAGTCAGAATGTGATTTTTTTCTTTTCTACTGATGTGAATACAAATAACACCCACAATGAATGAAATGGAAAAAATTTAACTGCAGTACCTCTGCGAGCTTCTCCACCGTTGTGCGAAAAGTTCTCGAGTCCAATCAACTGCGGCCGGCGAACGCAACCAGAGGCGTGGCTAGCTTGTTCTTTATACTAGTTGTACCCAAAAGCCGAAACCACACAAGTGGTCCTGCGGGTCGACACCGTACTCGAGAAACTAATAATGTCGATTCTGTTACACTAACTTATTATGAAAAGCGAAGTACGATGAGCTGCATTATAATTATTGTCCGTAAACTGTAGTGCTACTGCTATGCTTCTTAAAGCGCCACAATGTACACACAATATCGATTCTGTTACTGTTACATTAATTTATTATGAGAAGCGAAGCACTATCCCAGGGCTGCATTATTGTTCATAAACTGTAGTGCTATGCTTCTTGTAACGTCGCAATCTCTTTACACTTGTAAAGCTTTGCCTTGGTTTTGGTTTTTTGACTCAAGATTTTGACTTCGCAGACCCTCGTCACGCATGGATGGCCCCAGCCCTCTAAGTCCTCAGGGAAGATCACCACCCAAGGCCCTGCGCCTGCCCATGTGTGTCATCCCAGCCGCTGAGGATAAGCGCGCAGGCGCCCCTGCCTCTCTTTGGTGTCCGCGCCTCCTTTGGCGAAGTCGAGCAACATAATAGGGACACCAAGGGCCCGCCGCTCCCTGATGACACCCCGCCGAAGCCGAACGCAGCAGGCAAGCTCAAGCAGCAGCCTGGCCTGCGCATTCCTTCCCCCTTATGGCACTTATTCCCTTTCGCAGCTCTCACTCCCCTCACCGCTATCCAGAAGCGTTCGCCCCTCCCACCACTACTACCCAGAAAAGAAAGCAAAACGACAGCGAAACTTTCAAAGTTTGAAACCCCGCCCCCCGTGAGGATATAAGGGCAGGCGGTCCTGCGTCCCTGCTGTCTGCGTGTCCTTAGGCAGAAACAGAAAACAAAGCCGAGCCCCGTCGCCGTTCTTCTGAGAGAGGGCTCGCGAGCTCCGTGCAAAATGCTAAAAGTTTCAGAAAGTGCCAGATATCCGAGGGAGTGCACATCTAGCAGGTGGCTCGTGCTCCCATTGAATTCCGACCCTGAGGAACCACGCCAGGGGGCTAGTCAAAACTCAAGCTGAGCATTGATTTTCTAGCTACCGAGAAGCAGAAATAGTTGTCCGACCCCCATACGAGCCATACCACAGCGGCCCGGGGAATACCAACAGGAGATGAACAAACGCGGAACGAGCAAAAAAACGGTCTCGGTCATGATTTTAACTTTTCTAGCAGTGACTTGACTTCAATCATTTAAGTTGTAGTTCATGTTGGTTCATCGTGTTGTAGACACCACACAAGAATCAACCAATTACATGTACACACGCTCTCCACACAGAGGTACTCATCAAGTGTCAAACTTGTTTTTTGTCCTTGTTCCCTAATAGGTTTAGGTGGTGGCTCATTTTGATGATTATATCAAGTGGATGTGGAAGGTCTTAAGGTCTTTCTATATACTTGATTAATTGCAATTAGATTCAATAGCCTCCGAAAAATTGAGTTATTAAATTGTAATTCCTCAAACAAGATGTTGAAGTAGCGTGGAGTAGCTGCCTTGGTATTTAGTCCTCCTTTAAGGAGTAATGCACAGGAGTAATGCACGTAGGACTAGAAGTACTTAATCCCTTATAAGATGAAGATGATCATTCATTCATTTTCATTTTCGCACATCTGCTTCAAGATAAAACAAGACCGACGCGAAACTTCGATGAAAATCGACGAAGAAATGTACTAGAACGAACAGCGGCGAGGAAGCTCCTTTGTTGGTTTGTTTCTTTGTTTGCTTTTCATATAGCGTTAGCGGCCCTTCGTTTGCCTCAAGGCTGGTGACACGTAAACTACTAATAAATAACTACGATCTTCAACAGCTCTAGAGAGGACAGCTGGGAAATTCTATGAATTTCGTTTCTTACAACTCTACAAAACGAAAACTACCAAAAAAGCAAAAGCAATACGACAGCGACAAGATATTCAAGAAATGAAACCCAACTATAGGAAGCCGCTTAGCTCTTATATGGTCGTGGTGGTCCACGATAAAATGTACTCATAACGAAGGACTACAAACTACAACTATTCATTCTCAACATAAACTCTCAACATTTTCATTCATTCAGTCACGCTACCCCCCGAGTTTTTTTTTTTTTTGGGACCTGGGTCTATATTCCTCGCAATAAGAACACTTAATTACCCTGCGAGAATCCTGAAGCACAACGGCCAGGCACCTAAAAATGCTAGACGATGTAGCACAACGGCCATCGCCGCAGAAAAGCTAGAGCCGAAACCCCACGGGCAACTTAGTCAACGGCTCATAAGTAGAACAATGATGGAGCATACCGAATGGATTTTTTTTTTTTGGGACCTGGGTCTACAATTTCCCGATTGACTCTCAACATGAACTCTGGATACCAGGAGGACAAGAACAAGGCGGAAAACGTTATACATAGCATCAAATCTGCCTTCACAGATAGAGCCACAAGAGCAAGGCTCTTGAGGATATGCTTTGCATATTTCTGATTCGTAATAAGTTGCCTCCAATAACAAGCACACGATCATTCACGACAAAAAGCACGAGCTCAAGCATGGGGGATTGATGAACAATAACAAAACATAGCACATCAAAAGCAAAACCTTCGTCAGTAAAACGACGACAACTACATGGACACACCAGGAAATCTTTAGGACTAAGAAGCAAAGAGAACGGCCCATATATGTCCCAGGGCGCGGGGCGACGGCGCCCCCCCTTTTGAAGGCGTCTGCCGGGGGTGGAAGACCTCAAAGGGAGGCCCCGTGACCTCCCCCCCGCTCCCTTCCAGCTGCCCGGCTGTTCTCTAGGGGTCTTCGATGGTGGTGGGAGGCTTCAAAAAGGGCCCAAGGGACCGCCTGCGCCCCCGCCCAGGTGCCTGCCTGTGCCCTAAGTGCATCCGTGAGGCTTCGCCGCCGCAGCAGTGCACCGGAAGCGGAATGCCCCCGAAGGCGGCAAAAGGCGAGGGGCTGGACCCCCCGAGCCGTGCCGCCTGTACCCTCCGGGCCCTTCGTCGTCGGCTTGCTTGCTCTTGCAACCGTGGCCGCCTCCGGCGGCCGTTCACCCCGGAGGCCTCCCGCCTGCGAGGGTCAGCAGAGGCCAGGAGGTCCCTCAGGAACACGCTGAGAGTCCCAAGGGGAGGCCCGCGCCAAGTTTTGACGCCTCCCACCACTAGAATCCGCGAAAAATCCGCGCGGAAAAGCGCGCGCGCCACCACAGACTATACCACAGGGGGGGAGGTGGGGGGACCGTCCGGCCCTGCGTCACATATAATACTTTTACTCGTAGTTGCTTGTTCACAACAAACGATAAACTTCTAGTACAACTACAACATCATAATTCACCTAAAAATTTACACATCAACTGCCAACTAGTACTTCTACTACTTTCTCGACAAAAACTCTACTTCTAGGTTAAACTTTGAGGTAGGAAGATCTAGTACTAGAATAATGTCGTGCGGAGAGACTCACTAGTAGAGCTAGACCGACGGACACGGAGATCTACTAAGATAGAAAATTCAAATTCTTTTTACACAAGTGCTCTACTTCATGCATCAGTTACTAGAATCGGTAGATATAATTCTAGAGATCTAGATTCTTTGGCTTGTTTTTTAGACTATTTTCGACCATCTTAGACTATTTTAGCGGACTCATACTCATTGAGTGTGTGTAGTTTAGTTAGTGGGATATTTCTGCTCCCATACTTCATCTAAGTTGAAGACCAAACACTTACACTTTTGGCCAACGTGTTCCTGTCTAAAATCATGGATGTGTGAGGGCTGAAAAAGTCCTCCTCAGGGAGATAGAAGATAGAATGCTTGTAAAAAAATATGATGAGTACAACAAAAGTTGCTCTGCTCTAACAGAAAAACTGAATCCCTCAACATCTTCTCAGAATCCAGAGAGTATGAGTAGCCAGATGAGTAGTAGTAGTAGTAGTAGTAGTGTGCCCAGTCTGGGGGTAAGTTCAGCAAGAGGGGAGGGGGGTTACGCTCAACGTCCTGGGGATGAGGACAAAGAAAAATTTTTTCTCATCTTCCATCCACGGTATATTCACCTGACATGAACTGACTCTCTTGAGGACAATGATCGAAAATCGCTCTCCGAAATGGTGGAACACGCCTTGGGAAAGAGAAGGTCTGTTTCTGCTGACCACATTTCTTCAGCGACAACAGTCGTCGTGACTGCGAATAGAGTTGGACGAGACGACTCAGAAGTGCTTGTTCTTGCAGCGATAATATTAAGATTCAGTCAGTGCGCGGAAAATTCAGACAACGCGATCCCCATCAGTATCTTCGCAAAGAACAACATGAACAATAACAGTTCAACAAGAAAAGTATTCATTTTTACCCAAGAGCTGAGGCCTTTCTTACGACCCAAGAGCATCATTTTTTCGCGGGATTTCCGAAGGATGAACAAGCTGCGACGTAAGATGACCTCCCATGCTTTGTTTATCAAATGTACATCTGCTGTCCTCATTTTTGTAGAAGAGCGAGCACATTTTCTTCAGGTGGAAGGAAGCCCACGAGGGTCATCGCAGAACAACCCGTCTCGACTTCTTCTAGATCTCATCATCATCTTGCGATCAATGGAAAATGGAAAAGAACGTCATTCCGCGTTACTGGAGTGCGCGATCACTGACTCTGCAAGTTTTGAGCCATTTCGGTTGATGCTTTTACCTGATGGCGAAGAAGATTATGGACGACCGTCGACGTTAACAGACACGAAATCAAGATAAACCTTTTTGCATCTCATAAACATAATTTTCAATCCAAAATAAAATACTACTAGTACGAATAGTACCTATGAAATTGGAAAAAATGAATCAAAGCGAAGAGTTGGTTCTTGTAACAGACACGAAATCAAGATAAACCTTTTTGCATGTTCTTGTATCAATCCTCCAAGAAAAAAGTAGTACCACTATGCTATGAGCTTCTATCATCCGATCCATGCACTTCGCGAGACATATTTGGTCGCTCTTCTGCAACGAGTCCGGATACCCGTTACTTGTGAAGCACTTGTCGGAATTAGAGAAGGGGAAAACTCTAGGAGGAAAGACGGGGGACTCAATGACTCTAGGAATTAGAGAATGAAGGGGGAAAGATGACTCCGGGAACTCTCCAGGAACTCTAGGAAAGATGACTCCAGGAATTAGAGAAAGTAGGAGGACGGGGAACTTGTCGGAAGGGGAACGTGTCTGAGGGAACGAGTCTTTCCTACTGAAGGGGATTAATGTTTTAATTTTTTTTTCTAGAGTTTTCCTCGTCTCATTTGAGAAGGGGGACTCTATGCGGCGGGGAAAACTCTAGGAAAGACGATGACGACATCGACCTCGGTCTTTTCCTGTGTCATTCTATCAACAAGGGACAACATACAATAGATACTAATACTTCTGCGATCATATTCATCCTTGGAGGGGGTGTTAGCTGCACATCGAACAAGTAGGTAGACTCAGAGACCATGATGAGGAGGCTGCAGTACTTACTTCTACAAGTTGGAAACTATCTATAAAACCATAACGAAGCAAGTCTTCTGTATCTGCTGTTGAAGCATCTGCACTACAGCCAGGTTCAGCTGATTCTGCATCTGCGCGACTTGGGATTGCTGATCCATTTTTTTTGCTAGAAGAACTAGGTAAAAAGCACAGACAATGGAGTATTTGGGGGATACAAGAACTGGTGTCAGTGAAAGTTGTACGTTGCAATAGTTGATTCACGGAACGCGAAAGAACTTCTACACAGAAACTAAATATTGAGGGTCAAGAATGTGAAAACAAAGATAGAATAAATTTGACTAGCTCTTCTAGAAGGTCTAGCTCAACAACAACAAAAACTGTCATCGGCAGCACGACTGTACACGACTGTAGATGTAGAGCAATACTAGGATCAAATCCAGTAGAGGAGGATCATCTTCTGACCGTCAACAAGAGGTCTTCTACCATCAACATTTTTTTTTTTTGTAGTCCGAGAACGCCGAAAGGGTGATCCCACCAGTCTGCCAGAGCCAGAGGACCCGCATGATCCAGGTCAAATGATTCAATGCAAGAACAGCAACGACAAGAACCCTTCTACAGGACTTCCTTCATCTTCTGGTTGTTGCCCCAGTTTGTTCCTTCCCACTTCTGCAGGACTTCCTTCATCTTCATCTGGTTGTTGCGGATTCTCATCTTCTGGTAGGATAGGATAGGAGGTGGTTCGCCGTCCACAGTCTGGTTGTTGCGGATATGGAACACTCACGACCATCCAGCAGCATCTGGAGATCGTCCCACTTCCGGGGGAACCTTGCACGGCTTGATGTAAATGTATAAATATTATGAATGACAAATCTTCATATGACAACCACAGCAGGCCCCGCTAATACCTCGTCTTCCCCTAGAACGAACGAAGATCAATCAGCGAGACCCCAAAGGAATGCTAATGCACCGTCTTGAAAATAGCTCTTTTCTTTCATCAAACAACCCTATCCCGGATAGTTTTTTTGTGGTTACAGAAACACAGAGATCATGAACTTGAACCCTCAGTTATATAATATCAATCGTCAACATGGATATATTCATAAATATTAGATAATGAATTGCAACATGCCAAAAATAGAGCCACCACGCGAATGTTATTTTTAGATGTACCGAAAACCTATCGACACTTTAGATCGAAAACATGATTAACAAATGTATTTACTTTCGACAAGAAGATTCAATTTTCAGAATTGCAATAGTATCAAAACACAAGCAGATCAAGAATCAAATAAGTCTCCAATTGCTTGTAGGTCGATACTGTAGTTGTAGCTTCACACATGATCATATTCATGTCAAAAACATCCCCTCTACTACTACTTCGAGAAAGCCACAAGACAGACAGACAACAAATAGACAGGAACAAGATCCAGGGGCTGTTGAGCAAATGAAGTGCTACTTCGAAAAACATTATCTTAAATCTGTGTTTTAGTTTTAGCCAGAGTCGGTAGCAGTTGAAAAAAGTAAGAACAAGACATCATCAACATCTCAGTTTCTCTACATCGACAATTTGAGACCATCTTATGACTTATTCAGTTTTTGTGCAGACGAATGACGAGCAGTAGCTTGTTCTGTTCTTCACCCAGCAGACAAGTGCAAGAACAAAGGTTACACCATGACAGACTGACCTTCTTCCTCCCACATATCGTCGTCGCTTTGAGGGCATAGCTGTGGGGTTGGTGGGTAGCCAGCTACGGCAGTAGTGATCGACACCTTCAACTACAACCTGATCTTCTCTTCTCAAGAAAGGTGCTGCATCCTATAAAACTTCCACTACTTCCATATCAACGTCGTGACCTTCTCCACCTGCACCAGCTCTTCCACTAGTACGACGTGACTGTGGTACTAAAGCATCTTCTCCTTCTCCTTGATGTTGAGCTCCTTGTGCACCACCGTTATTACTAGACGGTGAGGGAACAACACGACTAAGACGGAACAACGTGTCTCTGGATGGTAGATCGGAAAGTTGTTGAATCTCTTCTACAGCATGATTATGTTGATGAGTCATATGTTGAGCAACATGTTGACCATCATGAATATGAGTTGTACCATCTACTACTTCTGCTTGTCGATCACAGAGTACGTGTCCTAATTCCTGTTGGTCTGAAGCTGAAGCATCTGCATCTTCACTATTTGGTGGTTGATTCAACAGCATGGGAACAAGTGGCTCATTTTTACACGACGCTTCTTTCGTGAGTGGGTACGGAGATGAAGCTGCCCCTCTTGATATTATCTTACCCCTACCCACCATGCCCCTCTTGATGTAATCCGTTACGACCTTCTTGCTCCCATGCTCCTTGACATCAACCTCTTCTTCTCCTTGTGCTCTTGCACCATTTGAGGAGGCCGTCGTCGTCGAATTATAAGAGGTAATAATAGTATTAGTAGTGTTGAAAGAAGAAGAAGACGAACTTGAAGATGTTATTCGACCGCATGCCGAAGCGAGTTTCACGAGGCAAGAATTCCAACAAGAACCACTACTGCTGCTACTGCTACCAGCAGCACAGCACCCGAAAAATCCAAGACTTTTGATGCAGGCGAAAGGACCTTTTTCGCTTGTACCGTTATTTTTAGAAATGATGCTGGGACTGGGAGTGAAACTTATCGTAATAATGCTGGGAGAGGGAGTGAAACTCATCATTGTCCATCATCTCTCTATTATCCATCATCTCTTTACCTCCTTCTAGATCTTCCTACTGTCTGAGTCTGAGAGAGCCCCATAAATCCTAACTTTTTTCCTCGATGATGCGGCCACCGCGTCACCAGCAAGAACAGCATCACTACTCGATGAAGATGAACATGATGACACGCCGCTTCCGCCCTCTGCTGCTCCTTCTTGTGCTGTAGAAACAATGCTCTGCCGCCCTGATGTTGATGATGACTTGTCCTCACTCATCTTTCTTCCTGTTGAAGATGCTCCTTGTTTGATGGTACAAGTAGTACGTCTACCTGTAGTATTGATATTGTAGTGATCAATCTCGATCTCGTCGCCCAATGCCAATTCCATGATGCTGTCTCCTTTGTCGGTCGAAGCTGTCTTGACTCCTGATGTAGTAGTAGTTGTATCACCTCCTATTCTACTTCCATATTTTTCTTCATGAACATGAACATGCTCATCATTTTTCAACAAAGTCTTTCCCGCGTCTGCTACTGGTTCTGGTGTTCCTTCTAATCCAGAACCACAAGGTAAGAAACGAAATCGGTTCCCCAATCCAACCACGTCTTTGATTATCCCGATTGTGGTACAAACATCTTAGACCTTCTTCTATTCCAGCCTGGTCCACACAAATTAAAGCTACCTGATCTTCTGAGAATCTCCATCTGCAGCACTAGTACCAATAAAGGTTTTAAAGGTAGTTGTAATTCATCTTCTTGCTCCATCTAGACTGCACTGCTGCAGCCAGGAGATGGTTATAAATTTTTAATTTCTTTCGCTTGCACTTCGATAATTTTCTCCATCTTGTCCATCTAGATCTAGTATGATCCAGCAGTCTTAAAAGCCTTTGCCCTGCGGTGCTGCAGCCCGACGTTCTTCTCTTAGAGGTATGAATGAGAATGTGAACAACCAGTGTAGTTGTACTTGAAGCTCGATAGAAATGATCTGCTTGATCGGTGCCGGTCGTGCACTTCCAGTTGAAGCATAAGAACCTAGTTGGTCTTAGTAGACCTCGTTAGAGATGAATTATTCAATAATTATTTCAAATTCTATTTCATGATTTAGACAAAAAGAAATAAATAATTATAAAAGCTATACCTGTAAGTACCTACTTCTACTAAAAAAAACATCCTCACCATAAATCTCCCACAGTAGTCCTGCTTCTTTCATCAGGAACATGATCATCTTGTTCATCCATCCCGGTGTCTGAACGTCGAGTACTGTCTACATCCATCTCCCCTTCATCAGCTCCTTCAGTAGTACTTCTACACCAGAGAGAACCAGACGAAGAGCCTGGTGGATGCTTGTCGTGGGAGTTAGAGACAGAGATGAATAAGCAGATCGATGTTAAAAATGGCGTTCTCTTCTCTGGGGAAGATGAAATTGTGTACGGTCGTTCCGGTATTTGGTAACCTGAATGCGATTGCGAGCACAAGGATTCTCTTCTTGTTCTTTTTTTTTGTGATCGATTTCAGGTTACCAAATACCGGGGCCATTCATGACGATGATGATGATGATGATGATGATGAGTGTACCTATACTAGAGGTGTGACCACGTGAACTACGTCTACTACGTGAACTACGTCGCCGAGTGAGATTCTTTATAAGAAAACGGCCTAGTCAAGTTGCTTCTTCATCTCTTTCTTTTCCATTTCACATCATATCGCTTACAGTTACATGTCTATTGGCCTCTGGCAAATAGTTTGAGAACCTGGCCAGTCTCAGATATTATTATACATAGAATCTTAAATCCTGCATCAGGAGGAGCTTGCATCCTTCTTGCTATTCCTATTGCTTGAAGGTTTCTTACTCTTACGAGCCTTCTTTTTCTTCTCACGACGACCAACATCTGAGTCAACATCTTTTTCTTCTTCAACAACATCGACAGCCTTCCTTTTTCTTCTACAGCACTTAAGCCTAAGCTTATGCCTTTTAGGCGATTTTTGTTTTTCATCAAATGATCTTCTATCTGTTTTTTCTTCTTGTTCATTATCTTTCCCTTTCTTAGCACCAGGTCCTTTAGCTTTCTTTGACGTGCAGCTTCGCTTTCCCGATGACGCTTCGGCGCCCGAAGAAGTCGTAGGATTGGTTGAATCCGACTCATTCATGGTCGAGTCATGATCGATAGTTAGAACAGCTACACCTGGAAACAAACAACTAATTCTCTTGCTTCTTCTTCAAAAAAAAAATCTTATCGTTATTCTTTGTTTTTTACTATTTCTATTCATTTCCAGTCGCAGGATCGGTGGAAAGTTCAAGTTACAACTTTGCTAGGACTGTAAATGCGCCGGAACAAAGCATCCCGTTGTTCACCTTAGCCATAACATAGAGCCACCGTGCGAGGATTGCATCGACGCTTCGCGTTCCCGCTTGTATTTTTCTTCTTCGGCCATCTGCTGATAATGTCGCAATTCGCGCATCTGTTGAGCGACCATTGCTTGGTTCATCATGCCACCTTCTCCGAAATCAGAAGATTCATTAGAAAAGTGGTAGTGCCAAAACGTTGCCTATAGCTTAGACTAAAAGATACTGTGAAACAAGTCGATGAAGAGGGCATGGGGTGTTGTTCATGTTTACCATTCCTCTTACATATTTAATAGAAGGAAGCTGCTCCAACATAGCTCGGATGAAGCAACCACCACGACTACACGAAACACAGGTGGATCCTGAACCACATGATGATGCTTATGTTTTACTGTCAATAGCAGTCTTAACTTCATCTGCGAACAACAACGCCGCCAGCAGTTCCTGTTCCTCCTGCTCTGCACGTGCCAAAGGCGTCGTCCTGGCTTCCTCGTACTTCCCAGTTGCCTCCTGCACTTTCGAAGACCAATCTTTCTCCAGAGCAATAAGAAACTGGTCTTCGGTCATTTGTTCGTCGTTCTCGAAGGTAGCGGTTACGGGATCGACCTGGTCCGAGAATGTGGACGCAGTTGTAAGTAGTGATTATGATGACTCTGAAAAATATTTCTTCTAGTCGTTCTTGAGCAAGCAGTCATCAATGACGTCCTCTATGTGGTCTTCAGGTTACCTGAAACTGAATGACAACTTCTTATATATTTCAGGAGGTGGTCATCTTCATCGGAACTACACAGTCAAGAATAGTACCGAGTAAACTTTCTTGAATTTTTCCCGAAGACTGAAGAGCGCCACTCGCCACATAGAGCGTCTCATGTGCTTTTGGAAGACTTCACGGTATTGCCGTTTCCATTGTGGGCCGTGCCAATGTAGCTCTGCGGCATCTCCAAATTGTAAACTCGTGCCGTCAGGTTCAGATTATGAAGAAGGTAATGGCCGAACGGGAAAACGGACTATAATAAGTACTTCTTTCTATGGTCCAACGGAAAAACGGAGTATAAGTACTTCTTTCTTCAAAAACGCAATAAAGATCATAATCATATTCATCCTGAAAACTGTGAAAATTATCCTCTTCAGCCTGAAATTCTTGATGGTCAACAACAACAATCTCATTGGCCTTAGAATTCAAGAAACTTACTCTCCCTAAGATGAGATACAACAACAAAAAATTCTTCATAAAAAAGCATCAGTGAGCAATCGGAGAAAGCGGATGTTGGTCAGCTTGTTGAAGAGATCGGATTCCGTGTCTTCAAGGCCCAAGTAGTAGTTCGCATGACGTCCGCTGACTGAGACTGCCATAGCTTCAGGGGTATAACGGCAAGATGCCTCATCTGAAGCAGGGTCGTTTCCTGTTCCGCTCGTCATGTGCATATCTTCATTAGAGGTAGGCTCCTTTTGGTGTTCGTTTATCTTCCCGTTTGTTATGCCTGTCTCCACCCTTAGGAACAAAGAGGCATATATTTGTGGTGGAGCCGACCTAACTAGAAAAAAGACAGACCAGACAGAGGAAGAACACCTTTGACATACCCTTAACTTCAGCGTCGTTATCCCACATGCGCTCTCCTTTATGCTTTTTCTGTTCCTGAGAGGTCCCATGATGATTTTTCCTATGTTCGCTCTGCTGCTTTACCTCCCAATCGTGCAGAGGTTGTAGACGAAAGGTGTACCAGAACAGGAGCATCGCGTATGCTACCAAACTGCGTTGCAGCGTGCTCTTCAATGCCTTCAACGCGTGTCTCTGTGGCACTGAGAGTAGCTCTACGCCACGATTAAGCAACTCCAAGAGGGTAGTTTCCTCGTCATCACAGATGTGATGCGGAGCTAAATGCTGCTCTCCTTCATCTGACACTTGTGGTCGTTGCGGTTGTCTTATCTTATTCCAGCATGTCTTAGTCTTGATGTCTCCACTTGGCGGTGCAGTACTGCCTACTCCTTTTCTTGGAACCGACAAAGGCTGGCGACACGTGAAGCAGGTGGCGCGTTGGGGTTTCGAAAATAGGATACCGTCAGCATCCATCAGGTGGACGTTGGGAGATTAGAAGTGGCTGAGGACTCTCTATGCAGTTTTGATTAGACATACAGGAAAGCTTGCTGTTTTGATTAAGTAGACATACAGGAAAGAGGTGAAGACTAGCCGTAGTAGAAGAAAAACATGATGAAGACTTGTAGGGGCAGTCTATCCATATGCTGGAGCAGACCTAGCTAGGAAAAAAAGGAAAACTTGGATGAAAAAGCAAAGGTTACCGATCTAAAAAAACTAACTAAGCGCCGGCGCTTTCGTAGTCCTGTCAGCCCCATATGCTGAGCTGTGTTGTTTTTCATTCTTGTAGAATGACAAACTCGAGAATGGAATCCTCCTATTAAACCCTTCTATCTACTTAATCATTACTCACCAATCCTAAGTCTCTTTCTCTTCTTCATCGTCGTCATTCTGCGAACTCTCCAGACCTGCTGCTCTTCTCTCATTTTGGCTGTCGTCCAGTTGGCTGTCGTCCAGTTCATCTGGCTCACCTCCTTGGTCCGAGCTAGACCGACCACGTCCGAAACGAGAAGAGCCACGACTTCCACAAAGATTAGAACTGCCGCGTCGCATCCTCCTCTTTGAGTGCCATAAAAATGTCCTTGGAGAATACTACTACTTCTTTTCCCCTTTCTTGGAAAAGTAGAGGGACCAAGGTGGATCATGGTGTAGTCTATTATAAGGAGATGCTTTTGCTTCAGCGGGAGCCATAAGAGCATCTTGTGTCGGAGTCGCATCAAGCAGGCACTGATCTCCGACTAGAGAAGGAAGAAACGGAATAGCGAAACAGGCACTGCAATAAGTCAAACCACATTTTTCTGTGAGACAGCGAGCTCCCAGAGGTTTCTCTTCACCACAAATGGCGCAAGCAGCAAAGGCGGGTGGTAGTTTTGTGTCTTCTGCAAGAGCTAAGTGACGTCCTGCTCCTCTCCCGGGTAAAGGAGGAAACTCATCATCGACGCCGACGAATCCACCTTGATGATGTTTCAAAATGCCCTTGTTAATAGGTGCCCCTGCACCAGTGCGACCTCCTCCACTACTACTTCCACTACCACTACCAGTTCTAGATGAACCTGCACTAGTACCACTACTATTAGCGTAGTCTTTACCATTTGCAGCACTAGTATAGTCTTGTTGACGGCGTTGTTCAGCTGCAGCTTTTTTCGATGTTGCACCAACTGTACTGGAACGAGGCATAGAAGTCGTGCCATGACCTGATACGCCACCATGACCCCTACTTCCACTTTCAGATCCCGAAGAGGAACCAGGTGGCGAAAGAAACCTCTTGCCATTGCCTTGAGGCTGAGCTGGAGGATGCTGCGGTCCATTCTGCTGCTGTCCATTCTGGTGGCCATGAGCACGACGATCAACTGGCAAAACAGGTTGAGCAGCCCACACAGGTTGCGCCACAAACAGCGAGGACAGCACAACACGCTGGACGACGACTAGTACTGGAGACAACATCTTCATCTTGTTGTTCAGTACTACTTTCTTGATGATGTTTATATCTATCACTTGACGAGAAATATGAAGGCTATATTCTTAAAAACTAAAACTTTCACGACCTAAAAACGACCTCAAGAAAGGTCTAAGTAGTTGCAGAAAATGAGAATGTAATATGTTGAATATCAAGAAACGAGAAGAGCTTGTATCTGAGACTTTGGCGACACGAAAAAAAATTAATGCCCACTATGGTTTTATAAGAAACGTAGCAAATAACTGAGAAATCTCGTCTGAAGATTCTATGATCTAAGTATTTGTACAACCATAACCTGCTTGTTTTTGTTTTTTTTACACGACTAGAAACTGAACAAATGCGATTTCAATTTCTACTTTTTTGTAATATTAGTGTGCGTAGGTTGTATCACAAAGAAGAGCTAAGGTCATAATTTCTTATGCTTCCTAGTTCTTCCACCATCTGATGTTACGCGAAAACACTTGATTTACTCTGTTCAGCCTCTACGGTCTAAGTCTACACGTTCTTAGACTGCAAGATGAAGAGAAAATGTGGAGCAGAAACAGTAGGAGAAGTCGTCCTTGCCACTCAAGCACACACAGTGTTATTTCTTCGTGTTCTTATAATCTTCACAAGGAATAGGACAGAGTGACCACGACCATAATTCTTGCAAATCAATGCTTTCTTCACCAATATCTTTTACTTTTTGAAGACACATCACAACAACATCACAGGGATGCACTTTTCAACGGAGTTTCATGGCATCATGAGAGGCGTGTACAACTACAAACCAGCTGAAAATAGATCATTCTGGACCACGGAATATTGAACACACCCACAAGTGTTAAGTTTGTTAGCACGAGGACAGGCAGTCACCGTGACTGAGTCACGCTGGGCGAAGTCCTCATGGTCATCTGACACCATTTGGGAAGTGACGAGACTGACGTCAGTTCATCATGGAGAATTCTCATCAGTCTTCTTCAAGTTCAAAGCATCGACATCACGATTTCACTTTCTCCCCTTCCCCTCTAAGGCGTTTATTCTGAATTCTCAGACTCGTAAGCTCTTCACTGAGAGAGGCCATATTCTCGTAAGCGGTCAACAGCTCATCCTCTAAAGACTGGCTCCTTTCCTGCCACTCAACTGCACGTGCTTCCGCGTCACCGAGCTGGATGAAAGAATTTTCAGTTTCCTTTCATGTAAACGGGAACGAGAGAAAACTCACAAAGACAATGACAAGGAACCCTTTGGATTTGGATTTGGAGACTTCAGAAAAAGTTTCTTTTTTTTTGTATCCTGGGGCTACTGAAAGAGCGGCCTCTTGTTTTGTATCCAGTTCGCAATCATCTATCATTCTATTCTCTATCATTCTATTCTAGTCTAGGCTTAGTGCTCCTCTATCATTCTATTCTCTACGAACCCGCCGATTTTAAAATGATCAAGAAACTAGGAGGTTGAGGGCTGTAAAACGGGAACGAGAGAAAACTCACGAAGACAAGGAACCATGCCATTCACAATACCTCCCTCCTCCCCTCTGCCAATTTCGTCAACAACTCAACATTCCGCCTTCTCTCTCTGTCGTAGTTCGTAGAAGCCGTTTTTAGCTGATCGTGGAGGTTCTGTCTGACGGAAAGTGTCTGTTCACAGTCGCGTTGGAGTTGCTGTAGCTGTTTCGATATCGCCTCAGCTTTTAAGACGGAGAGTAATTGCTGCGCCATGGTCGTGGCGAAGGTTGTCCTTTTCGCTGTGAGTGTTTTCCCTTTCAATCGGACGACGGGTACTACCAGGTGAAACAGTAGACTTATTTAATCTTGATGCTTACTAGGAACTACTACTACAACTCGTACTATCTTAATTCTTTTTCTCTAGCGGGGCAGGGCTTAGCTACAGGGGACTGCGACAGAGAGCACATACCAGAGGACTGAGTCCGATTTACAGAATTATCTGATTGAAGGGTTGCAGTTTTGTTTATCTCTGCGTGGAATCACGATCGGAATCGCAAGAAAACAAGAAAAAAAGAACCGAGTTCGACCTGGTGCGCCACAGATGCAACGCCTCTTCGGAACTACGGCAAGAAGAACGACAAGATCGCGCTTTCCGCCTTGAAGCAGCGGAAGGCAAAGTGTTGTATTGAAAATTGTATTAGCTCAAACTCAGTTTCTTTTGTTGAAAACGGGGATGTTATTTTCTTTACGCTTGTTCGTGGTTCATCTTCATTCAATCAGGAGTACATAGTTCATCTACTACTTCTTCCTGTGCGTGTTTCTACGTGCTTTCGCTTCTTGTTCATCTAGTTCTCTAGTTTTCTTCTCCGCCTCTCTAGCTCTCTCTGCTTCCCTCGCTTTTTTCCTCCATTTCTCTGCCCGTTTAGACTTTCCATCCTGTCCATACAACGTGCCCAGCATCGTCATCGCTTCCGCGAGACCCTGTTTTGCTGCTTTCTTAGCATACGCATAGGCGTCTTTCCTTCTCTCGGTGGCGAAGTAAAGCAATGCGGCATTGTAAGCGGCTTTTGCTTGTTTTTCTGGGTTGAGACGATAAGCGTCGAGGAAGAAGTGGAGGATCTCGTCAGGCGTTAGCATGTTTTCCTGCATGTGGTTCAGGTGATCTTGCTCTACTGCTGATGTAGCGCCAGCTGGTTCATTTCGGTTGTTTCGAAGATTGGGAGGTCCATCTGCTGAAGAGGAAGACGAGGACGGTGCTGAAGAAGAACCCTTCTTTGCTTTCTCGTCCTTCTTGCTATGTTCTTGTGAAGCCTTGTCCAATACCTCCAGATGCTGTCTGCCCAAAGCGTAGCAAGCTTTTGCTCCCGCGTCTATGGCGTCACGGCGCACTTTCTCCCACCCAGGATGGCGTGGGGAGAGCACAAAAGCTCCAGTCGAAGAAGAAGGATCGAGGTCCATTTTCTCCAGCACTTCCTGCTGTTGCTTCGTCAGGGTCCCAAAATCTACGTTGTTGTTCTCAATCTCAGCCTCTATTTGGGCTTGCTTCGTCAATTGGCGAATGAAGTCCTTGTATTCCTCGTCGGTTTTGCCTTCGAGGAAATCTGCGACGAGTAGGCGGTCGGGTGAAGAGCGTTTACCAGGAGAAGCATCACCACTGGATTTAGGCGATGTTCCACCTGTCGAAGAATCGTCAACTACTTCCACATCTCCATCATCATCCCAGTCACTAAAGTCGTCTTCTGGTTCCTCTTCTGCTAGTTGTACACTCTCAGCAGAACCCTGTAGAAGTACATCGCGCAGTGGCGCATCATCCTCTTCGATCAAAACGGGTGATCGTATCACATGTTGGACACCTGCATCAGCAGCTGGTAAATCCTCATAATTTCCTTCGCCTAATATCAAGGCTGTTTTAACTGAAGATGTCGCTGTTTTACGTTTTGCAGTGGTCGACGTGGTTCTAGAGGACGTAGATGTAGAATTCGAAGCCGCTTCCAGATACTCTTTCCCCTTCTCACATGCTTGCGCATACCAGTGTTTGCTTTCGCGCCACTCATCCTTTTCCACGTGTTCTCGAATCATGTCTAGGTCCACGACCACGTCTTTTGATCGTTTCTTCCTGCTTCCCCTCTTCTTCTCCTCGGCTTCTTCGGCTGCTTCCTCGTCCAACAGTCTGCCCAGATTGTACATCGCTGAGACGTGTCGACCTCGAGGTACTACCGCTTCAGAATAGAGATAGGCTGCTTTCGTGAAATTTCTGGGAACGACGCGGCCTTGTTGAAACAGCACACCCAATTCGTACAGTGCGATTTCGTTCTTACGCATTGCCGCTTTTTTGTAGTAAGCCAATGCTTTGTCCCAGTTACCTTGTTGCGCATAGCCGGCTGCGGTATCGAGCATCGAGGGGACGTGCTTTCGATTGGCCGCAGCCTCGTACCACTTTAGAGCGTCCTGGAGGTTATCTTGTGATCGTGCGACTGCAACTAAAGCGGCTGGCTGCATAGCAAGCTGTAGCTCGGATCGAGATATTTTTCTCTTTTTGGAGGGGGCGGAGGCTTTGCTAAACGGTGATTCTTGAGCAGGCTGTTTCTTCGCCGAGTCGGCACATATCTGCGGGACAAAGCGAAAGAGCAGCAGAAGAAGGCATGATTGTAGCCGTCTGGCCTGCTGACGGAACGTGAAAGTCATCTCTTTGTTCATCTCCATGTTCTACTGATGCGGAAAAACACTACCATTCAGACTTCACCTGAAAGAGCGATGAAGATAAAAGACCAAATATCATCTCATCGGTCTAGCAGTGGGCGCATCATGCTCGCAACTACTTATGATACATATTCGCTCTCAATCAACAATTCACTCTTATCGCTCGCTAGATGCCACTCTCGTCTCTGGTTTTTCATTAGTTCAAAAAACCATCTCTCGCACCCACTCTCTCACTCACTCTTCAGCACTCAGTGCTAGTACGGTGAAGATTCACTACATTATGGCGAACAAAAAAGCGCGCTACCTTGCTTTCATCTAAAAGCCAACTATAGTTCAATCGATGGCGAACCAGCTTGTTGCATGATCCTTTTTAACATCTCGTTAAAATGCCATGACACACTACAAAATGACTAGGATGCACTTCTTGTGTGGGTGACTACATACGCAAAAACCAGTACTTGTTAACAGTGGGAATGTTGGTAGTGGCACGACAACTACTTCTACGCCGAAAATGACATTACGAAAAGAAAAGTTCCACATACATGTTTTAACCATCTTCACTAGCTGAATCATTACAACCTCGCTCTATACTCCCTTATTGCTTTCAACAATGCCATGCGTTCCCATGCCAAAACCTGACATCCTGCTCTATCCAAGAAAAACAGTGCGGTTTCATCCAAATCCTCCAAAAATTCGAAATTTCTGGACAAAATCCTGACATACTTCGTCGCCAACCTCTGGTCAATGCCCTCAAGAAACTCTTGGATCGGGTTACTACGAATGGTATTGTTCGCCCCTTTTCCAGCAAGGTAGTTGGTGCCGACGCGAAGGCGATTGCTTGGGCCTTTGGCTTCTTGAGCTTTGCGAAGGGATTAGAAATGCTGAGAAAAGACAAGAAGCATAGAGAGGGGTTGTCTTAATAGAGAGGGGTGAAATATCTTCTTTTGAGTTTTTTGTACTAGTGAGAGTGAGTTATTTCAGCAGTACCAGGACTATCATTTGCTGAGGATTAGTTGTCGTTCTAGAGAGATGGAAAAAGCTGGCGGTCGTGAGAAGAAGAAAGGAAAAGTGGAAAGCTAAACTTATTGATACTTGCTTCGCGATATGGATGGCCATTTTGATTGTCCTTTCATAAGCTTTCTCTTCATTCTCCTCTCGCAGTGCCAACTTCTGATTCAGTCGTATCCTCTGCGCTTCTCTTGGGATTCCGTTCTCCTTAATTCGTTGCAGCGCAAAAACAAGTCTCAACCGCACGTCCATTTGACTGTTTGTTTTACTTAGTAGATGAGCTACCGCGTCAGTACTTCTGAGTGCACCCTTGGTATCTTTTGTAGTCCAAGTAGAAAAAGACGAGCCAAGGATATGAATCCAAAATCTCTTATCATTATCGTACTTTTCTACTTAAGAAACTTGATAATGATAACAGATTTTCGTTTCATAAAGGATGATATATAAGTACTGAGAAGCGGTTGCCTTAATTTACTGGCGTTGTTATTACTTCCACCTGCTCTTATTTTGCATAAGGACAGAGTGGGTGGAGGCTGTATGTCCTGCAAAGCGGGAGGTATCTCGTCTTCTAGTTCGAGTCCTAAGCTCCTCCAACCATCGCCGTCAGGCGCGTCAAAATCGTCATTGACGAAATAGTCTAGGCGATTGTCATACTGCTCTACAGCTTTGGCGAGTAAGTTGCCTTCGTTGGAAAGGCCGATACCTGCTTGAGGCGGGGATTGTTCGTTTCAGTTACTTAGAGAAAAACTACATCCATGCATGCAAACACCGGAAAAGCAAAACACTTCAGGTCGATGCTCAAAAAAGAGTAGAACAAGAGCTACCGCGTACTGCAGCAAGTTGAAGGCACGATCTGTGTTTCTGGGCATTGTTAACTACCTATTCGGATTTCAAGTAAGAACCTTTCATCCATTCCACCAGTGTCATCGGTTGTTGTTTTGGATCATTCGCTAAGCGGTTGCCTGCATCTTGAATCAATTCTCGTTGCAAAGCCTGGCTCAAATGCATGCGACCGACAGGTCTGCGTACCATCTCATGGTACAGCCGAGAGCTGTGCCACGAAGTACTAGCAGTTCTTGCTGTGGTCATTCTTCTTCTTGTTGTGGTTGTGAATGTGTTGTACAATGTGTATCTACAACTTTCTTGTTCCTTGGAACCGTGGGATTCACCATTAATGATTTGAGACCGAAGAAGACCAAAATCATGTAGGAGTACTAGTAGTAGTAGTAAACCCAATCCAGAGGTATGTCAAAAATTTTGTGTACGAACATTGAAAATGGTTGCCCAGGAGCAGGAATTGATGAGTCATGATGTCAATCACAATCTACTCTACTTGGTCCTCTTTGTATTGGAAAAAAATTCCTTTGAATGATAGTAGTTAATGTCAGAAGTAGACTGAAACTGACACTGAATGACGATGTTGACCAGGGCTCTACTACGCAAACCGCTCCATCGGAGATAGGGTCGCAGGGGAACCGATTAGAAAAAGATCGTGCAGTCTTAAGGTTAATAAGTCTTTCCGGAGCTGCAATATGAATACACCGAGGCACACCGTGTAGAGAAATTTTTCACGGATGCTATTAGGACAAAAGAGTCGCCTCGCAGATCTTCATGATCATGTTGACTTTGATTGAAGCTCATCTCCGCTCGTGAGACATGACAGCTTATCGATGGGGATAAACCGCGAGACCACTAGGAGTACGACATAACAGATCATCGACATCGATTGGACCGATTTTTCCACCGAGCTACATGCTAAAAATTCGGCCTCTCCATCGCGGGATCCGTTCTTACCCCGACATCAAGAGAAAGAACTGGAGTCCCCAGGCATGAGGCAAATACGTTCTCTTGCTATTCTTTTTTTTTTTTTTGTGGTGGAGCGGACCTAACTAGAAAAAAGGCACTCTTGCTATTCTCATTATTTCATTCAATTTCGATTTTTTCCACAACTACTATAGCATGACCATGAGCATGAGCGGACGATGATGATGATGACGATGATGATGATGATTTTTTTACCTATACTGGAGGTGGTTGTTGTTTTATAGACTTCATCCCTTGCACTCCTTGATGTGTCCTCTATATATTTCGAATCTTTTTGCTTCGGTCGAGTTTCGAAATCCTTTGCAATTTGGTTTATGTTGAATAGATATTCATCGACCACCTGTCATATTTGATGAATTACAAATAATATTTTTTGCTTTTCTTGATAGAAGATAACTCCATATTTTTTTCTTAGACACAAATACTCAACAGACTGACATCAAAGTCAAAAATATACGACCAAGACGACCTCCAATCGATAGTTTTTGATAAGGCAACAAATGCTAAGTAATACAAGTCGTTGTCGTATGCCTCTCCCTTATTTAGGATAGAATTAAAAGCCTTTGAAATGAATGAATGAATGAATGAATTTGCCTAGCAAGAAAACAATACAAAGTAATACCCACTCTAGTAACTCACTCACAGTCACACTCAAGCAACGATCAATAAAAAAACCAGAATGTTCCTAACATTTATCTATATGATTAAGTATTATTATCATTGGTGTTCGCAAATACATCTGACTTAGGGAGAAAAATCATCTGAATGAATGTCCCTATCATGAGGTGGTTTGTGCCCAGCTTTTATCAAACTTCGATATCTCAGATCATATCCAAAAAATCCCATTGGCGCACTTGAAGTCCTCATGCGCCAGTCCTTGGATACATTTCATGCGCCAGTCCTTGGTGATATTGATGAGGCGGACCGTGGAAGAACAAAGGGCGCTAACTCCTTGGGTATATTTAGCCCACGCTCAGCCACGATCTCCTGAATCTACTTTTGCATAAGCCTCTTGCCGTTGCCCTTGGGAGTTACGCCTTACGAGCCTGCGCTCGCACCTCGTCGAAATCCGGCCTTGCCGGGGATAACGGTGCCTCCACTGATACGACCGGGGGGCCTGGTCGTGCACTCGGCAGGACCTTGAATACAGGATCCAATATCGATCGCTGTCGCTCGCCTTCGCTGATCATGCTTTCGGAAAATGCGGGCTCGTCCTCTCCGCTGTCATCCTCGTCCCCAAGGGTCTTCATGTCGGTGCTCGTCTTCTTCGCCGTCTCCTTTTTGATGTTGGTGTTCTCGCTCTCCACCTCATCCACAATCGCGGACGCCGGGCGGCCCTCTTTCTCAGCCATGATCTCCTGAATCTTTTGCAGAATCCTCTTGCCCTGAGGAGTTTTGCCACCGATTCGGACGTAGCCGGTGATTCCGAGTGCCTTGCGGGCCTCGGCGAGGGCGGCGAGCCAGGAAAGCATGTGGTTGCCGCGCCCGGACTCCTTGGCAGCAGCCGGCATCCTGAGAGAGACGATCTTCCCAGCGGGAATCGCTTGCGTCATCGGCTTGTAGACAGGAGGGGGCTTCGGCCCGCGCTCGCTCTCCATGGTGTTCATCTTCGCAGCGCTCATTTTGTTCGCCATCATCCTGCTAACCTTGGCGGTCTTCATCTTCATCACGGACATTTTCTTCATGTTGTTCTCCTTCCTGTTGCTCTTCCTCGCAGCGGTCTTCATCTTTATCACGGACATTTTCTTCATGTTGTTCTTCTTCATGTTGCTCTTCCTCGCAGGAGCGGTCTTCATCTTTATCACGGACATTTTCTTCATGTTGCTCTTCCTCGCAGCGGTCTTCATCTTTATCCCGGACATTTTCTTCATGTTGTTCTTCTTCATGTTGCTCATCTTCGCGGCCTTCATCTGCATCGCGGACGCCGAGCGGCCCTCTTTCTCAGCCATGATCTCCTGGAGCTTTTGCAGAATCCTCTTGCCCTGGGGAGTTGGGCCACCGACTGGGGCGAAGCCGGTGATTCCGAGTGCCTTGCGGGCTTCGACGACGGCGAAGAGGCTGTACTTGTCGCGCCCGGACTCCTTGGCAGCAGCCGAGAACTTGGCAGAGACGATCTTCCCAGCGGGAATTGCTTGTGTCATCGGCTTGTAGACAGGAGAGGGCTTCGGCCCGCTCTTCATGGTGTTCATCTTTGCAGCGCTCATTTTGTTGACCGCGCTCTTCACCTTCATAGCAGACATTTTCTTCGTCGCCATTTTCATCTCCATTTTCTTCGTGGTCTTCATCTTCACAGCGGTCACTTTCTTCGTCGCCATCCTCGTGCTCCTCATTTTCGTGTAGTCGGGAGGCGAAGGTTCGGGGCGTTTGTTATGCTCAGGATAGAGTACAAATAACTGTAGGAGCTAGAAGACAATTGAAATTATACCCACAACGAGAACGAGAACATCAAGATCAAGTTCAAATAGAAATATGAGGTAACATCAACAGCGTGTGTCAGTGTCGACTCTAAAGCAATTAAATCCGAGAGCAGAAAATGCTAAATATGTACTATATGCATTATACTCCAACGCATTGAAAATGAATCAAGATCAACATGAATATTAAACACAACGGAGGTAACACGTGGTCTTATTTTTGTATCCGTATCGATGAACAAAAATGTTCCAGTACCAGTTCCACTAGTATTTTAGCAAATATTTAACAAGTACTACTTAGACACAGTGGGAAGGTCCAGGTGCGAGGCCCTACAAATTTTCCTGTAGCTGTATCACCATGAGCATGAGACCCAGAAAAAAATGGGACTTCGAAGTTCAGCTCGGTCGTCGCACTGTTCAGCTTCAGTCGCTTCACTCAATCATTCTCGTCATGCACTTCTCAGTGAATACGTCGAACAGTCAATGGCAAACAATCATCAAATCAACAAATCAAACTTCGCACAGGAGATGCGTCATTCCAGACAAGAACGCGATGGGCGTGCCTGCTACTGCTTCTTCTATGCATGATAGAAACTCTCTCACACTACACCAGGTCGGTCTCGGCAACAGAAAAGGCGTCTTCCTCGAGCAACAGAAGATCAAGCTCAAGTTCAAGCTCAGGGACCTCGTTCAGATCAGAGTGCCGGGTGTTTTTTTTTTTTTTTTCCATAGGACTACATGCCACCTCCCATTCAACTACTTAAACAATCCATTTACAAAAACTTACATACCGGGGGAGCAAGAAAACCGTATCACAACGGCCAAAACCTACGACTATCGGAGAGAACTATACTGCAATAGCCTCTGTAGAACAACTAAGGCACAACCTAACAATGTAGGGCCCTGAAAGCAAGTGTTACAACCTGCAAGGGTATGACATGCCTGCCCATCGAAAAATGACTTACTGGAGAAGAGCCTAAATAACCAGGAAATTAAACAATTAACAAGGTTATCAACAGCGTAGATCACGTGAGCAGGCCTCTCTAAGACTAAAATTTCTTCCAGTAAGTACTTAATTAAAGCAGTTGCTGCGACCGCTTGATATTTTGTTTTTTTTAAGTCAGTTGAAAACTGTTCGTTATATTCATCTAAGTTACTGAATCTCGTGGAGCTTAGGCGTGTAGTGAATCGGCCTGATGAATGTTTTGCTGTTGGCATTAAGTGCCGACTTAATGAATGCTTCGTATCTCGCAGTTGAGTGAGTTTTCCATAGGCCTTATAATCAAAAAAAAAAAAAAAATAAGCGGGCTTCGCTACCTTGTGTCGCTGAAAGAGAGGTATCCAGAGGGGCGGAAGGGATAGGGTGGGAAACTTCCGGGGCCCGAAGTTCCCGGCGCAGATGAATTCTCTCCACGGGAATCAGGACTCTTTAGTCTCAACAGAGGAAGCCTATATATTTATAAGAAACAGAGAGTCTTTCGCTTTGGTCACAAGATGATAGCACAAGCAACACTTACACACATTCCGTATAACGAATCAACTATTAATCACTCCACTCACCTCAACATTAGATCATTGTATATTTTCGAAGCAAGTAGCTCACTCTCATTCACGCAAATGACAGAGAAATCGCACTGGAGATTACCTTTGGGTTCCTATTGGCTCCCGGCATATCTCAGTATCAATGATGGATGACGAATCCAGGTAGGTAGATCATCACCATACATTGATACTTTCACTCAACATATTTTTTTTTTTTTCCATAGGACCACGTGCACCGACATCACGAGTGTTTTTTTTTCCATAGGTTTTTTTTTTCTTTTTTCATAGGACTACATGCTGCATCCCATTCAACTACTGAAAAAAAACCCCACTTAAAAACTTGCATACCGGGAGAGCAAGAAAACCGTATCACAACGGCCAAAAACTACAACTATCGGAGAGGACAATATTGCAATAGCCTCTGAAGAACAACTAAGGCACAGCCTAACAATGTAGGGCCCTGGAAGCAAGTGTAACAACCTGCAAGGGTGCACGTGCACATGCTGCTGAATATACAACCTAGTAGAAGAAGACATAAAAAGGTTGATGCTCATGCTGAACAACTATTAATTATATTCAGAACAGCAGCAGCAACCTAATACTCGGAACAGCAGCTACTGCTACTGCTGCTAAGAAAATAAAGAGTTGCAAGAATCGATCTGGCGAGCACTTGCAAATCGTCGTTGGGTGCGTGTTTTTTTATCCAAGGAGGTCATCTCGACAGCATCTCGACATCATCTTCGAGTAACGTTTTCTATACAGTTGCTTGTTCGTATTTCTTGCTCTTTTCATTCAGCTTAGAGCTTCCTCACCCACAATAGATCTATGGAGTGGAATGCTGCCCAGATCAGTATTCCGAAACTGTCGAGGGAACTCAATAGATCTAACAGAAGAGTTGCAAACATTCATTCAAACATACTTTTACATCACAATACAGAGGAATGATATGCCTTGCTCGAGCCTCTAGAGTTCTTCTATTGAAGAGCAGGATACCTATGATGTACACTCCAAAATCATGTTGAATTCAATCATAAATATGTTGAGCGTGAGTTCTCATTTTGTTACTATCATGATGACTGACGTCGGTTTTACTTTCGACTCATTTCTTCTTCAGAGACGTTTTGAAAATGAATCCGTCCTCTAGTACATTTTTTTAGGACGCCTGCACACTTCTAGCTACCTTAGTTACCAGTAGATTTCTACATAATGAAACGAACAGTTTTCTGTTGTTTTCTACAGATTACTAATCTGAATTTCATGCAAGTTGTAGTGCTAACTGAATTAATAAAAATTTCTATGCTGCATAGCAATCACTTACAAGTAGAGTAATGAATTTCAACTTGATGTATAATACGTAGGTAAATCGAACTGCGGCGTATCCTTTTCGTATGCGCTTTTTTACACATAAATGCGAGTATGCACATCTTTTTCATTGATTTTGGATCTTAGTTTTACATCTCGAATTCATTCTAGAAGTTTAAAGTTAGTTGCAATACCGATATTTTTCCCAACGATCAAATATCTGATCATTCAAATCTATTTTCTAACTAACACTAAGTACATATACAAAAATCTCTTCCAAACTGTAGATCAACAACATTTAAGCATACTCCTTAAGTTTTGAGGGTAACGAGGGACATTGACATTGTCGTGATTGCGTCAGTCCTTCAATATCAACACCATCTTGTAGTATCGACGTTCTCGCTCCTCTCGCCACGCTTCAAAAGCACACTAGCTCGCAGTCCTCGCTTGTGGCGTTACCGTTAATATTTCTGGTTCCCTATTTTTACTCTTCATTCCACCTACTTAGTCTTAGTTTGATTCAACATCTAGATATAGTAAGTGTAAGACTAAGAGTATTCAAGTTCTTTGATGCGAATCGATGTTATAGTTATTCACATGCAGTACGTAGATGTAAGTAGATCAAGAATCTTATTGTTCTTCTGATATGATGAATGTTTTTTACGTAAGTACTGAATAGATACAACATTTGAATCATTTGAAAATTATGACCATGACAATATTTCCATGCTGTGATTCTTGTTCATTCCTTCATCATTCATCTTACTACTAAACTGAGATGTTCTCTATTCCTGTTCAAACTGACCCATGGAATCATGCAAAGCCAGCTTCAGGTGGTACTCGAACTCTTCTCTGGTCGGGTAATCCGGAAGGAACAAGGTATTCGCGCATGCGCGAGACCTGATATATTGTTTGGAAAGTGGGTTGCGGTATCAGCTGAGTTAGAGTTTTCGTGAAGTCGTACGCTCACATTCACATAAATGTGCTTAAATACTCAGATGATGCGTCCCTGTTCCTATCGCGATTTTTAATAGAGTTATGAAACTACAAGGAGATGAGGAAGTTCTTGTTCGAGTTCGAAATAGAAGCCATTATTCGTGTAGTGTTCTGGTATTCGGTAGTCTGATTTTGATCATGAGGGACAACAAGAGGAGGATCAACATTGTGACCGAATTCAGGTTACCAGAAACCAGAACAAGCATTCCCATTCAATTTGTACTTATACCTTTCAGGTTACCAGAAACCAGAAGGAGCATTCAATTTCTTTGTACCTCGGCAATATCCTTCCCGGTTGCTCCGGCAGAATTTTCAATCCCAGAGCCTTCAACCCACCAACTGGCAGTCTTGGACATGACGTACAGAATTCGATGAACGTTGATCGTTCCTTCTGGTTCATTTCCAGAAGAGATCGGATCAGCCACTTCTTCATTCTAAAGTCCTCTTCTTCGTCCGGATCGGCACCGTTGATCTTCGGTGACATAGGGGCTTGAGGCAGGGAAAATCCCCCAGGACCAGTGATGCCACCAGCAGTTGGGGAAAACACTTCCATCACCTCACCGTCACTATCGACCTCGCTACCACTGCGACTGTTGCCGTTGTATTCGGAATCGTTGTTGAGCAGGTTGGAGAGCATTTGTTCTCCACGGTTGTTACGTTTACGTGGATCACCGCCTGGTCTGGGACTAGGAGTAGCTAGGAGGTTTGGATCTGCGCCATCGACTGGCAGGGCAGTGTCGATGTCCTGCAACCCGCCTGATCTTGACAGTCTGCCAGATGGCTGTCCACCATCTTTGGATGATGTTTTTTCACCCTCGTTGAGCGCCTCTAGGTTAGCCACTGTGAGACTACCAACTTGCTGTTGCTGTCCCGCACCAGCTGCACTAGTGCTGCTACTACTTGGGCCGCCAACAGCTCCTTGGTCAACATCTCCACCAGAGCCAGACACTTGCTGAGCGTCGATTGGATATCCGCCAGTGCGCTTCTCCAGTTCAATCGCTTCAGACCATCCGGTAAAAGTGATGTACTTTCTCAACTCCTCTTCGGTCCACTCGATCGCGTCGTCACCACAGAACATGTTTTTCAACTCACGCGCAGTGAAGAAGCGCAGCCACGTGCTCGGTGGTGGGTCCATGTTACCGAGACCTTCCCAAAGACCAACTCGCACACACTCGTACAAAGACGCAGAAGGCTGCACGATCCAGACTTGATGAAGCCGTTCTGCGAATTCTGGCAAGTTCTGCAGAGAGAGATCCTTGTTTTCGCCGTCAGGAACAAGGGCAGGACCGTGCAGACCATAGGCCAAGAATGAGAGACCTGTGAAATCAACAGCGTCTTGGAAGGAGTACTTAGCGCCACCATCTTGGAGATACTTGACACTCCAATTTGGGTCACTCGGGTCCATGGCTGAGGATTTCGTCGACGATTTTGTCCTAGCTGCAGCGACGAGTGCAGTTGAGTCAGTAGCGTTGATTGAGGCTCCTGTGGTCCTGTTCGCCGTTGGACTAGTAGATGGCGGTTGCTGCGTTGGACTAGCAGTACTAGGCACCGTCGGAGCGACAGTTCTGCTCTGCTGCTGCAGGACTGGTCGAGCTGGTACAACTGCTGTCTGTGGCTGCAGTTCACTACCTCGAAGCTTGTTCTTGGTTGAGAAGGGAGACGACGTCTTACTAGTGGCCATCTGAGCTTTGGTTGGCGCTACTGTTGGAGCAAGGACTTGTTGGACTTGCTGCTCGGTGGCTGCCTGCTGCTGAACGCTCGTGCCATAGAAGGACTTCTTTGGCGGAGGTACCTTGGAGGTCGCAGCCAGAGTTGCCTGCTTTTCTTGAGGGCTCACTCCTGTTGCACCAGGAGCATTTGGTGCGGCGTTGTTACCTGCAGCAGCGCCAGTCTGAATCTGACCTCCCGGAGAAGCTGAGTTCGTCTGCGTGGTTGGAACAGCTCCTGCAGATTCGTTTCCACTCTGACCACCTGCAGGTGAAGTTGTTGATAACTGGAGCTGTTGAGCAGCATCCTCGACATCGTCTTCCAACTCGGCCATGGCCGCAGCCTTGACGCAGTCCTGCGCGTAGGCATACAATGCGCCAATAACGCGTCCAGCCCAGCCGTCGTTCTTTGGACCAGGTAAGAAGTTCAAGCAAGTCGGCGCTCGCCAATCCGCAGGTCCCTCACCTCGCAACAGAGCGAAGAACGGCTCCGACAATGGGATCGGCAGTCTGTAGCCTTCTCGCAAAGACCGACCAATCAAGCGACCTAAGAAGCGCAAGAGACTCTGTTTCTCCTTTCTTTCGCCTGCGCTCAAGCCGTGGAGCATGTCTGGTCTCAGGATCAGACCGCGCCGTCCTCCCATGATAAACTCTTCGTCGGCTTTTCCAGCTACTTTGCTGTGGTTACTCCTCACACCGTCGTCAGCAACGAAGAGGCTGTGCTTGACGTTCGTCAACGCGAGGGCGACTTCACTGTAGAAGGACTGGGTGACGGCAGGTCCAAAACCGGATTCGTTCTTGAAGATAACCTCGAGACTAGCATTCGGATCGAGCTTCTCTGTGAACAAAGCGCGTGCCATCGGCATCAACTGCTCGTGCTCACGTTCCACACGAACGAGTTCCTGATGAACGAGGGTATATTAATTGGGTAAGAAGAAGAACTTGGAAATTAGAGAATGAAGAACATTCTTTTGTTGTCTTAATGACTTTCTTCTTTAAGATTCAAGAACTAGTTGTGCCTAAAAGAATGAGCATGAGTCGCTAGAAAGTCTTCTTAGAATGAGCATGAGTCGCTAGATGAAGATTACCTTCCTCATCTTCCCGATGTAGATCTCCCTATCTCTGATCGATTCCTCCTCGATTTGCGCAATTTCGTCATGCGACCTTTGGATGCCTTCGATGTCGTTGGCCCACTCGGCTTCCTGAAGTTTCCTCTCGGCTTCTTGAAGTCTAATGCCAAATCGGTTCTCAAATCGGTCCTGCTGCAGCCAGAAAACTCGGAAGGAGAGTGGGAAGCAACTGGAGATCAGCAAGTTCTTCTTCAACTCAACGGAGAAGAGAGATGGACAGACTTGCGGCAGCAAGAAGACCCAAGAAGGAAGGCCTGCGCGAGTGACGCACAGCAATGGCACAGAAAGTTGTTCTTTGAGCTTCGAATCGAGCGCGTTCGTTGTAATCGCAAGATCCGCATTGTGCATGGCCTGCCTCTGAGCACGCTTTGTCGGCGACAGTGGACCCGTCGTGTTCGTGCGAACAAGAGCTACTGACGAGGAAGACGAAGATGAGGCACTAGAACCTCCGATCACAGGGACAAGCTCACCTCCATTCGGATCGTTTGCATTTGAACCAGACACACTGTTCGGCACAGATGAGAAGCAGATTTTCCGCAGCAGTTCGATCGTGTGGCAGCACGATGAAGAAGTGAGTCCGACACCCTGGCAAGCAGACTGGACATACGTCGTTGGTGGACTGCCTGGTCGTGCATTGTTCTCGCTAGAAGATGTTCCAAGTCCTACACCTAGTTGTAGTGCTCCAGGAGCACTTTGGGAAGCATCTGAGAACCCACTCGATTGTTCGTCGAAGCTCGGCCAGGACTTCTGCGCTTGTAATTCTCGTTCGCGTTGCAACAAGTTCAGATACTCTGTGTATTTCGAGTCCGAATGCAACACCGAATCTGGCATATGCACTTCTCTCTGATCGGCACATGCGCTATCTCGCAGGTACTCGAGTTCTGCGGTCAACTTCAGGGGTTTCTGCAAGCTGTTTCCGGCACTTGGCTGATGGCTGTAGATCAACTTATTTCTCTGCCCAGCTGTCTTACCTCGTAATCCATAGGGCGAATCTGATCGCCACAGAGCCTGGCACAAAGAGTGACCTGGTGGCAGAACTTCGGAGGTACCGCCGACCTTGACGACTGCTCGGATAACAGGCACGCGTAGAGGTTTGTAGTGGGCGTAGTGAGCTAGGATCTCCTGACCGAATTGCTGGGCTCCGTTAGAGGTTGTTTCGCTGTCGCTGCTACCCGGTGTTTCGTGCTTCGTATTAGTTGTCACCTGCGGAGCTGCAGGTATACCCGTGAGCAGTCCTCCGATATTGCTAGCCGTTGCCACACCACTGGCCGGCGTAGTAAAGCCTGATGTTGCGACGTCCTCTAGCGTGACCACCTGAGCAGCGGGTGCTATTGAGTTGGTTTCGCCTTGTCTCTTCAGGAACGATCCTCGCGATGAGTTTGGTGACGCCACGCCAACGCGACCGTCATCGCTAGGTAGAAGAGGCTTAATCACTGCCGCAGCCAGGCAAGAAGCGGTTGATGTGGCCATCGGCGTTGCTCCTGTCGCTGGACCACTGGGTAACCCAGCTCCGGAGGACGTAAATTAGACCTTACTTTTATTCATCTTGAAGAGCATCTTTAACGCACTTCCTCCTTAGGAAAGCGGTCAAAGATGCCTCTTAAGATGAATTTCTCTGAGCCTTAAGTAAAAGACTGTTGTTGCCCTGACATCTGCTGCAAGACAGCTCTCGTCCAGGCTCCCTGGTCGACTGGAGCGAAGATCTTGGCTTCCAATTCGAGCAATCTAGGGTTGTCGGCACCAGCTAGTCGCTCCTGCAGAGCCATCTCCCGCCGCAACTCCATCGAGCTCAAGATGCCATGGACCGGAGAAATCTTGGTCTTGGAGGAAGAGCTGTCTAGCTGATGTCGTGTAAAGGGGCCGACGATTTCGCCAGTGTACACGTCGCAAATGGTGTAGTACGTCACGCCTGCGCCACTGCTACTAGCTGAAATCGAGGACCCAGGTTTGCGCACACGAACCGCCCGAACGCCGCCACTGCTAGCACCCGCTTGGTCTGAACCTCCTCCGCCCATGTTCGCGAAAGCAGTCGCTGCGCCAGCATTGAACAACAATTGATTGCTGCTCGTCGTCTCAGACACGCTATTGCTCTGCGAGCCTGTCGCTCCTCCGAGAGTGGTCGTGCTAGGGAGAACCCCAGCAGCCGCACCACTCTCGTCTTCTCCACTAGCCAAAGCGCGCAGAGGTGGAGCCACGATGGACGCCGTCGAGTTCCTCTGCGACAAACCACCGGTCGGCGGGAAGATGCTTGCTCCTCGACTCTCCGTGCTTCCGCTGACGCCACTAGTTGCTCCGCGAAGCAGGCCTGTGACGCCATCACCATCAGTCCCCGAGGACGAACTAGCACTGCAACTCCTTGACATGACACCTCCTGCGCCACCAGCTCCAGCAGTGCTCATTGGTGTCGTAGTTGTAATGTCCACGACGTAAGCCAAACCATTGGCATAGTGCACCAGAGACCGCAACTGAATACCATGTGTTGGCTTAGCTCCCCACTTCGTCGCACTCGTCGGATCTGCCTCAACCACACATGGAATCACTTCGTTCAACTGCGTTGCCAAATTGTCAGCCATACGCCGTGTCAGTCCACCCCAGATCGCACCACGACCATTAGCCGTCACTGCTTCTTCCAGTCTTGCCAACCCCTCGCGGAACATTTGCTCTGAAAAGATTGACTTGCCTAGACATCCTTTGCACCGTGCGAAAACGAAGTCACCTACGTCTTCCCAGATTAATGCGAAAGGCAGGCCAGTTGGAAACTCAGTGATGACCGTCCAAACACGATCTGAAGCTTCCCAGGAACCCGCTGGCATTGGCAGAGGCGTATTCAGAGAAGATGGCGTCACGCCACCAGCGGTGGAACCTGCTGCAGGAGTGGTTGCTGGAAGCAACGATGAAGTCGCAGTTGCACCAGACGTTGTTGCTGCTCCTGATCTAGCACTGGTTGGAACAGCAGCTGGCGTCGTGGCTGCATCAGTGGCAGTTGCGGCTCCGTTTGCCGCTCCAAAGACATTGCTTCCACCATTTCTTTCCTCTTGTTGAATTTCTTGAATCAACTTCTCAAACGCTGACTGCAAGAAGTCAATCAACGGCGCTTGCGTGTCATCGACCTTCTCCCAGTTAGCGTCGGAAACTTCGCCTACATCAGTCGCACAACCGCCAAATAGTTCAAACGCAGCATCGATCGCCGTTTCCGCCGTCAGAGAGATCAGAGGCAAACCGCCGCACTGCTGAAACACGTTTGACGTCGTGTTGCTGATCAAAGCTAGGATAGAGCTCGGGCGGTAACCGAGGGCAAAAAGGGCTTCCGCGGCCCAAGGAGCGAGCTTCTGTGTCTCGACTAATTGGCGCTGTGCTTCGAAAGCCTGGGTTCGAGCCGCAGCCGCATTCATCAGCCATGAGGACGAGGTCGCACCAAGAGCTGGACCTGGAAGAGCGACTTCTGGAACCGACAACTTCCAGGGTGTGATCGGCAGAATTCCACTAGAAGCTGCAGGTGCTGGACCTGGAGCAGCTGGTGCTGCACTCGCTGTTGCTGCAGCAAGGTCTGTGGTAACTCGCACACACTTCTTGTACTGGTCAATCTTTGCAGGTGGCAGAAGCGGTGACGTTGTACTTGTTTGATGACCCTGTTCACTAGATGACATTGTAGTTCTCTGCTTTCCACCTGGCTGGATCGCTGAGGACGACGCCGAACCGCTGAGACCTACACCGACACTTAGTTGAGGCTGACCTAGTGCTGGTGACGTTGCACTGTTCTGACTGCTGATCGCTTTTCTGAGTAGGTTGACTGGGTTCAGCAGCGAGCGTCGTTTAGGACTGAGCATGCCTGCAACTGCAGGTGACGTTGTGCTACCATGATCCAGACTAACTTTAGTCAAGTAGTCTCGAGATGCCGCCCCTTGTTGCGGTGGTTGTGCGGTACTACTTCCAGCAGCCGTGGTCGTGGTTGACAACATGGTTCTGTCAGAAATGAGGGAAACTCCCGAATCTGACACTGCGTCATGTTCGCCTCCTTCCGTGCCTGAAGAGGTCGATGGGATCACGCTTGACCCCACTCCACCAGTAGCCGTGCTTGCCGTTGCCGCAACAGACGGAGTCGGAGTCGCGCCCGCTTTTTGCAGAGTGTAACTTCGTTCTGCCACCCAGTTGCGCTTAGCGAGAGACAACAACACAGCCACCTGATCCAAAAGTTCCCGCTTGCCATGCTTCTGACTCGCCAATAGAAACCACAATTTCAGACACTTTTCCTCTCTTGTCAACGGATGGATGGCCACTGGATTCGGGTTGATCGCGATGTGATGACCCTGCAAGTTCAATGCTGAAGCGTAGGTGACCATCAAGTGATGACTCTGGGCGTAGTCGCGTGAAATTCGCGTTGCAACCTGCCAACCAAAGTTCTTCGACAGCAGGTATTGCCTATAATAAGGCGCTGCAGGAGCACCGACAACGCCACCTGCTGCTGCGGCACTCGATGTGCTCATAGAGGAACTCAAAGACACAACTGGCACAGATGCTGGACCATGTCTAGGAGCAGCTCCTTCACCTGAAGCTGCAATCTCCTGCTCTCTTCTAGCAATAGCTGCAACTAGTTCAGAAGCCTCCCCACCTGCACCAGCTGAATCTCCGCCAGAAGTAGCATTTGCACCAACACCAACCATGCTAGGAGGTTGAACAGCTGCGGCTGTGACAGTTGCTGTTGAGTGATCTTCGAGCAACGATGATGAATGTTGGGATACTCTGTTGCGCGGGACTTCAGCCAGGTCTCCTGGTGGTCCTTCAGTTGGTCCAGAAGATATGACTAAGCTATTGCTTCTTCCTCCATTCTCACTACCATCGTTGTAGCCTGCAACATTAGACCGCAAAGCAGTTTCTTGTCCAGGAGTCGCAAATGCCTGTGCGCCTAGAGCAACAGCTGCTTGTGCGCCTTCATCAAGGGCAGCTGCCGAAGGTTCAGGAGCTGTCATGGTGGCGGCCGACGTAGCCGCTCCAGGTACTGAGGCTCGAACTGGAGGCGAAGAATGGATATGCTGCTGTTCTTCGTCAGCACCGCCAACGACGACGCTAGCGGAAGCAGAGACGGAACCACCTGTAGTTGGCAATGATGCTATAAAAACGAGAATCAATGTCAATCATGTCGAGGACGATGATCCCACCATCTATTAATATGAAGTAAGTTAGACCCAGCACTACTTAAGAGTAAATCTACTTAAAGGTGGAGAGGAAAAAACTCTGTCATCAAACTTTTAGAGGGAAGGTTCAGTAGTCTGAATGAATGCGTCGTCGAAAACCTATAAACTTATTACCTCCTTGCTGTTGCCCTTGACCTTGGGCTCCTACATTGCGCATTCTCTGCGATGGTGAGAGCAAGTGAACTGGTTGCATAAGCGCAGTTTTCACCGTGAAGTCCAGCACATCGTAGTACTCGTGGCTCATTGAGACAACAATAGAGCCAACCATATCGAGACAGTTCTGCAGATAGGCACGACTAAACTTGTTGTTCGATGATCCAGAGCAGGATGAGGATGGAGCGTCCGATCCTGTGCTCATGCCGGTCTTGGTGTTCTTCCCTGGTGACGCAGCAGTGCTAGCAGTCTTAGCGTCGTCCTTGGTCGCATTTTTGTTCGCGCCAGTAGTAAGTGATGACTGCTCCCCATCCACTACTGGCAACATTTTAGCGATGAATGCCCGCTGCGCGATTTCCCCAATCGAGACCCAAGGATCAAACTGGAACATGTGCGTTCCGTTGAGCTCCACGTAGATAGGTTCCTGCAACAACTGCATTCCGTGAGGGTTTCGCCTTTTTTCCGCCAAAACAACTAGAGGCAGAGTCTCCGTCATGGTGACCATTTGCTGCAGCAAAGCCACCAGTCTAGGGTCCACCGCATGCTGATCCGGGTTGTACAACTTCAACAGCAAGCCTGCAACGTCAGACTGAGCGAGTTCGAAAGTGGTGAAAAGCTTATTGCTGTTCACGTTGGCTGCGAGTGTTGAGGACAGGGACATGGAGGTTGGCACGCCTGGAGGAGCATTCGTGGAGGAAACTGCAAGGACACTAGACGAAGAACTGCTACCACCGATCTTCAAGGGTGTCATCTCAGTGCTCTCCTTGTTACCGCGAGGCGTGGAGAAAGCTGCGGAGGAGGTTGTAGTACTGGAGGTTGTAGCAGTTGTTGCGTTATTCATAGAAGACGTAGTATTAGCTACTGTTGTTCCCGTACTAGTTGATGATGAGCTAGTCGTAGCACCATTCACAATCGTCTTCTTTGCTGGTGACAACGGCGCCTGCTGAAACCCTTTCGCAGGAGAATTGAAGTTCACTTTCCTTGGAGAATTGAAGTTCTTCCTAGGACTGCCGTTGCCTGCTTCTGGGAGTCTCTGGAACAAAACAGCCGGTGGCCCCATGATCGGCACCGCGCCACTGCCTGCTCCCTGAGCCGCCGCTGCCATGGCAGCGAGGTCCAAAGCTTCTTTGCCGTAGGCTAATTCCAAAGCGATTTGCTGCGCTGATTCCCAACTGCTTGCTTGTTTCAGTCTGGTTAAGTCCACGCTTTCTGGTTCTTCGGCTATGTTCTTCAACAAAGCCGTGGCCGGACTGCCACTGCCGCTAGCGTGACCATCGTGCCATTTACGTGCCAAAGCCTTGATACCGATACGCGCCATTTCACGACCGAACTTCTGCTTGATCAGGACTTCGGCGATCTGCGCAAATCTGGTTGGTCGCAAGGACATGGAGTTCGTCGTCGTCAGTCCTAGATAGTGGAACAACGGATTTCCCACTGAGTCTGGCTCCATGCGGATCGCCTCCGGGCAGTGTTTGATCAAGAGCAACAACAGGTCGTCGCACAGCTTCTTATTACTGCTTGCGCGCGTATTTTGGCTGTTACCACACGCTGCTGCGTAATTAGCGTAGTAGACCAACTTCTTGACCAAGATCGGCCACCACTTCTTCAGCACTTGCCTCTTGCACGCTTGGAAATCGTAGGGATAGATGTCGTCCAATTCTGGGATGCTGTCATCGGTGTAGCTAAGACAAGGAAACTGTCCAGTGCCAGGACCAGAGAGACCACCAATCTGCGAGGGCAGAAAGACGCTCTTGTTCGATTGCTGCAACATGGAGAAGAGACTAGTTTCCGAGAAGTTCTGCTGAAATTTTCGTTCCGTATCAGAATCAAACTCGCCAGGTGCTGCACCCAAATTCGAGCCAGCTGATCCAGGGACAATCTGACTCGCATCCTGTAGATTTCCCCTAGAAGAAGCCGGCCCAGCAGTGCCTTGCATAGCCGCTGCGACGGAAGTGTTCACGCGCAACTGCTCTCGTAGGGAAGCTGAAGCAGCAGAGGCTGGCGTCGCTCCTGGAGGTAGCAAGTTGCTGGCGCCAGCGTCAGGCGAACTACTCGATCCTGGCGTTTGACGGGGCGGCCACGTGATAGCCGCCGTTGCTGGGTCCTCACGAGGTCCCTGCTTGGACCCGCTGCGACTACCACCAGCAGAACCCAACAAGGTCAAGTTCGACTCCCTGATGTGTTGTTGCGAGTCCTTGGAACTCGATCGACTAGGATTGTTTCTGCCTGGTTGCAAGGAAAGCAAAGTGTTGTTCGCTGTTTCCTCGACCGAGCGTTCTTCTGGCAGCATCCACAAGTCCTCATCTGCTAGTTCTAGACACGTTTCCGATGGTGTATCCTCTAACGCGTTCATCCAGTTCAGGCTGCCACTCTGCATATCAGCCAGCAACTCCGGAGGCAACAGATGATTGCTTTGGCATGGCTGCTGCTGTGCTGAAACAATCGGCATGAAGTTGTTACTGCTTTCGTCAGATGGCTGAGCAACTCCACTAGCTTGTTCCACCTGGTGCTCACCACTAGCTTCTTGTTGACCAGTTGTACAACTAGTGGCACTGTTTGGATCCCCAGCGACTTCCTCGCCTGTCGTGATCGTGGCAGTTCCTGCAGGCATTTCTTCATCGACCTGGTGACGCAAGAGGCGATCTACCTCTGCAGCAGTTCCCTCAGGTCCAGGAGCGGTGACAGGATCGTCATCGACTGGCGCGCCTGCGCCTCCTCGACCCGCCGTTGCGTCAGCTTCAGCTAAAACGTCATCGGCTTCTAAAAAGGGTGTTCCAGCAGGTGCGTCCATGATGGCACCATGAGCAGAAGGTGGTCTATCTCGTGCAGAGACCGCACCAGAGGCTGCTCCAGCAGCGCTACCGCCTGACTCGGCACCTCCAGCTGTCGCACCAGTGTCCTTTTGACCACCATTGTTCGCAGCGGAGGATTGCTCCTCTGCTTGATCTTCACCTGTGTTTTCTCCTGTCTTGCTAGACGACATGCCGTCATCGGATGCGAAAGCCTTACGCACGTTGTCTAACGTAACCACGATGTCTTGTTGGGGCAACAACGTCACACCATTGATTGACAACGAGTTCAAGAAGCTGTCGATGTTAGCGCTGCTGCCACCTGGGATCTGTGCGTTTGCAGCAGATTCCTGATCGTCGTCGACCCAACTGATCAAGACAAGCACTTTCGAACTACCCTTGAGAACGTTCCCATCAGTTCTGCCGTCAGCATATTGATTGCCACTAAGCGTGAAGCGCTTGTTCTTCTTGAGCAGTTGATGGTCACTACAACCTCCTGTTGAGGAACTTGGTTGCAATCCACTAGTTGTACCGTTAGACAAGCTCAGCAAAGATGTAGTTGACGCTCGTCCCGATCTTCCACATCCGTTCAGTGATCCTCCTGCGTTTGGAGGTCCTGAGGCAGTTGGCGCAGTGGTCCTCAACATCGGATACCTACGCAAATACGGATCGGTCAAGTCGTACTGCTCGTCTGGAAGCGGCAACACGTGCAGTAAAGTGTCATTCCACGTGTCAAACAAATCGTGACTGAGCGATCGCAGAGGCGATAAGCCCATTTGGTGGTGCGCCATTTGGTGGACTAGCATGCGCAACTGTTTTCGTGTGGCCATGCACAAGCCTGCCAAGGAGGTGATCGGTTCTGATTTCTGCTGAGACGCTCCGACGATTGCTCCTGATACCGCTTCAGCTACTGCGCCAGAGTTGTCTGCTGTGAAAGGAGCACCTGGGGAACAGGCGGCCAAAGGTTCTGGCAAAACACTAGTGCTCGATGAAGATGTTCCTCCAGTTGCAGGTTTGTCTTCCAACAAGACTTTGCCATCCTGCTCACTGAGCACCGGCCAATGTGCGACCGCGTTTGCGCTTACACTAGGCATGTAGCGGTATCGAACTCCGCTTCGTGTAAACGCGTTCAGCTTCTGGAAAGACTTCTGCTTCGCGATTTGTTCCACTAGGTCTTGAGCAACCTTCCTCGATTCTTCGATTGTCTTCGAGCTAGCCTCTTCGAGTTGTCTTTGCTGTCGTTCTGCAGCTTCTTGTTGATCTACAACATCTAGACCTGCTAGCCACGAAGCGACTTCTTCCTTCGACTTCTCTGATGAGAAAGTTGTTGTCCCTTGCCTGGCCGCGTCCTCACTGATCTTCTTGCCTTCGATCTCCGTGTATCGACTCAGTCTCGCGAGCTTCAAACCGTGGTTGTAGATGGCGTCATGTTTTTTCTTCTCGTTCTCCCTTCGCGTCAATTCCGCCAACTTCAAACCCTTGTCTTCGTTCGTGCTGCCACCTTCTGCTCCCGCACCAGCGCCGTCAGCCGCCGCAGCAAGGTCTTCTTCCGCGTCTTCGTTAAACGTGTACAGAATCGAGTCCAGCTGTACCAACCACGGTTCCCCCACCAATTGCTCCCGCGGTCGCTTCTTCGACAGACAGTTCTCGATTGCCAACACGTTGGCGTCTTCTTGGGTGCAGCAACCAAACGCTACGCCCCACAAAAACCTGTCCTTCACACGACACAGCGCAAACGCCTTGTGATGAGGCCGTTTTAGGAACTCTCCCCAACTCGAGACGCGTTGTAATCGCTTCATCAGCCGTCGCTTCAATCGTCGGTCTCTGACTGCCGGTGATGGAGATCTCGAGAGTGGTCCTTTCTTGGTTGAACTGCCCTTCGGTGACGGACTGGGACTACGACTAGGACTATCCATGGCACTCGGATTGTTGGAACTCGGTAAAATTAGCATGTTCTCAATGTGATCCTTCATCGCCGATTCCGGTCGCATGCAGCCACCTCCTCCCGATAGCCGTCTCGGTGATCTCGGACTGAAGTTGTCGTCGCGGACACGCAAACCGCTTTTAGAACTAGACGTTGTTTCCTCGAACATGCTATCGATGCTGTTGTCGTACCACTGGAGTGGGTAACAAGCGATTTCCAATGGCGCTAAGCCGATCACTTTGCAATCCGTGAAGGGCACATTCCATCTGCCTTTGGTCACGTCGTCGAAGAGGACTCGTACGTATCCGCGAGAGCACAAGCCACCTGACGTATCACCAACTCGCAAACCTCCGCTGGAAGCCTTGTTCGCGACGTCGTTGTAGCGCCATCCGACAACTGTTCCTTTGCCGTACAGCTGATGCCGGATACGAACGCCAATTTCCAAATTCGCATCCGACAGAATTTGACTGCGCATGTGATCCACAGTGAGGTAGTTGACGTTGCGATTGACACGTTCCAATTGCCAGAACAGCAGATTCTTCGGAATGGCACCTGGACCTTGGTATTCCTGCTCGGACTCGGATCCCGACATGTTGAGAGAGGTTTTCTCCCTCTGCAAGTTCTGCAACAAGAACTCCTTGTCTTGTTCATCTGACATCATTTTACCACTGGGAGACGACGAGGTCTTCTTGTTGGAGGTTGCCGATGACGGTGAAGTAGAAGATGTAGCGTGCTGTCCACCTACTAGTGCTGAAGCAGGTGCGCTTCCGTGTTCCATCAGAGCTACTGGCACAGTTGGTCCGCCTACTTCTTGATACGGATCATAGCCTGCCAAAGTTTTCTCCTCCGTATGGCCTAGACCTAGTGCTTCCACGTATTCCTTTCGACAGTGATCAATCAACTGCAAGGTTGAGACTTTTTCTGGTCGTACAGACGCTGGCAGGTAGTAGCCGACCATGCGCGTCTTCGAGTCTGGATTGACGTACTCGATCTGGTCCAGATACCGCAAATTCTCAGCCCAGCTGGCCTCACCACTGGCGACTTTTCTCCTGCGCGTAGAGTGCTTCTCGAACACTGCGCGTGGATCGTAGGGAAAGTTCCAGAACTCTGCAGACGGTCGGATGCCTGCTTTGTTGGCGCCATTCTTGTTACGCAAGGTCTTCAGTTTCTTCAGCTTGGAATTGTTGCTACCCCAGGTCCCAGCGAAATTCGCACGTAGCTCTGGACTGCTGTCGACCATAGAGGAGCCCTGCTGGGCCTCCAGAGAAGCGTGCGGTTGCGGATCTGCAGCAGCTGTATGATTTAGTGGTTGATGTTATGAGTCAGTAAGAGATGTTGCATCTTCAATTTGCAACTGACTAACTCAAAAAAAATAGATCATGAAGATGAGGTTGAAGACTCAACGACGACATCCAAAAGCAAAAGTGAAGTGGTACATCCCCCCGCCCTGGGAGAAAAAGTATCGTCGATCGGTCCACTGTCATTGCTGGCCGAACTGCTTGATAGGGCACCGCCTTCTGTAGAGAACAAGCTGACATCGGTTGACTTCATGCGCATCCCTTGAACCTCAACCGAAGGCATCGTTCTCAAATACGCTCCGTTCATCTGGCGGAAACTACCGACGACGCAGATCTGTTGAGGGGTGGTGGAGGTGGACCACTGTGGATGTCTTCTGCACCGCGAGGTATGAATGCAGAAGAGAAGGTTGAAGATGACAAATAGTACGAGAATCCATATGTGGGTGGTCGTGAAGGGAGCAGTTGTTGTGACTGTGAGACAAAGAAACATCATTATAATCATATTGATACCGTCTCCTTCGTCGCACTCTGCGATCGAATCACTCTGCTGACCAGAGCGTCGTTCCACAAAACCTTCTTCGCTGATTTCTCCTCTTTCTCCTTCTTCTCGATGTCTGCCAGTCTCAACGAATCCGGTCTGCCTGGATAATCGATGGCATCGGAGATTGTGATCCGCTTCTTGCGATTAGGCTTTACACCAAGACCCACAGAGCCAGCAGCGGTAGCAGCAACAGTGATGTGCTCTTGAATCTTAGGGGCAATGGCGATATCACCCGCTCTGACTTTACCCCAAGGGCGTGAGGATTTTTCTTCGTCTTCGGTGAGCCAGGCGACAACGAGAATCGCGAACGTGAGGGATTCTTTCACGAGGCGCTCGTCCTGAGAGGGGATTTTTTGGAGGACTAAAAATGGGAAGAACAAAAGGGAAGGACAAGAACAAGCAACGACCACGATCTAAAAGTTCTTGATGTATTCAAGAAGAACATACATTTTTGCAATCCAGATGAAGGTAACTTTTTCTTTTTTTTAAAGACCTACTAATAGTACGGGTGGAGCCAAGCTAACTAGGAAGAAAAAGTAAGGTTAGGTAAAAGGTATATAAGTATATATTAAAGACCTACTAATAGTATTAAGTACCTTATGCAGCATGCACACTCCCAGCTTATCTCCCAAATCCAGAGCGATGTGTGTCAAAATTTCTGCCCAGTTCGTTTCCACCGAACTCCGCAACCTTGTCAGACTAGCCAAACGGATATTTGGAGGACCCACTGTCAGTTCATCGAGATCGCGCTTCATCGCCGCATCGGTTTTTTCGCACAGCTTAGGGTCGAAGGCGCAAGCAGCACACAGAAGGATCTCGCAGAGTGGACAGTAGTAAGCAAGAGCAGCCTGAGTTTCTTCAACATCACGTCGTTTCCAGGGTCGTCGGCAACCTCCGGAAATGTGGGTCGCTGCACAGCCACGAGGGCCTTGACGGTGGTAGACCTGTTGATAGTGGAAATTGAGTTTGGGTTTTCATTCATCAGTCGTATACTTCAAACTGATTCAAATTTAACTTCAACCTCCATCGACTTAATGTACTTCTTATGGTGGAATGTATCCTCTCATGTCCAGCATGTCAGTGTGCTGGAAGTACCTTAAACCCCTTCGGCAGGAAGCACGCGTACAGGTTGCTCTGGTAGCAGCGATGATACGGCAACTCCGATATTTCCAAGGGCAATGGCAGACTGCTGATCACTTGCGTCTTGCAACTTCCCAACGCTGAGTTGTAGTTCTTGCTGTTTGGATTTACTAGCACGTACTTTGGAGCGTCCGGCTCTTCCCCACAGGGAGTACAGACCAACTCTTCTGGGACTAGCTCTTCTTGCTCTTCATCATCCCCTTGCTCTTCGTTATCTCCACCATCGTCACCAGCGTCGCCCAAAGGCAAAGGAACAGATTCTTGTCGCTTTTTCACATATTGCTGGTCGTGGAGGTATCTGTAGTTGGAGTCCGTTGAGTCCGCATTGTTCGCAAGTAGTGCGATGAAAGTTGTCGTTTCTATTTTTTCCAGTCAATCTATCTTTCGCACGGACGAGGTGAATGTCAAAGTCAAAATCAACAAACTAATCTTCAAGTAATTAAGTACCTGAAAGGAAAGTGATCAAAAGCCAGTTTCCTTGGGTTCACGAACCCGCGAATGGGCGACACAATCTGCCATCTTGACTTCAGCCTCAACGCGTTCTTTTTCGACCTCAATGCTTGCGGCCGCACCAAAACTCGGAAATCCGTAGGCAATTTGCACAAGGTCACGTGATCCTCATCCACGATCCTCGTGGTAATGATCGTGCGATACCACTTCCACTCTGGATTGGCGACCTCAACCGGCGCAGCGTTAAATTCGTAAGCCCTTTTATTAGAGCTTTCATCCGCCAAGAACATTCTTCGTCTTATTTCAGGAGCTGGTGCATCCTTGAAAAGTCTATACTATGGCAGAGTATCTATCGCGCTGGTGGAATACTCTTACTCTGCCATACTAGAAATTTATTTTCGTTTCAAGGTCGGATCGATGCAGTTCTCAAAGATGCATGATTAGCTAGTACAGCCTTAATTGTACAAGCAGAACAAAAAGCAACATTGCACAAATCGCAACCCCAGTTGACGTCCTTGCGGGAACCACAGCAGGAACAGCTAGGCATAGAGGCAGAACTGCGGAAACCAAGGACAGATTCGGGCTTCACCTGATGTGGGTCATGATGGTGAGGAAGGTGTTTGTGCGTTTTGAAATTGATTTTGAAAGTCTTGCAGACACGATTGGCGGCTCTTTTTCTTCTTGTTCTTCAATCAGCATGAATATTCATTCGATGATTATACATGGTTCTCTCCAATGAAACAGATGACGTGAAGATGAACGGGGGATAGGTACCTTCAACGGCCACAGCAGGCATCGATGCAAATCCAGCGCGATAATGTGTTTGCCTGGCGTCTTGTCGAGATACCAACTCCTTTCGGCGCCAGCGTTGGTTCCCTCCAAAGGCAATTTCCACAAGTCCTGCTGATCAGCGGCCGCACCTCCGGAAGCCGCGGCACCTCCGGAAGCCGCGGCACCTACGCTAGAACCCGCCGCGCCTGAAGCAGAGCTTCCTCCAGCTGCACCTTCACGTTCGGATCGCTCGTTCACTTTAGTATTAGAGTGGGAAGAATTGCAGGCAGTAATTGTTTAGTCTTACTTAAGGTATGGTCACATTGCACTAATATCTTTTGTACAGTTCCAGCTAATAAATATACTCGCCACAATAAAATCAAGACATAAGGAGCAGTAGCATTTTTGGGCAGCGTTATTTGATTGATTCATTGACTGAGTGATTGACTGCCTGAGGTACCCACTCGCGGGGTGTCGCATCTACTTATTTCTGAATCAAATGAATCAGCATAGTCCAGCACGACCATCATAACATTTATTAGATCCGTATGTTTCAAAGCTAGGTCCTCCAGCTCGCGCTCCATCGTCTCCAATTGCCTTTCCATTTCTTCGAGTTCCTTCTGTCTAGATTGCACAAACTCCTCCTCAGTCGCGTGTAAGTCCTCCGTAGCGTTATCCCCTACACTACTGGTAAGTCCCCCAGCACTTCGACTCAGGTCAGGGTGTCTTGCTTGTTGAGAATTGCCTTGCGAGGTGGAATTGTTGCCGGCTGGGGTTAGAGGATAAAAACATCTTGAAGAAAGCCTAGATGGACGAACAACCGGAATTTCTACTTCCAGAATCCAATAAAGGAGGAGGACAAACTTCAAAATAATTATGCGCTTTCCACTGTCTGAAATTGAATATCCACGACCCATAAACTCAGGAGAGCATTCATCATTTGAGCATCGGAGCTTCCTTCGCTGGTAGAGGAGCCAATCATGGTCGGGCCGGCGTTACCCTGCGTACCAAGGTACTCGTCGTCATCGGGAGCGCCGCTTTGCTGTAGTGGTGCAAGTAAAGTCGAGGTTGTACTAAAGAATTTAAGAAGAATTATGGACCTGGATGTAGAATTATATCCTTACTACAACTTCTTCTGCAATCACTATCACATCCATGAATTTGTTTCATCTTCAAAATCACCAATAGCTAATTACCCCTTCCCCGCCTCCTTCCTCTTGGTTCTCAGACATTTCGATCAGGATCTCCATCGCCTCGTCCACACTGCCTGCGCGTTGAAGGGAAAAGATGATCAGGTTATCAGCAAACCCCATGGATCTCATCTGCTCTATGTCTTCTTCCCCGAACCCGCGAGCGCGCGCGGGCTCAAATTCTGGCGGTAACGATGACATTTTCGCTCTTCAACGAGAGAGCAGACGAGAACAAAATGCTCCGTTCTGAAGTTGATGCAGTTCTTGTGCTGCTTCTTGAGTTCTCGTCCTCCTTCTTCTACTAGTATGAAGGTGACATCATGATCGTGGTTATCGTTATGGTTTATGTGATGTACGTATTTGTTGACAAAGAAATTATGACGCACCAGTCAAGAAGCATTAGCAGGGGAGAACAATAGCTAGATGCTCATTGACGATGAATGAAGAAAAACACGACTTCTACAGTGTTCTATGATCTATGTTCTAACTAAGAGGAACGAATGAGAAATCCAATCAAAAAACACTTTGTTAAAGTGATTATTGACAAAAAATAACCTGACAGAAAACCACTAACTTTTAGAAAACTACCTTTGATTTTTTAATATGCTCAACTACCCTTTATGGAAAACTACCCGATGATCCTGCTACAACTACGTAAGTACGTGCTCGCTTTATGTCTATTAACTGTTTTCGATTTATAATGAGTTCTTATGACTGTGTTTGTGTCTTTATCGTTTCTAGTAGATACCGATCATAGAAGATACGATGGAGAAACTGTGTAAGTGTATGAATCGATATGACCATGAATAGAAGAAAACCTTCTGCAGAAATAGTTGGATTCGAAAATTGAATGAACTCCCGAGGGCCCATTCAACCTCGACATGAAAAATTTCAAACGTCGAGACGAAAAAGCTAGAATAGTGGTTTGAGAGAGGGGATATTGATTGACAGCACTGGTGAGTGGCAAGACGGTCGTCAGACGATAAATCATGTTGATGCAACTGCAAGCTTCATCAAACAAAGATATATATGGTAGATGATTCTGTGCTGCTATTTATGGTCTTATTGTCAACTTTCACGCGAAATCATTGCTCCTATTAGTAGATGTTGGTGTGGTGTATCCACAATTTTCTTTACTGAAGGCAGGGGGAGGTTAGTGTGGGGGAAGGGGAGCGGTAGGAGGAATGTTGATGTGATGATCTCAGACTCAAACATGATCGCACCGAGATGTAGAGAGCAACAGATGACGTGAACTACAAGTGCGTGATCCGAATCCGACAGAATGTTCTTCGTGCTACAAGTTCGTGCACCGATCGGAATCCGACAGAATGTTCTTCGTAGTACTACAACTTGTTCTAGTTTCCCTCGTACTCGTTATTGTTTACGTCCTGAATCATCATGTTGTCCGCGTGAGGAGTAGGAGAGGTAAAATCACACAGAAACTGAACGGAAACATCATCAGATCTTACGTCGAAAAAATCAAAAAATTGAACACATCTTCACGCTTTTCAGCTTCCGCTCTCCTTAGTAGAGCTACGGACCAAACTGGACCACTCAATCAAATGGAATACACCAGGGATCAGGATCTGAAGCTGTAAGAAAGACTTTTACATCAATCTGCTGCGTATCTTCAAATGCAAACACATTATAAATCACGACTTCTTCCCACTTCCTTGAATGTCACCACCTTCACTATCTGAAGAAGTAAGCTCGATCACTTCAGGCACAACAACTTTTTGTGTAGAAGTAGCTGTAATTTTAGCTTTAGGTTGTGCAGCTATAGTACTAGGTTGTTTCCCCCGTTTATTCCGTTCTTGTTCCAATTCTACATCTTCTTCATCGTTCTCCTCTTTGTCCACTTCTTTCGCAGCCTCCGGAAACAGACTCTCTGATATAGCCTCTGGGTCCCATATTTTTCTCTGAGCATTGTCGACTACGAAAGTAGCACGTCCTCTGGAGTCATACTCCTTGTACAAGACAGACCCATCCTCAAAAACCTGCTTCACTGTCCTATTGGGCTGCTGGGCGGGTGCTGGTTTGCCATGACAATTCTTGTCTCCGGAGGATGAGGAGGAAGACGATGTAGCCGATGCAGTACCACCTGCTAGCACGTAGTCTTCGGAATTTTTATAGTTGCTTTTCGTTTCCTTCATAGCAGTCAGCGTGGTTGGGGGTGAAGAGGATTGCGTTTGCGATTGCCCTCTAGGCATAAAGGAGAACAATGAAGTCTGCTGCAGATTCAGTGGCGCTTTTAGCGGTTTTACAGCTGTTTTGTTCGTAGTAGCTGCAGGAGGAAGACGAGGACCTTGATAAAAACTCTGTTCCTGTTGACTGGCGGAGGAACTACTAGTGGTGGATAGTGTCGTCGTCAACAGTCCTCCATGATCACCTGATGTCACCCTTGCTGATGTCGCGTGTGTCGCTGATGTATTTCTAGTCTTTTTCTTGGGAGCACCAGAACGACCACGACTACCGCGCATCCCTGAGTTGTGCTCACGCATAATGCCAGCGAACGGGTTTGATCTCAGTTCGGCTAATTCACTTTCTTCCTCAGCTGCGTTGGCTAGTAAAGCCGCAGGTATTGCGGCAATCTCTTGGACGTCATCGTCTGAGTTCTCTTGGTTTTGATCAGCACTGTTGCTGCTGTTGTTAGGTTTCCTTCTCTTGTCCTTGTCCTCATCCGCAACTGAAAGAGGAGCACCAATTTTGATCTTTGCTTTATTGTTTCCAGCATTTCTTTGATAGCCTTTCAGCAGACCCGGAGAGAAGTCTTCCCATGTGGCCTCAGCGTCTCGCTCTACCTCGTCTAGGATGCGTCTACGAGCAGGTCTCTGACGAGTGGAAGGCGATCTCGCAGGAGCAGGAGGTGAAAGGAGCATAATTGCGTCTTTGGTGACGTCTTTCTTCTCGGTTGTAGTTGTTGATGTCGAACCCGAGGAGCCTTGATGATTCGAAGTTGCAGTCTGTGCCAGTTTCCTCATGTAAAATTCGATTCTTCTCTCGTCCAGCGAACCGTCCGTACAGTCTAGAAAATACTTCTGAATATCAGGGATTCTTCCGTTACCGCCTTCCGGCACTGTGGGAATCACCTCTCTAGGCCGTAGAGCCTTGACAAATCCGACTAGCTCAGCAAAACTGCTGTGTTCGGAGTAAGGCATGTGAATAACTTTTGTCTTGCCGTTGTTGGAGATCCAAGGTGCGACTTCCGTACTTTGCGCCCGAAAAGCCCATCCAGTTGGTCGAAAACCAATGAGAAGGTCGAAGCGGTCTGATTCGACAGGTGGGGAGAGAGGAAGGCCAGTGATAGGATCGAATTCGAGGTCCTGGTCATCTGGATGCTGGGGAAGGACAGGAGTTTTCACTGATCCTTGATTTCCTCCGTCAGCTGCAGAAGCATCACGACGTCGTGGAGTATTCAGTGATGCGATCTTCATTTTTTTCGCTGTTTGTCTGAGAATCGTTTGTTGCTTGCGCTTGCTCGGACGATTGTCGCCTTCATAGAAGCGTCTTCGCTCTGTCAAAGCAGCTATCTCCTCATCTGTCATAGGTTGGAGAGGACCTTGACTCTCTGGAGCTTTGTCATCATGCCTTTGTTCTTGACGTTGATCCTGAGCACCATCATCTTCATCTTCGACAACATCATCGTCATCTTCCTGTACCTCCTCATCTTCATCGTCTTCTTTTTCGCTTTCGATAATTTCATCGTCGTCGTCATCCTCTAGTTGTATAAGAGTAATGCCATCTCCATTTTTGGCTTTTCTCGAATCAAATGAGGAACCATTGTTCATACCACTAATGATCTGCATGGCCTTTGCATCCTCTTCGTCTGCTGCAGAGTTATCTGCTTCCACCTGCTCCGCGTCCACACTATTATACTTGTCCTTCTTCGACGACATCTCGACGTCGTCATGATCCACAGCTCTACTATTATTCTTGTCTCCTCCAGCTCCATTTTTACCATTAGCGCCGTTCTTTTTCTTCCCTTTCCCCTTTGTCTGTTGGTCAGGCAGGAATCCTTCCTTTCCGTACCGTTCTGCGAGTTCGAGGCGATTCAACCGTCGTGGCCCAATGGTCAAATTTCGGAGAAGTCTATCGTGCCTTATTTCCCCTAAAGGAACCATCCAAACAGCATGTTCTTGCACTTCCTTTTGAGGTACTAGCTCTTCGTTGCTCTGCGCATGGCCATTCGCATAAAGATAAAGATTCTTTTTATCATCTTCATGCTGATCGGTTCTAACGCTTCTTGGACCATTTTCTTTGAGATCATTTCTGCCTGTGCCTACGGCCTGAGCAGCAGTTGCATCCTCAATTTCACACAAGCCACAGAAGTAGTCGAATTCGGAGTAATGTTTCTGTACCAGTTTCTGGATCTGCCAACGCCTTTTCGTTTTGACGATCAAGGATGGAGAACAGGAACGACCCTGCAGATTTTCACTTTTCCTATCCCTACTTTCATTTCTTGATACAACAGCTACACCTGATGTTCCACCATCCGCAAGCGCAAGAATTTTTCCAGAAGCATTCCTCCTTCTCCATTTCGCAACTGTCTCTGCCACAACCGCAGCCACCTTTTCCTTGCCTATCGCGTAAGAGCCGATGAAGAACAAGATCTTCTTGTCCGCATTCTCGTTCAATTCTTTGTCAACGTAGACCTGCAACTGACGAAGAACTGCTGTTTGCGTGGGAAAGACCCATCGTGGACGACAATACGTATTGTCGAGATAGATCACGTCGAGAGTGCCGTTGTTCGGATGGAATGATGTCCACGTTGTGTCTTCAATCAGCTTCCTAGTAAGCCATTGCTTTACGTCTCGTGCCACTGCTGGCGTTCCTCGAAAGTCGCCACAATGCAGTACGGTTTTCCCAGTTCGTATACTGCCAATCAGCATAACGGCTGCTCCGGGACAGTGATTCGCGTCTAGGAAAACGAGGAAGACCTCACGCTCTCCTTCTTCACCTCCACCAGCATGACCATGTTGACCACGACCATGATGAAGACCATGAAGACCAGCGCCAGGCCCTCCACCAATCCACTTCACTTCGCCATATTTAAAGCGCAGCACTCCTTGGTCATCATGACTCGGAACGGAAGCGACCCCCTTCAAAGCTCTCCCCTTTCCCGTCGTTTTCCCCTGTTCTCTCAAGGGGTCGCATCTTCGATCTCAGTGACCAACCCCAATGACCATTGAAAGTTGAGCCTTAACATATGGTACAGGACAGACGTATTCGGGTCTCACTCCTGTCACGTGGATGATCAGATCCGCAGTCAGAGGAGTGGTGTAGATGGTGCCATGTTTGAAGCCGCGTCCGAGTCCTCCTGTGTGATCGCTGTGGAAATGCGACAAGATATAATGCTTCACGTCCGCACTCTTACTGCCGAAACCATCTACCAAGATCGCCGAACCAGGCTGTACTGAAACTAAGGTGCCATGAACCATCCTCGTCGGCAACTAGTCAATGATCTCCTGGAGGAGACTTGTTCCGCGACGATGCTTTGCCGTCTACAAACCCGTGCTACGCCTGGCAGAGCATCGCAATTCCGGCGGAACTGCTGCAGTACCGTGTGGGAGGCATTTTTGTGTTTTCTCACGTCGAGACCTCACATCAGATTCTTATGACTTACTGATCGCAAACAAGGAAGTAGAGTACTTACACGCGAAAACTAAAAAATCCTGCTATGGAGATCATGGTCGTAATATTTTCTTGCATATTTTCGTATCTAAAAAACCTATTCAGGAACAATGATTCTGAAGAGGAACAAAAAAGCTTTTATGGTGCCGGTATGTACGAACGCGATGGTAATCGTTGTGGTGGGGGTAACAAAGCGGGTTCCTGCCAACAAATTCGGAAAAAGCGTCGAGTTTTTTAAATGAGAGCAGCATCATCTTCAACGCGGTCCTTCATCTTAAATTGCGTCAGAGTATTCGTCCATGAAGATAAGAAAATTCTCTCGTTTTAATCTACCATTACTCTTTTCAAACGGACTTGACGAGCCACTTGTCCTTAATGCATGTGGTCCTGTATAACTGACATTTCTTGAACACGACCGACATCATGAAAGCTTTCGAGTATTTCGCCTCTAAAAGGTGTTCGCGCAGTAGTAATCCAACGTAAATAAAAACTGGCCCGAACCTACACTGGGTCTACAAACCTGTTTCACTGAGTCTATATTTCTTTGCCTATCGGCCTCCAACAGCTCTAGCGGATACGAATGAAGATTGTGGTCCACGACTGGGCTCAGGGATACATCATGATCACCTCTTTCACAACTTTCCATCCAAAACTTAAAAAAAGCGACTTCCTTTTTGTGCCCTGCAAAGGTCCGACAAGCGATCCTCCACCATGAATGGCTGCGCCTAGTCTATAGTCCAACTAGTAGAAAGACGAGACCATCTTCACCAGCGACCACATTCAACGCAGGAAGCCTGCCTACCTCAGCTTGATCGTGAAAGGCAGTGGATCGTCGAGGTCGGAAAGCTCTCGCCAGCTCAGCTCCTCCTCATTATTGTCGCGAGTGAGATTCACCTTGGCGAAGTAAAAAGGGACATCTGTGTCGTCAACTGCTTTAATCACTGCATTGAGCCGCCAGAAGATGGAGCAGGTTGCAGGGAGGCTTTGATGAAGCTTCGCCAGCTGTGCACCAGATAGAGGACAGTGCTTACCGCTCGGTAGTCTCGGATATTCAGGTCTGTCGATTAGTTCTTGGGTGACCTCCAGCTCTGGCACTCCGGCAGCAAGATTCTTCGCAAATCGCTCCAGCAGAAGCCTTGCCGCTTCGTCCTGCGTTCGTTTGATGGCAGATAGCAGAGTATCGCGACGCGCCGCTTCTTGGAGATATCTATCTCTTTCGATGCGCTTCTCAGAGGCAGGCACGTTCGACGTTAGCGCCTGGCCGATCATCATTATCTTGCCATGCGTCCGATCCAGAGCCTCTATCGCAACGAAAAGGCCGTCCTCTTCGTTCGCTCTGCGCATGCCGAAAGACACGAACAGCGGCAGCGCTGTGCTCGTGGCCGGGTCAATGATGTCCTGTGCTACGTCGACATCGTCTAAGTCGAAGCGAGTTCCGTCAGAGTTGATGATCTTGTATCCTTTTACTTCTAGAGCGTGGAATACTGTATCAAGCCGAACAGTCTCACCATTTGCCATCTTCGGCGCCCGTGCACACAGCTCTTTCGAGATTTCGACGCGGTGGATGCCTTGTGCTGCTTGCGCGTGTATGTGGCCGAGGTAGAAGTCGATCGCCTGGAGTCTATCAGCCTCTCTCCTAGCTCGAAGGGAGAACTTCGCGACATTCTTGACCATGAAGGCGGAGTCCTCAGCTGCAATGGCAGAAAAACGCTGAACCTGCTCTCCTAGAAAGCTCGAAACAATGCACTTCACATGTTGGGGCAAGTTGCCCTGCGTCCCTGCGCGCATCTTCGCCACAACGCTCCACGCATTGATCTGGAATGAGCATGAGTATGAGGTGTGTGAACAACATCACAGAAATTTGAGGGGTGTTCGGCTCTTCTTCACCAAGCAGCACTCGCCTCCTTCGTGGGGAATCTATCAACAGGAGAACTAACCCAAGGAAGTACCTGAGCCATCGCCAGCTTGTTGCTGCAGTTCTTGTCCAGTTGTGTTTGACGTCGCGCAAGGTCCTCTCTCTCTGCCTCTAGAATGGCAGTTTTCCACTTCGAGAAGGATCCGCCAGCACGCACAAGAACGTCGCTCAGTGTTCTACGCTGTTGCTGTGGCTGCTGTCTCAGTGACGATGAGCTACTACTTGCTGATGAAGACGAGGCTGCTGCAGTCGGGCCTCCTTCTAGGGGTCGTGCGGCAGGCGCCGCAGGAGGTGCTGCAGGAGGAGCATCCATTTTTCTCAGGAATATCCTGCTCTTCTTGTTGTCTCACTGGAGTCTAAGTACTGAAGATCTTCCATTCCTTTCTGTAGCTAGAGCAGCTCCTTCTTCATTTACGACTACTTGCTTATGAAGATTCAGACTGTGACGGACGGCGAGAGCGGAGTACTATGTGTACCATCAGAATGAAGCCGTATTATGAAGCTTGGAAATCGAACTGCCAAATACACTCTTAAGAGGACGAGAAGTCAAAAACTAAACCGATGTCAGAGTAGAGACACTGTCCAGGTCAAAGACGGCTAGTGAATGGCTAGACCATATAAAGTAGTTTCTTTTCATCATCTTCAGTTGGTTTATATTGACACGACATCAGTCATCGATCCCTAGAGATAAAAAAAGAGAGTCGATAATTCTTGTTCAGCTTATTGATGCTCGAGCTCGTCCAACAATCACATGCTTTTCCCTCCTGCTATGGTTCCACTTCCACGTGCGTGCGTTAGGACGAAACTCGTATTAGTCTCCTACAAAGACAATGTTGTCTGAATGGAAGTGATTCATTCTGGTTGGAAATATATTTCAATGAATTCTTTATCAAATTTTTAGTTGTAGAGCAAAATAGTTTATTTGCTGGGCATCAGTACAAAAGTAGGAAGGAACCACTCTTGTGTTATTCCTCTGTTGAAAAATGGAACAGTCTCGAATATTCTTGGTGCGCGTTGTTTACGGCACAAGAAGTAGCTGCGCCTACGCAATGAGCCATCACGTGTAAGTATGCCGTTCTTATGGGGGGCCTGAATCCATTGAAGATACTACGAGGAGCGAGAACGGGGGAAGACTGGGGTAATCGATAAGAAGTTTCAAACAAGTCGCTATTTTGTTCGTCAATTATGAAGAGGCTCCATTCTCATTGTGATGTAGTTTTTGTCATAGAGAAGTCGTTGCAGCACTTTCTTGTCAAATAAAGCACTTTTAGCTTTATTACGTCTAGTTCTAGCTCACTAGTACTATAAAAGAGAATCAGCGACGAAGATGCGTCGTAAGAACAAATCTGGTTCACAGATCGAGGTCTTGTATCTCGACACAGATCGTGAAGGGAAGCGGGTCAGCCAGGCGACTTAGCTCTTCCACCGCCTTGGGCATAAGGGCACCGCCGTCAGTATCAGCTTTTCTCAACTCGATGTTTTCAAGAAACTGGGTAGACTTATTTGCCACGGTATGTAGCTGCCGGAAGAGCGACAAATAGTCCCCGAAAATGTGAAGTGACTCGTGGAGGTCAGTACGGAGACGCGCGAGCGACAGTGGGCAAACGTTCCCATTGGGTAGCTTTGGATAATGTGGCCCTTGCACAAGATCGCTCGTGACTTCCAACGTTGGATACCCAAGCGCGAGACACTGCCTAAACCGCTGCAGCAGGAACTCTGCAGCCTTCATCTGCGTTTGCTTGACAACTTTCTGGAGAGTGCTCATGTAGCCACGCTCCTGCAGCACTCCAGAAGGGCGGCCTGCAAGGCCCCGCGCTGAGTTTCTCTGTTCATACTCAAGCTTTAACATGCCGCTTAGTGCACGGTCCGAAGACTCCTGGTTTGCTGACTCACCACGGCCAAAGCGGACGAAGAGCGGCAGCACTGTGGGGTCCAAAAGCATGTTTTCATAGTCAACGACTTCGTCGTGAGCATCGACCACGCGGTAGCTCGCCTGCCTGACTAAACTCTGAACAACTATGTCAAGGCGCACAGGCTCGCCAGTGCTCATCTTGGGCGCAGCGGCACAGATTTCAGTAGTGATCGGAACCCGGTGCACGCCTTGTGCCGCTTGGGTGTGGATATAGTCGAAGTAATAGTTCACCGCCTGGAGGCGATCGGCGCTTCTTCGCTTTTCAAGAGCATCAGACGCAACTGTTGAGTCTCCTCGGCTTCCCCTGCTCACAGCGTGCGCCCTTTCAGCAGCTAGGGCACTAAGTTGTTGAATTTGCTCTCCCAAAAAGTCAGACACTAGATTCTTCAGCGGCAAAGGAAAGTTGCAACTTCCCACAGAACAAGACGAGCCTCCGCATCTCAATTTCGCGAGAGTACTCCATGCATTTACCTGTAGCATGATCAAGGAATACGAATAAACCATGAGGACGACACGCATCTGAATCAGCAAACTGTCTGCCTAGAGACTAGGAGCGACTGCCTGAAACGAAAAAACCTATGATGTGGCATCGATACTCACACAAGAACAAGCCTCAAGCCAATCTAGTTGTCTCCAGCAATATCTGAATACCTGAGCCATAGCCAGTTTCCGGCTGCAGATCGCACCTTGCTGCGCCTGTCGACGCGCTATCTCATCACTATCGAGTTCCACGATTGTCTTTTTCCAGCTCTCGAAAGACTCACCACGACCAGCCCGAGCCAGAACGTCGGATAGTGTCTTCTTTGGCGGAGGTCGTTCACCAAACAGTGTTGAGCCTGGCAAAGGCCCACTGGTTCCTTGTCCAGCAGCACTCAAGCTCCTAGAAGAAGCTGCTTGGACGTCGTTCATATTTCTTCTATTTCTAGGTCCACTGGAGTCGTTGGCGTAGAAGCTAGAAAATCACAAAGCTCGAGCTCCAATCAGTTTCAATTTCAGTTGTTATTTCTGCTCTACTCTTTCGCAATTTTTTCTTTTTACCCTTTGCCTCTTGGCATTTGTTCCCAATTTATTCGCACCTGGAATAATTATCGCGAGTACAACTCTTTCTATTTCTTGAAAGCAATATCACTGCTTCATCCTGCTCGGCATTCAAAACAAAGAATCATTGAATCCCAGTTGCAGAGGTCCATACTAGTACAGAAAAACAAAAGCGCTTCAGTTTGATGAGGAAAAGAGCTGCTCAATCGTCGTTTTGTGATCGTCTTGTCTTTGAATTTTGTGTAGCCTTGCATCAAAGCGAGATCCATGATTGTCCTCGCATCCCGACAACCAGTTCATAGCCCAAAAAGAACACTTGACCATAGAAGTTTAGTGCCGATTGTTCATCTGCCAGCGAGATGAACGACTCACACATTATTGCTCTGCCACACGACACTAACAGCACTGCTCTCCTGGTGTAACCGTGCTTCCGCCTCTCCTGGAGGGGCGCCACATCAGTGTCAGAGTGACGGGCACTAGGGAAGAGTTGAAGTTTGCGGCCTGTTGGGGTGTGCCATTCATGCCATTCGTCCCATGCGTCATTCGTGCTATAAACTGTTCTATTATATCGATGTGTTGGCGTTTGTTTCTGCCTGAAAGGATAAAGAAGTGTGTAACACCATAATACATGGACACTTCTTTTAATGTGACTCAGTTTTGTGGAGGTTCCTTCAGAGCGATTGTAAACGGCAGTGGGTCCTCCATTTGAGTGAGCTCAACCCACGTTCGCGTGCGGAGGGTACCGCCGTCAGTGTCAGCTTTTTTGTAATCGATCTCATCCATAGGCGTTTTGTTGTCAACGATCAGGATCTGCCAGAAGAGCGAATCGTAGTCGGAGATTGATTTGTGGACTTCGCTGCACAGCCGCGCATGCGACAGCGGGCAGATGTTCCCATTGGGCAGCTTCGGATAGTCGAGTCCCTCTATGAGTTCACTAGTGACCTGCAGCGATGTGCTCCCATGCGCGAGCCCCAGCTTGAAGCGCTGCACCAGGAATTCGGCTGCCTTCCTCTGCGTTTCTGCAATCACCTCAACGAGGGTCCTCAAATAAGGCTTGTTTATCGCCTCTATGGTATGAACTGTAGGGCCAGACGATACATTTCTACGCCCCCGCTCCAGTTGTTCCACAGCGTTCACCGCGTGGAACGCGCTCTCCGCGTTTGGTGCGACGCTATTCTTGAAGCCGATAAAGAGCGGAAGCAGCCTGCTAGTTGAGGGGTCCAGAAGATCATCCACAACATTCGCGTCATCCAGAAAGTCAATTGGTTCACCTTCTCCATCGAGCACCGCGTAAGAGTAGTCGCTTTTCCTGGAAATAATTCGGAACACTATGTCAAGGCGCACAGGCTCGCCCGTGCTCATCTTGGGCGCAGCGGCACAGATTTCAGTAGTGATCGGAACACGGTGAACGCCTTGTGCCGCTTGGGTGTGGATATAGCCCAGGTAGTAGTTTGCCGCCCGGAGGCGGTCAGCGCTCCTTCGCTTTTCCACAGCATCGGTCGCAAATGATGCAAGTCGAGACTGCCTAGCCTTCTCCTCAGCAGCCAAGGCACTGAGTTGCTGGATCTGCTCTCCCAAGAAGTCACGCACTAGAAACTTCAGGGGCATTGGGAAATTGCAAACATCAACTCTGCCGCTAGATCCTCTAGACCGAAACTTCGCAAGAGTAATCCAAGTATTAATCTGGTGGAGATGATTCGAGAAATATGCATAAGAAAAAGAATGTGGTCAAGGAATAGCAATTACATACTATGTAAAGCGCACTCGACATCAGTGAGCTGCCAGGATCTTTGTTGATGTTGGTCTAGTAAAATTACACACTGCCGCAAGCTCTTTTTATGTAAAGGCGTCGATTGCCGGCGCACGACAAATCACGACCAAGATATCACGTCATGATAACTACTTCTAACTATGTATAAGTGCTGTGTATCCTTCTCGTCCTTAATACCTGAGCCATAGACAACTTCCGACTACAGTTTGCATCTTGCTGCGCTTGCCGACGCGCTATCTCCTCACTATCGAGCTCCACGATCGTTTTTTTCCAATTTTCGAAGCCCTCGCCTGCTCGCACTAGTACGTCTGATAACGTCTTCTTTTGCGGTTGTTCGCTACACAGTGTGGAGTTTATTGCCGATGTTGAGCCAGGAGCTCCTAGCCGAGAATTCGAGGTGCTTGATGAAGATGCAGCTGCAGCCGCAGCTGGTTGCGGCCGAGCAGCAGCGGCTGCAGGTGCAGGCACGGCTGCTGGAGGAGCAGCTTGCCGATTGTCCATGTCTTCTTTGTATAATTATGGTGCATTCGGTGTTGTTAGTATCAAAACATAGTCGTGACCGTTGATCAACATCAAGGAACTCTCAACTATAATTTCCGAAAGTAGATGCTCACTCAAATGATTCGGTATATTCATGATGATCTATGACCACGAGTCTAAAGATTTTTTCATTTTTACATCGTTACGACTGGAAAAAAATCTCTCGAGTCGTGGTGCACAAAGTTATTATACGACCTGGCTTTTTTACTGCCGGCTTCTCAAGCAGGTGGTCTCTCCTCTATTGCCCCAATTCCATAAGCTACCGACGTCGCCGTATTTTCCCTAACGCTAAGACACACATGATAGATCAATCTTGATCCAAGGTTTCCCTCTCTTCTTGAACCTTCAGCTAAAACACGATGCTGAAAAAGAAAGCCTGCAGAAGTACTTGTACTTTGCTCAGAATGAAGCCGCATAGCCCGAAAAATTCCATTCCGTTATCTGCAAAGATGGGTCATACATGTGAACCTGCCTCGTCTGCGGCACGACGGACACTGTTTGTCTTGACGAACTGGAGGCGCAGCTGCTCTGTTGTATCTTCATGCAGAAGTACAATAACAATTAGTCGAATAGAAAACGCCGCTTATGATACTCATAGCGTAGGAAATATTCATCTAGCTCGAAGATAGAAATCTTAGTGTCTGTTTTGTTCTTCATCATCTCTCTCCCGAGAGTCCCATCGTGAATGGGATGGGCTCGGCATGATTGATGAGGTCATCCAAGCTTTGCTGCTGAGTCACACCAGCGTCGTCAGCTTTGGAGAGCTCGATCTGTATGATGGTTGCGCTTGTCACATCACCCGTGAATATCTTGGAGAAAACAGTCATGTGTAGCGAGCACGACTTGTGAAGTTCAGCACGAAGTTGCGGCAGCGACAGTGGACACAACTGGCCACTTGGAAGCCTCGGATAATCCGGCCTGTCAAGTAGTTCCTGCGTCACCTCTAGCGTTGGAATACCTGCCAAAAGATTGTCACGGAAGCATCGCAGAAGCCAGACTGCTGCCTTTTCCTGCGTTTTATGGATTACACTGTGGAAGGCGTCAAGGTAGTTCACGGCGCCCGCGGACATGCCCGACCGCTGTGGCCTTTCCTCCTCTCTTTCCAGGCCTCGGAGCACCCCATTCACGGCAATGTCGAAGCATTCTTGGTTTGCTCCCGTCTCTGAGAAGCACACGAATAGAGGCAAGCTCTCGCAAGTCGTGGGATCACGCAAAGCGCCTCGAAACGCTTCCCTTTCCCGCAAGTCCTCGAAGTCATCAAAGTCGTCGCCGTTAGCCTTCTCAACAGTGTAGCCCTTTCTCTCCAACACCTCGAAGACAACATCAAGCCGCACAGGCTCGCCGCTGGTCATCTTCGGCGCTTTGGTACAAAGTTCCTGCGTTATCGGAACTCGATGAACGCCCTGCCCCGCTTGCGAGTGAACATGCTGAAGGTAGAAGTTTACCGCCCGCAGCCGATCTTGGTCCCTTCGCAGTGTGAGCATGTCGGCCGAAAATTCGTAACCAGTGCAATGGTCTGCTGCAATTGCAGAAAGCGACTGGATCTGCCTCCCGAGAAACTCAGCGATAATATTCTTGATAGGGGACGGGAAGCTGCGAGCTCCTCCACTACTAGACACGGCACTTCGACACTGTGCAGCAACACCCCAAGAACTTATCTGGCGCAGTGTTTCATTATTCAAGTTTTGTTGTGTGTTTCCGGTCGCCTATCAACAAAAAGAAGTGGAAGCTAGTAGCCCCTTTTTCGTTTAGCGATTTGTTTTCGAGAAGAAGATAGAGTCATCTGCACATTGATGCCTAATCCTAAATCGGGCGCGAAATAAAACCAGAACTGGAGAAGTTGCAAAGCGAATGTATATCATACCTGAGCCATAGCTAACTTACGACTGCAATTGGCGTCTTGGTCAGTTTGTCGACGCGCTATTTCTTCACTATCGAGTTCCACGATTCTCTTTTTCCAATTCTCGAAGCTTTCGCCTGCTCGCACCAAAACGTCGCTTAGCGTCTTCTTTATCGGCGGTTGTTCTTTAGTCAACGATGTTGAAATAAAGCTAGAAGCTGTTTTCTGAGGATTGGTGGAGCTGCTGGACGAAGATGCAGCTGGAGGCGCAGCTGCGCGCCGCTGAGCAGCAGCATTTTCAGCAGCCGGCGCTGCTGCTTGTAAGTTGTTCATAATATTTTGTCGTCGTGTATCGGAATACAACTGGAGTTAGTGACGTAGAAGCTAGACAGCGACAAAGCAAGCTCCTTGCTTCAGATGAAGAAGTAGTAGAAGACCACGACTATGAAGTAGATCTAGATCTCATTTCTTATCTTAATCTTGTTTATCTTCTAGTTCTAGTAGTGCGGAAGTACAACATGATGATAGTTGATGTCTCATCTCTTGCTTTTGTTCTATTCTTTTCTCAAACTAATAGTTTCTGATTCATGGAGGCGTTCCAAACAAGGAATCAGTGAACAAGTCTGTCAGGGAACAATTGTCGAGCTGTGCTTTCTTGGCGTACTAGCAGATGACATTATATTATGAGGTAGGAGACGAGATGACAGTGATCGCGTTCAAGAACATACAGGAAGAAGCAGAAAAAAGCTTGATGAAAAAAACTCACTCGTGCAGCACTTTGCGGTCCACGTCACTTTGCGATCGATATCGCGATCCTTGTTGTTGTTCCTAAGTACATAATTTCGTTCTGCCTGCAGTGTCACTGGCATCAAGATCATATTCACTGGCAGCAAGATACCTCGACGCAGCAAGATTCACGAAACCGATTCAGAAGCATTCGATGATTCACACGCAGATGCAGTTGCTCTGCGCAACAGCCTTAACAGCGCTGGTCTGGTGTGACTTATATGATTTTGCCTTAGGTTCGCTACGTCAATTTCCACTGTTCAAAACAACTGTCAATATTCGGATTGCGCATGCTCATGTTGCTTTCCTTGTCCGTTGGCGTTGCGTAGGAATTAACATCAAAACAATCTTAGATTGATAATTAAAGTCGAACTCCGGATAAAAGCAAGTATTCAGTCCAACTCATCCAGTTCATTCATTTTCAGAGTCTTAGTGCTGGTAGTTTCTGCGGTATTGGTACCAGTTTTTGGTCCGATATAGACTCCAGGAACATCTTCTATCGTCTTACGCCTATCGGGTGGTAAGAACTTCTGAGCACCATCACTAGCAGAAACTTTGGCGTCCGGAGCGCCACTAGAAAAAGCTTTTTGCCCGTTCTCATCGCTCCCTCGTCGAGAATCTTCATCTTCTTCTCTGATCAACATAGAACAAGAGATCATATTGTTCGTTTTCGTAGAGGGAATAGTCGAAGAGTACGTTGAGGTAGTCGTAGACGAAGACGCCACAACTTTTTCAGCCACCTGCTCTTCCTCCTTACCCACAGGATTCTCGATTAAGTACTGCGTAACTCGGGATTCAAAGTCATCCCGTTCCCCAACTTCAGGGTTCAAACTAGGAGCGTCGAGGCAGGAATAAGTAGCCCGTCTTCTCAGTTCCTCAGCATCCGCACATTGCTCGCTTTCCTCTGCATCTATCTGCCCCTTCGATGTTTGACTCGTCTTGGTGGAGCAAGAGTTAGAGCTCGCATCATCTAGCTACTTACTTAAAATGGATGATTCATCTTTTTCTTGACCACAAGCAACTTCTTCAGTAGCAGTCCTCCGTTGACGTTCTACACGTACCCCTTACTTATTAAAGACAGTCAAAATAAATTGACTTAGAAGATTAAGATTACGAAAGAAAGCCTTAACGCCCGAAGCTCCTGCGCCATCGCTGCCATCTCGGACCTCTTCCTCTGTGAGCGGTCGAAAAGAGTCCCATTCGTTTTGCACTGTCTCTCGGAAATGTTGCTCCCGTTGTTCTTGCCGTTTGAGGTATTCATAGTACTGCGCGTGACGCTCGTTCTTTTTGTCCTCTTGGGCATTAGAATTTCCAACACGCGTCATGTTCAGTCTTCGTGGACTTCTTCTAAATAGACTTTGTGAATCTTCGTACAACTTCTATTGCCATCAACACGTTCATCTGAAATCATAAGGAATTACCACCTTCACTTGTATAAAGATTGGATTCTACTTCAAAAGATGAATTTATAAGGCATTACCACCTTCACTTGTATAAAGATTGGATTCTACCTCAAAAGAGCTTGAGCTGTCAACCCTTAACTTTCCGTATCCGAGCCAAAGCGAGTTCTCTTTGCTTGGAGACCCAATGCTTCCGCTCTTCCCAGTCCTCAGTCGGCTTAGCATCCTTCAACGACTGCTTATACTTTTCCCTAGCTTTTCGCTCTCCTTCTGCACCACCATCTTCAATATAAGCTCTCGCGAACTCCCTTTCCCGGCTGAAGACCTTGTGAGGAGGAGGAGGAGATCAAGCAAAATTATGATTACCGTGGAGGTGGAAGCGAAGATAGAGATAGAGATAGAGATAGAGTTAGAGGTCCTTGAAATTGAAAAGAAACGAAAGCAAGTTTCAACGCTCAAAATTGATACCAAGAAGTCCATCATCAACCCGAAGGAACCTCCCCTGCTAAATATGATGCAGTTATTCTAGACGATAGTGGATTAGTTAATCTTTATTAGGTCCATAACTAACACCAATCTAATACACTATGAATCAATACCGGCGCTTCATCCAGATATTTCAGTTTTGGCAGTTCCACGAGCATGTGTCTGCGATAATTCGTCAAGTGTCGGAGACCAGGATTCCTGTGGAAGTACAAGACTTCCAAGGTCTTGAACTTCTTGAAGAAGTTTGTCGCATCTGGAACAGAAAAATCCGCAAATTGATTCCAGGAGATGTCGAGGTTTGTGAGACTGGGCAAAGACAGCAATTCCTTGGCCATATCCGCTGCAACAGCAGTTCGGGTTCGGCGACCGGCAGCCAGAGAAGTAGCGGAAGTACTCCGCGTGTTGCCGGAAAGACCGCCGCCTCCTGAGGTGTCGCCACGCATATTGGAAATCGAATCCGTATTAGAATCTTCGCCACCTCCGGAACTACTGTGATCACCTTCCGCTTTGTCGTCGTCCTTATCAAGATTAACATCATTCTTGTTGTCATCGTCAAGATCATCGTCGTTTGATGTAATGTTGTAGCGTGTTGCACCAGGTGTTATTTTCTCCTCAGCTGAGGCTAGAACTTCAAGTTCCTCTTCCTCTTCCTCAAGGATCGAATCCAACGCATTGCCACCTCCTGTCGACACTGCCTCACCTAGACGGCCTTCGAGTTGTGCTTCTGTCGGGAAACACGAAAGCTGGTTGTGACTCAGGTTGAGGTTTCGGAGTTGAGTCAGATGCCGTAGAGTGCCGAGTGTTAGAGGCCAAGTCAAGAACTACTACATTGTGATGAAGCAGAAGTTCCAATTATGATCTCTAATTGATTCATGTTCTTGGTGATCAACATGGACAAGATACTGTGATTAATTCATTCAGGCCATTCGTACCGCGAGATTGGGACACCGACCCAAGCGACCCCGCTTAGCACGGCAAGTGGTTTGAACCGCGAGAAGTGGTTTGAAGGTGTACATCATAACAGTTCCAGCACTCGGATCTGATTGTAGCTCAGGTTTAGCTGCTGCAGCTTCAGATTGTACTCCAAGCCTTCAATTCGTGTGAGGGTATTCGATTGCAGCTGCAGCGAGACAAGGTGCGAGAGTCGACCTAGGTTGCGTATGCGTGCCATACCATTGAAGCTCAAATCCAAATGGCCAAGGTTGATGTAGCGGTCGAGTTCTGCGGGAGGTTCCTGGTGGTTAAGAGTGTTTTGAAGAGTATTTATCAGGGATTCGGATGCTGGCGTTGAGACTCTGATCCTGCCGTCTGCGGAAAGCCTGCAGACATCCTGCAGACATCGTACGATAGACACGACTCAGTCAAACTCCTCCTCTTCTACGCGATGACGACGAGTACATGATCAGTGATGTAAGAGCAAGTCCAACCACAAACTGTAATACCTGAAATCCTTTATGATTCAGGACTATGCGCTTGTTGAGATGGGGAAGCGCGTATCCCTCTTTGCCGACCATCTCGTCTGGGGTGCAATGCACCGAACAAGCGCTCGCATTGCCACGTGCATTGCCGACCGAAATAAACGACGGTGGTGCTATAGAATCTGCAGGCATGCTGGGCTTGGTCGATGAAGAATTATGCTTGTGAAGTTAGTATAATTGTGATGAAGGAGCTGTTGAATTTGTCAAATGTGGACGTGATCGTTGCCTATGCTTGCTTTTTGGAGAAGGTCGCGGTTTGGAGGAGGCGCCACATTTGAAGGTTTCCAAAGATTTTCGATTTCATCGCCGTTTTCCAAAATTCAACGACCGATTTTAATCGTTGTCTCCCTTCTTCTAATTCCACGCCATCGCAGGGTAATCCTCGAGTGCCTCCACTTGTTTTTTGGACGTTGAGAAGATGCTTGGATATTTACCAATACAAATCGACAGCGTACTATATAAAGCTTCTTATCTGTCCGACAAGGAAAGCTGGCTATCATCCATCTACTTCTTGGGGAAATTCAGTCCAGATTGTATTATAGAGTCTGCTCGTATTCTAGGCATGTGCTAGAAGTGTTCGTTGTCATATTTCTTGCAGAAGGTTGTGATTATATAGTTTACACGACTGAGATCTTGATATCCTTGAGGATACGAGATCGATTATAATCTTGACTTGCAGTTTGACAATATACGAAATAGGGATTTGCAATAACTGCTATACCACTTCTGTATCATTGAAAATGACTAGTACACTGTACATTACACTATAATATGCTGCTAAATTTGGTTGCATGTAGTTCACATCATCGACACACGACAAGCTTGATTTTTGAACTGCAAGACCAAGACAATTCACCCATTCATCCTGGTCAGCGCGGCGGCACCTTATAGCGAACTGAACAGCATCGCCACTGTATTCTACTTAAATCCTGAAAGAAGAAGTTTGTTATTCTCGAGCTATTAAGAATCAGAGTGATTATGAATTAGGATTTTTTCAAGTATAGTACTTGTAGTTTGTCAGATCAAAGCTATATTTTTTGTTGAAAGTGCCAGTGCAAACGTATATCTTTAGCTCCTGTGTAGTTCTAGAAATTTTTCATTTTTATCATGTTCTCTATTGTTTTCAACTGTACATACTGAAAGTTTTCTCTATCGAAACGTGAAAATTATTTGATCATGAGATCCTAAAGTACCACCTTTTTCATTTGCACATACATTTGAGATCTAAACATATTCAACGTACGCACATCTAAAAAAAATCTATTCTTCTTCAAAATCACTAGGGGGATCGAGTAAATCTTCTCCCTGGCTGTACGTCCTTTGCTGCCACAATCCATCTCTGACCTGCTCAACTCGTTTCAGGCATATTCTGGTGTCTCCTGGATATTCTGCACTTGCCCTCATCTGGGAATGAATTTGAATTAAAAGTAGATAAAATCAAAATTTCTTGGATTTCTTCTTGAATTTGAAAATTTGAAATTCAAAAATTCAAATTTCGAATTTGAATTTCAAAATCTGAAATTCAAAAATAACTGTTTCGTGAATTTGACTAAACTACCTTTAAGAAGTACCAAAGTCAGCAACTCGTGCGAATTGAGATCCACTCCAAATTTCTCCTTGCAGTATTGCCAGCATTCCTCTCCAGTGGCGAAATGCACTGGACTATCCTCGTCTTTGACAAGCAGCTGCTTGATTCTTCGATCGACGATGTGGGTCAATGAGGCGAAGGGGAACGTCTTCGCGTGAGCCTGCATAAAGCGCAGCGTGTACTCGTCCGCTTTGGTTAGGTAGAACTCGTGTGCAATCAGCTTTAGCCGGCAACCGACGTAAAGATCAGAAGGACGGAAACTGAAGTGAAATAATATGGAGTTGAAGATACAGCTACAGGCTGCTAAAAAGCCATAGCTTGCTGTAGGTGACATGCACAAAGACAGCTTGTTTGACTTTGAACGATTGTTCATCAAAAACATGATTGTAATGAAAATTCAGTACTTTCGTCCTCCTTTCTTCGCGTTTTTCAGTGGTCCCCGCTGGATAAAGATCCCGCCTAGAAAGCCACTATTCTGCTTCCGCCGTTCAAAGACGCTAAGTGTATTGTCGGAGACGTAAAATGCTAGAACAAATGTCCTGATTTTATCGGCTTCTGAGCTATGCAATAGCTTAGCCTCGAACCGCATAACCACGTTCTGAAATGCAGCCATACGTGCTCCGTCACGTGAGGAAGACTTGGTAGTCTTTCTAGTAATTGTGGAGGGTCTGCTTCCTTCAGGACCTTCTTTGTCCGCAGCCATACTGCGTGCACTGCTTAATACTGGAGTCCTCGCTGTTGCACTACTCGTAGTGCCTTTAACCACTACAACATGTTCATCATGACCATCTTCAAGGCTACAGCATCCACTTCCTCCCAATACTTGCTGCATTTCCCCTCCACCACGACTACCTGACCTCTTCTTGTCGTCTCCCTTCTTCGACTTCACAACATTGAACTTCTCTGCTAAGCCAGTGGGCTGAACGATGTTCGGAAAGTGACGGGCATAGTAGGCTCTGCTTCCTTCGTCGCAGTCGTAGAGGAACAATTTCTGTCCATAGAGTCGAAGCACCTCTCCACAGAGCAAATGCTCTGCTTGAACTAAGTCGGATACGTTCGCGGCTGTGGTGGATCGATGATATAGAAGGCTGAGAAACAGGAACAATAGACCAGAATTCGCATTCTGCAGTTGCATCAATCAAGAATGAAAAATGATAGTGCGAACTCCTAATCTCGGAATGCTCTGTTCACGCTAAAAAACAAGTACGAACTCCTAATCTCGGAATGCTCTGTTCACGCTAAAAAACACGAAGTACGAACTCCTAATCTCGGAATGCTCTGCTCATCCCCTGTTGTCTCCACTTGAGCCCGCTTGTGCACGCGCTTTCCGCTAGCATGATCTCTAACTTCGATCGACGAGTCTTCAGGGTAAAAAACCACGATGTAGTAGACCCGTACTCGATGCTTGTTCTCCGTAAAGGCGAAGAAACGAAGGACTTCTTCCTGTGGTGAAATTTTTCTATGGCTACTTTCTAATTCTATGATTCATGATTTATTTCATCTTCCAGAATGATCATCATAGTACTAAGACTCTACTAAGAATCATCATGCTAGCATCAGGAACATCGTAAGTCTAATTTTTTTACGTTGATACCTGCTCGCCGTCCCCGCCTCTCGGCGTCAGCATATTCTTTGCAGCAGACGCGGTTGTGATTTTGCGACTTGAGTCGAAGAGCTTCTCCCTCTGACGCTCGTTGATCACAATCTGGTTTTCTGGCGTTTCTTCTGGCAGACCAGCTTCTAAGCCCTGATCTCGATAGTAGTTTTCGGTAAATTTATCCATTCCAGTGAGGCGAATGCCACGCCCATACACTAGCACAGTAGATCCACATCGAAATTTGGATAGGGTGACTGGGTTACCTAGTAGGATAGAAGAAGGTGGTGGAGATGAAGTCACTGAGGACCGAGGACTGAGTGATGATGGAAGAACAAGTAGAAATAAGTTATTTCAAATAACATGAAGATGAAACTGTGATAGCGTAGTTAGCATTATACCCTTGCCATCTTCCAACTTAATCCTCTTGAGGAAATCTCCATGCGGCATCCCCTTTTCCTGTTTCGGCTCTAGAATCGCCACTGTGTCGTCGTCTAGAAAGTAGTGCAACACAAGCTCACGAAGGCGACAATTCTCGACCGGCGAGTCCCGAACCGCTTCACAGAAGTAGCCATAAAATCGCAAGACGACTCCACGCGGAAAACGAGGTGGGGGCTCCACGGCGTTGAGCTTGCTCATCTGTGTCTTGTTAGCGGATTCGGAGAAGGGATCCCGCGTACTGAGAAAGCGAGCAGGACGAGGAGTCAAGATGGAAGGAGCTTGCTGTTGTAACAAAGTAGGCATTTTAGATGTAGTTTTGCTTGTTGTTGCTGGTGTTGAATTTGATACTCCTACTTTTCCACCTGTTACACTCAGATCTAGTTGCGGCACCAAACCCATCATCTTCTTGTCATCCACATCGCCATCCTGCTTCTTTGATGATGTCCTCTTGTTCCCCACTCTCTGCGCTGTCCACCGACTCGAGAAGCTCATGTATTTCGCTAGATTCATCAGCTTATCCCGAGTTGTTTCCCGTTTGATCGTCTTCTTGTTCGCCACATTAGCGGCCGCATCAGTGGTAACTTCCGCGCATGCAGGGGCAGCTGCAGCTTCTTCTTCCATGTTGTTCTTGATGTCTACGACCTGCTTGTCTGGACTGTCAGTGAGGCCAGGAATATCCTCCCAGTGGGAGGGCTGTTTCACGAGAAGTATAGGTGGCATATTTTTCAAGACTTCTGTTTGAAGAACAAGATGGTATAAATCAATGCATTTTATTCAGATACTTTGTACTTGCTGAACCGTTTTCCTAGTTTGATGGCGATCTCAGTTGTATAAATATGTATTCCATCAAGTTATCATGTCTTCATTCTTCATTTTTCTTGCAGCTATGATTTTGTATCCGCGACCACCATTTTATCTTATGCCAAAATGAGACGCTACAACAGCGATGACTGCTTGTTTCAATTTCAATGACACGCCACAAAAATAACTCAACATAGCTCTCAGCACTCTCTCTCGCCTGTCTCTCGCAAAAAAATCCCTCACTTCTTCTTTGTCGTCGTCATTGTCATGCACTCTTCCGTACACAGCGGTGCCACTTTTAGGTGACGTTTGTATCTTCCTGGACAGCGAGCGCTGTCTTTGATAGTTGTAAGTACAAAGAACGATGTTCGTTGTTCTGAAAAAAAAAATCGCGAAAAACAAGCAGACATCAGGCCTTCCTATCTGTTCTCAAAAACGGATGTTCTAATGTCGCTGCAGCGGACGGTCTTCTATCTGGATGTAGTGTGAGCAAAAAGCGTAAAAAACTTCGAAACTCAACATCCAGAATATCTTCTTTTAGCCGAAAGACTTCTGGGGGCCTATTTTTGCCTCCACCTTTCTTCCCCTTGCCTTTTCCTTTGGTATGACTGAGACTGTTGCTAGTACCTCCTGAAACAACTTCATGCTCTATAGGCTGAACCTTTGCTAACAAGTTCCCCTTCCGACATTCACCCGAGCTAAAGGCTGAAGCAAATAAACTACCAGCTGTACTAGTTCCACTCGTAGTTCCGTCATCCGATAATGCGGCTTCCATCAACCCCATCTGCTCCACGTCATCATGCGAATTAAACCACATCCTTCCGCTATACAAAAACAAAAATACGCAAGCAAGGCACCAGATGTCACTTTTTTCGTTCCAACCTTTTTTGGTATCCAGTAGAATCTCCGGTGCTCGAAATTGTCTCGTATTAATCGGCCGAACGTGTCCATACTCCTCTTCATAAGCCATGTTGCCGAAATCCATAACGCGGATCTCTGTGGCACGTGGTCGTAGATAAGGATGCTTTTTCAACTCGTTCGACGTCATGGCTTTACTTCGTTGCACTTGCACTGGCCATTTTTGGATGTCGGGGATTTCCTCATAGAGGTGTGTTCGTAGAGCAGAGCGTTTGTCTTTGTGCCCGTCTTTTAGAAATAGGTCGGGCAGCCCTTCTTGGTCGTTTCTTCTCGGAAGTTGCTTGGCTTTTTCAGCAGTTGTGACCTGTCCTCGTGGTCGTTCTGGTATTCTTGAAGCCGGCGAAAAGGCATTGATGGCATTCTTCGCACTTTCACTCCTAAGAGCACCTTGTTCAAGTCCAGGATACGCCAACATGATGTTCTTGTGCTTGAAGTCTGTATGACAGGCACCCAATCGATCATGTAAGTATCCTGCTGTCTGCAACAGCTGGCGAGCGTACTGCCTGATATCCTCTAAGAACATGCCACGACCACGGTTTTTCTCAAAAACGAACTCATGCAAAGTGCAATCTAAAGGTTCGCAGGCTAGAGCGAGATAGGAAAGTGGTCCCTTGATCATGTTGTTGCTATCCCTATCCGCAGATTCTGAATAAAACTCGAATGTCTCAAATAGCCGCACAACGTAATGCTCCCGTTCTGTCTTGGTCATATCTTCCAGTTCAGAGATCATTCGCAAATTCTCAGCTTCGATGCGAGCGTCGTTGACGTACTGATTGTACTTCTGCAAAGGACGCATGATCTTCAAGGCTACGGGACCAGAAGCTGATGTACATGTAGCATCGTCAGTAATATCTCTATGAAACGAAAATCTGTTATCATTATCAAGTTTCTTAAGTAGAAAAGTACGATAATGATAACAGATTTTGGCTTCATAAAAATCTCGTCTTTCGGTCTCTTCCTGGTTCATTTTCTGACACAGCGCGACGACACCGAAGCTTCCACGACCTACCTTACGGATCACTTTGTATGCGGCCACAGGAGACGGCGCGGGCGCAGTTGTAGTATCATCATGATCGCCGATCACAATATTTTTCCCTTTCAGCACCATTCCCTCTACAATCGGCTCGAAGAAATTAGCCGCCTCGATGTCCATCCTGCTGTAGTCGGGTAAGAGTCGAGGTTTCCGATCTGGATGCCGAGTCGTTGCTCCTCGATTAGCAGATGAAGAGGATGATGATCCACCCACCTGCTCCACCAGCTTTTCCTTCTGCTTCATTTCCTGCTCCAACACAACCAGCGCACCTTCTTGAGCCCCGTCCTTCATCTCTCCTTGATGTGGTGCTCGAGATGAACGTTGGTTCCATCGTTTCGGTTTGCTGCGCTTGGCGTTTGCAGTAGAGCTTTCTGGTGGTGTCGCGTGTGCAGCATCGGTGGAAGGAGAAGCAGTTGCTCCTGTTGTAGAGGACATGTTTTTGGACGAGATGTCGGGTCGTCACTTATGAAAGACTGTTAGCTATAAATTGATGCATTTTGGATTTCGATACCCGCCGACTGCAGAAGCAGACAGAGAGACTCATTCTAGTTCTACCCACACACTAGGTAGAAACCGATATCGACACCGAGATTCTTCTAACCTGGAGGTACTTCCAAATCTGTTAATACCGATGAAAGTTGTGGATCATGCAGCTGAATCAATCTTGCCGTTTCTCAAAAAAATCACTGTGGAACACCCAAACGTAAACTTTTCCAGTAGCGAAAGAACCAATTCAATCGCATCAGCACCGTCCGGTGTCTCACGACCAAAAGATTAAATCTGCAAAATTCAAAATTGTTGTAGAACTAGAACCATTCTACATTTCTATCAACACTTATGTCGTTCTTTATGAGGTTACTGAGGCTAAAAAGGGATTCTTATTCTTCACATCTTCTTGATCGTCCAATATGGCGTTTTTCTTATGCACAATTGCTACAAAGTTTTTTACATTAATCTCCCAATGTGTTTCGTCTTTTTCTCTTAGGATGCACGCGCGTTCTCCATTCAGAGCTGGTATCTTGCGCAGGCCAACAATTGTACACATTTTACCAGAAGTTGATGGCGTTCCTGTCGGGATAGAGGTAATGCTATTGCTCGGCTTCACTCCTGCTCCTCCTGAGGGAGGGGCTTCGAACATTTTGCGTAGTTTATCTTCTTGCTCTTGTGCTGGTGGGGCATCGCCACGTGCTGTATTCTTGAACTTGATAGAGGACTCGACTTGCCCAGCGAGGGGGCCTGAAATCAGTCCTGCTGCGGACGATATGGAGGCTTTTGATGTAATTGAAGAAGCCGTGGCAGTAGTTCTTGGAGGCATCGCACCAGTGCTGCTAGGACCACCAGCAGGACCTACATGATTCGTACTACCGTTGTTTTTATTCGCAGTTGATGTTGGTGCTCCAATCCGAGGACTCGCGAAATGATCTTGCTCATCCTCTGTGACTGCCTTTAAAACACTTGAAAAGAAGCTGGAAACACTAGAAACTACACTACTCAGCGCTTCCTGGTGCGGCGTGGTAGGTGAAGGTTGAGGCGTCGCGCTAGTTGAGGACGATGCTGGAGTCTGCTGATTGGGAAGTTGTCGGGGAGTCTGCTTACTACCAGCTGTTGATGTGGCATGATCAGCTGCGTCTCCACCACCTGGTATAATTGACTTCGGTTTCCACGTGCCACTGGATGTTGATGTTCCACCTGCTAGTTTGCTTTTTGACCCTCCATTTGAGGATAGGGGATGGACTGAGGCTGGCTTACTCTTTGGCGTTGCGCGTGCGTCAGCTGGTGCTGTCGCACGAGCAGCTGCGACATCACCTGGCGGCGGTGGTGGTGGTGGTAGCACTGGTATCTTCGTTGAAGAGGGTGTGGTTTTCGGCGCAGTACATGTATCAGGAGCTGCAGTTGACTCCGTTTCTGGCGGCGACGCTGCTGGCGGCGGTGCATCGGAAAAGACAAAGTGGGCTGAAGAGGAAGTTGTAACTGATGTTGATGTTGATGGAGTTGTAGTCGTAGTAGTGCTTCGAGGTTCAGGAGCAACGTAGGATATCACGTTATTGCTAGGCGAAAATGCAGGCACGATAGGTGGAGGCGGTGGCGGTGGAGGTGGAGGTATCTTCTTCCCGGCCACAGGTGGTGCAGCTAGTGATTTTTCTTTCGTCTCAGCAGCAGCGTCAGTGCTCAACGCTGGTGCACCAAGAGGTTTTTCTTTCTCTGCACCAGTGTCTGGTGTAGATGTTTTACCCTGATTTTTGTCACCTTGCGTATTGGCTTTTCCCTTTGCACCTTCGGGTGATGTCGTCTTCTGCTCAACCATTCCTGTAGTTGCTGCGCTCTTCTTCGCACCTCCTACTTGTCCAACTGCTTCAGCAACCTTCTCTTGCTCCACAAAAGTTGCAGTCTTTTTCTCCTTCACACCATTCCCAGAAGTACTACCTGCCTTTACGTTTAGTCCCTCTCTTGATGCTCCTTCTGGCGATCCTGGCGTCGCCGCTGGAGGTTGAAGGTTTCCCATACTATTACTAGCTACAACATCGTCTTTTGGCGTCTGCACGACCATGGGAGACGTCGATATGCTGGAGCCGCGTGTCCCTGGTCGCCCAAGGTCTCTCCATGAGGAAACGCCGGAGGAAACTGTTTGAGATAATATTTGAATTTGTTTTAACAAGGTACTATCAAAGAGCCAAAGCCGGCGCCTATGGAGGAAGATGACGAGGAAAAGATAAAGAACATAATTGGAGAGCATAAGCAGGAAGTTCGAATGATGAAATAATTGTGGTGATTAAATTGTGTGTGATTGAATGATGAAATAATTGATGTGGTGATCATTGAAGAATAAATTAATATGAAGTGACAGTCCAACACTTCCAGATTCATCAAAGTTCAAGTAGTACCAACGCTCGCATTCGTCCCATCTTGATCTTCCAGCGCGTCTTGTATCCTCTGTTGTGACGTATTTCTGCCAAACCATCTGCCACTCACAAACTGCGTCACATAAGAGGTAAAGTTGTTCTCACCCTTCTCCGCCGTCTCCGCACCCAAGGGTTCGACGTTTCTCCTATCAATGAAGTGCGGCGCATTGTCGGTTTGCTTGGCTAGTTCGCGTCTGAGGAACAGAATTTTCGCCATGCCTTTCTCGACCGCAAGGACTTTGGCTAATTCACCATTGAGCCAAGCTTCACGTTTGAGACCACGCAAGCAGACGACCATACCTGGCTCGACTTCCTTCGTCAAGGCAGCTCCTGCTCCTGTCATTTTCGCACCAGCCCCCTCAAGAAGACCTCCTGAACCTCCTGCTTCTCCACCTCGCGTTGTAGAAGGCGATCTATTCAAAATCTCGTTGATCTGTTCGATCATTTCGGTATTGCTAGTCACCGAAGCGCGCTCACTGTCGGAGAAACACAAGGCGAAACTGTCGATATCGGAAATTGACAGTACACGGCTAGCAAGAGAAGGCCCACTGCCAACGGACACGCCACCTTTAACTCTTTGTCTCGCTCCACCCTCTGATACGACGACCCATGATGCTGCAGCTGTAGCAGAAGTTGCAGTAGTTCCATTTTGATGTTTGGTGGTTGTATCATTCACCGCACCATTTTTTGCAACATTGTCGCCTCCAGTCGCAGTCGTCGGCGATGACATCAAGGTCGGCGGTGGAGGGGGAGGAGGAGCGGGAGCAGCGGGAACACTGGAGGTTGTCGCGGAAGGTGGCGGAGCAGACCCTCTTGACCTCGCCTGCGTACTAGCATTCGCATTGGTACTCATCTTGATGATTTGTTCTATACTAACTTGGTCGATGTTATGATTGATTCGGTAAGGAAAAAGTGGTTGAAGATGTAACGGAGACCGACGTCTTGATGTAGATGTTAACGTTATCGATTAATAGTAATACCATTCAAAATTTCAAAAGGGATAATATGCCTAAAAAAATCGAATTATGTTGAATGTTCAATGTTGTTTTTTATCTCTTTATGATCCCGGATCCGGTTCCGGACGATCTACTTCATTATTTATCCGCGAAAACTCTTGTACGTGCGATTCGACAAGAACAATGAAGTCAAGAAACTCGCATTGGTCTATCACAATCAAGTCGATTGTGCTGGGGTCGGAGCAATGAGCGGGCTACGCCAGGGAGGAAACAATCTTGAAAAGTCGTTGTGTGGCGCACAACTTTACTTCGTCTCCTGAAAATTACGAATAGATTCCTTCACGCCTGAAGAACGAGCAAGAACGCTAATGATCGCCATCTATGCGAAAATAAGCGGGCGCGTTCTTTGTTGACGCATTTGGCACTACCCGCTACTCACGTGGACACTAAGTGACATTCTTAGGGACGGTATGACCAAAGCATATTTACTATTTCCAACAGAAGCAAAAAATAGGAATTGAAAAGTGGTCTCATACATTTACTTCTTCTACTGAAAATTAGGAATAGAAAAATTCAAAAATCGGAAAAGCAAACACAAGCCAGTCAGTCTCGTCCTCGCTCGTTCAAAAACACTTAGGGGCAGAGGGCACTTTTGATCAGTCCAGAGAAGGCTATGAGCCGAAGAAAAAAATCAACCGCCTTTATCACTCGTCTTACACACCATATCTTGCCTCGTCATCCACGACCAGACCAAACAAACTCGAACATCGACAGATTTTTGTTTTATATTTGGTACATACCCTATCCCGATCCCGAAGCCGGCACAAGTGTAACACTGCTCTCATCTTCTCAAATTATGACAGATAAATCAGCAATGACAACAGCATCACAGATGTTTCTCGTTCTACCAGCACCATTTGTCAAACACTCATCTCAGACGAGTCACAGCACTACAAATTGAAATTTCTATAAACGAGGAGACTTTTAACATCTTCACTGTGTTTGTGGTCAGTTTCACTAAGTAGGTTGCAGGTTCGTTCGAGTTGTAAGTATTTCAAGTAGTATCACACAATCAGTATCACACGATATTTTGCTCATTAAATTTTCCGAACTTATTGCCATTGTTCCAGTACTAGGAGTATTATCTATCTCTAAAAATACTTATGTCGTTCTTTCGAAAGAGCTCATTGATTTTGCTTTTTTAGAATACAACGAACGCATGAAAGTAGAAGTTCAAGTTGTTGTACAGTACAAACCACACTTATCAAACTTCTATAATGTCGGTGTTCTTCTGGTACTTCCAAGCTGCATCATACACCAACAGCTACTCCCCATCATACACGACCAACAGCTACTGCCCCACAACATTAAATGCACCAACTACAGCTACTCCCCAGCACAACATTAAATGCACCAACCAGCTACTGCCCAACATCATGCGCCATTTGTTCGCTCCCTTCCCACCAGTCGCTGCGTGGCGACGTGTACATTTTGGACCAACAGCATCGAAGCCAGGCGTCTCTAAATTTCTGCTGCCACATATCTATGGAGCAGCGGATCATATCGTGATTCGCCAAACGAGCACAGCCAGTGCGCAAAGCGATTATGCTGGAGAAATCGATTGCATCAAGGATCGCACGCGAGGTCTCGCTGTAGGGAAGCGGGGATATGAACGTGAGCTAGAGGAGGAAGCGAAAGTTTTCTTATTCTTGTCGTCGCAAGAATATGATGAAGGGAACCACTTCTGTAGACTAGTACAAGTCTGCCTAAGATTCCCCGGGCGACTTCTGCCCGCTAATCCTGTTGATCCTGATAAATAGCTAACAGCCGACTACTCCAACCCGAGCTTGAACTCCTTCTGAGAACGACCCACCATCATAAAATCGAATATCCAGTCCATGAAAAAGGAATCCGGATCAATAGCAGCTCCAGGAGTGCCAGCTGTTGCGCTAGTCCTCAAGGCCAACGGACTCGATGACAGACGTAGTGGTCCTCCGGGTTCTACTATTGTGCCACTGCCACTACTCGCACTTCTACTGGTAGTTCCAAGAACACAGCTGAGCAGCTTTCTATCCCCGTCTAATCCTAGTACTTCATCTGTAAAACTACTTGCATGGCGGGTAGGTTTTTCTAGCAAGGATAAGCTAGCCTGTAGGTCTTTGCAGCTCATGGCAGTTTTAGAACGCGGCTCTCGTCGTGTGCGGTATAAGTAGGGCTGATCTTCAGGCTCTGGGGAACTACAAGGAGATATTAAGTCCACGACAACAGGAACGACATCCTCAACATGATGATGATCTTCATCTCTGACACGTCGAGGAGTATTGGAACCACTACTTGAAAACCTTTCTTGTCCCTCCTGAGGACCGGAAGGTGACGCAACATCTTCTTCTTCTCCTCTGTTTCCACTTGCAGTTCTTCGTCTTCTGGCTCTGCTGGTTCTTCTATTCCTAGTCCGAGAAGCTTCAACTGCAGCTGCTCCAGGCAAAAAAAGAGGGGGTTGACTTCTAGAACTAGATCCAGGAACCACTACACCTCCTTCTGAAAAAAGTTCTGCGTGATCGCTGTCGCGGCTGGGTGATGGATCTGGTCCTTCGACCGAAACCGTCTGGTACACTCCGTTTTGCTCACGAGGAAGCATTGGTGACCGAGGACTCAACATTGTGCAAGGACAGCGTGATGAGAGAGGGTACGAACTTGGTAACGGATCTGGAGGCATCCACTGGAGGTTTCTCATGAACGAGGCTGCTTCTTCACGATGTAAACTTTCTTCGATGTCACTGGTGCAGCAAGAACTATCTTCTTGATCGTTGTGATGGTGGAATTCTTCAACTTCTACACCAAAGCTATCTTCGGTAGGTTGAAGAAAACTTTTGCATGCGACTAGACCAATGTGGAGGCGGGATAGGTAGCAACTGAGGAGAAGGAGCAGGCGACGGGGTCGGCGTAGCATTTTGTTCGTCCTATTGGTTCGTCTTCGGTATCGTTAAACTGCTTGCGCAACTGGTGTGACAGTTGTTTCGTTCGGGTGCGACTTGTGCTCTCACGACCCTAAGGAACGACAATGAATTTTTGAATTTGTCTGGTACAACTACTACGCTATTCTCGTTTACTTAAGTTAGTATTTGTTACGGAGGAAGGTGGTCCAAAGTATATCCTGTGGAGGGGGATTCAGATTCACAAGTCGAAAAGTACAGTAGTCAGAGTAAAAGTACTTACCAGACAAGGCCGCTCGACATTCTCGCTAAAGTTAATTCAGCTTTGGGTCTTCAGCTTCACGCTAGGAACGAACTGCCACAGCGCATTCTTATAAGTAAATTTAGCTGTCCTCCATGACCGAACATAGGCACAGACCGATAAATACATAGGAAGACACCGCTTTTCTATGCGCGCACTCACATCTGCAACAGCCCATTTTTTGGCTGAGGTCGGCCGCGTGCATCTTCTCGTTCGCCTCGGATCAATGCCGTATTTTAAAATGCCCCGCCACTCCAGGGCCCACACCGATGTGATGCTTTTCACTCTCTTCACGCTAGGACCAGGGTGCTCTTCTTCATCTTCACGGGGAACAAAGTTTGACGGGGAGCCGGTTCTTCACAGGGAACAAACGGCTCATCTACTACATCCTTGCACTTCCGAACACTTCTGCTTCTGGCGGACATGAGAGTTGTACATGTACTGTCGTCTTGCAGCAAGCCTTGAAGGTTGCTCGTTTACAATCTTTTTTCGGCGCAACGCTACTCCGACTTTCCGCTTTACTCTTTGTTCTGAGCATGAGGATTGCTTTTTCGACACTTGAGGTCTTGCAAGGCTAGTTTTGCTTTCGGAGCTGAAAAACCCCGGAAGACTTATAAGTGCAGGTGTGTGATGTCATTGTTTCGATGACACCCGAGGTTCCGTGATTATTTTTCTGAAAGTGGTTGGCTATATTCATGTTGGTCCTAATCAGGATCTCGATCATCATTACCCCGCTGCTACCTACTCTACCACCTTGGTAAGTTCGACAACATCGACCTTGGTAAGTCGATGTTGTCGAACCAAGGTCGATGTTGTCGAACTTAACAAGGTCGAAGAAGTCGCTCGCCAGGGTCCTTAGCCCCCCTGATCAGAAATACAGCGATCCGTAGTAGTGAAAGGTTCCCTAATCAAAGTCTGTCAACATTTTGTGCCGCGCTATAACTAGAAGTAGAGTGATCGTGACTCAAAACCCTAAACCCTAACCCTGAACCCAGACTGTGACGAGGAAATAATCACAGTAAGGATCAAGCAGGTCCCCAACGGCTATGACTCTGCTTTAAGTACTGCAGTATTTCGTTGCGTCTTTCTTCCGGTAGGTCTCTCCAGCCTTGCATCCCGGGACGGAGCGCAACCTGGCGTATTTCGTTCTCTATTTCGTCGCGTATGGCACTCGGAAGGGCGCGCCAGCCTCTCATCCGAGGACCGATATCCCACTCTCCGTTTTCTGCACCCGCCGGCGCCCGTTTCACGCTCGCCGGCAGTTGCGTCCACTGTTCGTACGTGCGGAGCAAACCCCTTCCCATGGCTGCCACGACAATGTCTGTGCTCGACCGGAGTTCCTGCGGGATATCATCGTAGTTGTCCCAGCAGTTCGGGCCACTCAGATACCCCCTGAGCACACTGCACTTAACCACCGTCTTCGCATGGCGCACATCATTCGGTAGGGCCCGGAACTGGGCGGGCGTGAGCAACGCATGGCACACAGCCTTGGTCACCACTTCCACGTCGCGTTTGAGAGCTTCGGGTATCACGTCGTTGTCATCCCAGTCGAAATCGACTACCTGTTCTGGCTGGACACGGTAGTGCTGCGGTCCCACCGGATCAACCATATCGTTGTAGGATAGCTTTCCATCATCTCCAAACCAACGCCCAGCAGTACAATTTTTGGGCAAACGGAAATTAGCTTGCGTAATCATGCTGAGGACGACACGTGGAGCGTGCCTCACGGCGGCCGGTAGTCGCATCCAGCGCGAGCGGGTCATCCTTCTCGGCACAGGAGTGCGGTACTGGTAAATGGTTTCTGCCACCACTTCCGGAGTTAGCCACGTCGGCTCCGCTTCGATTGTTTCCCAAGACAAGTCCGGGCAGTGGGCACGCACACAAGCGGCCACCAACTCAGCCGGACAGGTTCTTGGAATAAAAATCGGCTGCCTTTCGCGAGGATCTCGAGCTCCACAAGCCGCTTCAAAAAATTCTATCCACCGTTTTCCAAGCGCCTCACGCAGCACCTCTGCATTACCTCCTTGCGCGAAACTTCGCACATAGGCAGCGGGGATCAAATTGCCTCGTGCTCGTGGTCTACTCTCACTTCCACCACCAGTGCCTTCGTTTTCTCCTGCTTGTTTTCTTCCGGAGTTCGAGTTGGCAACCTCAACTGCAATGTCCCAATCTTTTTTCGTAAGCAGCCCGTCGCGAATCCATCCTGCAATCTCCTTGCCCGTCGGCTGGAAATTCCGCCGCGTCGCGGTTGATGTGTTTCGAAGTGATTCGCGCATCGCAATCTCGCATTTGTATTGGTCTCCTTCATACGCGTAGGTCGTCGGCGGGCGCGGCGGCGGCGTCAGGAACGACGTGATTTCACCACTCATTACCTCGTCGTTACTTAATTCTACGAGCGACAGCGGCGGTGCCCGTGCCACCTCTTGTTTTGCAGCAGACTGGAGGAAGGACGGCGCACCGCGAACGAAGGGAAGGAAGGTCAGCGAAGATGTAGCTGACAGGACGAGAAGGTGGATGCAGACAAGCGCAAGAGTGGACGGCCGGCCGCTGCTGCAAGAACTGCTGATCCGACTCCCAGCCGGACTGTCGAAGTTGAGGCCCATCGTGGTGATGACGTTTGTTCAGACACACAGTTGTGGATACAAAACAAAGGAGGACTTCGACGAGTACGAATGATAAAATAAAAGTGTAGTTTTTGCTTTTGCTCGTGGCTGCGGCAATCGCGGCCGACTCTGGTGCGTGTTAGTGCTAGTGGATGTATCCCTAAACAAGGAGCTGGACCATTGGAGTTTTTTTGTCTTTATGACGAATAGTAAGAACAGCGGCTAGGCGTCACAACGCAAGAAAGCTGATATTCGAGACATACAAAAATGATCGATGGGAAGATGATCTGTGGAATTTTTGGCGGGCGCAGGCAGTGCCAAGGTGGCAGAAGGTCAAATGATTTCCGCTGCAGGTTCTTGGCTAACACGGTCATGATCTTCTACTTATGTTATTGCGGATACCCTGGCGGACGCGGAACAAGAATGTCAATGAGCAAGATCATGTACCGGAACAACAAATTAATAACATAGCTTTAGGGTCCCTGTCCCACTGCTGCGCAGCAAAAATCAGCACTCCAGCACACCAGAAGCATCTATTTTCGATTTCATGCATGATCTCGCCATCATGTTGTTACGTGAGATTCATGGATCGTCTTTGGTATCGTTAAACTGCTTGCGCTTGCAGAACACAAATTGAATCCGTTGTCTTATTTGTTGTTCTTGTGCACAAAAAATTTCATGTAGAAGTACGCGGAGTGCCAAAGCTCATGATCCATTCCACCATCTTTTTTCCGATGGTATGGAATAAAGGAAAGGGAGTCATATTCTTCTGGTTATATTAAAAAAGTCATTTGAGGATGATCAAATCAAGGGACGTATTCTTTGCGGAGCTTACTTGCATTTTTATGGAGTCTCTTCGATGGATGCTACTTCGCATTCCACCCATTATGACTCTGGAGCACCTACTTATGTATCCCACAAGTTGCCACCTCAAGCTTCCGGATCCAACTCCACCACTGCCCCGATTTCAACAGGCACACCTCGAGGCAGGCTTCCACAGCCTACGGCGAAGCGGGAATGTGAGCCAACCTCTGGCCCAAAGAGATCGCAAATCAAATCGCTAGCACCATTCACTACTTCAGGGTGCTGGGTGAAATCTGCGCCAGCATTCACGAATGCTTCCAGTTTGACAATTTTCTTTACCTGTTGAAAGAAGGTGGGAGAGAGAGGTATGTTGATCGAAGTGTTACCTGTGAGTGAAGTGGCAGATGAGACGACCCTTGCTTCTCAGTCAGCACGCTCAAAGTTCTCGACGTAAAAGAAAGGACCTTCGTTCGCCTGTAAAAAATGGAGGCCATCTTGAGTTTTTCAAGAGAGTAGAGTACCTGGGCCAGCTCCCCATCTTTACACGCTTGTCTCACAGCAGAAAGAATTCCCAAAGCGCAATATCTTGCCGCTTCTTGCGCTTTTTCCAGTGGGATCTCGGAAGTGCCGCATTTACAAAAGGTATGTAATTCGCTGCAGGTTCTTTACCGCTTACAGCGCAGACACTAGCTACTTCAAGAGCGAATGAGGTAGCAACTGGAGCAGGTCTTCATCATCACTATGGTGCAGCTTCATCATCAGGTCAATATCGCAGCTTCATCATAGAAGTTTTGATAGGAGATATAATACGCACGGAGGAGGAGGAGCGCATCCATTGCAGAATTCTCAACTAGGTCATAGTCCTGGACGAGATGGAGTACCGGAGCATGAGGTACTTCGCTGCAGGAGATGTCGAGCCTGGAATCGTCATCCCGAGGACATTTTCTTGTCTTGAAGACTGTTGAGTGAAGTCAATGTAAATAATCCGAGCAGGTGACGGCATCGGCACCTAGATGAAAGTAGCACCTCTATTTAATTGGGCAATACTTTTCGTTTCTTTTATTTTGTTTTCTCTTCTCCGGTGTCTTGCGGTGGAAGAAAACCATGTGGTCCCACGACACGCAGGAGATGCTGACTGCCACGTCGCCTGTCCCGGTCGCGGCTCCTCTTATTTGTACGCAAGAACGAAATTAACGACGAGCAGAAGTTCATAAAATATAATTATACAAGGTGATGTGAAGAGCTGCATTAGCATATGACATCAACTTCAACATCATCATGTACTAGTAAAGTCGCGGCCTCAGAAGTGGTCATCTTCATCTGTACAACCCCCGCCGTCTGAAAACATGTAGTGTTTGTTTAAACCAGGGAAAGGATGCCTGCTCTCGCAAAAACTGCGTATCGGTTTCGTCGAGTGCAAAGCCCTTGTCCTCGAATAACGCAACCACTTCCTCTGTTCCTTTGTTGAGATTAGAGACTTTGCTGGGAAATGATTCCTCATGCTATATCTAGTACGTAGTACGGAAGATAAGTACAAGAAATTCCACTTCCTCGTCTCTACTTTAAGTACTTATTTCCTTAAATATTAAAGGCGTAAAAAAGTGCTGCTCTATTAACAAAAGATTCGTTCTCCCATAATGTTGAAATGTCCGTGCCCTGGTTGATCGCCCCATGAGAGGATGAGCAAATGCGAAGCGTGTCGGACCAAATTTTCCACAAAAACAGCCTCAAATTCGTAAGGTATGTGCTCCGCGACTTCCAGAGAAAGCACCGCATCATACGCAAACCCCAATTCCAGTCTCTTCGATAGATCCGCAACCGCACAACGACCTTGTGATAATTCAACCGTATCTGGGTTGCCGTCGACGCCGCCTGCTTGAAGTGGCACGAATGGAGATAAAGAACCAGGAGGAGCACCAGTTGTACTAGAAGGAGTAGGAGTCGCCTGCTGAAGATGATTATATTGTTGTCTCGCAACAGCCGCATGGCTTCGTTTCCTCAAGTCCCTTACATAGTAGCCAACCCCACATCCGAAGTCGAACACACTCCCGGCATTGTACTTGCCTTTCACAAGTTCCCAGATGGCATCGGACAGCAGAGTGTCATGCATATGAAAGCCTACGGCATCCGCGCCACGCCATGCACCTGTGTCCTCTGCAATATCTAGGCTGGAGGGTAAGGGAATCTGCTCAGCTTCTGCGAATCTCTGCCGTAATCGGAGGAGGAGAATCAGGCAGATTAGGAGATGTAGTTGATCTTGATCTTGGACCAGGAAAAGACGAAACAGCACGGGTGTGTGAGCGTGTCTGTTGAGGCAGGTAGTAGTAATAGTATTTTTAGTAGTGGAAGTGGTATACACATTCGTGAGGTAGATAAGAAAGTTCTAATTGGCATTTGTCCCTATCATAGCAGATATTAAGAACTACATCACATTCATTGCACGACCAGGGTGTTTTTTGAATCTGAAGAACGTGAACTACGTCAAACTTATCCTTTCCATAAAAACACCGCACTCCCTTGAGCCGACATGGTTCGATTCTCGACTTGTGTCAGGCTCTGCCTTAAACTGCTCTCGAGCTCTTCATAGGGTGTGCTTTCTAGATTCCGCAACATTAAAGCCAGCCAGTTCACTACGAATTAAGTATGGGGAAATATTCCACGCAGGAGCACAGTGTCTCCATAATAGTGTTAGTCGTCCTAGTGTTAATAAATGTGGCGGAGCCCCCGACCTAACTAGAAAAAAGAAAGACCAGAGGAAGATAGAAAAGAGAAAAGGCGGAGCCGACCTAACTAGAAAAAAGAAAGACCAGAGGAAGATAGAAAAGAGAAAAGGATATAATAGAAATAAATAGTGTTCTTAATCCTACTAGTAACTCCTAGTCCTTCTTCTTGACACGACTAGCCTTAACAACAATTTGGGTCCCCACGTATCCTCCAGCCTTTGCATTTCAGGATCGCAGCAACGGGTGAAGGAAAAATCTTCTTGCCAGCATGCTGAATTCCCCGTAGGACCAAACCGTTCGACATCGCAACAATCTTGTTTGCTCACTCCACCGACCCAACAAAAATGACGGTCGAGAGCGTGGACCACGCCGGCTCCACCTGTCGTCGAATAGGGAGATTGACCGGTTGTCATTGTCAACAACAACAAACCTCCTAGGTGGAATATGTGGAGGAAAGCTGCAGATCTCATGTTGAGCATGAAATTAGCGCGGACACGAGTTGTCGTACCGGAGACGAATGTAGTTGTTGGGGCCATTTTCTTCATCGAGTCGTGTGTGTGCGTGTGATTTTTAACTGCTTCGATCATCTGAATCGAGGTAGTTGCTGGCGGTCTTTTGGTATTTTTGTTCTTGTTTGCAGCAGTGAAGAGTCTAAGTTGAGGGCACTACGGGAAACTCATGATGGAGGCAGGCGGGTCATCTAGTTATGCATACCGCCTCGCATCGGGAGATGCGTAACTCTCTTATCCTCTCTCCCACTCCAGCTCCATTCTTCTTGTGAAAGAAGATAATCTCAACAACGTCACTTACGCGGAGGACTACCGATGTAGTTGTACTCTATTTATTTGCTCCACCACACCAGCGGGCTGGCATTTGTTCTTCGCCTTGTTCTGCTTCTGTCACAATATCTTTTTCGAAACTTCTTACTGTTTCTTCGGAGGATACTCAGCTCGAAAAAAGAAAGATTTGATTTTTTGATGAGATGAAAAGGACTTCATTTAGTTGTGTGGTGGAGCGTTGTCACACTGTTCTTCTTCGTGATACCCCGACGCATATTTTTACATTTTATCTTCTAGTAACAGCTACTAATCTCCTTATCCTGGTGCTAAATGATCGTGAAATGATACCTTTATCCCGATTATATAATATTTACTCGACTTATGAATGATGATCATTTATATCTATGGGATAATTGGTATTCGTTTTATTTGTATCTTCTACTCATCATATCTTCTATATTTTTAGCCCTACATCATGAATTATCTTCGGGTAGTACGCACACACTGGTGCTGTTGACGATGAATAAGCTCATCATGCTCATGAATTTCTTATCATGCACGCAACTACAACTTGAGATGAACAGTCCTTAATCTAGTGGGGCTAGGCAAATGAAAATAAGAGTCCTTCTAATTAGTGGCTTGCAGTAAACTTTAACGATTCGTTAGGTGTGGGATTGCCTCGTCGACCCTTTCACGGGTTCTCTTGTCGTCTACCGAAACCCGTTGACGTTTTCATTGTGATCATGTGTAGCAATTAGTAGCTGGTAGTGCAGGTTTAGATTGTGCACTACAAAAAAGAAAATGATTAATGTTGAAATGGATAGAGAAAAATTGAATTCTTCAATACGGACAAGGTGGAGGTACTCGTACTAAGTTGTAATTGCAAACGATCATGTTCATCATCGTGGCGCTACGCGCTTGGCTGAGACAATTTCTGTGCGTTCGTGCCGCCGCTCCCACAGGCCCCAGACCATCTGCGATCACCTCATTGTGGGATAAGTGGGGCACACACTACTTCCGCTGAAATATTCTGCCGCTCGAACAACATGACCTTGACCATCTACTCAAATCAATAATTCTTCAATGATCACAGATATTCACACGACCTATCATGAATACATAGGAATATTGACAACTTATTTGAAGATTATGATTAATATACGAACATGTTTGTTGACTACTAGTCCTGACTATGAATTTCTTCTAATGAAACGAAAACAATAAGATTTTAAGGGTATTGAAAACTAGCACCGGATAATTCTACATTATCATAGTTTGATTCATCAGATGTTGCGGTACCTTAACCACTACATTATACTGTCCAAAAAAAATAAGAAACTTGTAAGCAGTAATGCTAATCGTATTTCTTCATTTATGTTATTTGTTTCATCTGCGGTGTTCGTCCTCTATCATAATGGAGAAGAGAAAGAAAACCGGCCCTGTTTACTTCTATACTTCTCTTTTCCGCGTGCGCGTTATCTTCATCTCTATAACTCTACACTTTTCATCCACCATGGCGACACCCCGATCAAGTAGAAGGACCCTACATTTACACGAACAAACATACGCCCGGGCACCTCCCAAGGTAAGGGACACAAAAGAGGGAGATGCCAAAAAGAAACGACCCTTTAGCTTTATTGTGGTACTGTTAACATGTTCTTTTGATATTTTTGGTGGTCATGTTCGTAGCTTACAAAACGAAGACATAACTAGCATAGATACAGATACTTACTGGGCCTACTAGTCTCAAGGATGAACCGCACGGGCGGAGCGGCCATCACCTGATCCTTTTTAAGCCTCATTTTTAAATTAATGCCCTTAAGATAGCACTTAACGTAGAAGTTGGTTTTGGTGAGTATAGATTATTCGATAAACAAAACATTCGTTATACGAAGAAGAAGAATTATTTTGTGTGATGGAAATTTCGCACTTGCGATTGAAATCGATGACGAGTTTGCGAATTCTTTTGGTACTTACATCACTTACAACAGGTTCAATATCCCTAGTTTGTAATGAAAATGATATTTATAGATCACATTTCATCATTTCTTTAGACTTTGATTTCCGTCAGCAGTTTATTGCATAGTTCTTTGTATTGGGTGACGTCTCCCCCTGTCCTTCGGAATTTCACCATGTGGCTCTCCACGCCCTCCAGTCCGCTGATTTCGAGGTCGAATTTTATCTAGAAGGACGAGGTTGATAAGGTGGTCACATTTTTCGGACGATAGGGTGAAAGGAGGTAATCCAAAAATAAGTATACCATAGAAGATCGAAGAAGTAGTATGTAGTCTAAGGTTGTTTTTCCCAGCAGCCTGCTACGAAGAAATCTTCAGAGTGTAAACAAGACACAAGAGGTTCCAACTATACCGCATGTTTCTGGCATTTCATCACAGGTCCTGTAGTAGCATGGCTTTGCTTGAACATCACGCGTTGCATGGTGAGTGCTCTCTGCAGTTCGCCTAGGATCTGCTTGGCACTCTTGTTCGAACTTGAGACGACGTCGTAACTGGAGGATTAGAGAATTTCAAAGTCAAACTCACGAGAGCGGAGGTTATCTGAGAAATAATCCTCTGCTTCATCACTAGAAGTTGAAGTGCAAATGCTTTAAAGTGCAAATGCTTATAGATACTCAACACTTACTTCTAACTTACTCACTTACTTACTTACTTACTTACTTACTTACTTACTTAAGTACTTACTTACTTACTTGTTGTCATAAGTATACGCTCCCGGTGGCCTACTGGTCGAGGCGTACGTCCTCGCGCTAAGCGGCGCTGCACTCAAGCCGGAAACTACTCCTGGACCTCCTGCGGTTGTTGTGCCTGGTGCCCCATGGTACCCGTGGAAGTTGTTGATGTTGCTGCTAACGCCTCTTGCACTCAAGGGTACTCGACCAGTCGCTGTCCACGAGGGTGGCCCATTCGTGCCAATTGCACCGTTCAAGGGGGGGACTACTCCGTTCAGGTGAGCTGGTGGTTGAGGAGTTGCACTGCCGTAGTAGTTCACCACTGCGCCAGTCGCGGTAAGCATCATTTTCCCCTGTTGCGTCCCTGCTGGGAGGTTATTGCTCAAGATAGGACCTCCAGTACTATTTCTATTAGGGGTTGCAAGTTGACCTATGATCTAGAAGCCCCTCGTCCTCGCATATCTTTTTTTTCAACACCCTTGAAATTGAAAAGATCATAGACTTAGACACAACTGGGGTTTAGAAGATAGATCAACTTGTTCCAACCCTTAATACTACTGGGTCCTCTAGTAGTACCAGGCGGGGCAGTTGTAGAGGGGGTTACTGCGCCAGGCGTTGGATTACTGGAGGATATGAAAAGAAAAAGTGCACTCACACCCAAGGAAGTACTAGCTACTTTCCTAGTACTTGAATCCTAGAAGCTGCCCTGAATCCTTGAGTGTGAGAGTGAGTGCACTTTTTTCTTTCATAGAGGTGGATACTACGGTTTTATTCCGCTGTTGATTCCTAGAGGAAGAGGACTGTGGTCTGTTAGGGATCGAGGGTGCGCCAGCACTACGTGGCGTTGTGACCATCGAACGCCCGACGTGCATGTTGTTGCGGAATTAGAAGATCATGTTTGAACAAGTAGATGAATATATTTATTTATACAACTTAGTAGAAGAATGGATACAACTTCTTTATTTCAAGATTGCTTTCAAGATTAAGAACAAGAAAGATCTATTTATTTATTCTAAACAATTTAAAGTATTCATGTTCTACTACTGCACAAGATTGTGGTCTATAACTTCTACAACTTCTACTATTCATCAAATGATCATCGTTGTCCTACTTGTCCTATTATTCATCAAATGTTGATCATCGTTCATAATTGCTACTATTGCCCCCTGTCGCACCTCCTGCTCGTGTACTTCTAGGTTGAAACTGGACGTGCGGCGAAGCCCCTCCACCTCCGCTGGCGGCCGCTCCTTGTGGGTCCGTTGAGGTTCCACGCGCTTTCACGCTCCAGGGTCTGGAGGCAGTACTACTATACGTTGGCTTTGCGTAACCGTAGCCACGTGGCGTCACGTATCCGTTGGGCACTTTGCTAGAGCCGCCGCCGGAGCCGGCGCTTTCATTAGACGAGGAGGTTTTCATGGTAGTATGCGCAGGCAGAGATGCAAATAGAGGTCTCGTGGTTAAGGTTAGAGGTTAAAAGCAGTAGAAGGTAGAGGTTAAAAAGCACTAGAAGAAGTTGTTCTTGTTGTACTTGTAGTACCACCAGTGACATCAACAGTGAAATACAAAGATGATTAAGTAGATATCAGGTAGTATCAACATAACAGCCCCACTCGCACTATAAGTAGCGTTTCCGCCTCCTCCACCAGGTACAGTGGTTCCAGCCTTGTAACCGCTGTAATGGTACGCCGGGTCCACTATCATCCCTCGTCCATCGTGACTGGCTGGTCGCGCTCCTCCTCCACTAGAGGTGGACGGTGCTGGCCCACGCGCAGTAGACGACCCACCACGTCTCGTTCCTGCACTTCTAGACGTACTTCGCGGCCCTCGTGCACTCGTACTCCCTGACGCTGGCGCCGCACCTACGAAGAGTTGGTGCAGGTGTGTGCTATGCTGTGCTGTTCCAGGTACGGTACTACCAACAGGTGCTCTTATCCCGAGATGATTCACGACTCCTGGTTGATGTTCTCCGCGAGCACTCATCATTGCTACATCCATCCCATGCTGGTCATACACACTATTAGAGCAGGTCGTGGTTACGCCATTTTTGCATTCCTCAGAAGAAAATCCTACTTGGCCTCTATTTTCTAGTTCCTATATATAATCATTGTTCCAAAATATGTCGTCAAGGATGCTACTGCAGGATGCAATTTCTTGGAAACGAGGACCCTTAACACTTCTCTGCTGCTGACCACCTCCTCCAGCTCCCGCTGAATGCTCTTCTCCACTGCTACAGGTTTGATATGCTCCGTTGCCAAATGGAAGTTCCCAATTCAAAGCCCTACCAGGTTGATGTATTTGCGGATTCGTGTTGACCGAGTATATCGGAACCCCCTCACCTGGCCAATTGCCTTGTTGGAGGTCGAACGCGGCCATAGGTTGAGCCACATCCGCGGCTGACACTGTGCCTTCCTCGTCCGAAGACATGATCGCGCGGAACTTGCGTCGTGCGAGCAGGTAGTAGGTGGTGGTCACGTGGTTGTGCTTGTTCATCTCGAGGCACTTCAGGGCGTATTCTGTGGGAAGATGGTCCTCGAGGAGTCTTCATTTTTAAAAGTAGTTCCTGCAAGAAAAAGCACCAAAAGGGAATTCCTTTATAACACTTAGAAGTGATAGTGATGTTGTCAAAATCCAAAGGAAAAAAAACATTACCTCTCGGAAACCCATACTTTTCCAATTGCTGAACTATGTCCTCCTCTATAGGAATTCCGCCTTCTTTCGTCTGGCTATGGAGGCAGTAGGGACAGTCAGGCACCTCACAGCCTCGACCGATGAGAAACTGAATATCTGGTGGTCGGGCTGCGTAATCCGTGTAAGGACCGAAGAGGCCTTGGTACCTGAAGACCACAAGCAAGAGGTTGGTGGAGCTGGAAAACGAGCAGAAGAACTACTAACTCATTCATTATGAAACCAAAACCTGTTATCATTATCGTACTTGTTTCCTACTTACGAAACTTGATAATGATAACAGATATTCCTTTCATATTCATGATCTTTGCATTTACACATACACTGTAGTTGTAGGTTGGAGTGGTCACAGCAAAGGGTCGAAAACTCAGACCACCTAGTTTTAGGAAGAACTTATCAAGTAGATCAATCTCAAAATCTCAAAGTCATCGTACACTTACCATGGATGTTTTCTAATTTGCGCACAGGTAATTCGTTTCTGCGGATCTGTCGTCAGCATCTGGCCTATGAGGTCCGTTACGGACTCACTAATGAATTTCGGTGTCTGATAATCAGCACCCAGGATTTTCTTGTACAAGGCAGCCGTATTCTGGTCTTCAAATGGCAAATACCCACAAACGAGCGCAAACAGGATAACCCCGCATGACCAGACGTCACACATGATTGGAACGTATTTCTTGCCGGCGATCTGTGGGTGTGACAAATTTTTTAGAGACGAGAATAACAATAGCACATTGATGTTCAGGAACTACAAGAGGAAGCAACGGAAAGATGTACTTCTAGCAAGACTACCATTTCCGGCGCCGCATAGCACGGCGACCCGCAAGCCGTCTTCAGAAGTTGTCCTGGCTTGTAGGTGTTACTGAGACCGAAATCGACGATCTTGATGTGCTTCTGACCGTCTAGCAGAAGGTTTTCAGGCTTCAAATCCCGATGGACGACCCGCATTGAGTGGATTTTTTCGACCCCGTTTAGAATTTGATGGAAGAATTTTACCTGTGATGTGTAGACGATGTTGAGTTTTCTCCCCTTTTGAGCAGTGCAACTGCTAAAAAAATCAGTGTTCAATCTTTTGCTTAACGCCATCCATTCGAGATCTCTAAAAAATGTCCTCTGAACACTACGTAATATGAACAAAGTGAAAGTTTCGATGAACTAAATACCGCTTCCTTCTCCTTGACCCTGCAGCTGGACACGATGTAGTCGAAGAGTTCACCGCCGGACGCAAACTCCATTATCAAGTAAAGTTGCTTCGGCGTCTCTATGATTTCATACAGCTGTATTATTTGATTAGAGGAGATGCTCTTTTCATCATCCCTGTGGAAATCCCTCAAGCTGCATATGCGTCCCCAACGTCTGCAGCTCCCTTGTATCTATTGGGGCGCATATGCTGGAAGGATGTCTACAGAGGTGGATTAGGCGAAGCCTTAGTATGAGGATGTCGGATGAGCTTCAGGATGTGGATCTCCCTTGCCACCCTTTCTACATCGGCAACGTCGACTATCCGCTCTTTCTCCAGGATTTTCACGGCGACCTTTATTTTGTTTGAAGGGGCTACACGCTAGAGGTAAAAACGTCGAACCGGTTGTTTTATTTAGTGCTTTGAGCGACCTTTATCAAATATTGGGACCACGAGAGGGAGTCGTGGGAGAGTGGAGGTGATTATAAGATGAAGTTGATCAAGGACGGCTAGTAGGAGGGACGAAGACTACTATCTAAAAATACAAAAAAAAGGACCTTCTCTCCAGTCAGTATATGCGTTCCCAACTTCACTTTGCCGAAGGTCCCCTCTCCGATGGTTTTTCCGAGGATGTAGTGCCCAATGCTCGTCGCGCTGGAGCTGCGTCGCGCCGCACTGGCGTCTCGCGACTCGCTGCCCACAGGCGCCATTTCGAATTTCTGGATTCTATTGGCGCTTTGTGATACGATTTATTGCGCGTTGATGTCGTTATCTTTTACCTTTAATACCACGTGTAACTTGGCTTCCTTAATATAATTTTATTTGCAACATCAGGAGCATCATCATCTTGTGACTTGTTTAACTTCATACATTATAAAGTCATCGCTTGCGCGCTTTAATTCTTTTTGTCGTAGTTCGAGGAGAATTATTGATATGGAGGTAGTTGCGGTGTAGTTCCAGGTGGCAAAGAAAGTGTACCTCCTTTTCTGTCAAAAAAACTTTTACCTCTTTACACACCTTCACCCTCAAGAACCGTTACTTGATCGTTTGCAAAAAAAACACATTGACGACCTCTTTCTTTCGTTGTTGTGCCAGCACTGGCATTGGCGTTGACATGTAGTTGTCTCATGCGCCATCATCACTCGCGAAAACAGACATTTTACGCGCCTCGCGCGTGCTTTTTCAGCTTTAAGGTCCGCATAAAGGTGGTCGAATATGCGAACAACCTCCCCGACAATTGGTGAGAACCCACAAATACCACCTGGTGGCTGAATCTGTTTTTTTTTGCACAGCAATATCATTTTTGTGAGGGAAGTGCTAACCTCTCGAATGAGAGGTCGTTGCGATTTTCAATAATGAGGAACAGGTCGTTAGCTTCGATCTTCAATAAGGTTCTTGTTGCCGGGAAAAAAATCAACGTTCTTCTTGCGCGGTTGTTGGGGTCGGTCCTCTCGAAAGGGAACAGTGGGCATTTATAAACCTAATATTCGGTTCATGATCCTCAGTGTTCTACGAGATCTAGAATATGGTGGAGTTGGTTCTGTGCACATGTTTATCCACTTTTACAATGCTATGATGAAGAAACTACGGATATGGATTTGGATATGGAATTACAGGACGATCATTTAAGTTTTGAGAAGGTAGTACAAATAGCAGTATGCACTACTTGAGGTGACGTTGAAAACTGCAACTCAAAACATCAAAGAACATAGAAGTACAAATACATACGATATTAGAGAGCAGTTAATCATCAAATTCTTGTTTTTGCTCTTTCAGTTTTACGATTTTTACGAATACAATAAGCTGTTAGGACGAGTAGTAGGATAAAATCATGCTCATCGCCGGTCAATTCCTTGCTCTCAACAGTAGTAAGAATGCCTCTTGATTTCATACTCATCTAGTTCATTTTGATTTTGTAAGTAGGCCGTCACTTTTCAACATCTCTCCAATCTCCGCGAGGACGTCAAATGTAGTTTGGTTGTCGTGTGTCAGCCACAAGTTGTATACGTGGTTCCTCTTCTAGTTCTATGATCCTTTACTACTTTTCACATGAAGCCAGAGTCATGCCAAAAAACAAGTACACGATAAGAGGTCAACTCCAGCTTCACAACCTCAACAACCGCATTTTCTCTTCTTTCATACATCATTAGCACACCGTTCTTGACGCACGGCTCATCAGGCTATGATCAGGCAGCTGACTTCGACCTTGCTCCGCATGCTCTACGAGGATGATGTCCCAGAATCCACGAAGATGATGTTCGCGGTACTCGTCGTCCAAGAATCGGTGTTCTGCTGCGTGTTCTACGACGTGCCGGTCCACGAAGATGATGTTCGCAACTACAATCATGTTCATCACTCGACGTTGTAGAAGTAGAAATCGTGCTGCTTCCATCCAAAGAAGATCTTTCCATAGAAGTAGAAGAGGAACATTTTTCCAATCTATCCTCCAATTCTCTTGCCAGGGTAACTTCCCAGATGTCTGTGTCGCACAGCAATGCACGCAGATTAGTGAGCGAATGAATAGGCTCTTCTTCCTCCTCGTCTCGTTGTTCTTGAAGATTGGCAGGATTTTCATCAACTTGAAGATGAGGTTGCTGAGGTTGAGGTGCCTGCTCGTGTTGTTGTTGTTGTTGCTCCTCTTCGTCTTGTCCATTATAATTGTCCGCTTCTTCATTGGCCTCTTCTTCATCGGCCTCTTCTTCAGCTTCATTGGCCGCCGCCAAGGCTACTGCACGGATCAAAAAGCGAGTACGATCTAGCTTGGAGACCAACTCCTTCTGCAAAGAATTTCCTTCCTTGTTGCCGTAGGTTTGGTGCGTCGTCATCGTCTCAGATTCACCCTCCGAAGGACGACCCTCTAAGAACAGCGTAATCGCGATGTACTGATTCGTCAATGGCCCAAAGACACGACGCACAGTCAGATAGCGTTCCACCGAAGATTGCAGCGAGGGAAACGGGATGCCATTCACGTGGAAGTTGGGTAAGAAGACGATAACAAGAGAAGTGATGTCAGACCAATGGTTAATATGGTTTTCTTGGCCGTTAATCTTGATATAATTCGTTGTATTCTTGTTCGTATTGTTCGTGGTATTGTTCTCCATGGGGTCGATATTGTTCTCGTCCATGATGCTGTAGTCGACAACATCTTCTTGTTCTTCATCAATCTTCCCATTCATTATGCCACTACCAGTTTCTGGTGCTTTATGTTGAAGACCACGGCGTCCTTCAATCAATAAACGCTGCTCACCTTCTTGAACGCGAAGATTTGATCTAGATCTAGACCTGGAAGCAGCACGCATAGTGGCCGACTCCGATTCTTCAGTTTCATCAGACGAATCGGTCGTCACCTCAACCTCCACGTCATCTTCAAACGTCACACGCTTCTCCCTACTTTTCACCGTAGAAGTCTTTCCACCTTCTTGTTGAATCTTTCGTCCACACCTTTTATTCGACGCTCGCAACTTCTTCAAAAACACCTCTTCATAGCGCTGACCACTTTCCATATGGACCAAAGCGACGCAGCTTTTTTCGAAAGCCGCCAAGACCTTAGGGTTCTGGACCGGGCTATTGGCGGCACCAGGGAAAGCTCCAGATTGACTGCGCTGACGCAGTTCGAAGACAACTTCGCGTTTCATCACCTCAGGGGTGCTCAACGGGATCTCACACAAGACATCACCGGAAAGCATCAGGATCCGACATTTATTCATGTTGGTGGGGGTGGGACGAGAGTTCATTCTGTTAGAATCAGAAGACATCATAGAGGAAGGGGGATTTGTGGAAGTTGATTCTGATTCTGAAGATGTCATTTTGGTTTTCGTTGAATGATATAATTGGTATATCGCTTGCTTTATAATTTTTTATGGTCGTAATATGTAAAAATTCTTATTCTTGAACATCGATTTCGATGTTGAGTGATCGTCCTTCGAAAATTTGATCTAAATTTATTCGCCAAAAATGATAAGTAACGTCTTGTTTCTACTCGCTACACATCTTCACAAATTGTAGTTTTCCTAGACAGCACACCAAGAACGTATTTGGTGTTTGTCCTGGTCTTTTGTTTCCTGGTCTTTTGTTTTATGCCGACTTGATGTGAGTGTCATTGATTATCTTACGGACGGAGAAACTGGAGCTGAATGTTGATCTTTATTGGCAACTCCTGGAGCAGTTGGCGCTACAACTCTAACACATCGAGGAATTTTCCCTTTTTGTGTGTTGAATGCTAGACCCACTAGCAGAAGTGGGTGATCTCTGTCTCTGATTCTACGACAGCACTTCTATCCTGAAGGTGATCTTTTGGATTTGGATCTTCATCTTCCTTCATGTGAGGCATAACAGTTTTGGCTTTGGATTTGGGTAACAGCTCCTTCTGATCTTCATCCAGCAAGGGTCTTTCTTAATATCTCAACTACACTTAGAAGAACAAGTACAACTACGGGTCTTCCAATAAACTAGAAAGCAGGTTATAAAATTTGAAAAAAATAAGCTGAAAATCTCAGTTTTTAGCTTGATGTTGTTCCTGGAAACAACACCGGCTCCACATCTTGATAGTCCGCAAATTCACCAGTAAAAAATTTCCTCAGTTCTGCATCGTTTCTCCTCTGAAATAATGCCAACACTGACTTCGAAACCATCTCCACTGTCCTCATATCGCCACTTGCATGTAGAGAATTGAGAAAAGAAAGAAAGCCAGGATCTTGTTTTGTACTCGTTTTCGTCGAAGTGGATGTGGACGCTTGCCTTTCATCATTTCGATTCGTGACTACAGGTAGTCCTTCCCGACCACCCGGCACTGCTTCTAGTCCTTCTTGATCCCTCCTATGCGTTTCCCGAATGCGCTTCTGCATGTCTGTATCCACGATACCAGGACCAAAAGAAATGACCTTAAAACTGTTCTCCAATGCCAGGATACGGGCATACTGCAGGAGGGCAGCTTTGCTGGCGCAATATCCGGCCCATCCTTGTGTCACAAAGGGACCCGCTGCAGCTGAACTCATAAACATCACGAGGGCTGTTGGGCTCATACAGGGTCCTAAGGCTTCCATTAGTTCTACAGCGGAAAAGAAATTGATGTCGAAGAGAGATCGGAAACTTGTGGAAATTGATGATCCTGTGCCTGTCGTGTCTGTTCCGGTTCTTTCCCTTTGTCCGTCTCCTTCAGATTCAGGCATTAAGCAAGGCCTTATCGGTTCAATATTTCCAGCATTATGAACCAACAAGTCTATCGTCCTGGTGCCCACTGCTTCTCGAATCTTCGCTATCGTTGACGCTTGGGTTAAATCCCCTTGAACTGGGATAAATTAGAGCAGGTAGGTTTTTGTTGTTCTATTAAATGTTTAGCCCGCTTGTTATGGTTGTCCCCCTTAGGACGAGAGCCATGATAACAAACGGTAACAACATCAAAAGCACCTTTTCTAAGTCCCTACCCTTAAATAAAATCTTGATCTTCTCCACGACCAGATGAGGGTGACATCAAGCTCGCGGATCTCGCACTTCCAATGACAGTGTAGTTGGTTCCCGATTGCAACAAAGCTTGCACTATCGCTTTCCCAATCCCTCTGGAGGCGCCAGTGATTACGCAGAGGCTCCTTGATGAAGATGTGCCGGATACTTCCATTTTTTTGCTTCTTTATTGCGAGTTCGTTATGTTTGAAGATTCCAATTTTCGTAGCGAGTTGTTGTACTCAATTCGTTGTGGATAGGATAGGATAGGAGTTAGCTCACTCAAAACAAAAGATCCCGCGTTCGGGGCCATTGAGGTGCCCAAAAGATTCTATTTCGCTAGACCGACGGGCGCGATTCGCACGTGATGACCGATGGATCTAGCCCTGCACCCTTTATGCTAACAACCTGGTGTCCTGCTGTGTAATTGTAAGTATTTACTAGACTATAGGAATTTAGCACCAGTACAAGAATAGGACTACTACTCTTTCGTCACAGGCAAGTAGACAGGTTGATGGTGTAGCTGATAGTAGATAAAATTCCACCTTCTACTTTGATGCACGGAGCAGATAGAGATGAACACGAGGACCGCCTCAATGAAGCTACCAACCACACATTAAGCAGACCATTTCATGTTGCACGCTTTTGCTAATCTGTATGGTAAATCGAGAAGCTCTTGAAACCATCGCTTTCATCTGTTCTTCCATTGTAGTTGTGACAAGTGGTTAGGTTAGGTTGGGGCCTACCATCCGACGTGGCAGACTTTAGCGGCTCCTGCAGAATTATCTTTATAAATCACTGCATCAAGAATTTTTTGAGATCGATGCGCTTATCAAGTATTCACATTAAGAATCAGAGATCGCTTCGTCTCCCACTGCTGCTGTCTGTGTTTGATATGCGTTCTGCCAATTCTTGACAGTTTTTGAAAGTTCTGGTTTCTTCAACGCGCATCTTATAGAGTTTTTGGTCTATGACCTCTTCTGAATTCTTGAACTCCTCCAGTGTGTCTCGATCCATACCAGTCCGTAATTTCGCTCGACGCCATTTGCAGTGCTGGGAGAGTGGGTTGAGGTGAGTGTGCAGATAGAATCAGATAAATCTGAAAGGGTTGAAGATGAAAACGAAGGGTCGTCAAGTTGTGAATTGTGTGAACGTACTCATGCTCATCATCTTACTAGTAAGTACAACTCCGATGTCATCAATCTTCATATCAAACTAAAATGGTCATCTGATGTCACAGCATGCAATTCTATATTTATCAAGAAAAGCACTAAACTATAGTATTAGTACCTCTTTCAAAAAGCTATTCAGCGCGTTATCTGCCTGGGTGAAGCTGAGCCAGAGCTCTTCGTCATGGTACGCCGGAGGTGGTGGCCACTTGTCCAGGAGGTGCATTTTCTTCAGTAATCCAGGAGTGTACCAACCGCTCTCCATCAGGTGATTGACTCGCCAACATCGCACAAACCTCCGATTGGGATAGCCTCTTGTTAAAGCTAGTTTTATTTATTTTGCAAGTAGATCTTTTGGAAGTTTTACATATTAATCTAGAAGTTTTACATATTCTCTTCTAGAAGTTAGATTTATTCATTTTGCAAGATCTTTTGCTTTGGAAGTTTTACAGATAATTCACTATAATCCGTGAGCGTGGTGGTTGACGTTGAGCGAGGACATTCATCATCTTCCCTGTGTCCGCACCCTCGGATTCTTCTTGAAAAATAAATATATAAAGAGGACCTTCTCCATCCTCCCAGCAGGATAGATACTTTCTCAGACTCCACAGGCCCCGTGAGGACGGACCCCGTAGATAGCAGCCTGGTGCTGATCGATGACATGTTGGGAGGATAGTGATAAACTACTAGCCTTAATCTTGGTGTTGGTGGAGCAGACCTAACGCTAATAAAAATACAACAACTGAAAAAAGAAAGATCAGGCAAGAAGTAGAAGTAGTACCTATCTTTGATTAGTTATCTACTACTCTTAACTACGCGCCGGCTAGCCCTGCTCGCTGCTGACATGGGATAGTGATAGGATAAACTACTAGCCTTAACCTTGGTGAAAATCGCAGTTCGAAATCTTCAGCAGTGCAATTGAATTTCCCGAATTCAGTCTTTTGCTTCGATTTCCTTACCTGACCCAGGACGCCAGGAGTCATGGTGGCGTTGTCCCCAATGCCAACGTGGTTTTTCGAAAAAGTTAAGTTGTAGCGTAGGAGTAAATCGGAATTGGAGAGTCTGCCAGGATAGAGAAACATCTCTTCGCCTTTGGGCATGTCTTAGAGGACCTCTCGTGGTCCCTAATTTTCATAATCTTACCTTGTGAAAATGATTGTATTCAAGCGTATCATGCGTCACTATTTTTGACGTTTCGTCCCTTTTATTGCTTGTTGGGGTGCATACGATTGAGAGATTGATGGGGTGGATCCCTATGTAAAAAATTGAGATGGATAATTACGATTTTTAGGGAACCAGCACGAAGCCTTAAATGTCTCGTCTTGCTATTTGAAGCACCACTTCCGTGTCGCGACCGTCAACCACAATGCGTTCCTCTTGGAAAGTGATAGCAGTGCCTCCGTCAGGGTGGTAGTTGTTAGAGCTCACTCGAAGACTAAGTAATGTCCTAGAGCTCACTCTAAGACTAAGACCACTAAGTAATTATGTCCTCCAACAAGAGCTTATACTCTCAGACTAAGTAATGTCCTCCAACAAGAGCTTATACTCTCAGACTAAGTAATGTCCTCCAACAAGAGCTTATTCTCTAAGACGAATCTCATCCGTCTCAGCTTAAGAGCAGGAACAGGTCTAGAAAATGTTAGGAACAAGCCTTCTCCATCTTGTTGAGTGGTAGAAGGTCTTAGGAAACAAGATGGATTAAGAGTAGAACTCATAAAATTTGCATGCAGCAACACAGGGAGAGGCACGATCTGCATTTTGATCTGGAGGAGGGGGTGAGGTAGGTTCCGCTTGTTCTTGATGGAGGCCAAAAGAAACGTAAGCGTTTAATTATTAATTCTGTATTAAAGTGTTTTCATATTCATTGCCGTAAAATTTGACTTGTCAAATGGGTTTTTTCTGGATAGGGAGCAACCGGATGAACGAAGGTTATTAATAAATGCAGAGGCCGAAGAATTATACATAGAACAATGGGTAGATGGTTAAGGGTTAGGGTTTAGATTGTTGAATTCCTTTTACTTTTATGTAGAACGAGACCAGAAATTCGACTATCATGAATGCAACAACCCACGTAAGCCAAAAGTTCTCTACTTCTGGTTAGGTTAGGTTGAGGACCCTAGAAGTCTCCTATTGAGTCAATCGCTAGAAGTATTACCGAGCTATCATCCCTTTCCACTACGCCGTGATCTTCGGGTCTGTCTTCAGTACTCGGCCATATCGTAAGTGCGTGTTTGAGGATGACTGAGATTAGAACTGTCCGCAATTCGTCTTCCAACTGCATCCTTCAAAAGTGTTGTAGGAGAGTCGTCCCTTGTGATGCTCCCCCACACGTTTGTTCATGGATCCTGCGTCCAAAGATGTTTGTAGTACCTACTAGCTACAGCCTTAATGAGACAGCCCACTCTGCTTCTCGCCAGGTCACGAGCGTAGCATTTTGATCCTCACTTGTGACACGAGGACCCTCCACGTCCACATCAAGTTCAACCTTTGTCGAAGACCTAGGCATGAGCGTGAAGTTGCCGGCTGTATCGTGGACCATCTCCACTAAGGAGGCCATCTCTTTCGTAGTGTTTTGTCGATTAGTTGTATTCATCACAAAAATGGAGGTGGACGAGCTCGGAGTGACAAAGGAAACAATCGGCATGATGCAATTATAGACCACGGCCTGTTGTACCTTGTTCAAAATAATCATTCTTTGTTCAAAATATTATCATTCTACTAAGTAGTTCTAGACCATCAATTCGAATTCCTGTGGTATTAAATATGATTCTGTAAGTACTACTTAGTTCTTAACTTGCGTCGTCCCGTTCAGCATTGCTCGTTGTCGTTCAGACAGGGTAAACACCAACATCGTGTCATTTTGTACCAAATCTAGGTACTCGCGGAATCTGCTGTTTGGATCTCTATTTTCCGCTATCAATGCCATACTACTTTGCAGTACGTGACGTCCATTCTCAGTAGAAGTTGCGCTGTATTAGAGCTCCTCAGGACCTCCCTAAAAATCCAAAAAAATCCATCTGCTCGAAGATCATTTTCATTCCGAGACTTTTTTCTATTTTTGACCTTGAAAACGTCTCTCCTTGAATGCTTTCTCTGAAGATCTAGTACTACTCCTTTATATTTATCTCTTCACACTACGTCTACCAGTTAGTAACTTATAGTCTATAGGTAAGTAAAGTTATAGAAATAGAAGAAGTATCATCTACATATTAACAACGAAGCAAGCAGGATGCGTTAGGCGAAGCCTTAATTGTATTTCTGATAGTGAAACTGCTCGAGCTCTTGTTTGAGTTTTGGCTGTTCTAGGTTCTGCATACCTAGGAAGCCTTTTTTTCGTGGCAATTGGATCATTAGCGGTTGCAACTGCAAGTTGACCCACCTGGCTTGCATATTATAATTGTTTGCCTGTTGTAAATGTAATTATAGCTGATAATATGATAGTATGATCCTTTCCCCCGCCCTTGAAGACAAATAAAAGCTCGTAGATGTGCTGCTCACAGACGGTCTGTCACTCACCGCTCGGGGTGAGGGACAGGAGCAGACCCAAGGTCAACTTCCAACCCTTAAGATAATGGCGCGACCGTAGAAAACATCCTTGGAAAGCACGACGCCTTCGCCAGTGGGTTGAGAAAGTTGCCGCCCATGCGCCGTCGGTGAGTCGGCTTTCACTTCCCAATTACTACGGACAATGTTGATTTTCTCCACTTGATTTTTCTGATCTTTCTTCCGTTTCGATTTCTTGTCCTCCTTGATCTTGGCAATTGTGGACTTGTTTTCTTTTGCCTTGTTTTCTCTATTTGTAGTTTTTTTCACTGCGTCACCTGTTCTTGCAGCATTTGTAGTTTTTTTCACTGCGTCACCTGTTCTTGCAGCATTTGTAGTTTTTCTCACTGCGTCACCTATTCTTGCAGCATTTGTTTTTGTGGGCTTATTTTTCGCCTCATCCTTTTTCTTGCTCGTCTTTGTACTTCCAGTAGCTCTTTTGCCAGCATCAGACGGGGATGCTTTCGCAGTCGAAGGCGTAGTTTTTGCCTTCTTCACCTCCTTTGCAGCTGCGTCTTGCTTTTTCGCCACACTTCCTGCTTCGAAACCGTCGAGCAGCAAGCAAGCTACGATTGTCACATAGCGCGTGACGAGACCGTGAGAGGACCGCACCATAAATTTTTTTTGTCTCAGTGGTCATGGATAGTGATGTTGATGTATCTGGTTGTTGCTTCACGTCGTGATTTCCAGTCTAGATTCTCCACTCAGCACGCATCAAAGATAAACAACAAGAACTTCAACGCTGAAAAAGATGATAATACATTTAGTGCATGGGTGGATGAGGTACTAATCTTCCGGCACAAGTGCAACTGTTCACAAGAACTCAAGAATGCGTCTTCACTACGCTCTACTTTCCGTCTGTCGCGCTTCTCAAAAGATGCCTCCTGATAACTCTCTATCTCACTGTGGTCTCTCTCATCTCTCTGAACAAACACGCAAGCTTAACGAACACCAACACGTACACCAGCTAGTGCGTGATATGAAGTAGACAGCGCCAGGAGATTAATATAATAATATAAGTGTTTCTTTTATTTCTTTCTCGAGTCGTGCAACGTCTGCAAGTTAGTAAGAGTTTTTTCTTGTTTGTACTTATTAACCTGACCCCTGCTCTAAAAAACATTCATTCTAATTCTTTTACAATTTTTCGTATTATTTCTGCTTTCACGAGTATCTAGGAATGACAAATAAATTGATCTTCATGTTATTGTTATTGAGTACTTAGGAAATTCATCCAGTTGTACTGTCATTAATTCATTCTTGTTGTGTTTTCACCATGAAAAAAAACTTCTTTTTTAAAAAATTCTTGTTGTGTTCTCACCATGATTTTTTTAAAAAAAGATTATACTTTGATATCTATCGTAGGAGGAGTGTGAAAAAGAAGGCCAAAAAGAAATTTAAGTAAATATGTCAACACATTTGCTTACTTACCCGCCACCACAGGTCGGTGTGGTGAAGAACAAATGATCCCCAAAACTTTGCCTACTGCTGAAGAGGGGGCGCATCATCAAGCACACTCCTTCCATTCCATGTACCACCTATTCCACCACCTCTCATTGGAAAAATCCGCGTCCACCGACCATTCATAGTTTTTTTCCAGGACATCGACATTGTCATTGTTCTTGCTCATCTCGATCCATGGGTTGCCTAAAAGGGCACTCGCCACCAGCTCTATCGCCGTCACTTGTCGTTCCGGCGTGTCAGCAGAGTCGACGTTGTCAGGATCAGGATGCTCCAGGGGCATCAGCATCGTACTGCTCAGAGACGCGAGAACGGATTTACATCCTGGCGACTTGTCTCCTTTTTTCTCGAGCCATGGCAATGAAGACGAGGGTCAGTTGGGGTTTGCATGGACAACAAGAGTGAGCAGCTTCTACTTATAATAATAGATACGTATACTTTCTTAAGGTTTGGGTTAGGACAGCTTACTTTCATACGCAACTTGCAACCAAATCAATATCAAAGGTAACGCTTTTAAGCGAGGACTGGGTAAGTCTTTGCGAAGATACGAATACGATAGCATCTACTTATTACTAGGGGTGCATGCGTCATAATTGCAGCAAAAGCTCTCCGGCATCGGCAGCGGACTTTACTTCCTTCCGAGACATCTGCAACAATATGAGAGCATCATCATCTAGTACAAGTACAACATCAATATTATGCTTATTATTCTTATTGACTCCATATTATAAAAAAGACAATAATTATCATGTTCTCTGGCGAGCTTTCGCTGTTTCGCTGTTTGGTGAACAAAATTTTCTAAGCAACTTGTGCTTGGGCGCAGCGTCCTCTATGAGTGAAAGAGTAATACTTGAAAAGATCCGAGCCAAAAAGTCTGTCACTTCATAACCAAGATAGAGCTTGGGCATTTCGTCTTCGTCCCGATGACAAAATTCTGCAGGTCAGCGTCGTCTTGTAGTTAGAGCGGGCCTCACCCTGGAAATTTTCACTTGCCAGCTCGTGCGTCATCCCGTGAGCACCAGGATGGCATATCTCAACTGAGAGCCGAACGTCTCGTCTCCCATGATGAAAATCAAAATAGGACACCATAAGGAATCGACGTCTTGAATCCCAGCATCTCGTCCAAACCGATAGGCGTCCACTTCATGGAAGTGTTACGCACGCCCTTGGATCCGCACTGCGCCCTGGCGCCATCGACGACCATGACGGACCAGCTGAAGGAGTCTCCTCTTGCAGCGCGAACAGACTGCGGCACCTCACTTCTCGGTGCAAAATGGTCTGGGGACATGTAGCCAGGCGCACCAGCTTCAGCTTCGCTTGCGCACATCTTCACGCCTCGCGCCTCGTCCGTAGTGCTGCACGCAAGGCCCATGTCGTTGGCTATCCACGCCACGGGCGGTTGGTCAGGAGCTCGCGGGACAGTAGAGAGAAAATTATCTGCCTTGATGTCTCGATGGAAAAAGTGTGCCTTTGTCGTCAGTACGCGAATGCTCTTCCAAGTCGACGTTAGGACGTTTTGATGTGGTCCCTGCTCCTTTGCCGCGGCAGGCGCGGTTTTGGTCGTTTGGTCGGCTAACGTCTCAAGGAGGTTCGAGTTGCTCACTTTAGCCATCGCATCCATGCAGAGCGCCGTATGCTGTTCCGGATCGATTTCCGCACTCAATTGCAGCTTGCAGAAAGGGGTCGTCATGTCGATGGACCCACCCGCACTGGCGTCGGCTCTCCATTGTTCTACGAAATGAGCTGCGGCCGCGCATTCAGAATCGTTGTCGGCTTGCGGCGCGGGTACAGTTTTTTCCTTGTCCAACCATTTCGGCAGCATCTTGCAAAACAGCTGGCGCTGGGGCGATGCTGAGCCGCAAAAATTAGATCACTCTGAGTCATCTGCTGTATGCTTATCATTATCCTCATAGTAAGCCCCCTGCTAAGATGGCCTGTTAATACTCAGTCAGCCTCTTCAAGATGAACGGAGCGATATTCAATAACAACAACACCCAGCACAAGACTATCATCACCGTAGTAGCTTCTTCACTCGCGGCTTGTACCAACTGACTTATGAATAAATATGAAGGCTAAGTTGGTGGAGAACTTTTTCACTGATCCAAGTTTGCCTGTGAAGTGAGATCATGGCTTTAGGCAAGAGGTAGGAATCTACTGTACATTTATTTTGTGCTGTCCATAATAATAGAAGGCACGTCCGCACCTGCTCCACCAGTACGAAGATACGGCTCCGACCACACCAGAAACGTCCCATCGTTTTGGGCGCCATCATCTTGGATAGTTGCCACGGCATGAATCCAGCATGAAAGAGCTGGCGCCAGCGTGAGGAACTGCCAGTTCTCGGCTCCTGTATCGTCATTCCTACACTCGCAGTAGTAGTGAAGGTGGGGGCAGTCCATGCTTGTGGGGTTATGACTAGAGTCGGCCCCTTTTATAGAGGGCGAAGGCGTGACCTCATGCCGCACGCTGAGGAGTAAGGGCAACTTCTTATAAAATAAGCAAGGAGTGCCGCAATTAAATGAGGCGCGATATAAATGGCAAACGAGGCTTCGCGTCTGCTCATCCGCTTCAGCCATGAACAGGTGACGCAACTCACGAATCAAACGACTCGCATGCGCCTTGCAAGTGATCCGCAAAACAAAGGCTCTGCGAATCATTTGATTCGCGGCCTCCCTCTTCATGTTCCGGCAAAGAAAGAAGCGCCCCCGAATCAATCGACTCGGGACCACTTTGCGAACAAGAAAAGCCCATCTGTCCCCATCAGAGTACGCTACACGGCGCCAGCATAAACGGCACCGCAAACAAAACGCTGCGACAGCCTACTAACTGCTGCCACGAGTCAGGTGATTCGCGTTGATTCGTGGCCATCGCGTGACTGATCTACCTAGCCTAGAAAGAGAGCGCGAGCCGCTCAGACTTGGAGCCCTCTGCAGGTGACGCCAGTGCTACATCTGAAAGGGGTCCGCGCCAGCTTCTCACTAACGCCTTGACAAGAGAGTGGGACACAGCCACCCAGACCCTCAGCAGCGCCTAGACCTACCCCTTGCAGACACGGAAGAAGAGGCATCGCAGACGCCCGCTCCCTCTCTTCTTCTCCTTTCGATGTGGTTACGTCCGCTGCCCATGATTGTAACGATTTCTGGCCTGATTTTTTTGCTCCCTGAAAAATCAGAATTCATGCACTTTTCAGGTCATCCACATGGGTACAGTCATGGGCACAATCATGGGTAGCCAAAAACAGCCACACCGGGCGGGCAGACGACTGCTCGCTACCCATGATTGTGGCCGATTTTGAGCATGAAAAAAAGGCGCCGCTGTTTTTTGAAAAGTGGCATTTTTCTGACCATGCCACATGGATCCAGTCATGGATCCAAGCATGGGCACGAGCCGAGAAATCTGCAGCACGCATGCAACCAAAGCCGAGCCCAACGAACAACCCCTGAAAGACGCAGAGCCTGAGACAAGAACTACAACGCGCGCCGCCAGCTGACGCGTCCATCCTGCGTGGCGAATGCTGCCAGCCCCAGAGCATGTCCTGCCACAGCTGCGCTGCTTCTCGTCCCTCGCTCTAGCCAGCGATCAGCGCCAAGGCCAAAGCGAGTAACCGAGCGACGAAAACACCACACCGAGCGACCACCATACCCAAGAAACACACTGTGGCGCGCCAGCACAAGATGAGCTGGTGCTCTCGAGGCTGCAGCTGCACATCGCTGGCGAAACCACAAGAACGCAGCGCACGCAGCAAGGCACCCCAAGAAGGCAGACCGGCTGGCACACTCTGCGGGACACAAAGAGGGCGCACCTCGCTCGTGGCGCTTTATTCCTTGAGAAGCTGCCCCCGCGCCCTTCGCTGCAATGCAATTCGCAAAGAGAAACGAAAGGAGCTCACCTCACCCACAGACGTATCCAGTCACAAGGAAGCGAGCTCCGATCTGCCAGCCATGGACGCGCCCAATCGGCGAAGACATTGCACAAGGGGGCACGAGCTGAACGGTCTGCCTATGACCCACGACAGGGCAACGCGCTGCAAGAAGCAGAGTAATTATGTGCTCAACGGGCGCCGCCGCACTAGAATCCAAGCGATACACTATCGAAAACAGGCCCAAAGATCAGGCGTCTCTAGTGCTGTTAGCTTGTTGGAAAGAAGCCGAGTCTAGGATCTGCAAGCATGGACGTCCTGCACCTACAAGTAGCGAACACGACGCGAGGGATCTTTTACCTCTTTTTGTGTGATTTCTGTCAGACCTAGTTTTTCAGGCTTGATGCACAGCTCCAGTCTCAAAATCTCATTGATGTTCTGCGTAACAGCACCATTCGCGAACCTCTCCATCCCCACCTCCAGCAGAGAGGACTGGTTTCCTGGCGCAGCATAGTACATTCTTCGCCCATGTCGCAGCGCCGTAAACTCCACGAAACATGAAAAAGGGGATGAAACCACCCTCGGGCCGTGCTTCCAATTGTTGACTACGGATGGTGCCAGGAACGGATCAATACTAGAAACCCCACCCCTTCGAAAGTTTAAACTTCTATCTTCCATCAAGTAGAGTATCAGTATCCCGTCAGCCTCACGAAAGTACTACACATTTTTGATTTATCAATTATCGATACACTATGAGTATGACGACAATCCAACAGCTTCAGCTCATCATAAGTCATCTCTGGACGACCCAAGATCGTCAGCCTCGGGCGGGACGGACACGCTAGAAAAAAAGCCCATTATTCTGCGCCAGATGGAGCCAAGCTGTCCAGCTATTGTCCAGCCACTCGCTGCCGAAGTGTGCAGCAGAATCAAGTCCAAATCACTTTCGACGGTGATGTCAAGGTCTGCCGCATAATCAAGCCCACGACCCGTTGTGGACCCAGACGCCTCACTACGAAAAGTAACACTATGCGAAGATCGAAGCGCACCTGAGTAATAATGTGTGGGAAAATATCAAGTGTTCGTCCCGACCCTATCGCACGCTGATGAATAAGAAAAGTTTACTTCACAGTAAGAAACAAGTAGTACTAAGCACCCAAATAAAAACAATAGAGATAAAAAAATCCACTTGATTTTGAACGACCATGAGACCACAGGGAAACTAACTGCAAAGTAAAGGGTAACTACCTCCGCTGGTGTGGCGCTCTTTGACGGATTGCCGAAGCTCATATGATTCGCGACGTTTTTCTTGGGATCCTTGTTTTGGGCTAATTGGCTCTTCCGGGAGATATTCCTCACTCTGGTATCTAGCGGCGTCCTCTATTGTTGTGTTGTGACTTTCGTGTCTCGCCTGCCATTCGCCATGCGTATCTGTTTTTTGTGTGTCCAAAATGGGTCGTGGGTGAGCATGTTGTCATCGACTCAGCACTATATAATTTAGATTTAGATGTAAGATTGACGCTTTCAATAGAAGTAAAAGAGTAAGAATATTGAATCATTCTCATCGTCATCTTCTCATAGACAAGAGCAAGGAGATGCCCAAGCTACTGGCGCCACCATAGAATCTACCATAGAGATAATTCGCGCACGAGCTTTATCGACTGTCTGCAGACCACTTGATTTGTAGCAGAAGAATTGACATAACTACCTAGGACCACCGACGCACTTGAGGGCGCCGCAATTTGATGTAGGGGAATTTGCCCATTTTCATTTTTTCCAATCTTGGCTTTTTTGCCACCTGTTGGGGAGTAAGGGCCCGTTGGGGTATTACTTAGGATGTTAAAGACGAGCAAGGACTTGCCTACTTTAACGATAATACTAATAAATGTTGTCCTGTCGGAAAACGATCTTCATAAAGTCATAACTTTCAAAAAGCACACCTGTGCTCACTTCGCCTTCATCGTCTTTTCCGGCACTACCAAGCTCTGCTTCTTCATGCTTGGCGGTTCGATGGTCGTCCCGCGTATCAGCATGGTCGACAGGTACTTCTGATCCTGATGCACGACCTTGTTGCTCAGCATCCGCGATAATTTGACTAGCCACGCCCACGTCTTTGTGTTTACCTGTGAGCACGAGATATTCTTTGTTTCTGAGAAGCTAAGTTTTGGTTGTCTTCGTGGTTTATATGGTTTGAAAATGGAAGGTAGTTGTAGTTGTACTCAGTGTAGCATCAATATCTTTACCATGATTTTCAACCCACACGAAGAAGTTAAATTCTTCAAGACACTAAGCTGTACCCGCGTTGCTCTTGCTGCCATGGTCTTCATCATGCTCGCCAAGCGCGGCTAATTGCGTGGTCTCTGGCGTCATTTCTGCTCCAGGGCCGAAACGCTCTTGCACTGCTGGTGACCCAGGAACCTGCGTCGAAGTTATCGCACGCTCCTGGTCCTTGCTATCGCGATGCAGCGCGCGAACAGCCCCGAGGCACAAGATAGCAGACCCAACTGCTCGTCGCCCTGAAGCGCGACAACTGCGTGAGCCTGGTCGCCCGCTCACTCGTCCAGTCTTCCTTATTGGGCCTTTCTTGCCGGTTAATATGCGCGTCAGGGGCTTGCAAGAGTATAATTGGTTAGAGATGAGGGGGATTTGAGTCATCGAGTAGAGAGAAGTTTCCGGCTGTTCTGCCAGACAAAGGAGCGAGGACTATCACTAACTTTATTATAGAAAATAAAACAGAAGCAACTCATTCGACATCCACGACATTCTTGATTATAACTAAAGAAAGTTATAACATATTTATAGCACCAGGCTAGAAGTTAGCGGTATTTTTACTTAGTTCCAAATAAAAACTGAGAAACATAACGACCGCTCCTGCGCCTTGCCTAGTACGGAAGAGACCCCATTGCGTATTGCTCGAGCTGGTAGCTTCGCTGTTACCCGTGATCATATGTGACATCGCAGGTGGGCCCTGCTGTACGACAGTCCCGCACTCTGTTTTCATCTCGACAGCTGAATCCATTGTCAGATCCTGTAGGAGGTCCTCTTCAGCTTTTCACCAAAACAGGGCTCTCGCAGTTATATTTTATATTCTTGCAGCAAACCAGAATCTGCCAATAGACGATGAAGAAGATGTTGTACTAGTATTGTTGAACACGACGTCGCGGACCCCTTCAGGGTCTGCCAGATGCAGTCGTCTGACAACTCAACCGCAAGACGACGTCATGCGTGGCCCGCCTCCACAGGAAGCTACACTTCCGAGAAGAGGGTAATGTTGCCTCACCGTCCTCTCATTTTTCTGCTCATCTTGGCTTAAGGCCAATACGTGAAAGTCGTGTATACCTCAACATCCACATAGTCACAAAAATCACGGCTATGATCGAGTTCCATTTTTCGGTCCAAAATCAAGATGAATCAGGCTTCGTCAAAAATTGTGAGCAGGATCATATTAACTTTGCGCTTTTTTTTCGTATTCGATTTTCAACGAACTCGGTTTTTGCGCTCGTGGATAGAAATATTCATTCATCTTGTTTGAAAAAGTAAAGTTGCTTTTTTTATGTAGTGGACGATGGACACTAGCACTTCTCCCTCCAGCTGTTGCAAAGAGCATCCTGCGCGCACGCGCTCTTATCGTTCACATTCACTCTCCTTTACTCATTGTGTTCAGGTCCGATCACTCGTCTACGGGGGTCGTTTACAGAATTTCTTGTAATAAATCAAATCTGATGAAAAACTTTGTAAAAAAAGGTGGAGGAGGGAAAACAAAAGGGGAAGAGACCGAGCAGTCCATCGCTGTAGTCATGCTACGAGCACAACGAGGAGCCCAAGAAGGACAGCGCGGCTATCATTATGTATCCTTCACCAGAAAAAACACAATCATGCTTGTCAGCATCAAGGCAGCACCTTCTAGTAACAAGAACAAGAATGCAGCGGACTAGAAAGAGCGCGCTCTGGTCGTGCTTTATTTGAGTTATTGTTATGCTATTTTTTGCCCTTCAATAATCATCGGAGGTGTGTTTCATAGGAGGTGTAAGAACGTGTTGCACCAGAGCCCTTCCATACATACAACGAATTGTCGACGTCGAGTAGACCTAGACCGACTTCTATTGATATTCTTGTTTAAGCACAAGGCAATATTTTCAGCCAAAACTTGTTCTAGTAGCTCAGCCTACGTGCTAGTACAGCTCTGGCCGATAGCTTGACTTTGATGGGAGCAGATTGAACTTGAAGTGTTTCTATCCCCTCGCCTCGACTCGGGCTATTTTTGAGCTATTGAACTAGTTCAATTACAGCTATGGTTGAGAGCCCTCCAATGCCACCTCGTACATCTAATAGTAGTATTCTATGTGAGGTGCTCAGACTTTGCGCCCAAATTGATAAAGCACGCAACAATTGGATCAAGGGTTCGTCCTGCTGCTTCTTGCCTGCTGGAGGAGGTGCGACGCCGGTCACCGTCACAAGTGGGTTAAAAAAGTTTCACGACCAGGACCATGAGCAGTGTTCGATGAGTACGATTCGGCTTTCACTCCCCCGTTGCTACGTCGGACAATGCTGACTTGTTTCTAAGTACTCTTGATCTTTCTTCTTGTTGGACTTGTCCTTCTTGGTCGTAGACTTGTTTTCTTTGTGGTCTTTCTATTTCTTGTTTTTTGCCAACATCAGACTTACTTTGTTTTCGAAGTCGAAGGTGTGGCTTTTGTCTTCTTCACCTTTGCAGCTACATCTTGCTTTTTCGCCACACCTGCTTCGAAACCGTCGAGCAGCAAGCAAGCTACGATTGTCACATAGCGCGTGACGAGACAGTGAGAGGACCGCACCATATTTTTTTTGTCTCAGTCATGGATAGTCAAGGTGTTGCAGTATCTGATTTTTGCTTCACGACATGATTTCGAGTCTACATTCTCCACTCCTGTCGATGTAAATCTACTCGGTAATGAATCTGCCTAAGCTTTCCCTGAGATTCTACTCCACTCCTAAAAGAAGTCATAATTCCACAACTTAGCACGCATCAAATATATAAACAACAAGAACTTCTTGTTCTTCAACCTCATTTCATCCATGCAAAGAAGTGGAACACATGATGTGACATAATTATGCTCGAAGCGTAGAAGCACTCGTGCTCGTCTTCGTACTACAGCCTTGCTAATATCAAAAAGAGAGAAATACGAGGAAGAGCATCAGATCAAGGATTGATGATCAAGATCAGGTCGTGAAGTCATAAATTCTACCAGCACTTGTTCGTATATTAATGATATTCAACACTTCTGCTACTTCTCGACTTAGTAGTTGTAGTTCTTATAGGTACTCGAATTATTCTTTTACAATATTTCCTCATGAACATCCTCAATATTAATGTGTGCAAAGAAAAATATTGTTACTGAATAGTAAATTCTTCATTTGTTTCCTGTGTTTTCGACACGAGTCTCTTCCACTTTGATTCCTGGCTCTCACTGTCAATAATGCATGATTCTTTTAAACACTATAATTTAGAAGTTGAAGAAATCGAAGTGATTACCTCCAATCATGCTAGGCCTGAATACCAACATCAGATAACGTGACTTATAATAAGAGCCGCGCAAGAAAACCCTCCAAATTGAAAAATGCCAAAAAAAATAACGGATGTTAACACACTTGCTTACCTGCCACCACCGGTGTGGTCGACCACAACTCCCACGAAGTGTGCCTACATCTCCTTCTAACTTTGAGTCTTAGTGTCTGTGTCCCCTAGTCTCCTCTCCCCTAGCCTCCTCTCCCGCAGTCTCCTCCTACGGATGCATACAACGTCAAAGTGAAGAAGTGGACTCCTCCCCCGACAGAGTAGACTTCGTAGTTACTGAGAATCGGTGCCGTCAGAGTCAAGCCAAGCAGGTCCACTACCATCAACATCCTGAACTTGAACATCATCTTCAGGTAGCAGGTCACTACTACTCCCAGATCCCGATCCAGTTGTTCCAGTTCCAGTTCTAGATCCTCTTATTTGTTGAACATGTGCGTTATCCGCTGTCGCTTTCCCTTCCCCGTCCAGTAGTTTCTCAGACACAGTGCGCGCCTCTTCCCAGATGTAGTTCTTCTCGATCGGTGCATACTCGTTGCTGATCCATGGGTTACCCAAAAGCGCGCTCGCCATCAGGTCGATCGCCTTCACCGGCCTCGGATCATGATCATTGATGTCATCACGCTTCAGGGGCGTCAACAACGTCCTGTCGAGAGACTCGATGACGCGTGTACACCCTTCCGACGGATTTTTTCCTGCTACTTTCTGCCGTATCCAAAGAAATGAGGAAGATCGATTGGGACTCGCATTGACAACGAGCATGAGCAGCCTAGTACTGGAGGAAGGGGGCAAGCTTACTTTTATACACAAGAAGGAGAACTGCTGGTGTCCAAAATAATTTTGATTATCTTCAGAGCTAATAACTCTGAGACTTTCAAACGACTCCGTAAGTGGTGAAAATACGGAAGCGTCATGATCTACGAATGTCATGTTGCGTCATAACTCCAGCAACTCGCGTCCAGCCACGGCAGCCGACTTCTCCGCCGGGCCGCCAGACATCTTCGACAATATGAGAGCGTCCACGAGGACTTCATGTTCTTCATCCTCCTGCTCCACTTCCACATTGATTGTTAATAAGTAGTGAGATAGCCCTACTAGCCTTGAATAAGAATCATAATCATATTAATCAAGTATGCACACGCGCTGTTGTTTATGCGAGCTGTCGCTGCTTGCTGAGCAGATGCAGAATTCACTAAGTGCGTTCTTCTACTACTTAGGCTCAGCGTCGCCCTTTATGACTGTCTGAGTAATACCTACGTCGAAAGGTGTGAGCAAAAAAGCAGTGTACTTTCACGGCATAACCAAAATAGCCTCGGGTAGCGCGATCTTTTCCTGGATGCGAATCAAGAGAGTCGCAGTTCTTTGTTAGAGCGAGTATGGCCTGGGAAATTCTAACTTTTCAACTGCGCCTCGGATCTAAAAGTCATTCTGTGGGCCCATGGCATACTATCTCACGCTGGGAACAGTCTGTAGCGACAGTCTAAAAAATGGGTAATCCCAGACGACATAATCAGGATGATCATCTCGTCTGTGCCCGTATCCCAGCAAAAGAAAGACACCCACACCGGCACGCGCATGCGCAAATAAGGCACATTGCGCCCAGACGCCGTCGACGACTGCGACCGCCCAGCTGAAAGCGTCTCCACTCGCAGCATGGAGTGGCGACACTTCGGAAGGGTTAAAAAAATGGTCCGGGGACATGTAGAAAGCAGTGCCATGCCCTGTTTCCCTCTCTTCACTACACGACGTCACCAGACCGGAAGCAGGTAGTTTGTTCCCGACGCTGCACGCGAGGCCCATGTCGGTGGCTATCCACATCTTCTCCATGGTCGTGGGCTCTTGGCCATGATCAGCTTGCGAGGCAGATCGAGCGAGAAAGTTTGCAGGCTTGATGTCTCGGTGGAAAAGCTGCGCCTTCGCCAGTACACGAATGCTTTCCCACGTCCACCATAAGACATTCTGCGGCACCTCCTTTGTAGTACTAGTATCTTCTTCGGGGGCCAACCCCAACGTCGCAAGGAGGTTGTGGACGTTTACTTCATCCATGGGATCCATGCAGAGCGCCGTATGCTGCTTTGCGTCGACCGCCTGACGCAATGGCTTGCAGAAAGGGGTCAGCACGCCGTCGGCGTCGCTGCTGTGGGCATGCAGCTTGACGTTGGCCCTCCACTGTTCCACGAAATAAGCAGCGGCCCTGCATTCGGACTCGCTCTGCTCTGGTTTCCCTCCCTTTCCCGAGGAATGTCGCAGTTTCTTGCAAAACAGCTTGGTCGGCGACGATGCTCTTTCTCTGGGCGCGAAAAAATTAGTAAGTAGATCGTTCTGAGGCAAGCCATATACAGGTCGGCCCTTATGTGTTGCTTCATGGTCACACCCCCAGATTCTGCGAGTCTGAACTTATCAACGATACTCAACAACGAAAACAACACTCACACGCAAGCTGTATATAAAAGCCATGACAAGGACATCAACATCGGCAACATCATGGTTATCAATATCACAATCGCTCTCCGCTAAGCAGGCGGTGTAATTACATGAATACGCATGGCATATCAAAGGAAAACTTGGTCTCATTCTCAGAAGTGCAAGTGACGACGTTCGCGAGATATAGCTCAATTCGCTAAGATGTAAGTAAGTAGTTAACTTACTAGCCAGTTCAGAAGAGGCAACGCGGATCCAGTTCCAGATGGAATCGGTAGGACCAGGAAAGGCCTCCTTTTGAGGTCTGGGTTGGTGAATCCCTTCAGCGGGAACGGCTGGCCATACATATCCACCTCGAGGAACCTCAGCCAAACCCACCCAGAAAGGCCGGCCGCCATTTGAGTGAAAATATTCCAGCAAACCCCAACAAACTATAAGAGGAGGGGGACGAGAGTGGCAGCCAAGATTTCCAGACTGTCCAGCTCAATGAATCCGAAACGCTACAAGCGGACAAGAAGTATCCACGTATAAGCGGACAAGGCTGGCAGTCTATTGATTGCATACGAAACGCATCACAGGAAGCAAACAGGTCAAGCCTTTGGGCTTGTCCAGTGTAGAAGAAATCGCAGCAACGTATAAGTATGAGAGCTAGACCCTTCCCACCCGGTATCCGGTCGAACTGCTCGAGTTCCTCGGGCTGAACGAGTCCCAG